ACTTTGGGCCGAATTGTGTGCGACTTCGTCACAGACCTAGGGTTATGAGGCTGACAGCTCTGAATCTTTCGATTCCTATGCATTTAAACTAGGCTCGACTGGGTATATACATAGGACGGACAGACAACGGTTTTTAGGGCTATTTTGGGGTTTGCGCTTTGACGGGGTGTACCATGTGTGTTATGTATGCTTATGCAAGATGGAACAAGTCTGGTTCTGATAAACGCCCTATGAAATAAAGTTGCGAAGGATTGAAGGTTGTGTTGCTGAGCCTCTGGGAATGGGCTATGTTGGAATCCTGGCGCATAAAGGTTCAATCAGAGTCATGGGTTGTCAGGGAGGTGCAGGTGGGCGCATGTTGGGAGCGGGCCAACCTCCCAGATTGAGAGTCCTGTATGTTTACAGTACAGAGCGTGTAGAACTAATCCGTATGTACATCTGTATAAAATATGTAGTTATGAAGGGTGGGTTGGCTACTGATTACACGTACAGAGATATTCGTCAGAATCAAGCTGCACGTGCAAAATGTAACCAACATAGTCAAGTGCAATTAGATTACCTACCAAACACAGCCAAGTGCAATTAAATTACCCAATCGAGTAGTGATTGCGAGGGCGACCGATTGATTTGCAGCACCGAACCCCCCCCCCCCCACCCCAAAAACCCCGAAAACCCCGACGGTCAGGGTCTGTCCCTCACAAAGTACTACTCATACACGAAGTACGGAGTACGCAGAGCTTGCCGGCTACTGTCCACTGGTGTGCGAGAATTCCCCATCCACACATGACTCCAAGTGGAGGAGGATCAAGAAGATCCAAAGTGCAGATCCCCCATCTGAGGTGAGACGGGACCAGCCTTTCCCGTCGCCCAGCCGGCTGCAGAATTGTGAAGATTATGAGATTATCACCGTGAAGATTTTCACCTGGCCAAAGTTGTTCGGGGCCAACTTGAGGCCTTCCTCTCCAGAGTAGCACTGTCATTTCGCTCTTACTTTCCCGGGAAGTAGACCCACCACGAGAGCGTCCTCCTCTCGCAACTCCAAATAGCCTGCGCTAAAAAAATTCGCCCAGGTTCACCGATCGGCCGGGGGTGGGCGCGTCGAACTGGCGAGACCGTGAGAACAAGTCATTCAGAGCCTCGCAGTGGAGCCAAGGGGTGACATCTCGCGATTGTGATTCGCCGGCGCGGATTTTGTCCGGGGGTTGCTGTCGCCCGAAGCTGTCCCTTAGGGGCGTGATGGTGTGGACCCCCTGCCTGTCCGATAATCCCCGGGTCCTCGTCCGATGGGAGTTAACTGTTTTCAATCTGGTCGCTTCCGACCTGTTAGAACCGGCTAGACTACTACATAGATAGTGTGAGAAATGGAGTGGGGGATGAATGACTCAAGGATAATAACAGGAATTCCCGAGCCACGAGGCAGTACAGAGTACATACAATTTCAAGATGGAGTAAGATCACTTTACCTCCTTCACCCTACCCGTAAACCCCATACATACATATACAACCACCGCAGTGTATCTCCCGATCGGGTATAGGGTAAAAACGGGGTATGCTCGATAACATTAACATACTTTTTTCAAGGGTTAGGGTGGACGGTAGGGCGACCCTCACGGCCCCGGGATCGTCGTCTAAAAAAAGAACCAACAACAAACCCGAGGCGATGACTCGCTCGTTCGCGAACCTGCACGACAACCATCTGCAGTCGAGGAGGCAATGACGCCCACTCCATCTTCAGGCCCCGTTAGGCCATGGAGATGAATTCGTGCATACCTGCAGTAGCACATGCGGTGCTCGTGTTCTCCTTTACCGCGCCAAATGATTTCCAATTCTGGTGGTTTCCCCGGTAATCATATTGTAGGAGTGACTAATGGAGGGAAGTATGGAGAGGTATCATGTTCCGCTCCCTGACTATGTTTAGAGCCGATGAATGGAGTTGATGAGTCGATGAGTCGATGAGTCTGTCGATCGGTGCAAAAAAAGGGGGGCGAGGCGAGGCGAAGACCAGGAAAGAGCAACTAGCGGCAACATGATTCCGGCTCGCTCGTCATGATCTAATGAGAATGAAGTCGTAAAGGACCAGGAGAACAAAGAGTGGGAGATTTGAGTAAACAAGTGAGAAGCACCGCTCCGGAGAACCGGTGTATCGGGTAATACCAACTTGTTTTTTATCTTCCCCATTTGATTTGATTTATCGAGTATTTGGAAACCCTAGTCCACATGAGGTGCCCACTTGGTTAATCGCAACGCTAACCATTTACGGAGCCTGGTCGGGAGGGAGCGCGCCATGACCAGGTACTCTCGTCCGGACGAGCATCGTACCTTTGGGCATGTGGGCACTTTGGGGCACCTGGTTAAATACGCTAGTCCTAACTAGGCTAGTAAGCACGAGCAAAGCACGAGTCATTCTGCCCTACGCCACATACGGCCTAGCCTACTTTGGGTGGGGGCGATCCCCACACCCAAAAAAGCACAAGGGGTCACGGAGGGGTCGCAGGGTCGGTCAAGGGGCGGGATCGTCCAGCCCCCCCTACGGAGTATACTAATTTTATCTAATTTTATACTCATCGTGCCGATGTTGGAGCATGAAGATGAGTTGCGATTGGAATTTGCATTTTGCTTGATTCCCACTTCCGCCCTCCCGCACGGCACCAAGTATGCCTTGTGGAGAACCCGCAAGTCCAAAAGATGACCAAAAGAGAAAAAGCATTTGAACTGCGACGAGGTGGAGCCGACAAGAGTCCCCACGTTGGGTCCCTTATTCATATGTACGATACTGACCCTGTACTGACTCTGGAATTGCAATTTCGCTGATTTGTCCGGTATAGCCATTACCTGGCAGGCGTGACTATCCGAATTCATGATTCGTGGACTTCTACTGCGTTCTGTATACATATCTCGATACACCTCGGTATTCTGCCAATCCAGGCGTTGCCCCTGCGTCGTGCAGATTACCATGGACAGGCAATGTGGATGCGAAGGATTTCTTCTGGAATGCTTGAACGATTGTAAACAGTTTCGCCTCGCTTGTTTCAGAATGCCTAAGGCGGCCGGCACGGCTGCAGGTTGCCACCACCAGGATCGATGCCCCTGGCGGGAGAGGAGGAGGGGGTATTCTCCGAATTATGCCGAGCATGGGGTGCAGGGAGAATAGTACATATGTTAGGCTACTAACTTGGAAGTACGGGAGTAGGTACCTAGCTATACCTGGGTTCATGGGCAAAAGCTACTTGCAGTCGGGCGTAGGCAGTCTGGGGCAAACTGAGAGGGGTGAGTGGAGAACGATTAGCATGACAATCGGGGTTAGAGGATCGATAGAGAAATTGCAGTGTACAGTAGCGGAGAAGTGTCAACAGAATGGACTCCATATTCTATTTTTGTGTACAAGATAAAGCTGTGCCGCATCGCGGGAGAGTGGTAAAGGCAGTGAGATGGGATGATCGCGTTCGAAGCTCGAACTATCGTGACGTCGGGCCAAAAACAAACCCACTCATCAAGCTGGAAAGAGGGTGTAACGATGACAGTCAGTGGAAGTTCCCAGACGTTCATTCGCTAGATCGAGTAAGGGATCGGCGGGATGAAACAAGCTACTGTGAACTGCACAGGGCAACCTGAGGGCCAAGACGCCAGGGCTCACTTTCACTGTGGTCGAGGCGGATTGGTAGCCCACGAGGCAGAATCTACAGTATCTGATCTGGGACCACCTTCAAGCTTCAATGTTTAAAGTAGGTCAAATTATCCGATCCATGATAGCTAACTAAGGCATACCCTATAGATCTCACCTGTTGGAAACTACCACTAAATAATTCTTCAAGTCGAAAATCAACATGAATATCTCTCGACGGATAGACACGCCCGCATACAGGAATCAGCCTCACTCCGCGAGTCTAATGTAACTAGTGTTTAGTCTGAGATACACACATTCATTACTCTGTACTCGTACATATCTTGTCCAGCAGTAATACCAACACCGCCTCTGCGGTAGCCAATCACGCAGAAGCTCGCAACACCAAGCCTAATTAGGGCTAGTGGGAACAGGGGAGGAATCCCGCGAGTTGCCCAAAGCAGCGAACCATCGCTGGCTCCACCGTGGGGCAAACCCGTTACGTTCCGTGGGAGCTTGGACTTGGGACTGGGATCCACGCGAGATTTGGAATGGGAACTTACCAGGACGGGATGAAAGTATACTTCCCGAGTACCTACTATTTCCCGCAGGGTTGACAATACCAGTGACCCTTCAAGTTTGCGAGAGAATCCAAAATTGAACAATGCTATAATCTACTTTGGCTACTCGCATGTCTGCTAGTCCAATCCAACATCCCAATACCACTCAACCGGTAGCGAGCCAACAGCCTCCCCATTGGCGCCATACAGCAGATCGTCATTGGAGAGCCGTTGACACGGGTCCGCAGTCGGCTCAGCCGCACCCTGGGGGGAGGAAGAATACCAGAAATCTTACAATACATACCTGGGTCGGTATTATTATATTATTTTCCAAATGAAATCATGATTCAATTCCTAAACATAACTTCCCAGATCAATTCGAGTTAGCTCATGCTTGTCTGATCATCCCGCAGAACGATCATCACCTCCACGCCCGTGCTTGGTTCCCTGCGATCTAAGGTTAGCTCCGTATTTTTCGTTCTTATTTTCCCGTTATATTTCTTTTTTTTATTCACCTTTTTTAAAAAATCGATTTTATTTCTTGATTTATTTCCTTGCCTTTTCTTTTATTTCAAATCCGTTAATTTCCTGGAAGTCTAATCATCCAACAGTCGATCCCATCCGTACCAACCAGTCCAGCTCTTCTATATCAGTCCACCCTCCGCCGCTTCTTCACCTCTTCTGTAACTTCGGATTTCCCTTCCTCTCCCCATCCTTCCTACAATTATATTACATTACATCACATCACATCACCCTAGCGTTGGCTACCTCTTGATTCCTATATATCTCCCTCCCTCTCCCCCCCTCCCCGCCAACGGCCTTTCCATCCTTTTCACAGGATGGCCCGAGGACCCTCTTTCGAACAATCATCATCAGTCACGACATTGTCTTCCAACCCTCTCGTCTCTGTTCTAAACAGCCCGATTGCTTCTAGCTCCCCATCACCAGAACCATCTCAGTCGTCAACCCCCACCATGGTTGGCCGCAAGAACACTATGTGCCGCAGCCCGCAGGCCGATGTTCCCACCTCTGTCACCTATACTCCCACAACCCACCGCATCAGCAAGGCAAAGAAGGGAAAGCGCGTCCATGCGTGTGAATATCCCGGCTGCAGCAAGGTATGCGCGCTCTCTATTTCTTATGCGCCTGCGCAATCTGTTGACCCCAATCGCAACTAGGTCTTTACCCGTGCCGAGCACCGCAGACGCCATGAACTGAACCACAATCCCGAAGCCTCCTACCCTTGTACATACACTAGCTGCAAGAAGGCCTTCCACAGGCCTGATTTGCTGGCGCGCCATATGGAGCGACAGTGAGTACCTCTGGATCCCCATGGAATATCGCAGAATGCTAACCGAGTGACAGCGAACTTGACTCGCAAACAGACCAGGCTCAATGGACACCACAAACCCAAGCTGCCTCCCTGGGCGAGCCTGTCCCGCGCTGCATGTCTATGGATTCTGGATCTTTGATTGCGGGCACCCCCCAGCAATCTCACTCTATGTCTATCGGCTCGATTGTGGCACCAGGAGTTCACCCTGACCTTGCCAGCGACTGCGGAATGGTCTGGAGCAACATGGAGTTGCCTCTGCAGCAACGCCCTTCCACCAACCTTTTTCAAAACCATATCCCAGAAACTTCCGATGACAGCCCCTTCTACTCATCTCCGGCAGAAACCTGCCCCTCGCCTCTATCTGACGCGACATTCTCTCTCCCCACAACCGCCAGCTCCTCCATTTCCTCCATTTCCATGATCGACCAGTATCCCAAGGGTCTTCTCAAGGAGTTGACTTCGTCTCCGCTTCAGATGGCCTCCCCACTGCGGTGGGAGGGTCCGGAGACCGGAATGCCTCCGTCGCATTTGGTTCCCATCTCTCTCGAGGAGAACCTCATTCAACCGGTATGTGGAAACCCCTACTGTCGGCTATTCCGAAGTGACCATTCATTTACTAACTTGTTTCCAGACCGTTCAGTGCAACTACCCTTCTCCTTCCTGGTCTAGCGCGGACTGCCTCCCCTACGAAGACCCCCAGTCACTGGGCCATTTCCAGCCAATGGGCTGGAAGCAGTGGGCGATGTGAAGCCCAGCTTTTAGTCTTTGATTGAGCGCGACCCGTGTCTCATGCACTGCGCGACTCCATCTCACGACTTATGACGACTCTGACCACTCCCCTCCCGGCCGCCTCGAGCAGCCAAGCGCGACCCACGCACCCCACCGGGCGTAGGCGTGACGAGCAAATCTGCCCATGATCATGACCTCCCCCTCCCACGCTCCCCTCCTCGTGGACACACAATAACAACCGGCCAAACTATGGCGCGGTTGAAGGCGAACAAAGAGACTCGCCAAAACGCCCAAAACGCCCAACCCGCGCTCCCCCGCTGCATCCGGCTTCGGATCCCCCGGTCTGCGGCTTTGACCGACAGGCGTCAAACATCATTCGTAGGCCGGGGATGACCGGTGCGCGACCGAGGAGCCTCCGGTGGAGACGCTTCGGTTTAGGCAGGAGTTCTCCACTGTGAGGCCCAAAGTCAAACAAAGAAAGAAAAAAAAAAAAAAAAGGGAAAAAAACCACAAATTTCCTTCCCCCCCCCTTGTTCCTCTCTTTCCCTTTGTATCTCCTATTTGTGATGCATTGAACTAGCAGGTGTCCTAGACTAAGGATTCGTTGGGAATAGATCCTTCGGCGGGTGTTTTTTTTTTTTTTTTTGGCGTTGATTCGATGATTTCATGAAATCCACGCAACCTGTGTTTTTCTGGTTGCTCTATACCCTGGATTAATTTACGAATACCCTATGTACCATGTTATTGTGATCTTTATAATTTATACATTTTCCATATCCGAATAATTGTCTTTCCCTTATGTAGTACCCCATGAGCATACCCCATAAGTATACCCCAAGCATAAGCCCTATCAAATGGACAACCATGGATCATTCGTGCCCAGGTGGACAATCTTTGAACGACCCGTGGTTCTGTGGTCTTCGCCTGATTCCGAATTCCAAATTCTTTCTATTTTCCTACTTGAGCTTTAGTAGTACTTCCCATATTCCCCGGTGTCAAAACTAAATCTCCAGGGCAATCAAACTTTGCAACTGCGCCGATCGTCGTCGTCTAGACCACTTGGGCAAATGAGCCAGAAGAGAATCTAACTCGGCTACTGCGTACGGAGCCCTAGTACTCCGTACTCCAAACTCCGTTCAACTCGCCAAACATCCAATTCAAGGGAAAGCTCCTCCTAACTTCCGACGATCCGGAGTTCGCGTTCGCGTTCAAGTCCTAGAGCTCTCTGCACATCTCGTTCATCTCTGGCAACGATCGGTCGATCTCCGCCCTTCTGAACGGGTCTCGCCCCGACTCCTCCGACCGCCAAATAGATTAATTCAAATTACACCTCCGTGGCCTTGGTACCCTAATCTTCTTAGATCACCTTAGTCCTTGCACGACTTCCTTCTCATACGCGAACTCAAACCCCGACGTATCCGCCCTATCTCCTGTCCTGTCTCTGCCTGTCTCTGCCTGTCGTAGGCTCCACCCCATCACCCCCCCCCCCTCAAGCTATAGGCGAGCCGGGTTGCGTTACGACATACGCGATGCGACACGGAGAACCCGGCCAATGCACCCGGGTCCCCTAAATCCGACTCTACGGAGTACCCAGTCCACAAATCCGCACTGTCCAGACGCCCGTCGATCTGGACTCGGCAGGTGTCGGCCGCGGAAACGATTGACCACGATTATTGGGGGAACCCTCCTCCAAGCTCAGCGCAGTTCAGCTCGGCTCCAGTTTCGTAACCCTGCTAGTCTTCTTTTCTCCAACTGACGTGGAAACGGTTGACTCGTGCGGTTGCACTGTAGCGTCGCGTAAGCGTATGCACATACATAGTGCAGCCCCCGTTATTGTTGCTTAGCTTAGTCTAACTACTAGTAGCTTCTTTTTCGCGTCTCTCCCACCCAACCTTGTCCTCTCGCATCGGAGTCTTCCCTCCTTCGGGGATTTTTAAGCGTGGAACAATACTCCGCATTTCCCGAAGGCAATTCTCATAGGCTCGTCGTTAACTCGTCGTTAATGTTGCTGAGTTGGGCTTGCATGCAGCAGGCATCAAGACAGGCAGAGAGGCGGGCAGGGAGGGCAGCAGACAGGGGTGGGAGGCAGATCTCGCTAAAAGGATCGGTTAGTCGCGTCTCTGATACGATGGCACTTGCTAGGATGTACGAGTACTCTGTAGGTGAGTGGAGGCGGGCTCGGGTTCGGGGCGTGTCGATCAGGGGGGTGGAGGTGTCTCCGACGAAGAGAGGGTTATCTCCGTTGTCACGAGGCTCTTGGGTGTGGTCCGTGTGGATGAGATGAAAGGAGTGGATAGTCTGGGATAACCCCGAAGTTGTTGCGACGCCTGCCGAGCAGGATTTTCGCCTTCATTCCAAGGTTGCTTTTATTCTCTATTGGTGGGTGGAGAGTACGGACTTGAAGTGGAGACTCCGAAGAGGTTGCCCGCTTAGGTGATGATCAGTCGCGATGGAGTACTCCGTAGACGTAGAAGTACGAATAGACACAGATGGACCACACTTCCGCCCGGCCAGGTGGAGCTTTGCTTTGTAGTAGCCGCCACTTTGATGAGGATAGTCAGTGTCAAGCTGAAGGAGTAAATTTCAGTCTGGGCTCATTGCTGGTGATCTACTCGGTGAATTGAGTTTTTATGGTCTAATTAAATTCGATTTTCTCGGCTGTTCTATGCTCCCTCATGACCCTAACTCTGGCCCAAAGTTATACCACTTTTCCCGACTTGTATACATCTCAAGGGGATAAATTGAAGCTATAACCATCTTCCTCGGCTACTCGTTTACTGCTCCCTTAATTGCTTTCGCCTTTTCTTCGTACTTCGTTTCGCTACTGGCACTGCGTTGGGTACAATTTGCTCGTCTCCGTCCCGGGTTGAAACCTTGTTTGCTCATTGTAAAAATGGTCTAAACATTTTAAGATGTTCATTTTCTCCGTGGTCTTTTTTCTTGTTATGAGTAAACTCTTCATCAAAATTTCGTCGTTTGGTGTATAGCTGGGCCTTTGTGTTCTCTCCAAATGCCCTTATACTGAATTCTGGAAATCCAGAAATATTCGTCAACCAACAACGGGGGCGTGTAATCGCGCCGTGAGTTATATTATCCCTGGGAACAACAGTTTGTACAAGAGCAAGATTGAGTAGCTTGACGATGATACTGACTTAATCCTCGACAGAGGTATAGTCAAGCCTTGGGGAATAGTGGCTATCATATGACATGGGTTTGGTGTTTGTCTGGTAAGGTCTCCATATAAGAGAAAGATAGGAGGAATGCTATGTAGTATAGAAGAGTTAACGCCTACAAAGTTGTGCCAGACTTCTAGTTGAAAACATTATATTACACACTTACTCGGAGTTTATTCATCATTACAGTCGTTTTGCACAAAGTAACCCAAACAAGGAAAATTAGAATGCTACTAAGAGCATCATTCATCAATCATACTAGTATGAAAAGGGTGCTTTGTAAATTCAAGAAGCATCATGACTTAGAGTTGCGATACAGAGTTAAATGGGGTTACTAAAAGCGACCCACTACCCAGACTTCATTCTCTTCGTTCCAAAACATGATAAAAAGTCACTATATTGCAGTGGATCGAGATGATAGTGACAACCCGTAGTAGATCAATAAGAATATTATGCCTCCCGACCGCAGTCGTACAAAGAACTTGAAATATATTCAGCGGGATAGAGCTTGGCCATATTTTCGATATTGTCTAAACGAATTTCCCATTTGGTCTTGGTCAGAAGCTTGACGTTGCCTTTGGTGGAGAGAAAGTCAATGAAATCCACGCCATATGGGCTGAGGACAGGAGGGGGTATCCTATACCAACGGTGAATGATTACTTGGTCTGGTTTCAAAAAGGACTAAGGGAAATCTATGAATGCTTTTCATTATTCCATAATTTTCATCGTATATCATGTGTTCGTATCGCATTAATCATCGACTGGCGTAAACTTCAACATTAACTTTCTTCCACGCGGCAGCGCAATGAATTCGTAGTGCTGCTCAATGCCTTCATCGTCTATAGTAGATGTTGTGAAGTTTGAATACACCGCCGCCATGACCAATTTTATTTCTGCATTCATTAGCCTCATCCTCGAAGATCCATATTTAAGGGACGCACCTTGCAATGCAAAATTACTCCCTAGACACATGCGCCCGCCGCTCCCGAATGCAAAGAATAGTCGCCTCATGTCGTGAATATTGTCGCCTGCCTGGAGCCATCGCTCTGGCAGCCATTCTAGAGGGTGCGGGTAGACCTCGTCGATTCGGTGGAGGGAGTAAGCAGTTGAGCTGACTCTTACGCCGCCCGGGATGTTGTCGTACCCATGTAGAGTTGTGCCCTTTTCTGTGGTGGGAGTAATGCGGGGGAGTTGGGCTGGAGCTGGGGAATGAAGACGAAGGGTCTCGCGGACCATGGCGTCAAGCAGGGGAAGGGCGTCTATGGCGGAAGGAGAAGGGAGGTCATTATCTCCCCCTGTGCTCGAGCCTGGGTACCGTAGGGACGGAGATACGGTCATTAGCTCCTTTCGCAGCTTAGCTTGAAGCTTCGGCTGCTTCGATAGCTCCCACATCATGTATGTGAATGTGATGCCAGTCGTTTCATGACCTGCAACTAGATGGTCCAGCAATTCGGACGCGATTGCTAGATTCAGCGGACGCGGATCGAGTTCTTTCTGAGAAAGGAGGCTCTGCTGCAACTGGTCATAGATGACTGGATTCGTGGATGGCAGCAATTTCTCCTCATCACCGAGGACCTCAATCCTGGACGCCTCCGTTCGTTCACAAAGCTCCATGCACCACAGCTCAATGAACCCCATGTACCGGTCGTCCCGACTCAAAAACTTGAACTTCTCATACTCCTCCAGCCAAATAATCCACTCCGGGATATTGAACAGATACCTCGTCCCTCGTCTCAACCCAAACAAGAATGAGGAAGTAAAGTCCATCCCAACAGCTTGGAACGTCGGCAGGACATTCAACACTTCTCCATCATTCCCCGCTTTCTTGAGAATAGGCATCAATCGATCCCACAGGACAACCTTTGAGATCGTCTGCAGATCACCAGATTCCTGGAGAAACGACTTGGAGAAGGTCTTGCTCAGCATGCGCTTCTGGTGAGCGTGTGGCGCATTGTGCACCATGCCGACCATGTTTTCAACGTTGAAATTGACAAAGGCATCGTTGTAGAAGGCGTGCTTCTCGAAAGCACCGGTATATATGACTTTTAGACCGTGGATGGAATTGACACTCAGTTCCTCTGGACCGAGACGGACGATGGGGCCGTGCTTTTGGTGTAGGGCATCAATGGCGAGGACTTCTGTGCCTGTGCTGCGCTTGTGCTCAATCCAGCGCCCGCATAAGGGAGACGTGAGGTGAGCGTTAGGGATGGAAGAAAGCGGTGAGAGGAAGTAGGGGTATATAACATGATGGTAGATGAGGTAGGAAGCGAGGATGAGGAGGGCGAGGAAGGTGAAGGGGATCATGGTATTACGTGAGGAGGGGTGAAGAGGAGGAAAACCAAGATGCCAATCAAGCGGCAGTTATTTCAATTGACAGTCAGTCCAATTCATGCTGTGATTTTCTCATGCAAGGAGTCGTCTGTCTGGTCCCCGCCAAAGCAGAGCAAAGTTCCTGGCGTGGCAATAAAATAGCGCTGGTGGGGCCGCAACCAACACGAAGCCCTAACTGTCTAGCAGGCACACTAAATAGCAGGAAGCTGCAACTATGCTCTAGTCTTGCTACAGAGTTTCACTGCCTCAGCTGTCTGAAACGCAGATTCTGTACCGCGCGAATTGCTCCACTGTCGACCAGATGCGCTGAGTGGATTCTATGAGGGGCGGAGGATTCTGCAAAACTTAATACCACCATTCTTTTATAGTTACCCGAAGCGGCCTGCCCCCAACCCTTGCCTTTTCTCCGAAAGCCCTTCATTATTTTCGCCGTCTATATCCCAGTATGCCCCGGATCAAAGACACTTCAACAGTCACCATGACGTTGGCCGAGGAAGCCCCCTCCAGAGGCCATGTATCCCCTAAATGGCGCGGTACCCAGGCCGACCAAGCCGATATGAGTGCTCTAGGGAGAGATCAGGTTTTGCGGGTATGTTCAAGATTCTACGATCGCAGCTAATGCACATGAACTAACCTTGCAGCGTAACTTTCGATTCATCTCCATTGTAGGATTTGGCTGCACGCTGATCGCCACGTGGGAGGTTGTTTTGACGTATGTCATCCTTGTCTACATTTTGATTCAATGACTGATCGTCCATGTAGTTTACTGCAACAAGGATTGACAGACGGAGGAACTGCTGGGCTGATCTGGGGATTCCTCATTGTTGCCGCCGGGTTTCTTCTTGTGTTCTTGAGTTTGGCTGAGATGGCATCCATGTGAGTCTGCCTGACTATTGAGGCTCTGTATCCATTCTAATTCCCTAGGGCCCCTACTTCTGGTGGACAATACCATTGGGTATCGGAGTTTGCCCCTCCTAGCTGTCAGAAATTCCTCAGCTACATAACTGGTATGCTCTTCTGGTTTCTAGTCTATTCGCCGGATACAAGTTAACAACATAGGTTGGCTGTGCGCCATGGGCTGGCAATGCGCCATTGTGTCGATCGCCTATCTGGCTGGAACGATCATTCAAGGCTTGATAGTGCTAAACAACCCAGATTATGGCATGGAGGCGTGGCACGGTACCTTGTTGGTGATCGCCATCACCCTGTTTTCGATTATATTCAACACTTCTTTGGCCAAGCGGCTGCCCTTCGTGGAAGTGTTGATTCTGATTCTCCATGTGTGTGGCCTGTTCGCTATCATAATTCCGCTATGGGTACTTGGTCCTCGTCGCAGCGCGAAGCAAGTGTTTACTGAATTCAACAACGGTGGATCCTGGAACAGCGCGGGGACTGCCACACTTGTTGGATTCTCGACCACCATCACAGCGCTGATCGGATATGATTGCGCAGTGCATATGTGTACGAATCTTCCCAAAGATTTCCAGAAATTCTGCTGACAGTGTGAGTATTTAGCGGAGGAGATCAAAGATGCATCTGAGACATTGCCAAAGGCGATGATCACCTCGGTCTGCACCAATGCCGCCTGTGGTTTCCTGGTACTGGTGACGGTTTGCTTTACCCTGGGTGACATTGACGACATCCTGGCCACTCCAACAGGGTACCCATTTATGCAGGTATTCTATAACGCGACAGAGAGTCTTCCGGGCACGAACGCCATGACCGCCATTCTGGTGCTGACCTTGACGGCGAGCACGATCACAGAAGTTGCAACGGCATCGCGTCAGTTGTGGTCTTTCGCGCGTGATCGCGGCCTTCCTTTCTCGGACTTCTTTGGATATGTATGTCATTCCATTTTCTCCCTTTTCAGGCTTGAGTCTCCTAACAGAACGAGGTTAACCCCGGCTGGAACATCCCCTTGAACGCCGTGATGGTCTCATTGATAGTGACAATCCTCTTGTCGCTCATTAACATCGGCTCTTCAGCTGCGCTTCTCGCCATAGTGACCCTTACCATCGGAGCAATGATGTCCTCGTACATTATCACGATTGGTTGCGTGCTTCTGAAGCGCATCAGAGGGGAGCCCCTCCCACCACATAAATGGACACTCGGCCGGTTCGGCATGGCCATCAACATTGGAGCGCTATGCTTTCTCTGTCCAGTGTTCGTGTTCGCCTTCTTCCCGCTCACCTCGACCGTTGAGCCTGAAAGCATGAACTGGTGTGCAGTCATGTATGGGGGAATTCTGATCATTGCAGTAGTGTATTATGTGCTGCGGGGACGGCACCATTACATCCCGCCCGTTGCGTTGGTGAAGCGAGGGATTTAGTTACTAGCCACTTGTATGACTTTGGCATTAGACAAGCAAAAATAATTCTGTGTTATTATATTTAGAATGGACCATGCTCGGACGATAACAATGCAGAGGACCTTCCTATAGAATCGTACATAGGGGTCGAAAGCACAGTGGAGCGCGCGTGGCAAGAAGAGCCCACTTTGTGGATTTGATAAGTGGAGAGCTCCACTCAAGCTGTAAATACTAGATTGGATGTTAATGAGCAGTACTAAATGGAAGGAATGACTTGGCAGAGTGTACGGAGTACTCATACGATATGCATAATGGGTCTGAAACAAGGTAGTATGCATTACTTATAGATGGCTTCGCACCAAGTCTTCCCGACTTGGCATCCCCGTGTTATATTCCTAGGTTCAAGTTGAAAAAGAGGAAGAGTCAATTGAATTCAAAAGGAGAATCATAATTTCATGAGCACACCCTTGATTGGTTTGTAAGTTCTTCCTTTTTACGAGTACCAGTCTTCTACTCGTTCTTTATGGTGGCATATGGAGGGCGAGCCCTACTATGCGGCCCCATCTCCCGCCCGCTTGGCAGTTGGCGTAGGGAAAGGCGCCCCCTATGCAGCCCGACTCCATATTTCGCCAACTCTATCTCGTAGCTAGCGCAGTCCCAAATTGCAAAATCCACCCTGTCGTGCCCTGAAATATCTCGTATATTCATTTTTTTTTTCACCTGGCTTTCCCCCTGATTGGATATTTGGGATCCAGCACGGAGTCTTGTCAGTTTCCATTTGTCTGCTGTCAATTTCCAATCGTGCGCTGGTTCCCACGCTAAGCAGGGATATGGCTTGGAGCAGGTACCGTGCATCCGAGGTTTTCAAGGTTTGGAGCTTCGGTCGAAATGCCTTTTGTGCACACACCGGCCGGTGGCTAGTTACTAGTAGTAGTACCGTGACCAGAAGGATCGCTCCAGCTGATATCACAACCCAAAAACTTGATATATCACGTTGCGTTGGATGTTAGATCCCTTCATTTGAATTGCCCGAGCTGCCTAGCCGCCAGTCATGGATTCGCCGTCATGATGGTTGATTATTATTATTTCCATTTCTTTTCAGAACATTTTCTCCCTGATACTTCTGCATCACAGACCACACTTTGGTATCTGTGCCGCAATGGCCATCAAAGTGCCTCCGGGCCAGTCGCCGCCTTTCGAGACGATAGACGACAAGCATCATGCCGGGATTATCATCATAACAGCCGCCATCTGCTTGGTGATCTCGCTGGTCAACCTGTTGATCTGTGTGTATGTGCGAAAATTTATTAGTCCTCCATGGGGATCAGACGATATGATATTGCTGGGGGCGACGGTACGCAATTGAAATCCATTGACAAATCAATTTATTTTAAACGGGACTAACATGATATCATACTAGATTACTGCGGTCGCCGAGTCGATCGTTATATTTCACTCCTCGAGTATCGGATTCGGGACTGATATATCACTGGTGGCCGAAAACGTCGTCAATCACATACAAATGTACCTATTAATTACCTCCAGGATGCTAAACCGAATCGGATACAAGGAAGATACTGACAGGCATAGTCCCTCGTTACTGCCGCTCGCTATAAAGGCTATTTAGTACGGCTACTAGAGAACATCAGGGGATTAGGGAATTAAGCTTGTAGGTGTCGGCGAAGATTATCTTGTTGGTCCTGTGGCTGTGGTGAAGGTGGTGGTAGGTTTCCTACAGGAAAACTTTCTTTATTTGCTTCATCGGTGGCTTTATCAGTTATTTCACTAGTTGCTTCTTTACTACCATCTTCGGTATCTATCGTGGCCTACGCCAATAACGCTTCGAGCTATCTTACATGCTTGGCTTACTCTTCCATAACACGCCCTTGTGCGCGTTGGTTATCATTCAATTACTGCATTTGTTGTATAACCATCGCCACCATTGTAAGGGTTGTTCGTTCTGGGGCTCTATGATAGCCCAGAGGTTCACAGGGGAACCAGTGATATGGTGTCGATTCAGGGTAACAGCATTCGCGTACTGTTGTTTTTGTATGCCTGGAAATCACACTTCTAGGTCCTCGTCAGAGGTTTAACGATACGGTATCGGAAGATTGTTATATATGAAGGGCTGTAGCGACAACTGTTCAATTATTACTAGGCCTGCATGCTGTTTACAACAGTCTTGAAGAAGGGGAGTTATCTGTGCGCCATTCATCTTGTTTACCCTGGGGAAGGTCACGTGCCACCACGTGATATAAGATCGGGCCTGGGCCCGTTACACTAAGGGGGATATCGCACTAAACCTACATCGTACTAACCCGGTTTTACAGTATCACTGTTCGGAGTATTGAGTGGTACTGACAGCAGAATTACCATACCGAATCTCCTATAATTCCTGAAATAAACGTTAATTTGGCATTTCCTCAAGTATTGGAAGATGCATTTGACTGATGTTCTCATACGATGTTGGGCTATCAAAAGCTTATAGTCGATAGCGAGATCTGCTTCCCCCTGACGGCTGGATTTCTTTTCTCGGGTCCCACCGCCAAGGCCCTAGCGCAGATCTTGTATTGGCCAGACCACACTAAGTTGAGGGCCACCGTAAAATACTGCTTACCTAGTACCACAACGATCAAAGCTTTACCAGATAAAATTCGGAGCGGAAGCTGTAATATTACAGAACAGATACATTACCGAACACGGGCATGAACACACTGGCCCTCAACTTAGTGTACCCCAATAGATGATCTGCGCTAAGGCCTTGGCGGTGGGACCCGAGAAAACAAATCCAGCCGTCAGGGTGGAAGCGGTGTAATACGGGGTGCGCGGAACTCTAGAAACGAACTTTTAACACAGAGTAATAGGCTAGTAATCCTTTTTGCCCTCAAGTTGATTTACAATTTAGCGTCCAAACCGGATGACCGCCGCCAATTTAGGAAACGCCACATGACGCATGCCGATTATCTGTGTCCACAACCTTGTCCCATTCGTCCGTGGTTTTGCGATCTGCAGTTCTATATCGGTCAAATTAGAACCCGCTTGCATCCGACTGGTATTCCCGGTATTAAAAGAGATAATAGAATAGTGAATGGATCCTGAATAACCTTAGCCTAGGTGCTTTGATAACGGTAGCGGTGAGTTTTCCCAACTAATGAGATTGATTGATGCTGAGGGAAATTAGGCAGTGGTTGTGGCGCAGATCTCGACCACATTTACTTTGAGCGGACTCTACCAGATTCACTGGGTTGCTCGGAAATTATTCACAATAAGCCTGATGACGTCCCTATACGCCGTTCAATGTGCAACTACTTCGCACATACATATTTATTGCGCATTTATTACCGATGATGCCTTGCCTAGATGCGATATATCCGTTAATATGGGCATTCTGATTATCAAGGAACGAAAGACTCCATCTTTGCGAACCCAAACGTGGACTGGAAACGACTAGAACTACCAGTAGGAGTCCCGAGTATATTAATAGTATGAGGTCTTGGACTTACAATGCAGATGATCATTCTAAATATATAGTTAGATTTCCGCAAACGGTTGTAGTCCTACTGAGCATTGAATTGGGCTCTATCACGATAGAATGTTCCAGCCTCGTAATCGAGTCATGCATTGTTTTTCAAATCCCTGTTTTCAGAGAACTCCAAGTTCTTTCATTTAATACCTGCTAGAAAACGCACTGCTGTGACAGGATCGATTCTAGATTTCTTGGTAGGGTGGGGAAAGCTTAAAAGAGTAAGCGATGCTTAAGTCCGTCTGAGCCGTTAATTATGATGGGTTTATCAGCCTTGTATTATACTCTTAGCTTCAAAATCCCTAATAAATGCCCTTCAATCTTTTTGCGGGTCGTTTGCCGCACCTCTTTGATAGTGAACAGTGAGTGATTCTAGTTATCATCTGAAGCGGTTGCTCGAAATCAAAGAGATAGGAAGATGTCGATACAGCCTATTGGGTAATGGCTAGCAATTGAAAATAGGTCTTCGAGTCTAAGTATGCGAATCTAACAGATCGAGCCCGATCTCAGATAACCAAGATCGAGCCCGATCTCAGATAATCAAGATCAAGTTTTGCCAACTACGTCAATATAAGGTCTAGAAGGTCTAGAAGGTCTAGAGACGGTATATGCTCATATGATACTTGTTTATAGATCTATCAATGCATTCAAAAGAAAGATACTCGGAAATTGCGGAAGAAATGAATTCTATAGACGTCATGACATTTAGGTCAGAAATCAAATATAAAAGTGTACGGATACAAACTCCATGTCTTTAATTGAGTCACTCAAGAATTCATTCATACAATCATTCCACGTAATCATATTCCAACAAAATGTTCTTCGCCATTGGGCTTCTTTTCCTTTCTCATTTGGTAGCTGTGTCGCTAGCAGACTGCTGTGATGCGCACTTCGACTTCACCGATGGCAAATGGATCTGCGCAGATGGTACTGTGTCTACTCCCTGCTGTGGAAAGGGCCCATGTAATGCCTTCTGCTGCGATTGTGGTATGTTTTATCCTGATCTGTTTAACGGGTTCTAGAGATAGAATCCTAACCTTATTCACAAATAGATTGTCGATATCCGAGCTCCAGGAAGCGAGACCTACCATATATAATGGAGCGGGCTGATAAGATCGACTCTCTGTTCAAGTCTGTCGACGCCGATGGTTCTGGAGACGTGGATTTGGGAGAGTATATTACATGGGTGACTGATAATTTGGGCCATGATCATCCAGTATCGCCCAGCTTGTACCAAACCTACATCGACTATTTTTATTCGTGAGTATACATATGTAGGAGTTTGCAATAATGGCGTTACTAATCGGTACAGATTTGATACGGACAACAATAAAAAGCTTGATCTAGGTGAGGCTCAGGGTGCAAATTAAAATGTTGTTAGTAGTAGGCCAAAATTGGTTATGGGTATTGAGTTAGGATTTTGCTGGGAACTCACAGTCAGACAAATTTGATCCACTAGGCAGTCTTCGGAAAAAAGTGAATTTTCGTTTAGTCGGCAGTATGTAGTAATAACAATCATTTCTTTTTCGCCCATTCGTCTCTCCCCTTATTCTCCTCCATCACGAGTTGCCCGCTGCTAAGATTGGAGCTGCATATATCGCGGCTCGGCTTAACCAGGAGAACACACGACGGGCCTTGCACATTGGGCCCTTAGCTAGAACCTCGTAAAAATGGAATGTCTTGAGTTCTCCAAAAAATCTTCGAATTAACTCTCTACCTCTCAAAATGCTGCGTAATCGCCATCTACCTGAGGTTAACCCCGCGGCAGCGCCACAAGAGCTTTCTGTGGGCGACATTAGGGTTGAGCACAGTGGGTGCTATTGTTTCAGTGCTGGTTATCTCGGTCGACTGCGAGGGAAATAAGCCGTGGGCTATACCTGGCGCAAGTTTCAGAACCTAGTATGTCTACAATTTAGCTCTTGAGCAACAACCACGAACCAAACACACGGACATCGAATGCGATATACTAACAGTTAAAAGTTCGCACGCTGGCAAGCGATTGCCGCGCTTGACATCTCAACCGAAATTTTACTTTTTACTTACAGTATCGCTCTGGTCTAGGGTCTACAGAGGCATAATTCACATAATATCGTGATCAAAGTATGCTTTGCAGCTAGACTACCGTGCGCCCTCCTTCCAAGTCCGATTCCTAAGTACCACTACATACCTCAACTAACACAAATTTGACTGATAGGCTAATAGTATTTTCGTCTCTTCGTCTCTCCACCCTCAGAGGATACACAACTACTGAAAATCCCACACTCGCCGCAATTAGCCATACAGTCTTCACCCAGCTCCAGCTCGACTATTCGCTAATAGCATGCACGGTATTTTGCCTGCGCCCCTTCATGAGCGCCCTCACAACCCATTACGGCACAGCCGGCGACTCCAACCTTGCCAGCAGCAGCGGCGGCTACAGTTTCGGGTATGGATCCAGGAGACAGGGAAATACCGATTCCTACGGCTCGGGGCGGTCGCGGGATTATGAGATGGGGAGAGTGATGGGGCGGGCCGGTCGCCGAGCAAGTGGAGTGATCAGGGACAGACCAGATGTGACCGATGGGAGGGGCAATAAGACGGTTGTCAATGAGGCTGCGAGGTCAGTGCACTCGAGGGAGGGAGGCAGTATGCACAGTGGAAGTGATGGAAGCACAAGGATGATTATCCGGAAGGATGTAGAATATTCCGTTTCAGTGGAAAACTGAAGTACTCATGAATAATTCCCTCCGCAGCAAATATCGATTGAGACACATTCAGTAGTCAAGTCAAGAGTTAGAAATATATTAGAGGTGGGGCCTGCTGACAGGAATTGCCCTTTTGAGGCTGAACTACCTGGGTAAGCCTGCACTGCCCTCGGGCCCCAAAACGCCCTCTCATATATTTTAAACAAACCCCACTTTGACAGACAAGCGTTTGTTTTGCGCGAGTCTTCCCTTCTACCCATCGCAGCCACGACTTATAATTGAGTCCCGCTCAGGATGAGCGCACTGGTTACTGAAAGGAGGCCACCAAGGAGTGCAGTCGACGTACACGAAATGAAACTCCGCAGGAAACTTCAGAACAAGCTTAACCAGAGAGCTCATAGTAAGCGCCTGAGAGTTTCGACATCATACTGCGCAATGCTTTGATGGCTAACTACCATCTAACAGGGGAACGACTTTCCGCGCAGAAAAAAGGAAACGCCAACCGGACCCCTTATCAGATTGGCCGTTGGCGCCTCGTACAGGATAATCCTGAACAAAAGCCACCTATTCCAGACCACAGAAGGAAATTCGCTAATCACCGCCTGTCGACTCACACTAAAAGACACCGTGAATTCACAGACTGGACTGCCACAACGTCTACACCCACCTTTCACCCTCAGATGACTCCTTCTCCCCGAGCAGATTTTCTGCTCAGCCTCGTCCAGTTTAATGTATACCGAGGTCTTTACGATAATAAATTAACTTTATCCCGATCGGTCGATTCTATATTGCCGGGGCATGACCCGGTGGCCTTTGACACGGCTTTCCCGGGGGTCTTCCAAATCAGCCCGAAGGCAGAGACACCGAGCTCGCTTGCGTTGACCGAACTACAGACACGCATAATCCATGCCCCTTGGATCGACCTTATTCCGTTCCGACAAATGCGAGATATCTTTATTCAGCAGCAATGTCATTACGATCATATCGCGCTTCTACTTGACATACTTGGAAACGTACCCGATCTCGAATCTCTTTCTTCAAGTGATGTATTCCCGGCGTTTCAGAATGATGCAAAAGGCTATATTTCCGACCTCGAAAACCTGGATGCGGACGAAGATGGGATGACTTCATCTCGAGCGGGATTTATTATTTGGGGAGATCCGTCCGACGAGAATAATTGGGAGATAATGCCGGGTTTCTTGAGAAAGTGGTCCTGGATAATGAAGGGATCTGAATATTTGATACGATCAAGTAATAGATGGAGAGCTATAAGGGGCGAAGAACCAATGGATCAGATGACATTGCAGTAAATCAAAAATTATGAGAAATAATGTCACTGAATTGCGACCACATAACTACTTTCCAAATGTGGAATACGTGGTAGCTGACCAGGCCCCAGTTGGAGTGGGTGTTATTGAATGTAACCATGTTTGATAGTTGTACAGCCATTTGCAAGACAGGATTGCTGAACTAAATTATTCCTGGAAGCTTCTCGAAATCGTGACCTGTACCATTTTCAGTAGGACAAGCAAGGCGAGCCACATTGTCTCATGTACTGTAAAGCTCGGGCCTCGAGTAGATCGGGGCTACCCACCCCGCACAACGCAACGGAGATCACTCGAGTTAACCGGTCCGCTCTGAATCATCGTTTGGCTGAGAATGAAATGACATATATCATACGTTTTGAAGGTAGATGATCTCAGAATTTGACCATGACTACTTGAGGCATTGCTGCCCACGAAGGCTTCATGCAACAGGTCATACTCAGCTGACATCGGGATCTGTAGTTCCTTCAGCCATGCTGGTTGCCTGGTTTGTATCGATTAGTACGGAGTATGACTTCCGAATAGTTTGGATTGCACTGTGAATCATTGTCTCAAAATATAAGCCTTGGTTGATTCCTCGACCTAGCTAGGAAAGCAGGTCGATTCTATGCCGCATCTCGATACTACTTACTGTGGCATGATGTCATATTGCATAGCTTGGACGAATAACAAGCTCAGCTGTAAATAGATCGCTGACCGACTCAATCGCGGGGCAGAACATGAAGCTTCGGTATCGTGATAAAGCACTACTACTAGTAACAAACACAATATGGCATAAAATATTGGGAATTGCAAGAAGTCGATATTTTCGAAGCTTGCGCGTTTGTTGGGCTAAAAAATAAAAATGCCAGCAGAAAGGCTTCTCAAGAAGACAGAATTCTATAAGCTATAGATCGACACATGGCACATGTACACAGCCTTATGAGACGACACGCGTAGAGGCGGGCGAGGTAGGTGAGACATGCTTTTCGCCCCCCAGTGTGTACATTCGTCAGATCACGGGAAGAACTAGCTTTGTTGAACCTGACCAGAGCTTCCAAGAATAGAGCGGATTGTCACTCATACCTTTTGACCAAAGTGATGTTTAGGTTGCCAAGCCACAGGAATGCGGTATTTAAGAAAGGGCAGATCCGCAGACTTCAAGTTCTATCAGTTCATCAACACAGTTCATCAAACATCACCGATCAACCCTCTTCAAGTCCTAGTTTCGATTTCTACCACATAAGAGTCAAAATGCATTTCACCACTATTCTTGCTTCCGCCATTGCCCTTGCCATGGGCGCATCTGCGATGCCTGCGCCCCCGGCCGACACTCGGTATGCCCAGCTCCGTCTGTTCGGGGAGCCTGGCTGTTCGGCACAGAACGAAGGCGAACTCGGTGTCTATGGCGACTATGTCAACAAGTGCAATATATTTCCCGGCGACACCCCTTATAGATCTGTGAGCTTCGAATACGCGATCAACAATTGCAGCCGTAAGTAGTCGATCAGCGGGATGTGTGATATACAATTGTTCCAGAACTGACCGGTACTGTATCATCAGTGCGTGTTTATAGCGACGTCACTTGCCATTTGGACGCACATGACGTTCCTGTCCAGACTTGTCTCTCTGGCGACAAGGTTTACCGAAGCTACGAGGTTCATTGCGACCACCTCTAGAGCATCCATCTTCCCTTGGAAGTGTTTTGATTGATTCGGACATAGCGTTGACCATACAAGCGTGGACATAATATTGGCATTCTAATTATTTTTGTGTGATTGAACAGAGGGGGACTTCCTATAGTATTTATTGAATGGAATTAATTTATTTGAAAATCTGCTGCAGCAAGCAAGTGGAGGGGGTAGATCGAGATCGTCATGAATCCCCTCAAAATCGAAATCGAAAGAAAAAAAAACACCCAGAGAATCAGAGGATCAGAGTAGAGGAGAGTACGCTCCTCTACGCTCCTATGCACTCTCCTCTCTCGTCCTTGTTTTTTCTTTTTAAATCACACAAAATCCCCCAAATCCCTATTGCTAGGGATATCCGCTGATAGCCGGCAGTATAAGAGTAGCTATAGATAACCAGCTCTAACCAAGTCACTCGGTCTAGACACCTTCTGTTCTTCTTCCCTTCTTCCCCTCTTTGGCCCCTTCACCCCCCTTCACCCCCGCGTCCACCCCGCGTCACGCGAACTGATCTTATTGCGCCAATTATTCCCCTGCACTGCGCCTCGCTCACCGAGGAACGGAGCATCAAAATCTCTCACACGAGCATCATCCCACTCGGATCCCGGCTACCGCGCGAGGGACCCAGCAGAACCACACTTTCAGCAACCCCGCCCCACGCTATAAAAGGCCCCAGGGGATCTCCCATCTTATCTGATGAGCTGATTTATCCATGAGGCCTCAGATGGCAGCAGCAGCAGCAGCATGGTGGTGTTTGTCGACCTCAATCAAGATGCCTTCCGGCATCCCGGCTCATTGCTTGCCGCGGAGAAGCTGAGGGTTGCGACCAGCAAAGCCGCCGAATTCCCTCCTTCAACCACCTCCACCTACACCTCAGAGCTCAGAGCTCAAGTCACACTCCAAGACGCGCGCACTGCGACAACCCTCCCTGAACAGATTCTGGCATCAAAGACCCCCAACTGCAATGCCTTCTCTGCGGCGTTGAGTTGCTACCCGTATGTGGATCGATCTCCCCCCTCAATCTTCGCCGCGTCCGCTTTTCCCCACACTCGAGCCAAGAACTAACACGACGGTTTTGTTGGCGCCTCCACTAGAATTGTTAAAGAAATTGCTCGCGCCGTCGATTTGAATACCCTCCACGCCCTTTCGCGAACATGCCGCCAGTTCCACGTGAATCTAGCGCCGTTCCGACACCAACTCGTCCGTGAAACGCTTCGGTGCGAGAATGAGTATATCGAGACCGTCTCAGATATGCTGGACGGCAGGGCCGTCCTCCCTGACAGCGTCAAGTCGGTGCTCAGGCTGTTGAGTCAGGGCAACGGTGAACCCGGACGCATGACACGTGGAAAAGTGGGCAGATGTGCGCGCGACATGGTCGGTGACTGTCGACGCTGCACTAAGATCGTATGCAGAGTATGTTCGAAGCACCCGCTGCATGGATGTGCCCAAGCTTATCGGATTTTAGAACTGCACGATCAAGCCTCCCTCCCAGACATCGTTAAAGGGCCGAATCCGCCGTCTCTGTCAAACCTGCGGCACTGCGCCGCTCTCCCACCATCTCTACATCACACCTCCCAACCCGACCGCAACAGAACACCACGAGGAGAACTCAATACCGAACACAATGGCAAACAATGTTTGCAATTGCGACGATGTCGTCTGGCTTTGTATCCAGTGCGGGCAGACCCTACGCAGCAACGACATAACCTACCGACGAGTTTGGGCATGGCGTACCCGATACAGTACATACCTTGGTGGCGGAATGGGAACAGGCATCGGCGAAGGCAGCCAGGGGGTAAAATGTGGACGCGGTGAAACATGCCTTGCGGCAAAGGAAATCGAGCTCGAGGTCGACTGTGAAGTAGACGAGAGTTCTAGTGATACCAGCAGTACCGGGCACAGCTCTCCCGCTCACTCATCATACCACCCTGAGTTGCTGTCGACAGATAGCCACGACGGCGAGGAGCCGGGGTATTTTCGGCAAGAAGTGATTGGACTCGGCGGCGTCGTGAAACATAAAGCGAAGAAGCGAGTCATGGTCGGAGCATGCGTGGTTGAGTATGAGGATGAGCGGGAAAAAGGCAATTATCTCGTTCGGGAGGAGGGTGGCTCGCATCGGGCGTGGTGTGGATGGTGCTCGAGGGCCATTCCGGCCAAGAGCGAGTCATTTCGGTGTTGACATCTTCGCAGGATGCCTTTTGCATCCCGGCTCTTTTGAAACTTGAACTTCTTATTACAGTCTACGCGGTTTACATGTAGCATGGCTTTGATGATTACTATGGTGTACATACTCTCACCCCACGATTGCGTTGAGCGCAGTTTGATTTGAAGGGAAAAAATGAATACGCATCTACTGGATTGCTCTTGCGGCTTCGGATTCAAACCAGAAATTGGCGACAGTGTTATAACAATTTGACATCTCTAATAGATTTCATAATCACTTCACAGTCTTGACTCGATGTTGTCCTTTCTGGACGAAAAGACAAAATACTCCGGTAATGCGTCGCTCCTTCATGCAATCATCAATCATACATATCCCCAGACACTTCAAGTTATCACAAATAATATCAAAAGACAATGTTGAAAAAAGAAGAAAAAAAAATTCAAAGACTCGAAACAAATGTAACTAATCCTAGTGCGCTGCGATCGTTCGGAAAAGGCTCTTAAGTCTGGATTGCTCTTTTGGCGGAGATTCTTCGCGACGACGATGACGGCGCGAGTTAGGATCCTTGTCTCTGCTTTCCTGGCGGGCGGCGCGACGAGAGCCCTCGGGCTTCTTCTCTCGCTCCCTTTCCCGGGGCTTGCTGGACTCGGGTTCCTCGCGAGACCGTCTCCGTGCTTTCTTCTCGGCCCGAGCTTCTTCTTGTCGACGCTCCTCACGTCTCTCCTCGCGCCTTTCTTCACGACGTGCTTCGCGGCGAGAGATAGAGCCGCCGGAGCGAGTGCTAAGTCGCCTTCCATCAATGGTGGCTTTCTCGTCACTCGGTGGACCACTGCCGTTGCTGTGGCTGATCGAAGGGCGACGCTCAGTTGACGGTGCAGTAGATTTCGTGCTGTTAACCCGCACAATGGGTCTAGTCGTGTCTGATTGACCATTGCCCATATATCGAAGGAAAGCGCGTTTGGGAGCTGGAGCTGAAGAGGCTGCCTGTTTCGAAGATGTAGTCTTGACTGATTTAGCCTGGCCTTGTTCAGACGAACGGCGCTTGGGCCTGGGTTCAATCTCGACTTCAACAACAGGTGGTTCCTCCATTGCCATTGCCTCCTCTCTTGCTGCAATCTTCTCAGAGCGTCTGATCTTCTCAGGGGGCGAGACACCACTGCGTTGACGGTCTTCAGCGACAGCTTGCTGTTTCCTCTTCTCCTGATTCTTCTTCTGCTGCTTGTCGTCATGTTCCTTTCGCGCTTGCTCCAAAGCCTTGGCCCACCGGTTAGTGAACAAGCCGCCGTCATTTTTGGGGCGGGAAAGCTGCTCTTTGCGGCCCTCAGAAGAAGTCTTGGAGTATCGTCGCTCTCGTTCACGGTCTTCACGGTCACTAGGCGAGCGTCTCTTCTTTCTGCGAGAACCTTGCCTGGTTGCAGTAGGATCCATGGGCTCCATGAGCTCGCCGCGAGGTCCCTCGGCGGAGTCCTCGGGAGGAAACTCATCCGGTGCAAGTCCATCGGATCTGGGTGCCTCGGGCACTAGAGGCTCAGTAGGCGATGGCTCAGGTTCGGCGGGTGCGAGTTCGGGCTCGGGCTCGGGCTCTCGTGTCAGTTCTGGTTCAGCGGGCTCAGCAGGAGCAGGCTCTGGCTCGGCGGGTACAGGTTCAGGTAGCGGTTCAGGCTCAACAAGAGCAGGCTCTGGTTCCGGTGCTGGTTCCGGTTCAGCGGGTGCAGGCTCAGGCTCAGGAGCTGGTTCTGGTTCAGCAGGAGCTGGCTCTGGTTCCGGTACTGGCTCTGGTTCAGCGAGTGCAGCCTCGGGCTCTGGCGTTGGTTCTGGCTCGGCGGATACTGGTTCCGGTACTGGCTCTGGTTCAGCCGGTGCAGCCTCGGGCTCTGGCGTTGGTTCTGGTTCAGCAGGAGCTGGCTCTGGTTCAGCGGGTGCAGCCTCAGGCTCTGGCGTTGGTTCTGGCTCGGCGGGTACTGGTTCGGGTAGTGGTTCAGGCTCAACAGGAGCAGGCTCAGGCTCAGGCTCAGGAGCTGGTTCTGGTTCTGGTTCAGCAGGAGCTGGCTCGGGTTCCGGTACTGGCTCGGATTCAGCGGGTGCAGCCTCGGGCTCTGGTGTTGGCTCTTGCTCAGCAGGCGTGGGATCCACAGGTGCAGCTTCAGCTTCAGCCAGTGAAACTTCTGCTGGAATCTCCTTTGGCTGATCTGCCTCTGAGATAGATTCTTCCAATACTGTTTCTGCTGGGGCTTCTGCTGGGAGTGTAGGCTCAGCAGCAGTTTCAGCAGCAGCTGGTTCAGGTTCAGGTGCAGCTTCGGCTTCGGCTTCGAGTTCCCCTGCAGGCTGTTCAGTCACAGGTTCCTCTGCAGCCGGTGCCTCTGCTACCTCTTCAACAGGTTGTTCTTCAGCAAGCTGTTCTGGAGCAACATCTGGGGCCGAGGGTGCTTCTTCAACTGCTGGTTCGTGTTCAGCTGCTGCTTGTGGCTCTTCGACCGGCTCAACTACTGGCTCTGGACTAGCATCCACCGAAGGTGCGTCCTCTGCCTTGACCTCATCAACTGTGGCTGGTGTGGCTTCGGGCTCAGCGGCTGGAGCAGGCTCAGGTTCCGGTTCCTTTGGGGATTCCTCAGCAGCCGCCTCTGAAGGTTCATTGACAGAAGCATCAGCGGCAGGGAATTCTTCAACTGGAGCACTCTCTGTTTCTTGGGTAGCTTCAGCTGGCACTTCCTCCGGTTCTGCAGCTGGTGGTACTTCTTCGGGTTCCTTGAGAGCATCACTTTCAGCTGGATCTGCTGCTTCAGCCGGCTTTATCTCTGCCTCTGCTTGAGCCTTTTCATCGCCTTCGGGTGTTGTGGCCACTTCTGCAGGTGGCTCGACAGGATCCGGGATAGGCTCTGGCGCAGGCTCCGTTACTGGTTCAGGTGCAGCCTCAGGCTTGGCCTCGGTCTCAGCTGCCTTTTTCGCCTTTTTCGCCTTTTTCTTGTCCTTTTTTGACTTGCCGGCTGGTTCATCGGCTGGCGGCTCTTCTGCTGGCGGGCTAGGATCGGCAGGTGTAGCTTCGGGTGGAGTTTCGGCTGCTAGTTCTTCGCTGGGAGCCTCTTTCCCGGGTTCTGGCGCAGGCTCCGCTACAGGTTCAAGTGTAGCTTCGGGTTCGGGCTCGGGCTCTGGCGCAGGCTCTGATGTAGGCTCCGCTACAGGTTCGAGTGTAGCTTCGGGCTCGGGTGCAGGCTCTGATGTAGGCTCCGCTACAGGTTCAGGTGCAGCTTCGGGCTCGGGCTCGGTCTCGGCTGCCCTTTTCGCCTTTTTCGCCTTTTTCTTGTTCTTTTTCGACTTGCCAGCTGGTTCATCGGCTGGTGGGCTAGGATCGGCTGCTGGTTCTTCACTGGGAGCCTCTTTCTCGGGCTCTGGTACAGTCTCAACGGGTGCCTCAACAGGAGCTTCAGGAGACTCGGCAGAAGTATTGGTGGGTGCGTCTGCAGCTCCTTCTGTCGCGGGTGAATTTTCCAATGGTGCAGGACTATCACCAGTGTCCTCGGTATTGTCAGCGGCGGGTTGCTCATCGGTAGCAGCTGGAGCTTCCCCATCTGCTGGTGGGAGATCCTCCTCGGCTTTGGCGTCTTCAGCTTCTTGCTTGGCGAGTGCTTCCTTCTCGGCCTCTACTTTGTCGAGTCCGGCTTCAGGGTCACACTCTGGAAAATCCTCGTCTGTGAAAACATATGTCAAGTTAAGTTTCTCTTCTTCATACACGTGATTCTTACCATTGTTGTCATTGTTATCGTCTTTCTTGGCTCCACCATCATCTGCGGCTGGTTCTTCTGCGGGTGGCGTAGGCTCTTCGTCTTTCGTTTCGGCCACTGGATTTTCTGCACCCTCTGCAGGTGGTTCTTGAGAGGCTTCGTCTGGAGCGCTTTCACCCTCTGCGTTCGGCGCCGGCTCATCGCCAGCAGGCTCTTCCTTACCCTCTTCCTTTGCGTCTCCGCTGGCGGGGTCGGTGGCCTCTGCAGGCTCAGCGGGCTCAGCGGGCTCTGAGGAGTCAGGCTCCGTTGGAGCAGTCGCTGCCTCTGGTGGTTCTAAGGGCGTTGGGTAAGTGACTGTTACACAGCCAATGACATAATTCCTCCGATAGCTGCTAAAATCCACTTCTTAGTACTTACCAGCAGGGTCTGAGTTCGATGAGCTCTCTTCTGCAGACTTGCTAGGCTCGTCTGGTGGGGGCTCGACGGGGGCATCCTCCTTTTTCGGTTCGGCATCGGCGGCCGTTTGGTTATCCTGGTCCTTGCCCTCCGTCAGACGATTCGCATTGGTAGTTTTAGGGGTGATAGGATAAGAAGAGAAAGTCAAAGAGCCAATTTCAAAGGTCTTTAATTCACGTTCGAAGCTTTGGTACTGAAACTGAGGGATATTCGCATACTTGAATTGGGGTTCCTGCATCTTCGTCCCCTACAGCAGCCGGCTCTGGGGCTGGCTTGTTGATATCCTTGGCTTCGGGGTTTGGTGTCGTAGAGCCGGCAGGAAGACGGTTGTTGTTATTGTTCTTATTCTTCTTCTTCTTGGCCATGTCCTCGTTTTAATGACGTATCACGCAACAAGGTGGCCGATGCTGACTGGCGCGTGATGGCAAGAATGAAACAATAAGAAAGTGACAAGCTAATGTCGGGCTCGATGCAAGGGTAAAAGTCCGGGACGGGGAGGAATTCTAGAGGTACAAGAAAAGTGAGAGGTAGAGAGTCGCGAGACTGGGTACTGATGTAGTAGAGGACGGAAGAGGAAAGAAGCGTACGCCTGTTCCTCTGGAGACGAGAAAATCACAATTGGACCATCAAGGCGAGGCAGCGTATAACAGTTCGTCCGTTGTCCGGGTGGATGGGACAACAACCCCGATGCTGCGTGGAATTGGGCCCTGGAACGTCATTAACGAACAGCCCGATGGCATCGCATACCATTGGACCACGTCGCCCTTCGGTCTCCATGCATTGGTGGCCAGCATTGGGAGAGGATTAGTGAAGCCCGGTGCTTGGATTAGGGCCGGGTGAGAGCAGCACGATCTCCACTTGTGGGCAAAGCTGCAGGAGCAGGCATCCCATGGCGAAAGGGGATTGGGAAGAGAGAAGTCAAATACACTATCTAGGAAAGGTCAAGCTGCAGCAGCATGGAGAAAATGGGTCTGATGAGTGGGGGGACAAGTGCCACCATTCAATTCTATTTTTTTTTCTGGTTGATTCTTGCTTTCGAGTACTCCGTCCTTGGCACTCCGCTCCGTACAATGTGCACCCACGAGTGTGGTGAGGTGGGATGAGAACAGGACAGATTAAGGTGGGTCAAGCACAAGTCGAATGGCTTCCGAGCCACACCGACGAGGGTCTGCATGGTGTGTGTGTGCCCTGGACGAGGGGGGGGAAAAAGTGATGCGGTCGAGAGACCCATTTCTGCCCAACGTTTTCCGGCCACCGCGGCAAATGAGATGCAAGCCTAGCGCTGAGTGGGGAGACGAGGTCGTAATGAAAAGTGTCCATAAGAAACCAAATTAGCCATTCCCAAAGGCAATTGAAGCCCTGTGAGTCAAAGGCGAGGGCCCCTAAATGGGGTGGATGGGGTTGATGGAGTCTTGCGGTGGCCATGGTGACTCCACTCTGCGACACCGACACTTCAGCATGGCGATCCTCCTTCGAATCCCCTTTGGAGCGTGAACTGCCTCATGGTCTCACGGTCTCACAGTCACACAATTTCTCAAGTATGCACCGTAAGGGAGTTAGTTGGAATGGGGATCGGAACATGCAGCATGCACCATTTGAGGAGTCGTGGAACAAGTGAAGTTCCCGGGCCACGTCGCGTGATCTGCTCCTTCTCATTGGTATTGCCCGCTATTCCACCACCTCCCACACTCCCCAACTTCTTCCGATTGATTCTCGATCATCGGCTAATCTGATGTTAGCCATGTTGTGATTGCTGGACTCAAAGCTCATCTCCTTATCGTGCTGCACTCACCACTGCCCCCTGGTCCTGCCCCTCACTCCGTTCCCAAAAGAAGCTGCATGCATTGGCTCTTCATCGCAAACAAACTGGCGCGACGCGGGGCGTGCCGCGATTGCCAGACAGCGCCCGACCTGTTGTACTTCCAGAACCTGGCCATCTTCCGATTTTAACTCACAAAGTCAAATGACGACCCAATCCTTACCCTGCAGCGGGCCGAGCATCCATGTTCTATCCGCCGATGGCGAGTGGCTAAGTTTTAGCAAGGCTTCCAATCCGAGCTCTGAATTCTAACCCGAGTCCCGGTCTCAGATTGACTGGTTTGGGGACGAAATCGTCCCAAGGATTGACCAAGTTAGATTCTAGCGTACATGTCCGAAATTATCAGATGTGATCGAACTGCTCTGCTTCGGGTTGCAGAACGCAAAACAAATCCAATTGACATCACCCATGCCGATCGGGGGGAAGGAGGGGCTTTGCAGCTCAAAATTACGACATCCCCGATCCTTTCCTACATGTTCGATTATCCGTAGATAATATGCGTCTTCCTTCGATCGACAGGACTACTCGTATTGACAAGTGTCGAGGGGAACACAGTGCGCTAACTTCGGCTAGACAGAATGGGTGTTGGTGCCAGCCAGTGTCGATGCAAGCGTGGCTGTAAATGCAGGCGCTTGCGAAATAGGTGCATGGCCAAGTTCACGAGGCAACCAACTATGGAGTATAAGCCGAAGGTTGTTAGTACATATAACTGCCAGTGCATAGTCCCCAATCATAGACTTGGAATAGAAGTTTGGAGTACTCCGAGTCTATGTCTCAATGCCCCTCGGCTATGTTAGGAATCCTCTTCACGAGATGAAGTGGGTCTAGAGCTTAGAAGTATTTTTCTATGTGACAGAAGATGTTGCTAATAGAGCTGATGGTCAACACGGCGTCAGCGTGGATTTCTTGGAAGAATATGGTGTTCGCGCAGTCATAGTGACTACAAAAACAATGCAATTATGACTACGACCAATAACTTGAACTCAAAGCTGGAATACATCAGAGAGTAAATGTTACGGGCATGATGCGTCATATTTCAACAATTGACATATGCTTCCCATTGCTTGTCAATCGCTACACGCTCGTGATGGGGAACTCGATTCCACGCCTGTTGAAATTTTGAAGTTTGTAACTCCGAGGACGAAAGAGTTGAGTCAATAAAACAAGCGCCGGCTTCAGCAGTTTCTCGAACAAGTTCCATGGGGACCATGTGGCCACACTGTAGAACAGATTCCTGTACACGACCGCGAGCCAATCCTCCGCTCCCACCGACACCCGTGCCAGTCATTTGTATCTTTCTCTGGCGGGCAGCTGGGGAAGATAGCGGGGAGCTCTCACCAAACAGATATAGAACATCTGGCTTTAGATGAGGTAATTGTCGGAATATGTGCGCCGGTTCTGGGCGATGGAATGGAGAGTCTTCAATGTCATCTGGGTGCATATCATCTTTGGGTACGCCTCGAGCAAGGCCCGATCGCTCATCCACATAAGAGGGTCGGAGATAGAAGAATAGCTCCTGTGGTTTCGTTGTAGTTAACGTGACGGCGGATTGGCCATTCTCATCTGATAAAGGATATGTCGGGGTAGGAAGATCTCGAAGCCCATATTTGACAAACTTCTCAAAAACGCGGGGGTCCCATGCACGGTAGAAAGGCTTTGATTGTAACATTTGGGCGGCCTGTTCGCGAGAAGGCCATAGGTCTCTTCGGTTTGTAGACGCTCGAGCGAATCCACAGCCAGGGTTCTCACGCTGAATCACTGGGTCAAGCAGAATGAGTCCATTAAAGAGAGCGGGATGCATTAAAGACAGATGAGCCCTAAAGCGGTTAATTCCTATTCTCCATAGAAAGGCTGAAAGCTCACAGTTGTGCCCCACCCATGCTATGGCCGATTCCGACTATTGGGTGAGAGATATCATCTTGGAATTGATTGATCAAGTGGAGTAAATCACGGCCGTGGTCGAACCAGTCGGCTTCAAAAGGTATCAGCGTAATTCATTCATTCAATGTGAGCACACTTACGATCATCTCCTAATATTGCTTCATTCAAGATGCCGCTTTGCCCTTGCTGAGCCACATCTGCTATCCAAATTGACCGTATATGCCGGTTTTTTGCGCGTAATCGCTCATACAAGTCGTCCCAGAGAGGCTCGTAAAGTTCCTAGGAGTTGATTCAGTACGGTGGTGAAGCGAGGCAAGAAACGAGGAGAGAAAGGAGGATAGAAGACGAACCTTAGGAAAAGAATTCGCATGCGCCCCTATTAAAGTCACATCGGACGGCTGTGGCTTCCGATCGCTTTCGGGGAGATATTGTTTTACTGCAAGTCTGAGCCCTTTTTCACATCCGAGTTTCACGGCACCCGGGCGCTGGCGGATATTCTGACACCTTATCGTGTGCTCGATGACTCTGAAATTCAACAATTGTTTCATATTGCGAAATTCCGATCGATCAGTTGACCTTTTTTGTCGTCACTTCAAGCGCCGTGACACGTTTTCAGTGAATAAAGGGTGGTATTATTCAAGGGGTATTGATATGCGTCAATGTTTATCGCGATGGAGTCTAAGGGAGGGTCCCCGCATTGCCGAAGATAGCCGACACCGGTCTCATGGCACGTAATGGTCTCGGCATCATGGAACACCTCTGGCCGAGGTACTCTTGTATCGACCTTTTCAAGTCAATGAAGCGACTCGAACCGGGGACGGTGTCGGAGTTGGAATTACGGGCGTTGGCATCAATTGGAAGTAAATGAATCATTTTATTCACACGGGTATCATCCACGAAGAGACTACAGCAAGCCATAGTTTTGGAAAGGAGCAAAAAGAGCGCATGCATCTAAAGAGTGTATCCCGGAAACCCGAAATCAAGCATGACTATCAAAAGTGACGGGGATATAGATAATACTGTTCAGAAAACCCACGGAACTCCGGGCACGATGCAAATGCAACCTGTTCATAAATCATGTGCGAGCGACATTCATTTTCGCATCCATTTTTATCCTCCAGCGGGGCCCAAAGACTCTCATGAAAAAGATGACGCTGCTGCTTGCGAGACTGACTAGACCCAGAATCGTGAATAGCCATCCATTGCCGATTCCATGAATGATCGGGGCTGTGACGACAGATCCCACACAGGAGAAGATGTTTCGCATGAAGTTGTTGAGTGCAACACCCTCCGAGGACTTTCTTGGCATGAACTCGGTCAACATGGTGGTAACCATACTAAAGATCAACATAGAGCCGATTCCAAAGAAAAAGTTCGCGATCATCTAAGAATGCCGAGTTAGTAAATTGGTTATTGGTGTATTGGGCATTCAGTGAATTGTTTGGACTTACCGGGACCAGCCAGAACACTCCTTTTTCAGCCGACCAGCCATACCAGATAAGCGCTATTGGGTATAGAAAAGCTCCAAGCCAGGCGTTTTCCCGCATCCGATCTTCAGGTCGGTAAATCAGTCTCCCTTTTTCGTCGTAGCGATTTGCCTTTCTCGCCTCTCGTTGCATGATGCTGTCCATCCACTTTCCACCGAATAGGCTGGCCACCACATATCCCACTGAATTTGGAATATAGAGAAGCCCAACAATGATAGTCGAAAAGTTGTATGGGGGCTTTGAAAATGTCGCTTCGACACTAACATTCAACACATAGAGCGAACCAAAGGCGATGCTGGCGTAGTAAACAGTTAGGAGGACGGGGATGTATTGGAGATAAAGGACGATTTTTAATGGATCGATGAAAATAACCTTTAGCTTCTTAAGCCACTTTGTGGTGGTTCGAGCGACTTGTCGAGTTGAAACGCGGCTGAGAGATTGGCTGATGGGCTCGACATCTTCCTCGATGTCGGGGAGTGTGGGTTTCTGGACAGCCAGTGTCTCGGGCAGCGCCACAAATATGAAAATGACGGTGATCGCACCGTATACTGCGAGGAACCACAGTGTACTCCGCCAGCCCCAGCGCTGAGCTAAAAGTCCACCAATGATGGGGGCTAGTAGAGGACCGCACAACGGACCTGGATAGAATATTCCCATGGCGCGGCCTCTTTCCCGAGGATCCCACAGATCGGCAATTGTTCCTGCGCCAACAGCTTGAACGGAAGCGGAGGCGCCGCCGCTTAACATTCGCATCACGATAAGCATAGCGATAGAGTTGGAAATAGCACAAAGGCAGTTGAAAAGCACGAAAAGAAGGAACGAAACCAGGTAGATCGTACGTCGTCCCAGACGCTCGCTAAAGGAAGACCACCATAGAGGGAAAATTGACATGCTCAGCATGTACAAGGCGATGGATAGGTTGGTAATGGTGGTCGTTGTATGCAACTCTTTAGCCACTTGGGTGAGTGAAGCTAATAAAATCCCAGTTAGCATTGCAAGTATCAAAAGAGCCCGAGACTGGTCAACTTACGGAAGAAGATCGAGCTGCCCATGGGCGCCGTAGCACCCGCCCACGCTACAATGAATGTGATGAACCATTTCATCCTTCGGGAATAGGTCTTTGGGTCCTCGACTTCGGCCACCAGAGTAAGTGAGCCGAACAAGCCCCTGCGTTTGAGTCGGGGGACTGCCACCGCGGGACCAAGTTCGGTCGACATGCGTGATAAAGGTGCTGGGTCTTCCGGGTCATTCTTCTCTTGCTCGGCCATGATGCTGGAGTTATGGGAACGAGAACGCATATCGTCAACTTCTGGATCGCCACTCGTCGCTATCGAATGAACATCATCATGATCGGTTCTATCCAGGGCCAGTGAAGGCGACATCGCAGCAGCTTTTTCCTCTCGCATGTTGGCCGAATGGACGTTGGAATGACGAAGATCGGACTGCAGCCGCAGTGATTGGAGACGCTTCGAACCCCACGGGATGATAGCCGCTTGGACGCAAGCTGGGCGCGCGGGGAGAAAAAATTGATGGGTTTCTCATGCAATTTAAAAGTAATCACTGTAGACTTGTGGGGTAGTAAGGTTATATGACAGCGAGCGATGCGTAGCCACCCTGATGCGCCACGCTATCTGACCAGGTCAAGAAGGACTGAAGTCTTCTCGACTTGCTTGATAAAAGATGCGGATTTGCAATGGCGATCCAGGTTGCATGAAGAATGAAGTCCAGATGTGAAGAAGCAGTCGCAACCTTGAAGTCGGCAAGTTCAAGGTGAGAGGTACCCGAGGCAGGATCCACCGTGACACCCTCTCCACGCAAAGACTTTCGTCAAGGTTAGCTTCTCGTTTGACGTTTTCAATCTTCGAAACTTGAATGATCTTCTGAAATTCTTGAAGAGGAAAAAATCGAGGGCGTGCGAGATCGCCGGTTCCACCTACAAGGCTTGTCTACTGGATGTGGAACGCCGACGAGGACCGACGAGGCCCGATCCACGATATTCCCCATGTTATATAAGGTGAAACGTGGATTAAAATCCGACAGCAAGAGGGGGCAAACCGAAAGATGGCGTCGTGGGCCACCCGAGCCAGTCACCGTGTAGAATCACCGTGCCGGTCTTCCGTCGGCAAAAGCGATGGCGGAGTCTCCCGCTTGCACCAAAAGCATCCAAGGCGAAAGCCAGTAATCTTCCTAGTTTTAGTGTACATGAGATCCTATAAACATTCATCAAATCCAAATCTAACATTGACCGATGAGAACTTTGAACAGCACGGTGATGAAGGGAATGGAATTGAGTTTTCAAGGTTGAACTTGAGCTTGAATTGGACCTCGGCGCGGCTTGCCGACCTCTTGTCAACTCCCGACGCCAGCAGCAACCATGTATTACTAACTAGCAGGGGTTGTCTTGGGTTGCAATATCTTTGTTTTTCAACTTGAAGATATGTAAATGCGTCAGTATCTAACAACAATTCACTACGTATTGCTTGTATCACTTCTAAACATTCCCAAGGTCCATGCCAGCCCTGGAGTGGATCGTGATATACCTTCAAACCACAGATGATGCGTACCACCAAACTTGAAAGTGACCCCTCATTCGCGGCGAAATTAGCTCCCCCCCCGGATCTCCTAGGACCTTAACCTCCAGGCCATAGCTCCCATCTGACAGTTGACGTATTCTCCGTCCATGACATTCAACTCCACGCTGCAAGGAGGTGATTAATAAGCCCACAACAGGATATGATGCACTGAGCATGGAAAGACGGTGTGGTACTCGCCTCCTCGCTCGAGCAGGGCGGTTCCGAAGACAAACACCCCATTTAGTTCAACGTCAACAACTGTCAACCGCAATTCTTCCACCTTCCACCTCCCCACACTCCCCCGAACCACCCAAAATGACCGTTCCAACCAAGATTGAACCCAAGGATGTTCAGGCCCATCTGTCCCAATTCAAGGGCGACAGCTATCGCGATGGCTGGGCTTCGCTCTGGGATAAGGGTGAAGGCCTACCTTGGGATAAGGGTTTCCCTAACCCTGCATTGGAGGATGCCCTGGTCCAGCGCCGAGGCACCATTGGCGGGGCTATCGCCCAGGACGCGCAGGGCCAGTCGTACCGTCGAAAGGCCCTGGTCCCTGGTTGCGGCAGAGGTGTTGATGTTCTGCTGCTGGCTAGCTTCGGCTTCGATGTCTATGGTCTTGAGTACAGTGCCACCGCAGTGGAGGCTTGCAAGAAGGAGGAGGCCGAAAATCACAGCTGGTACCGCGTTCGGGATCAGAATGTCGGCCAGGGAAAAGTTACCTTTGTGCAGGGCGACTTCTTCGATGATGCTTGGCTGCAGACAATTGGAGTGCCCCTGAATGGATTTGATATTGTTTATGACTACACGGTAAATCAACCTCACTTTTACCCTTTTTGTTTATTTTCCTTCAAGTTTCCTTTCGGATCGGAGCTGCCCCGCACTCCACCAGTTGGTTACACGACGGACAGCGAGGAGCGGCCGGATACCGATCCCGGCGGTGTCTCCACAGTTGTGTTTAGCTTGTTAACGCGTTACTAACATTAACTGCAGTTCTTCTGTGCTCTCGAGCCATATATGCGCCCTAAATGGGCCTTGCGACACACCCAACTTCTGGCTCCTTCACCGGCAGGTAACTTGATCTGCCTGGAGTTCCCTCGCCACAAAGACCCTAAGGCACCTGGCCCCCCTTTCCCATCATCGTCAGAGGCATACATGGAGCACTTGAGCCACCCTGGAGAGGATATCCCCTACAACGACCAGGGTCTCATCAAGCAGGACCCCTTGCGTGCGCCGAGCAAGGCTGGTCTCGAGAGGGTGGCTTACTGGCAGCCCGAGAGAACCCACGAGATGGGCCAGGAGAACGGAAAAATCGAGGACAGAGTCTCCATCTGGCGTCGACGTAACTAGAAAAACCCCGCGTTATGACATTTCCCTGCGGCCTATCCTGCTGCAATGACTATATACAGGCCATCAATGCTGGGTGATATCCTAGTAAGAACTGGATGTGGAAATGAAAACAGCCTCTCTGTTCCATTCAACCTTTCAAAAAAAAAAAATACGTAGTGTACTGTAGCTATCCGGATAGATTCATGACCCGATATAATTTCAATTGCTTTTTGCTGCGATATGAAGAAGTCCTCCAGGGCTGGCTCATTAGGAAGCCAAGGGAGTACTAGCATGGAATACATGTTCAGGTGGCTCCTTGCTACCCGCAGGTTGAATTGTCCGACACTGGGGCCATAGGGCTGTAGGGCTGCAGGGCATGTGGCTTGGAGGCATCTCCTCCAAATAAATTATTTTCGCTAGTAGTCGAGAGACTCCACAGTGCATCAAGGGATAAAGTGCTGCCTATTGACTTGCTCAGTTCCAAGGTTTGTTTGAACATTGGAAGTGTATGATACCAAAGTATACTAGTAGTTAAATTTGCATGCAATCGGCTTCAAAGATCTGTAATTATCATAGCCTCCAGCCCACTGCCCAGGTGGTCACTTGGTGGATCGGACGGTGTGACATATTTCATTATAGCTAGCTGATTGTAAACTAGTACTGGTAAGGAGAATTCACTCCGATAATTTGTCTCATGCCATAATTAATCCAGAACACCTAGGCTCTTCTATGGCCACCTGAGGTTGACGTTAGGTTTGTGTTCCCCTGCACATTATATTGCTTATTCGGCGAGAGGTTATCCAAAATGCTATCCGGAAGATGAAGGGTATCCTTTATTATCTGCTTCGGCGTGAGCTTCAACCACTGACCAACCGAGATATCCGTAAAGCGCGGTGCTTAGAGGGCCTCAAGAAAAACAATATCTTCGTTCCCGATGTTCTCAATATAGTGCGAGGCCTTCGCAGGAACGTATGAAACATCGCCCGCGGAGAAATCAAATGTCGCGCCTGAAGTAGGTGCAATGTATACGCTGACACGGGCATTCCCCGAAATGAAGAACCCCCACTCGTCGCTTATGCCGTGCCTGTATGGAGAATCGTTAGTTTTTTCTTCCCCCGGCATCAAAGGAAGGAGCATGTCTTACCAATGTATTTCCCTCATGGCCCCTGGTTTGATGGTCACCAGAGCAGCACTGAAGTTGTGGGCAATCGGAAAATTGATAGGATCAATAATCTTGATGCTACCCACTGGGGTCTCGTATGCTTTTTGCTTCGATAAATGGTAGGTGTAGCTTTCTGCGCCAGCTGCAACCCTCCGGGCCCCGTCACATTCTGCTCCTTGAGGTCCTTTGGCGCCGGCGTGCCATTGAAAATATAAAGTTGGTCTTTCGGAGGATCATCGAAGTCAGACAGTGGTGCCTGCAGGTTCTTAGACAAAACGTCCTTCGAATTACGGTGGAACATTTCCGAGGCCAGACTAGTGCCGCCGTCATCAAAGTCTCCCTGGTCAAATACTAGCATGAATTCGGATCCCTTATCCAGACCTTGCAGTGAGTGTGGTATACCGTTAGGAAAGTACCACATCTCCCTCTGTGAGGTCATCGACAAAGGTCTGGCCGTCCTCGTTCATTGTCTGGAGACGAACACTCCCGTTGAGTATCAAGCCCCATTCATTAGCTTTGTGCCAATGCAGCTCTCCATAAACCCATGCGGCCAATTTCATATCCACCCCGGCCATGGCAGTCGCCAGAGAGAGGTTATGTACTCCTGTCGAGACCATCCAGCATGCCCAGGGAGAATTCGATTATGGGAGAGACCCATGGGCCACTTTGCCTGAGCTATCTCACCATTATCCGAGCCTGGAGGAGCGAGTGTGTCTGGGTTAAGGCGATCGTAGTTATAGGTTCTGGGACCAGGATCGGTAGAGCCGAGGTCGCCTCGAATAGGTTGGGGGTTGGCTGTGTCTTCGAACGTGAAAGGAATGCCAAGTTCGGCACTAGCATCTTGTCCTGGAGCAAGCCCGTACTTGTCGGAGGGTACACTGGCACTGCTTTCGGAATTGACTTCGTTCGCGATCACACCTAGTAGGCTTGGGTGGCCTCGTAGAGGGGAAATCTCCGATAATTCATCGTCACCAGAAGAGCCTGTCCAAGAGTACGGCTGAGGAGAAGATGGTAAAGCAAGAGTGAGATGGAATTTGATAGCGAGAAATATCAGTCGAATGAAGTCCTTCGATTGTAATTTCATTGCGTATTAGATTTCGGCAAAGTCGGAGTCAAAAGAAAAGAGCTTGTCTTGTTGCTTTTGAGGAGGATCATCGGAATGTCTATTGGTATTTATAGCCCATGTCTTGAGAGAGAAAGAGAAAGTCCTGTGAAACCGAAGTAGAGCCCATGCGAGGATCAAAGACACTATAGAAATTGGCTACTCGAGACATGACGCAGATAAGCAAGCGCTAGGGCATACTAGAGAAAGCTTGAAAGGTACTAGGCAGCAAAATATCCAATTGAAAATACAGCATTTCTTGTTTACGCCACTCTGCATCGCCCTAGGAAATCCAGGGGTTGCTGTGCAGTAAAGTAAAGCGCTGTTGCCTATCCAGACACTGCTTTCTATTTTCGATCATACTGTAAATTTTTTATAAATACTGGCAAATGCCTTGTCGGAGGACTACCCCCTGCACGAAAATCCAAATACCTTCCAAGGTTGACAGAGTGCCAGCCACTTCCCAGGTGTCTTTCTTCAAGGTGTAATCGAAACGAAGCTTGGAAGAAAACGGCTGAGTACTATACTTCTCAAAACGTTTCTTTGATGTCATTTGATAACATCATCCGGAGTTCAGCAGGCTGAAAGACATATTTTGGATCGCGCCTGGGAAAACTTTCCGATTTAATAATCCGAGGGCCGTTCTAGGTCTGACAACTAGGGTATCACGACCTGAATCAGGGCACGGATTGTCAACTGTAACTCAAGATGGAATTGAAATGACGAGTTAACAGAAAACCTGGCAATGCTTTCACATGATATCGAACCGCTGTTTTTTCTTGTCATAATATGCAAAAGGATTATGCATCGTTCATGTTCATCATCAGTTCTATAATATTAAGTGCATCCAAGAGATGGTACTCATAAGTGGCACTCTGAAAAAGCTCAGGATTGCTTCACCAGGGCGTTGTAGTGTTCGCCTAGTCCGTATGTGTGTCGGTAGTATGCCAGCCAAAGAACGCGTTTAGCCTTTTCTTTCTCATCGAAGCTGTCCATTTCTCCGCATTCAATCTTCTCCTGTCGTCCATCACTCTGAACAACATTGATGATCACACCATATGCCCTCGCTATAGCCTGGAGCTCCAGTTGGCCACCCCACTCGGCGGTGAGCTTGATCTTCCGCGTATACACATCCAACGGCTCTTCCATAAACGCCTCAAAATCATCCTTGTGTTCCACAATATAGTCTGCCGTGACGGCCCGAACAGCGCGATAGCCATCATGTTGGGGCGATGTTACAGTATCGATGCGTGTTTGTGATGTTGGTTGGAGAACGATTCGGCTTGGGTCCGGCCGCAAACCGAGTCCAGAGTCATCCAGCTGCTTGGCAATCGCAGAATAGAGACAGTGGCCATCCGGCGTAACCTCCACCTCTTTAAGACCCAGTTTCTTGAATGCCGCGTCCATGACCCCCTGCTCATTGCCCCTATAGTTTGTTTGGTTCTTGGCCTCTTCAGCCGCAGCCTCCGACATGGCTACTTGCTCAGCGGCCCGACGGGCGAGACGAGCCTTTGCTCGATTGGGTTTCTTCGTTCGGCCAGCGGGTTCTGATTCTGAGGGAGCTGGGGTGTTGGAATCTGTAATTGCCGTTGTCTTGTCCTCGTTCGGTTCATCGGCCGGAGCGCCATCTTCCAAGCTCAGATCTTCCAGGGCTTCGACTGGCTCCGTAGACTCTCCATTGAGTTCTGCGATCTCGGTTTTGTGTCGCTCTGTAAGGTCACGTTGCATTTGTTCGCATTCATCGTTAACGCCTTTCCGTGTCTTCTTCGTGGCGGACTTTTTCTTTTGGGTGATCCGGCCTTGGAGATCTTTTTGCTCCTTGCGGTGCTTTGCTAGTAACTCCTCCATAATGAAATTGAAAAAAGCTTAGGCTTTGAGAGGTCTAATAGGGGAATGGGAGTAAATAGGCGAAGGTGGAAAAAGAAAGGGTATGGGACCAATGCGATCACAACACTGGGGAGCAACAAGTCAAACTGCAGCTTCGCCCCGCAAAACCCTGAAAAAGCTGCCCTAAGTCATGACCCAAATAGGCATAGTGCGGTATTCCCAAAAGGGATACTCGCCCGCCGCCGGAGAAACTATTGAACCGATGAGCCTCGGCTTGTCCAGTCGGTGTCTCGGGTATGCGGTGCGACGAGGAGCTTCGAGGGGGAGGATTACTACAAATGTACCCCATATAGTCCCACGTTGGTGATGTTCTTGACTTAACCTCCAGAATATTGCAGTCATGGATTCAGCCAGTCTTTTTGATGTTAAGGTATGTGGCTTCCTCTATGCTTTCTCTACTCCACTATACTAATCAGCTTCTCTACAGGGCAAGGTGGTGCTGGTCACCGGCGGAGCCAAAGGTATCGGTCGCATGATATCAGAGGGCTATGTGACCAATGGTGCTACCGTCTACATCTCCTCCCGCGATGCAAAGGCATGCGAGAAGGCTGCTGCTGAGTTGAATGCCCTTGGCAAGGGCAAAGCCCATGCCATTCCAGCCGACTTTTACAAGTATGAAGACGTGAAGCAGCTGGCGGATGAGCTGGCCAAGCGAGAGAGCAGTCAGTCATATCCCCCCCTCCCCCTCCCTCCATCGCACACTTGATAAAGTTGAAAGATCATTGGCACTAACACAATTGGTATATCCTCTAGAGCTCGATGTCCTGGTCAACAACTCCGGTTCCAACTGGGGCGCCCCCTACGACGAGTATCCCTCTGAAGCCTTTACCCGCGTCCTGACCCTCAACCTTCACCGTGTCTTCGATCTCACCAAGCTTGTGACTCCTCTCTTGGAGAAGGCAGCTACTCCGAATAACCCGGCGCGCATCATCAACATTGGCAGCATTGACGGTCTTCGTGTCCCCTCGCTCGAGACCTTTGCATATAGTTCCAGCAAGGCCGGTCTGCACCACCTCAGCCGGGTTCTTGCCAATCACCTAGGAAAGAGGAACATCACGTACGTTTATTTGCTACTGCTGCTGTGCCTCTGCTTTCCCGAGACTAATCTGGTTCCCTTCACAGTTCGAATACCTTGGCCTGTGGCCCGTTCGAGAGCAAGATGATGGCCGCCACGCTTAAGTCGTTCGGTGAGGCTATCAAAGCCGGTGTGCCTCTGGGCCGGATTGGTACACCGCAAGATGTAGCCGGTTCTTGCTTGTTCCTGAGTAGCCGAGCAGGCGCATTTATCAATGGGGCGACCATTACGGTGGATGGTGGCAGCGCCATTGCCGCCAAAATCTAAGGTTGTTGCCGTATCTGGCCTGTAGATATTATTAGATAATAACTAGCACCCAGTTTTCATTGTATATTCAATTTTGTTCCAATTCGAGTTTCTATTCCATGCTTGCATTCCGTAGCCAATTCCAAACCTCAAGGGGTGCCAGAATGGAAGCTCCAACATTCCAGCAGATGGCTGGCCACTCCCCCTAGCCCAATGACCTTGTTTGCTTTTTTGCCTTGATCTTTTGCAAACGGATGGTCTCGCCACATGAGAAGAAAAAGAAGAAGAAGCAAAAAAGAGACTCTGGGCTTTCATCGAATATTAGGCATGAATTTGTGATCTCTTTCTCTACATCCTCTCACCAGCTACCAAGGCCCCGCAATTGCTTATCAGAGGCAAGTTGGCCCCGATCGGATCCACGGTGGAGCGGCGACATCATCGACCACACGTCATTCTCAATCAGGACATCCCACCTTCGAGAACATTGGTTCTGGTTCTTGTTGTCTTCTCTACAATCTTACAGGTTCCCTTTTGGTTGCAAAACACTCGATACTTTTTTGAGCAAGCTTGTACCCCTTGTTACGAATCGAATCACATCAGTTCACTTCACTTCAGATCAGGTCAACAGCTCAGTCTCCTCAGAACTTCACATTTACATCGTCTACTTCCCCGGGGTACAAGCACAAACAGTCCTTGTGTGACATTTCTAACCAGGCCTTCATCCTCGTATACATCGAGGACCCCCAACAAACTTCCACAAACCCCCCCAAGGTACTGAACTCCCGAGTCGGTGTGGACGTACGACCCGCCTGGCGTCTCGCACAATCAACTCGCTTTGTATCTCTCCTCACCATCGCCCTTCAAGACCATGAGCTCGTCCGAGTCCAATGGTCCCCGCCGGGCTGGTTCCATCGACCCATACTCCAATTCAGAGATCTACTATGGCAATGATGATCCTCTTGCCAGAAACAGAGATCGCAGACGCGCCTTTTCTACGGTAAGCAGCCACAGTGCTTGTGCGGCTACCCCGCGGACGACCATCCCAGCTCACGTCTATTTTTTTCCGAGTACAGAGCGTGAGAGACAACGAGAGAGATAATATCCACGACCTCTTGGGCACACTCCCCACCAGACGAGGTAGTCACGGTATGTTTCTTTTTCTCCGTAGCTCCTGACGAATTCGCTACGTGAAGCTTGACTGACCGCTCCGCATAGATGAGGCATCTGGAAACCCCCGCAAGTTCCTCATCGACGTGGATGAGACCCTTGGTGCTCTGCTGAAGCAGGAGGATACCGACAAGAACATGCAGATTACAATCGAGGATGCTGGGCCAAAGGTGTGTCAGATCGACAACTATGAGCTGCGGACGAGCCGCTGACCGGACTGCAGGTACTCTCGGTCGGAACAGCCGGATCCTCGGGATTTAGACGTGTGGATGTGCGCGGCACATACATGCTCTCCAATCTCTTGCAGGAGCTTACTATCGCGAAAGACTACGGTCGGAAGAAAATTATCCTCGACGAAGCACGCCTGAGCGAGAACCCAGTCGCACGCCTCTCCCGTCTGATCAAGAATTCTTTCTGGACGGCCCTCACGAGACGCATTGATGGATCCAATATCGAAATCGCAGGCAAAGATCCCAAGGATTGGACCGATGATCCCCGGCCTCGCATTTACATTCCACCTGGTGCCCCCGAGCAGTTTGAATATTATACCAACATCGCCGAGAAACACCCGGAGTTGCGATTGGATGTGCAACTGCTACCGGCTGATATCACGCCAGACTATGTCATGGGATTGGTTAACAAGCCCGGACTACTTGCCCTCGCCATGGAGAAGAAGTATAACGAGGAGACCAAACAGGAAGAACTATCGGGTGTCCCCTTCGTCGTACCAGGAGGTCGATTCAACGAACTGTATGGATGGGATAGCTACTTTGAATCTCTGGGTTTGATTGTGAGCGACCGCGTTGACCTTGCTAAGGGCATGGTCATCAATTTCTGTTTCTGCATCAAGCATTATGGAAAGATTCTTAACGCCAACCGAACCTACTACCTCACTCGCTCTCAGCCGCCATTCTTGACTGATATGGCTCTGCGTGTATACGAGCGAATTAAGAGCGAGCCCGACTCCCAGGAGTTCCTTCGAAACGCTGTTCTTGCTGCCATTAAGGAATACCACACGGTATGGGCGTGTGAGCCGCGCCGCGATCCGATTACTGGGCTCTCGAGATATCGCCCCGAAGGTTGGGGTGTACCCCCAGAGACTGAACCAACCCATTTCCTTCACATCCTGACGCCATATGCGGAGAAGCATGGCATGACCTTCAAGGAGTTTGTCAAGGCATACAACGAACGGACCGTTGTCGAGCCGGAACTGGATGAATACTTCCTCCACGACCGAGCTGTGCGCGAGTCTGGCCATGATACTAGCTACCGCCTCGAGCGCATCTGCGGAAATCTCGCAACTGTCGACCTGAACTCTTTGCTGTATAAGTATGAGGTGGACATTGCGCGTATAATCCGTGTTCACTTCAAGGATAAGTTGTCGATCCCACAAGAGTTCCGGACAGCTGCCACCCAAGACATTGAATTTGAATCGTCCGCCGCTTGGGATCGCCGTGCCCGCAAGCGCAAGCAAACTATGGATCAACTGATGTGGGACGCCGATAAGGGCATGTTCTTTGATTACAACACAGTCACCAAGGAGCGTAAGGTATACGAAACCGCAACCACCTTCTGGGCAATGTGGGCCGGTCTTGCTACGCCTCAGCAAGCAGCCCAGATGGTGCAAAAGGCGTTGCCTCGGCTGGAAGCCTTCGGTGGTCTGGTCTCGGGATCGGAAGAGTCACGTGGCCCAGTCGGCCTGGAGCGACCCAATCGGCAGTGGGACTTCCCTTACGGCTGGGCACCTCAACAGATGCTTGCCTGGACCGGGTTCCTGCGCTATGGGTACGAGGAAGAGGCAGAGCGATTGGCGTATAAGTGGCTTTACATGATCACCAAGGCTTTTGTTGACTTTAATGGCGTTGTCGTCGAGAAATATGATGTGACCAGGCCGATCGATCCTCACCGAGTCGATGCCGAGTACGGAAACCAAGGTACCAATTTCAAGGGGGCACCACGTGAAGGGTAAGTTTAATGATCCGATTCGGTTGATCGGCATGGAAAATGCTAATGGCGATATCGCAGGTTCGGCTGGGTCAATGCCAGTTATGTCTATGGATTGGACATTCTTAACGCGCATATGAGACGTTCCTTGGGAGCTATCACGCCCTACGATACTTATTATCGGGCTGTTAATGGACCGGGCGCGAGCGCATTTTAGCTAATTGAACTTTTTTCTATTGGATTGGGGTTAGGTCTATTTTTTTCTTTTTTGCATTCACGACCATTGATTTGGCGGGGGAAAAATCGACAGAACAAACTTGAAAAGCATACATTAGAAACGAGGGTCACGAGCAGGGGGAGAAATTGCAATCTGGTTCCTCGACTTCAGATTTGGATCGTATTCAAATTGTAGCTTGTAGTTATGGTCACTTGGGGGGGTCCCGCAGGGGTCGAGATGCAATTTCGCTCCGACTCATTTTGCACAGAGACTAAGCAGCTTGAGAGTGCCTAGTACGTGCTTCTGATATGACATTTATCGACTTGAATATTACTAGTACAACCCGTAATCCGTATTTCACATTCAACCCCTGGAGAAGATACCATAACCGTGCTATTCCCCGCAAAATGAACATTAGCCACCTCCTCAGGAACTAGCTCTAGATGAGCGAAAATAACCCGGCACCCTTCGGCGACCTGATTTTCTACCGGCTAACTTCCGAAAGAGAATCAGGGATACCGATTCACATACGACGCATGGCGTCGGACATTCCACAGCAGGACAGGCACCGATCCTCTCAGTGGCCGAGCACAACGCGGGGTGGGGGAGCACCCTGGATTACCCGAGGCTATTCTCGTGACTAACGCGGGTTGAGCGGCCTGGTGATCATTTTACCCCAGGTTGATTTACAAGGTCGAAGGGGTAATTTTAATAGTGAGGAATTCGATCTATATAGTTATTGAATCTATAGATTTAGATATAGACCCAGTGGGAGGAGACGGGATGGGTATACAGATAACCTTAACGGTCGTCGGCTTCGGCGTCCTATGGGAAGCGCCGAGGACGGAGCTGGAAGGTGGAATGAGCAGCTAGATCGCTGGAGCCCTGGAAAGCTTTGGCCTTGGACAGACTAAACATTTCTGTCGATCTAGACAGGGGTTTAGTGTAGGTAAGCAGGTCTTTGAGCCGAGGTCTAACGAAAATGGTTAGTCTGAGTCATTTCTGTGCTCTTCTGTGTGGATCTACGATTGGATAGATAGATGGTAATGAGCAGTTGCGGGTGTCAGTTGTCCCGGTAAGAATTCGTGCGGATTCAGGGGGTTTGGTAATTAGTAGAGAGATTGAGGATGAAGATTAAGTAAACGCCGTATACGATGTGTATATGATAGCCAAGAGAAGTTGCTCAAATTTATCGAGAATATATGCATAGCTCGGTTGTGTGCTGTGTGGGTTTGGTAGATCTATTCTGATTTGTATGAAATATTGAAAATGCCATGGAAACGCACATCCCGATTAGACTGAGCTGTGGTGTTCATTGAATGCCCAGACTGAGCATGATGTGTTTTGCGGTGGAGATGTACCGAATACCGGGGCATAACGGGTGGTATTGATGACTGAGGCAAATAGTCACCAATTCTTCTTTTTTTCTAGACCACCGTCTCACTTCAGCTCTGAATGTGGAGAGATAATCAGATGGCTGTATCAGGCTATAATAGCATGTATTCTATGACTTACTAGGTCACGCGATAACCCTGACCTAGATTATCTCCCTGTTTTGCCTTTTCAAGCTCGTGAAGATTTGTCGCATCCGCATGTGAAAGTTTCTGGTTTGTATTGTCACGTACCACTAATCCACATGTCCGGCTCCTTACGTCATTCTCGAGAGTTGTCGCCGTCCCGATAATTTCGTGGCTGTCAATGCGCTTTTGGACGAAGGAAAATGGTGATTTGAATTACAGAATCGAGATCCTGGCAACAGACTCATGAGATACCGATTGTTGTTCACTTCTGAAACATAGGTTGTAGAAGAATGGAAGGGGTGGCAAGGGCGGCTATGGTGGTCCATTAGGCCGAGGATCTCAGAGTCTGGATCCTCTCTTCCGAACCACCACCCGCCTTCCGCCTTTCGGAGCATCGCCCGTGAGAATTGGCTTTGGCTGTCTGGAAATATTACGGAAATGCCTAGGCTGTCAATGTCATTGGGCTCAGCGTTGACCCGGTGAGCCGAGCGTTTACCGACTCTGTGACGCATTCGCAAACTAAATAAGTACCCCGGGTTTCCCTTCTGGCCTGTGATTGAGATTCTTTTCTATTGTTGCGTCAGCTCTTCCCACTACTCTTCGGTTTTTCTTGTCTGGTGTACTTGAATATACATAACTTGATTGACTTAAGTGTCCTTATACCCTTTGATCCCCTCTTACACCATTCTATACCACATAATCCACCATGGGTCTCCACGAAGATGAGGACCGCAAGTATGCGGAGGATGTCCAGGCCGTCAAGAACTGGTGGAGCGACTCACGATGGCGTTTCACTAAGCGGCCTTTTACCGCCGAACAAATTGTCGCGAAGCGTGGCAATCTGACTGTCGAGTACCCTTCCGCTGTGCAGGCCAAGAAGCTCTGGAGCACCTTGGAGAATAACTGGCAGGTATGTTATACTATCCTGCACATTGGTTGAAGAGTGGGGACTAACTCAATTATTCTTCAACTAGACCAAGCAAGCTAGCTACACCTATGGCTGCCTCGAGCCCACAATGATCACCCAGATGTGCCAGTTCCTTGACACTATCTACGTTTCTGGGTGGCAAAGTTCCTCAACCGCTTCGTCCACCGACGAGCCCTCTCCCGATCTGGCTGACTACCCGATGGTGGGTGTTCTTTCAAGGAATATAATGGAAATTTAGACTAGACACTAACGAGAGCTATAGGACACCGTGCCCCGCAAGGTCAACCAACTGTTCATGGCACAGCTCTTCCACGACAGGAAACAGCGCGAGGAGCGCATCACCACCCCCAAGGACCAGCGCTCTAAGGTCGCCAATGTCGACTACCTGCGCCCCATCATTGCCGATGCTGACACCGGTCACGGTGGTCTGACCGCCGTCATGAAGCTCACCAAGCTGTTCGTTGAGCGCGGCGCGGCTGGTATTCACATCGAGGACCAGGCTCCTGGTACCAAGAAGTGCGGCCACATGGCCGGTAAGGTGCTGGTTCCTATCAGCGAGCACATCAACCGTCTGGTTGCTATCCGTGCCCAGGCCGATATCATGGGTGAGTACTTGATCGTAATGTCGTCATGGTGGGCTTAGAAGCTAATCAGTATCAGGATCCGATCTTCTGGCCATCGCTCGTACCGACTCCGAGGCCGCTACTTTGATCACCTCTACCATTGACCACCGCGACCACGCATTCATCGTCGGCGCTACCAACCCCAACCTTCAACCTCTGAACGACCTGATGGTCGCCGCCGAGCAGTCCGGCAAGAACGGTGCTCAACTTCAAGCCATCGAGGACCAATGGACCGCCCAGGCTGGCCTCAAGCTTTTCGAGGAGGCTGTCATTGACACCATCAATGCCGGTGCCTCTGGCAACAAGCAAGGCCTGGTCGAGCAGTACCTCAAGGCTGCCAAGGGCAAGAACAACACCGAGGCCCGCGCTATTGCCAAGGGCATCACCGGTGTTGATATCTTCTGGAACTGGGACTCTCCCCCGCACACGCGAGGGCTTCTACCGCTACCAGGGTGGCACCCAGTGCGCTGTCAACCGCGCAATTGCCTACGCTCCCTTCGCCGATCTCATCTGGATGGAGAGCAAACTGCCTGACTACAAGCAGGCTAAGGAGTTCGCCGACGGCGTGCACGCTGTGTGGCCCGAGCAGAAGTAAGTTTTTATCATGCTAAACCTGGACATGAGCGTTGAGGAATGCTAACAATCCCCCTTCTTTCAGGCTCGCTTACAACCTGTCGCCCTCGTTCAACTGGAAGAAGGCGATGCCTCGTGACGAGCAGGAGACCTACATCAAGCGTCTCGGCGAGCTGGGATACTGCTGGCAGTTCATCACCCTCGCCGGTCTGCACACGACCGCGCTCATCTCACACCAGTTCGCCAAGGCTTATGCCAAGAACGGCATGCGTGCCTACGGCGAGCTGGTCCAGGAGCCTGAGATGGCGCAGGGCGTTGACGTTGTCACTCACCAAAAGTGGAGTGGTGCCAACTACGTCGACAATCTGCTCAAGATGGTCTCTGGTGGTGTGAGCAGCACTGCTGCCATGGGCGCGGGTGTCACTGAGGACCAGTTCAAAAACTGATTGAAGTCAGGGTAAAGAGCCACCCTGTTTTGTATATCTGCTCTGCTTGGGGATTCCCACTCGGGATCATTTTGAGGCGTTCAAGTTTTCGTTAATTTTTTTGGGGGGTTACCCCTTGATGCCTCTTCTCTTTTTTTTGGATTTCCTTTGCCAACAGCCTTGATTTGATTCCCATTGGCAATATCTTGCCAGTTACTGTAGCATTTAGTTGAAAATAATGCATGAGTAAATTTGATGCTTGAATGACCCTTGGCACAATAGAATGAATACTCATAGAATGAATAGAGTTCTAGAATTCCAAAATAAGATTACTATTACTCTACGCAGGTGCCTAATGCCGCCGAGACCCTTTGATTATTCAACGTCAGGTCTGCAGACTAGCCTGAACAAGCAGAAGTGCCCGGCACCGGTTAATCCGTCGGTGGGTCCGTGTGAAGCCGCGGTCCCGCGGGCTGGAGAAGCCTTCAGTCAAACCCCTGCGCGTTAAGGAGGAGCTCTATTGTATGGCAAGGGTGAGAAACCTGGTGAATAGTAGCGGTTTTGTTTAAGAGACAACAGAAATCAAAGCTATATGCAAAAGCGCAGGTAAGCTGAGTGGGAACAAAAAAGGCGGATCGACTAAGCAAATAAGCCGAGCGATGCAGAGCAGAACAGAGCAAACTGTACGAGCGGAGAGGGAGGTGCATGTGGGTGGATGCGGAGAAGCTTGCACTTAAATACTCCCTCGGTCGCCCTCCCCCCCCTGACGTAAGGAGTTTGCTTTTTTAATTCTCCCTCTCCTGCACATCACACACCATGGGCGTACAACTTCCCGAACTGCAGTTCACTCCCCTGGAGGATATCCCCGGGCGCGCCTCCATCGCCCGTAAGGCCTTCTTGGAGCACAAGACCCGCGATGTCGAGTTTCGCCTCGTCCAGCTGCGGAAGCTCTACTGGGCGTGAGTCCCCCCTTTGACCCCACGATCACTCGCGGAACGGCCTGCAAGGAATCTGAAATAAAGTTTGAGGATGACTGACAATTGCATTAGCATCAAGGACCACGAGGAGGAGATCGTCGAAGCATGCGCCCAAGATCTGCACAAGCCACGCTTCGAGGCCGAGGTTGCAGAGAGCGGATGGCTCCTCAACGACATCGTTTTCACCAGTCGCAATCTTCACAAATGGGTCAAGGATGAGAAGGCTCCCGATATCGAACTTTCCTTCAAATTCATGAGCCCCAAGATCAGAAAGGACCCGCTCGGTACTGTGTTGGTTATTGGGTACGTTAAAGAAAATACATCTTGAAATCACCCTTGACGAATGTTCGCATCAAACTAACGAGTGTCATTCCAATCCAGTGCCTTCAACTTCCCCTTCCAGCTGACTCTCGGACCCGTCATTGGCGCCATCGCCGCCGGAAACACCGTCATCATCAAACCCAGTGAGAATGCGCCCCGCAGTGCTGCTGTCATGCAGAAGATCTGTGAGGCCGCTCTCGACCCCTCCTGCTACCCCGTTATCCAGGGTGGAGTTCCCGAGACCCAGGCTCTGCTGGCCGAGCGATGGGATAAGATTTTCTTCACCGGCGGTGCGACTGTTGGTCGTATCATCGCGAAGGCCGCTGCCCCGCATCTGACCCCCGTTGTTCTCGAGCTGGGTGGTATCAACCCGGCCATTGTTACCAAAAACGCTGACCCGCGCCTGGTGGCACGTCGCATGCTGTGGGGTAAGCTCATGAACGCCGGTCAGGTGTGTACTTCCCAGAACTACCTGCTGGTTGACAAGTCGCTCGTGTCCCGGGTTGTCGAGGAGTTCAAGAAGGCCTATAAGGAGTTCTACCCCAAGGGTGCCAAAGAATCCCCCGATTACTCGCGCATTGTCAATATTGCCGCTTTCCAGCGTCTCAAGGGCATGCTGGATAACACCAAGGGCAAGATCCTGATGGGAGGTACCATGGACGAGAAGGAGCTCTTCATTGAGCCTACCGTTGTCCAGGTTGAGTCGGTCGACGACTCACTGTGCACCCAGGAAAGTTTCGGTCCCTTCATTCCTATCCTCCCCGTTGAGAACTTGGATGAGGCCATCAACCTCGCCAACGGCGTCCAGAGCACCCCGCTGGGTCTATACCCCTTCGGTAACAAGGCCGATATTGCGAAGAGTAAGTTATTTCAACCCACATTTTGAACGAGCTTACATTTAACAAATTTCTAGTTTTGAGCTCCACTCGCTCCGGTGGTGTCTCTTGCAATGACGCCGCCCTCCACGTGCCAACCCTGCCCTTCGGTGGTGTTGGTGAGAGTGGCTACGGTGCCTACCGAGGCCGCTCCAGTTTCGATGTTTGGGTGCACCGTCGCCCCATCACATCCAGCCCTGGCTGGCTCGAAGCTATTCTGTCCATTCGTTACCCGCCTTATGCTGGCAAGCTGAGCAAATTCAAGGCAGCCAGCGCCTTGGCCCCCGACTTTGACCGAGACGGCAAGAAGGTTACCCTGGGCTGGCTGCGCTATTTCCTCACTCTGGGTGGAGGAAGCGCGAAGTCCGGTGCCGGCCGTGCTGCAGTCGTTGCTGCCAGTGAGTAATCTCTTTTTTCTTTTTTTGTTGATCTGTTTCATGATCTATATGCCTACGATCTTCACTCGTGAAAGACCTTCCCTTGCAATCTTTCCTTTTCCATTCTCACCCCGGATTCATTCTCACCATTGTCCCTCTCTCATGTGGTGGGACAAATGAGGCTGGACTCCATTACCTACACCGACCCCCGAGGCCTTGACCAGTCACTGAAAATATTTTAATACCCACAACTTTGTATACCCCTGTTTGAAAGTGTTGGCTTCGTTTTGTGCCCTTTGGGCTTGACCTCGGACTACATGTCATTTTCCTTTTCTTATACCTATACCCCTTGTTTTGCGCTGCCATCTCTGGATTCCAGAAAGAGAAACCAGCACATACACAGCCAAGTGCATAATCTTTAAATGAATTTACCTCCTCTGTCTGGTTTTCATATTCATCCACATACATGGTTTTTTTGAGAAGTTTGATCACTTTCTAACACAATAGTAGTTGCCTACTTCATTCTCCAAGTTCTGGAACGCCGCACCTCGAAGCTGTGAGACTATAAATTGAGCCAAAATTGGGAAGGGAAAGTGGATCTTTTTGAAATCATTTGATTGTGTAACTAGGAATTTAGCCTCAAATTAATTGCTGATCATGAACACATAAGGCCATTTAAGTGTCTGCCGTTGAATCCACATGCCCTTTTTCATCATGATCGCCGCCCCGCCAACTTGAACCAGCCGAATTAAAATTAAATAATAATCAAAAGAGTACATACTCCGTACTCCGAACCATAGATTGCCAATATTAAGCAGTAGCACATGAAAGAACGTGCACAGGGCACATATATGCAGAATTTATTCCGAGAGAGCAAACTTGCTCAGAGCCCGAAGTCGAGCACCGTTGAAGTAAAGCAGCCAGATTCCAATGATACCAATAACACTCAATCCACCCAGAAGACTGACACCCCTCGCAACACCCAAGTTGCCAAATAGTGGGTGAGCAAAGAGAACACTACCACAGGCGAGCGCACTGCGGAAGAAATCATTCGCCGCAAACAGACTCGCGGCGTACATGGGGTAGGTGAGCGGGATGTACAGGAAGACACACTGCATGACGATGAATACAGTTGCGCCATAGATAGTGATTCCGATTGTGGGAACGATCCAATGAATCGAGGCTCGTGCCGTCCAAGCGAAAATGAATAGGCCAATTGTCGGACCAAACGAGGCCGGGAGCGCGGGTAGAAGACGGTATTCCTGGGGCGGGAAGCCGAGGCGTCTTATGCGAGGGTTCATCCAGAAATAGATGTAGAGACCATAGATGGTGACTGCCAGAATGCAGGAGACGAGAATGCACAGGAAGACGAGACCGACCTGGCCCAGGTTCATGCCGTAATCGACGGGGTAGACGAGGGGGAAGACTTCGAAGAAGGAGTAGTAGATACCATAGATAATGGCAGTGTAGATCTGAACGAAGAGGACGGCCGGATCCTTGATGGTGATCTCCATGGGCTTGACCAGGGCATCGATGGCAATGGCCGAAATACGCATGTTGCGCTGGTCGATCTCGGATTGCGACATCAAGCGGTTGTCGTTGAATACTTTGCGGAGGCGCTGGGCGCGACGGAGGAGGATCGTTGCGCTGCTGGTCTCGGGGAGGAAGAAGAGCATCAGGATGAAGATTGGGGCGGAGGCCCAGATTGACTCGAAGAGAGACCATCGCCAACCCTTTACTGGCACAGCAAAACCACTAAGCAGGGGTCCGAGGGCAGCTATTATCGTATCGTTAGTATCAGTCAGGATCCAAGGTTGAAGGTGCTTTTTTTTACTTACGTCCACAGTACGCGGCTGAAACCCAAGCCATCATGGCATAAGGCAGAGACATAAGACTGTATATGTCGCCGATTGAAGCGCCCCCCCGATGCAAGACACGGAGAGCCGAAGAAACCCTGGAGGAAACGGAGAACCAAGAGACCAGGGAAATTGCCCACAAATGCTGTCGGAATGGAGATGATGACGAAGAGGAACATGGTGATTATATAGACTGGATTGCGTCCAATGATGGGGATCTCACTCAATGGTGAGAAAACCAGAGGGCCAATGCCGTATCCCAAGACGTAGAGAGCCAGGCCCAGTGTTCCAACGAGAGAACTGACATTGAACTCTTCCATAACACCTTGCAGTGATGAGGTATAGATAGCAGAGGTGGTGTATACGACGAATGTATATAGGCAGATTAGGGTTGTCATCCAGGCACGCTTGGAATTGGACCAGTTATGCGGATTTTCCGCATCATCTGTATAGTACCAATCGACAAGAACGGCTCCATCCTTCGTTCGTGTAGGGACTATAGGCATTGACTTGACTCGTTCGATATCATCTCTCGCCTCCGCCTCCAGGCGAGCCTCTGTAAACGGCGTCGTGTTGAGGGTCGATGTGCGACTGACCACAGCAGTCTCTTCATCGCTGCTAGCACTGTGGCGGGGTGTTTGTTCCTCAGGCTTATCATTTGCCTGCACATCTGAGCCGTTCATCAATTGAATCCATGTCTCGGGAAGCTTGAAATCGGGCTTCTCCTCTGGATATTGGAAGTATTTGTTATGTGTCAAGAGACGAACCAGTTGCCCAAAGGGGGCATCTCGAATGTAGGCTGTCATTGGATCGATTGCGTCGAGGTGGGTCTGCGGGATGGTTTTGATCGTTTTGACTGACAAATAATCCACTCGTGTCCACTCGTGGATGGACTATTAATCCGTTCGATCAGATGGGAAGAGAAAGTTATCTGGAAATAGAAAAGCCACTGAGATATCTCCATGGTCTATATATGTCTGGAAACGATGATTTTTTTCTACATCATTTCGTTATGTTTCTGCGTTAAGCCTCAAATAACGACTAAGTCCGAAACCGAAGAGCTGCTAGTATTATAAATCCGTGGCTGAGAGAGCAAAGTTCTTACATTTTCCACTGTGACCAATGAGAACCCGTCGATATCTTTCAGATTATGAATCATCAGGAGATCTTCCCATGGTTTCCACGACTCTTCCCATCAATGGCGTTTAATTCCAGAGCTGTCATTGGCTCCCAATATTATGTTGACGAGACTTTGTCCGACTCCGAGCAGCCCTACAGGATGACAAACGACTAACGTTATGTTCCAGTGGCCGAGCGCGAGAATCTCCATCAATACGAGCGAATTAGACCCACTCAGTCTGATGGACGAGTAAAAAGTTGATTACAGATATTGCCTACTACGTACTACATATCATTTCGCAGTCTAATCTAGGCCACTAATCGTCATCTGGTACTGGTATGGAAATCGCAATAAGTCTGTCATTTCTGAAATACTGGATGAAAACTATTTAACATGCAATTACAGCTTTGTAAGCAGTTTACCTAATAATGCCAAGCAATTGGACGTGTATCCGACTAGTAATGGTATACATGTCGCGACATATCACGTTAAGTAAGGCCTTCAGTGGGCGCGATGATGAATCTCATATTTTCTTGGCGGGGGCTTAAACCGGCGATAAGATTGTATCCCCGTCTGAATCTAGATTGCTAAGTTTAAAAAAAAGATTATCTTCGGAGAATCGTAGCGGAATTTATTTTCCTGGTCTATGATTCTATGACGCTAAGGAATATCCCCTTCGAGTCAAATATGCCAAGACCTCCCGGGGTCCGCATGAAGTGGATTTCTGCGGATAGATATCCTAATCAAAAAAGAAGAAGAAAAACATTCAAGTTTCATGTATAAGCCAGAGTGAGTCAGAATCAACTAGAATGCAGCTCGTATTGTGATAGTTCTGATCCTGGAAGCACATCCCACTGTTTCCAGCAGTTGGACAACGCTCAGGCTCTTTCATTCGGACTTTCTAGTTGGTGCTGTTCTTCTTGCAAAACTTAGGCACTTTCAACACTGATGAATAAAGCCTAAAGGTCGACTAATTATCTTCGTCATTACTTCCCACCTTGATGCTATAGACCGAGAAATCACAATGGTGTCTTAGCGGGTGCTGCCCAGGTGGGTGTAGCAGTTTATCTGGTCAGTGGATACCAGAGTCCGGCGGCTTGAGCTTAAAAGAGCTCGTTAATCCCGTATTCCGCAAATGTCTTTGGTGTTTGGAGAAAATACTTGGTTGAAGCCGGAGTAAATGTGAACAGAAAGACTAGGCTTTGACATATGTTTAAACAATGATTTTTCTCGACTGTGCGACCGGTGTGATGTGATGAGGCAACGTCATTGGGCGCCGAGCCTGAGGTAAGACAGGAAGACACTAAATTCAGCCCCCAACTTTAGCACAGGAGAAGCCCCCCCTCACTCCTGCAATCGGACATCACCTCAGCCTTATAATATCCGTGCCGTGCCGACTCGCCTAATTCTATCTGCTTGACGCGAACTGGTTGGCTAGAATGGTAAAGAGAGGTGGCATTCCTTGGCAGTCCAAAGGTTGCTGGACTTGCAAAAAACGCAGAATCAAGGTTGGGGCAAACAAAGGGGTTCGATTATTATCCACGCTAATAGTACTTCTGTAATCAGTGTGACCAAGGGAAGCCAGACTGTAATCGCTGTATCAAACGTGGGATCCAGTGCCTTGGGTACGAAAAACACGGCATCTTTATCCATTATGCTGCTGCTGCTGGAACAGATGGGAACCCAGAATCAAGTGGCCAGACTGAGCGCATTCCTCGCGCACAGTACTTTTCATCTATAAATCCCGTGGCTAGCGGACCAATGTTCCGTCAGCAGTTCATTTCGGAATATCTTCATGGGTATTTTCCTACAAAAATGACTGTGTCAGATGTCGATATGTGGCATTATCTACTGCAAGGATTTGCTGGGCTCCCGAATAAAACCGAAATGCTTGACAAGACTCTTTCGGCAATCACATGTCTTTATATTGGCAAAGCTCGCAAAGATGACCGCATGTCTAAACATGGCCTCCAGCTTTACAATGGCGCGATACGACACATGTCGAGCATGATCTCACGAGATGTTTTCAGTGAGGATATTGTGTATACCGCAGTCCTTTTTCAAGAAATAGAGGTATCGAGTTTCTATTTAAATTGCTTAATCAGTCCTCCAGCCCTTGCAAAACCAAGCTAACATTGGTCCGATCACCAAGAGTTCTTATTGCCCCAATGGCCTTGGGTCGTGGCTAGCACACATTAATGGCTTGAACACAATTATGAAGCATTATCATCAAAGAACAGTTAGCAATCCCCTCATCGGACCTATATACCAAAGATACCAGAAATTGCGAATGGTATGTTACTTCGCCCGCCAAAATACCCTTTAATAATGATGATGCATACTAAGTGACAGGTCTATAGATACAATCATCATCTGCGAGGGGCCTGCTTCCGGATGAATACAAATTCCTGACAGAAACTACCGACGGGACCCCCTTTTGCGAATTACTGGGAATTTTTGCAGAACTATCCCCTATTGTGGCAAAGTTGCAGTCCATCGACCCTTCCGACTACGATGCGTGCCAGGACCTGTTACAGCACTGTCTGCGAACGAAGAAACGATTTTTCACGTGGTATGTAGAGCATCGTTTGGCAGATGGAATTACCACAGATCCTCCTGGCGAATTTCTCAGTTCAGACACGCCCGACGCTGAACGTTTATTCGGGACTCCGTTAAGCTTCCGAAATTTCGACTACATCTTGCTGCATCTTCATTACTGGGCAGGACCGTGTCTCCTCTACCCATCGATCTTCCATGCCAAGAAACTCGTCTACGCGCATCCTAAAAGTAACATGCCTGCCGATATTCTCAACAAGGCTCTTGATCCGCTACAGAATGAGGAATATTTGGAAGCGAGTCAGTGTGCAGATGAGATATGTCGTACCATGCGATACTGCACGCGGGATAATATGAAGGTTGCAGGGTATCATATGACTATGTTCCCCTTGTGCGCGGCTTCTCAGGTTTACACCAACTTCGCAAACCTGGAGAAGTTTTCTTGGTGCATCAAGATCGTTGAAAGCGCTGCTGCCCGGGGCCATGAAACTGCGCATTACATAGTAGATATCTCCTGGCATACTTGGCGCGTTAAGAACCAGTGTGGACCAATGACGTCCGTAGCGCTTCGAGAAATCGTCCCGGAAAGTGTATCAGGGAAGCGCCACGAAAAGATACTAGATGTGACCGAGGAAGCATAGTAGTCTCAGGATGTCTCAGGCATTGCAGTCCTGGAGCCCTAGAGCGATTAGGTAGTACATGAATGACGACAACCACACTAAGGTTCAACTTCGGCCGTGGAGCTTTGATAGAGTCGAAGGTCGATACTAGGAGTAGTGTTACTAGATGATTTTGAACTGTCATTTGCCATTACCTTCCTAGGGCTTAATCTTTATCACTTGGAGCCGGCTTTCTGCCAATGCAGGGTATGGATAATTGTCATATTTTTGAAATAGATTTTTGAACGCTATCGTCACTCATGCAGTCCCTTAGACACCGGAAAGTTATATCCAATTAACATCGCCGCTCAACGCCACGCTTGCTCACACAGAGGTACTTGACACCCTTGTATGGTTTCACGCTCTCTCCAAGACCACGACTCCTTCGTTGGTCGATGTTCAGACTGTCCACTTTGATCCCAGAGGGGAGCCATCCTTGTACCGAGAATGAGACCGACGCGGAGTTCGGCATGAGGCTGGCATTAATTTGAGCCTTTGTCCGGCGAGATGTCAGTCGGGGTGTGCTGGAAGGTGTAAAGAATGTAGGGAGTGAGGAGGAGGATGGTGGGATGGATTGGGATTGCGGAACTGGGGTGTGAGGTTTGGAGTGATTCGGAGAAGGTGTTTTGGCTTTCGTCGATGGTTCCAACAAGTCCTCCGCTGGTACATCACCGGCTTCTTCGGACAATGCGGCCGCAGCCTTGGAAGATTTCTTAGTTGACTTCTTCTTTTTCTTCTTTGGTTTCGAAGGATCCCGAATCTTCCTGGGCTTGCTTGCAGACGGGTCATTGTAAGAAGTAGGGGCTTCATAGTAACCCTGAAGAAGATTCGCATTGGCTTCCTCGTCGGCATCTTCGAGGCCATCTTCTAACTCCTCGTCAACCGAGGGATACCCTGCAACAGTGCAACGCAGAGTTGCAGTGCCTGATATAGAGCCGGCCTCTTTGCCGGTCGGAACTCTCCATTCCAGTAAGCCGGTGCTCGGGGAGTATTGCGCGTCCCCACGACTAGCTTGCATGTCTGTGATGTGTCGCACGAATTTAGAAATAGGTACGCTCACAACAAGTTCTTCCAAGACAGGTCCCGTTGAATTTCCACCTCCGCCAAGGAAAGAGGGCGTCGATGCCCCGGAACCACTGCGTGAAGCAGCCGGGCGTGCCGACGAGGAATGGCCGGGGAAGTTTGTATTAAGAGTCAGTCGAACTTCAAAATCGGACCCAGTTGATCCTAATGATTTGCGAATATCAACTATCGCGGGCAGAAAAAGTTTCTCCATGTGGCTTGGTGCTTGATCAAGATCTGGGTTGATTGGGAGAAGGTCAACCTCGTATCCGGCCAAGATGAACCGGCCATCTGGTGGCACGAAGCTAAGTTCCCCTGGTCGTTCCCGCCAACGAGCCAGTCGAACACAGGGATGGAATACTGGCAGTTCGATCTTGCGAGCAAGTGCCTGTTGCCCGCCTGGGGCTGATAACGAAAGGTGCAGGTCTGGAACTCCCGATATCTTCGCGGTGAATGCGATGGTCCCGGAGACCAGTGCAGAAAGTAACCGTCCCGACGGTGCCATGGTCACGGAGAGGGATTCAATGATGTCGACATAGAGTTCGTTTGATGTGTGGCGCACGCCCGGTCGTCGCCAGGGAATCGCAGGGCCTTGAGATGCGTTCGCCGCTGCCAATGACTGTTTCAAAGGATTGTTCGATGCTAGGTTCGGCGTGCTAGTTCTAAGAAACGGCCCCAAAAAGAATCAGTAATGACACATTGAATTCAAGCCCGAGGTGAACCACTTACCCGGGCACACTGATCCCCCCCGAGTAGCTTCCCCATCCACCCGGACACCTCAACAACTTCTTGCAGGGAATTGAGCTCGGTGTTAGACACTATACCTGCATCGCACATCTCATGGAGAAGTTGAGCGACCACATCATAATTGGCCTGGATCTTCGTTGAAAGCAGCGGAGCGCCAACGAAGTCCTCAAGAACATCCACGACGCGGTGCAGAAATTCCAACACCAAAAGCGGTTCCGTATCCACCTCGGTTACAGCCAGAAACAATAGATTCGATTGAACTATTGAAAACAATGTCACGGGCGGAGTAGTACCGGGGAGGTACAGCAATGATGGCCGGGGGGCGGCGTGGGCTAGGTAGAGGGGCAGGATAGCCGCGGCAGAGGGCGGGCGCGATCTGTAGACATGTTCGACCAGAGGGGCACTGGGTCGGTTAGTATAGTTCTTCCCGGCTGGATTTATTGTGTGACATACTTGTGCTCGTCATATACGTAGACGGCATCGATCTCGCCGCTCATGGTGACTGTTGTCTGGACTAAACGGCACTGAAGTGTATAGCTGATGTTAAGCTGTTGATTCTGCCGCATACCCCCGCCTTTGATTACTCTCGGCGTAGCGCGGCGCGCGGTGTTCCTGTGAACTTCTATCGGCTTTCAGGCTCTTGGTTTGGGAAGAAATTATTTGCTCCCTTTATCCTAGCTTTTTCTGGAAATTTTGAGACCACTAGAAATGGCTCCACCTGATAATCGCCCCTGGGATGTCCAGCCTAGTGATGCCAAACAAGCGCTTGCGGAGGACAAATATGAAGATTGCATGTCTTGCAAAGCGATGGGTACGTCTCTGTCTGTTGTTCTAGAATATACCAAGAACAAAATCATACGTTATTGGACACATTAACTGATACTTTTATGTTAGGCTCTGGCGCATTCATTGGCCTCGGTGTTTACAGCTACTATACCGGCATGAACAATCTCCGACAGCAGGAAAAAATGATCATGAAGAGCGCAACTAAATACAAAATGGGATCACGTCGACTGGGAATCGCCACAATATCTGCTAGTTTAATTGGCGCAGGCGTCTGGCGAGCCTTCAACTGATAATTCCAATCTCGACTCGGAGCATCCCATCCATCGGAACCAATCGCGGACGACAGCCATAAAGATGACACCATGATGAGCTACTTCGGACTCAAAAGCGGAGACGACTGTCTAATAATGAAAGATCAAGAAGATGTTTTCTTGGGAATTTGTACTATATGTATTTGTTATACTATCACAAGCTAATGATAGCTTCCACCATGCGGGTATCTCCACCAATCCTCTATATGCTGCATAACAAGATCCAACAGGTATGGCGAGAAGAAGAATGCATCGAAACGGGGGAAAAGAAGACAAAGAAGGAAAGAATGAAATGGAAAAAGAGAAGGAAAAAACCAAGGAAACCCGGACAATGCAGCGAAATCATATGCAAGAATTCTCCTCCTTAGTGTGCACCTAAAAAAAGCACCCCAGAATCTACCCAACCGTTTCGTGACAATCGGAACGGAATATTCGTCACTTCATCAACGTCGTATAGTCCAGTGGGCAGCCTTAATTAAACCGTCCACGTTTCCCTCCACCGAACGTACTATCTTTCCCATTCGCCATTCCAGACAAGTCGAAAAAATCTGGGAATGTAAATTTTCGCTTCGAACCCAGAGTGGCAGGTGACTCCCTTGTGGTTGATCGTGCATTCGCTCGGGGTAAATTGTTGTGGCGATGGGATTGGCGGGAGTTGCGTGGCATCAGGGATAGACTGACGGGCGCGCCATCCTGTGAGGGCGGGGTAGAGTTGTCTGAAGAGAGGGTATCCATATCGAGGTCTTGGTATTGTGGGAATGTCGGGCCGGCTGTGAAGGTAAAAACGGCAGGAGAGGTGTTGATGGGCTCTTGAGGCTGGGGTTGGGGTTGAGGCGTAGCGGCTGTGGTTTCCGGACGAGGGGTTGAAGGAGGTGCGGAGGTGGGCGGCTGTCGGGTGGGAGCTTCAGATGTCGGAGGTTCTTTGCGGGCAGTTGTGGGCGTTGAGCTTCGATCACGCTTGTCGTTGCTGTCGCCTCGCTCGTCCTCATCACCTGTTTGGGACGCGGTTCCATCACACTTTTCGGTTGCCCATTGTCGTACCTTCCACCCCTCACCATCGCCGAGGCCGAGGTTCTCGCGGTCGAGGAAGTGCAGTAAATCCTCTATGGCCTCTTGATAACCCGCTTGTTTCGCTTGTGCTTGTTCACACACTGCATTCTTATAAAGATTTGTGACAGACAAAGCAGCAGCCTTGAAAGACTGGAGGAGTTGCTCCGGCGGCTGAGGGCGGGGTGTGGAGCTCGGCAGGGAGGTGTTCAACGATCTCATAGAATCCATGATGAGGAAGTCGGATGTGAGATGCCGAGAGAAGTTCGTGTATCGAGGAAAGGAGCTGTCGTAGCTTTCGTTGTCCCAATCTGACCAAGTGTGTTTGGGTGGCCAGTCAAAGGCTAAATAATTTTTGCACGAGTATGGGTCTCAAACAAAGCCAGATCACGTATAAACCAAAGGATAATACGTGCCGAGCTTGGTGAAAAGAACGCAAGAAAGTCCCCCGGATAGCAACAGCAAGGTGGCCCAGAGCGAGTGATCGCAAGAGTGTAATGTAGTGACTCTGGGGGAACTAGAAGCGAGTACCCGATGGCTGCAGGTGATCCTTCGCCGCTCCAAATGCACAGACCGATTTTCTCACTGGCCCGGTAACGTGACCCCACTTCTTCGATTCTGCCGGATTCTGCCACTGATCACCGATTTCGGGTAAACTCAGCCTCCGAAGTGCCGATGCTGAGCTAAGGCTCGAGCCAATCACCGCGTGACGGGTGATTGGCCGCGCCTTCCTTATTCTTCGGCGCGACTTCTCGTGCGCTTGCGCTTCTGCTTCTGCTTCTGCTTCCACCAACCTTCAATCGACCCATCTTCTCACTGCGGTCTTTTGCCATCCGCAGTTATTTGTTTCAACACGCGTGTATTATCCTGGTCAACCGCAATTCTTCTGCTACCTTGTCCGGTTAAGGTCGTCCAGCTTCGAGGCTTTTCACAGGAGCTACACGCTCAAAAGTGAATCCAGACGTACCTCCATCGTCATTTACTTGCGCAAAGCGTGCGTGGCGTAGATTGATATGGCACCCGCCGCCACAGGGTCCCCTTCCCAAGTGGACACCCCTATGACTGACGCAAATGACGACGCTATCCCATCGGTTCCCGTGGACGCTCTAACAGTACGCGATTCTGTCCTCAATCCCACCCTTCTACTGCAATTGTCGCATTCCCTTTTTGGGTCCCTGTTTGACAGATGATGTTCTTCGTCATGCCTCTTCTAACCCTATTTTCTCGTCCAGAGTCACCAAGACACCCCAGACTATACGGTAAACCCTCTCAAGACTTCCCTGGCCATCGCGCACACATGAACTAACGGCATGCCCCAATAGGATTCCGATACCAACCCCAATACGACAGCGAGCAGCGTTGCGGGCGACGCTCTAGAGGATGGACGAAGACGCCGCTCTGAGGCTACTCAACTTCGAAAGAGCATTCTTGGCAAGAAGCATGGTCGCCTGGATGAGTCGAAGGTATGTCCTACAGGGCCTCTGGAACTCCTTGACCCTCGTGAATGCGTATTGATCGCCCATTATTCTAATAGGAGGATGATTCGATTCGCCGATTCCGATACCTTTTGGGCTTAACCGATCTGTTCCGCCACTTCATCGAGACCAACCCGAACCCGCGCATCAAGGAGATCATGGCTGAGATTGACCGACAAAATGCGGAAAAGGAAGCCAAGGCTCGCAAAGGGTCTGCACGTTCAGGTGGCGCAGGTGGCGATAGGCGCCGTAGAACCGAGCAAGAAGAGGACGCCGAACTTCTTCAGGACGAGCGTGGAGGGGGTGAGACCACAACGGTTTTCCGGGAGTCTCCCGCCTTTATTCACGGCCAACTTCGTGATTATCAGATTGCAGGCTTGAATTGGCTTGTCTCGCTGCACGAAAACGGTATTTCCGGTATACTGGCTGATGAAATGGGTCTTGGAAAGACCCTGCAAACCATCTCGTTTTTGGGGTACCTAAGATACGTTTGTAACATCACTGGCCCTCACCTTATCACTGTGCCCAAATCGACCCTAGACAATTGGAAGCGAGAGTTCGCTAGGTGGACACCCGACATCGACGTTTTGGTTCTCCATGGTGACAAGGAGGAACGGCAACGCATCATTACCGAGCGCCTGGCCGACGAAAGTTTTGATGTTTGTATTACCAGCTACGAAATGATTCTCCGGGAGAAATCCGCTCTAAAGAAGTTGCCATGGGAGTACATCATTATTGATGAGGCTCACCGTATCAAGAACGAGGAGTCATCGCTGTCCCAGATCATCCGTCTCTTCAACTCTCGCAATCGTCTTTTGATCACTGGTACCCCTTTGCAAAACAATTTACATGAATTGTGGGCCCTGCTCAACTTCTTACTCCCTGATGTCTTCGGTGACTCAGACGCATTTGATCAATGGTTCTCAACCCAGGGTTCTGACCAGGATACTGTCGTCCAACAGCTTCATCGTGTCCTCCGTCCTTTCTTACTGCGACGTGTCAAGAGTGATGTGGAGAAGAGCCTTTTGCCGAAAAAGGAAATGAATCTTTACGTGCCAATGTCCGACATGCAAGTTAAATGGTACCAGAAGATCCTGGAGAAGGACATTGATGCCGTGAACGGTGCGGCGGGCAAGCGCGAATCCAAGACTCGTCTGCTGAACATCGTCATGCAATTGCGGAAATGCTGCAACCATCCCTATCTCTTTGAGGGAGCCGAGCCTGGGCCGCCGTACACAACCGATGAACATCTTGTGTTTAACTCTGGCAAGATGGCCATCTTGGACAAGCTGCTGCAACGTATGCAGGTTGATGGCAGTCGAGTTCTCATTTTCTCTCAGATGAGTCGTGTTCTGGATATTTTGGAAGATTACTGTGTGTTCCGAGATTTCAACTATTGCCGCATTGATGGGACAACGGCCCACGAGGATCGCATCGCTGCTATTGATGACTACAACAAGCCTGGCTCCGACAAGTTCATTTTCCTACTCACTACTCGAGCAGGTGGCTTGGGTATTAACCTTACCAGTGCCGACATTGTCGTTCTTTTTGATAGTGATTGGAACCCCCAAGCTGATCTTCAGGCCATGGACCGTGCACACCGAATTGGTCAAACTAAGCAGGTCAAGGTCTTCCGTTTCGTTACTGAGAATGCCATTGAAGAAAAGGTTCTCGAACGCGCTGCGCAAAAACTGCGTCTTGATCAGCTCGTCATTCAACAAGGTCGCGCTCAGCAGTCGGGCAAGGCTACTTCAAAAGATGATCTTCTTGGGATGATCCAGCATGGCGCTGCCAATGTATTCAATAACAGGGACGATGATTCTGGCAAACCAGATGAACTCTCTGATGATATTGAGGCTATCTTGGCGAAGGGTGAGACGAGAACGGCCGAGTTAAACAAGAAGTACGAAAAGCTGGGCATTGATGATCTGCAAAAGTTCAGCTCCGAGAGCGCATACGAATGGAACGGACAGAATTTCACTGCACCAAAGAAAGATATCGGCATGACCTGGATCAACCCAGCCAAGCGTGAGCGCAAGGAACAGTTCTACTCAATCGACAAATATTACCGTCAGGCCTTGGCGACCGGTGGCCGGACTGCTGATACGAAGCCCAAAGTACCCCGAGCACCTAAGCAGATCAGCGTACACGATTGGCAATTCTTCCCTCCAGGCCTGCAGGAGTTGCAGGAGAAGGAGACCGCGTATTTCCACAAGGAAATCGGGTACAAGGCTCAGCTCCCCGAGGGTCCAGAGGAAGAGCTAAGCGAACGTGAAGCCGAGCGGGATCTGGAGCAACAAGAGATCGATAATGCCCAGCCTCTTACCGAGGAGGAGCAGGCTGAGAAGACTCAGATGTCCGAAGAAGGATTCTCCCACTGGAATCGTCGTGACTTCCAACAGTTTGTCAACGGATCAGCCAAATTCGGACGCACTGACTACGTTGGCATCGCGACTGAGATCGATAGCAAAGAGCCAGATGAGATTGAAGAATACGCGGAAGTCTTCTGGCGTCGGTATACCGAAATACAGGATTACCCGAAGTACCTTCGCGTCATCGACCAAGGCGAGGAAAAGCTGCGCAAAATGAATCACCAGCGCAAGATGCTCCGCAAGAAGATGGAGATGTACCGTGTGCCTCTGCAGCAGCTCAAAATCAACTACACTGTGTCTACAACCAATAAAAAGGTTTATACCGAGGAAGAGGATCGTTTCCTTCTCGTTATGCTTGACAAGTATGGCGTCGAGGGAGATGGACTCTACGAAAAAATCCGGGACGAGGTTCGCGATTCGCCTCTCTTCCGCTTTGACTGGTTCTTCCTCAGCCGTACCCCGGTGGAGATCGGTCGGCGCTGCACCACCCTTCTAAATACCATCGCAAAGGAGTTCGAGCCCGAGGGTAAGGCCAATGGGGAGGGCAAAGGTCGTGGTCGGGACCGGGATGAAGATGAAGAGAACGATGACGCGGTCCAGCCTGCTAAGAAGCGGGCTAAGAATGGCGCCACAGTAAGTTCGATTCGAAAAACACCAATAGGTTTCGGCATACTAATCTCTCTGTAGGCTAAACAAGTCAAACAGACCAAGGCTGCCAGTAAAAATGCCTCGGCTTCAACCTCAAGAGCAGCCAGCGTTTCAACCGCGCCTAAGACAAAGGGTCGAAAGAAATGAAGTGATTTTACGCGTGTCATTTGTCAACAATAGTTTGCTATCCCAGGGAGGTGCTGTGGGTTTGGGTACGGAGATCGGCGTTAACAGATGATTTTTTACACTTTGTAATGGCAAATCAAATAGAATTATTTTATCCCATGGTGATTTGAACCTGCAATGTTCGTCCTGTGCCCTGTATCGTGAGCGCCGTCCCCGCCCGGCTGATACACTCGGAGCGCCGATCGGCGTCCCCGATGCTACATCGATCGTTAGTGGGCTACTTAACACACGCTAATTCTCCTGTCAGGTGTGATGACGAAAGAAACACTTCACAGCAGGGGGTCCAACTGGTAGGGGTCATATCATTGGCATATAAATGCTCAAGGCTATCTTCATGATCAAAGCCACCGACCCCAGTGGCCCCATAGAATCATCTATCTGATACTCGAGGTAAACCAGATCCGTGACTGCAAAACCGGATATCTAGCAAGCTATATCCAGAATGTCTGTTATTAAATTCCTCAAATCCAAATTAACTCGTCAGTCTCGCCAGTCCACCGCCATGTCAACAACTAGAATCCGGGTCGTTCCAAACCCCCGCTATCAAAAGTCGGGAACGAAGTCCTATGTTTATGCGATGCGCAAGTATGGCTTCAACCCAACAAAAAAGGGCCCCTATTTTATCGGCCCAATGATGCAACAAACTGGTCGGCAGTTCACCAACAAGCCGGTCGGCGGTCGGGCTCACGTCCGCCAGGTCCTACAGAAAAAGAGTGCCGATGACCAAGTCGGCCAGGTTGGTGCTGATGACGTGCAGAATGATGCTATGTACTTGGCAGAGGTTGAAATAGGTACACCAGCACAGAAGTTGAACCTGGACTTTGATACTGGATCTGCAGATCTTTGGGTGAGCTTGATTCTGAAATCTATATGCCGATTGAAGAGGTGCCGGCCTTTTTAAAACTGACAAATGTGTAAGGTATGGTCGACAAAACTGCCATCAGTCACTTTGGCCCAGTATAAGAATCACACTGTCTTTGATCCGAGCAAGTCTAGCTCTTTTAAGAACAAGGATGGTTCAACATGGAGAATCTCTTATGGCGACGGGTCCTCAGCGGCTGGAACAGTGGGCAACGATGATGTGAACATCGGCGGCGTTGTAGTGAATGGACAGGCCATCGAGCTAGCGGATACACTGTCGGCACAATTTGCGAGTGGCGCAGGTGATGGACTTCTAGGTCTTGCGTTTAGCAACATCAATACTGTGCAACCGAAGGCAGTGCCTACGCCCGTGGACAACATGATCACTCAGTCAGATATTCTGAAGTCTAGTGCACTCTTCACAGCAAAACTGGGCTCGTGGCGTGATGCAGATGAACCAGATAAAGGGGAGTCGTTCTACACATTTGGTTTTATTGATCAGGACACTGTGAAAGAGGCTGGCGAAGATATCTACTACACGCCTGTTGATAAGAGCCAAGGCTTCTGGATGTTCAACTCGGCTTCAGCCACGGTCAATGGTAAGTCCATTTCTCGATCTGGCAACAAGGCTATCGCAGATACTGGTACGACTCTGGCCTTGGTGGACGATGAAACTTGCAAGGTTATCTATGATGCCATCGAAGGGGCCATCTACGATCAGGACAGCCAGGGGTATATCTACCCGGCTGATACCCCAGCTGATAAACTGCCTGCGATATCGTTCGCTGTTGGTGACACGCAATTTGTTGTGCAGAAAGAGGATTTGGGGTTTGCCCAGGCAAAGTCTGGCTATGTTTACGGTGGCATTCAAAGCCGTGGCTCGATGACTATGGACATACTCGGGGACACTTTTCTGAAGGCAATATATGCGGTAGGTCACTCGCGATTTCTTTTCTTGACCTCCAAGTTACGATGTATTGATTCAAACTTGCTATAGGTGTTTGATGTGGGCAATCTTCGATTCGGTGCAGTGCAGAGAAAGGAGCTGCACCAGAATATTTCTCCTCCACCTGAGTGAACCGGATAAGGAGTCCATGAGTTACATGAGGAATGATCTTGTCGATGAAATGTTATCTTGTGGCAGTCATTCACTCCGGGGTTAGTGTCACGAGACGGGGTGTGGTGTGATTTAGTGCTATAGCAGTATGTTCTATTATAGATAATGATTGAAGCTTCTGAATTATGACATATCAATAACCACCTTCTGTGCTGTCTTGCGATACCCATTTTCTATAGCTTCGTCCAACTTCAGTGTCTCAAAGTCCCCCTCGGCTTGCGCTCGTAAGCTTCCTTGAGCTATCCAACTGTTTACAGACCGCAGGGAATCGGCCGTTACCTCGATCGTACGAGCAGCCGAATTGCATCCAAGCATTGTAATCTCCTTGCGATATGCTTGAAATATATCGAATGAAATTTTCTTGCTGGAATCACCCCTAGGTGCTGCAATCCATGCATAGCGTCCATTCATAGCCAACTGCTCCAGAGCAGCTGTCATTAATTTCAAGTCACCAACTGTGTCGATGACAACATCCACGCCCTTTCCAGCTGTTCTTGCGGATACTCCCTCCGTGAGCATTGTTTCTGGCGTTTCTGAACCGATGACTATGTCGGGTTTTGAATCTGGTCGTCTCGCGGCTGTCAAAACTTGTTTGCATCCGATTGCCCGGGCCATCTGTGAGGCCGCTGATCCCACAGCTCCATTTGCTCCAAGAACGAGAACCACATCGTTTTTGGTAACCTGGGCTTTGCTAATACAGATGTATGCGGTTGTGAATGGAACACCCACTGTAGCAGCCTGTAGGGATGATAATGTTGCAGGTTTCTCCACGAGCGCATCTTGCGGAATCAAGCAGTATTGCGCATGCGTTCCATCCGTGTCAAAGCCGAGAGTCGAGCCACTAGTTCCGTACACACTCTTCCCGATCCATGAGTTCGATGCACCTGACTTGTCGGCAACATCCAAAACAACACCAGAATAATCACGACCTGGAATGCGAGGGTAGGTGGTGTATGGGAAAAGACCTTGTGCATTCAGTCTATCCGATGGTTGAATGGAGGCGTAACTGATCCGGACAAGGGCATGGCCAGGCTTCAATAGCGGAATCGATTTGAAAGCTGTTGTGATTTCTGGCGGTGAGTTCGCGGAAGCCTTTGCAAGGTGCAGTGCTCTCATCTTTGCAGGTGCCATCTGGATGAGGTTTCGATGGCCACGGTTGTGATTAAGTTCAATTCTGGTGTAGATATGTTAGCGGGTGACCAACTGATTGGGGCCGACATGATCGGGAGCTGGTTTTATATAATAATTTTTCCGATTCCGACCGAACATTCTCGTTTGAACCCACAATAAAAGCAGAACGTTTGGATTCACGTCATAAGCACATTGTAAGAATGTGTGCTATGCTGGGCCAAATCATGCAAATCATGCACTCGGCACTTGGCCGCTCCGGAAATTGCGACCGGGCCGTGCGGACCGCGCGGCCCACGCGGTCAGTTTAGGGTTATCAATCAATTCGGAGAATAGAGTAGCGCCGGCCGGAACAAGATCTTCAGGGTGATGCGAGTAGGTGGAGCTTGGCCTGATTGAATTATTATTTCAGATTGTTTCATCTATCCCGCGCGATAATAAATGTCTGTTTTCATGCACTAAAGCCATAATCATTTCATAATGGCGACAAGCGCCTCCAGCACTGAAGAGCGAGCGAATATGAGCCACGATCTAGGTAAGAAACCCATTCAATATTCATCACGCTTGAAATTTTCTAAGTCTCCATGAAAAATTGCAGTGGAAAGCGCGTCCAGCGACACGGTGGCTGTTAAAGACTCCATGACCCCGGGCTCACAGAGGGACGACCCTGAAGCAAAAATCGATCAGCCAGCTTTTGTCGGTCTACCTCAGAATCGATTTCACGAGGCAGCCTTCATTTTGGTTGTTTGCTGCGCCCAACTTATGACCCAGGCTGGCCTGTCACTCTCGATTGCACCTCTCCAAATTATCAGTGACAGCTTCAACACCACGCCTAAAGACCTGTCGTGGGCATCTGCTGGGTATAGCTTGACTGTTGGAACTTTCATTTTCGTTTCTGGCAGACTTGGTGATGTATATGGTCATCGGCTCTTATTCATTGTCGGCTTCTTATGGCTTGGACTCTGGTCTATCGTAGGAGGATTCTCTGTATGGACCAATCCGAGATTTTTCAACTGCTGTCGTGCATTTCAAGGCATTGGGCCAGCCCTACTGCTACCGAACGCCGTTGCAATCTTTGGAAGGTCATACCCCCCCTGGGCGCCGGAAGGAAATGGTGTTTTGTCTTTTCGGTGCCGTTGCCCCGGGTGGATTTACCCTCGGCGCGGCATTCTCGTCGCTGCTCGCGGAGCGAGTTTGGTGGCCATGGGGTTACTGGATATTCGGGATCGCCTGTTTCATATTTGCAGTCCTTGGGTACTTTTCAATACCCTATGTGCCGCAGCAGAAGCCTTGTGAAGATCTTTCGATATTTGAGCGGCTTGACACATATGGTGCTATTACAGGTGTGTCGGGCCTCATCCTGATCAATTTTGCTTGGAACCAAGCCTCGCTAGTTGGCTGGGGAGTCCCATACACCTATGTGATGTTAATTGTTGGTGTTTTGATCATGGCCCTGTTTCTCTTCCTTGAAAGTAAGGCTGCGTATCCACTTCTACCTCGATCGGTACTTGTGGGCGAGGCTGGCTGGGTCCTGGGATGCATTGCTGCCGGATGGTCAAGCTTTGGTGTTGTGGTATTCTATTACTATAATATCCTTGAGGTGTTGGAGGGAAATAGTGGTTTGCTTGTGACTGCTAAATGGGCCGGCGCCTCTCTATCGGGGGCGTGTGCTGCTGTGATCACGGGTCTCTTGCTTGGACGTATTTCAGCAAGCATAATCATATTCGTTGCGATGCTAGCCTTTTCCGCAGGTCAAGCATTGCTGGCGTCAATGCCGATCGGCCAGGTATATTGGGCAAATGCCTTTGTGATTATGCTGATCACGCCATGGGGAATGTAAGTAGCCCTGACAATCTTTCTCCAACTTTGCACCGCTGACAATGACGCAGGGACATGTCTTTTCCATCTGGAATTGTCATCCTGAGCAATGCGATGCCGCAACAAGACCAGGGTGTTGCGGGGTCGCTTGTGAATACAGTGGTCAATTACTCGATTTCGATGGGACTGGGGTTTGCAGGCGTAGTTGAATATTATGTTGGCAATGATGGAGAAAATGTTCTTGTGGGTTACCGAGCCGCCTCATACACGGGTGTTGGCCTGGCTGGTCTCGGTACAATCATCGCCACCTGTTTCATGCTAGTGACTTGGCGAGACTCCAGGAAAGCTTCATCCTAGACATACTAATAAAAATATGTCACTGGTATGTGCTTAATCACGAGGGGAGGTTAAATTCCGTGGCCCATAGATAATCCAAGTCGAACGGCAGCTGGCCTGCAAGTAGAGGACTCAGCGATACCATATCTTGAGATAATTCATTCACCCTTTGCGTACTGATAGCAGCTTCTGGTGTCTCTGTTCCTACAATGCGTTGAAGTACTTCAACCCCTTTTCGTTTCTTATTCAGTGAGGCATGGACGAGTTGGCGAGCGGTTGAAAGAGCTTCCTTTGCCAAGTGGGTGTCCAGATGGCTAACGATGAATTCCAAAGTGTCCATGGCATCCACAAGCCTTTCACAGCTCGCTGGCGTATCCATAACGATCAGAGCACATACAAACTGGAAGACTGATCCAATGACATTCCACCAAGGTTGATTTTGGCTGACCAACTTTCTTGCTGCAGGTAAGGCTACCATACCGGCAGAAATGATTTTTTCATTGTGGCCATGGTGATACTTGGCATCCAAAACACGAAGCCGACGATAAATACCCAGAACAAGGTCTGTCCGTAAGAGTACAAGAAAATCGTGGTGGACAGCAGTTTCGGCAATCTTTTCCAGGGCCAAGAACAGCTCTTGGGCCAGCACTGCGGTATCTTCTACGTGCTGGTGTGTAGGTAATGCAGCAACAAGACGACATAGCTGCGGTGTCAAGTCTGTCGCACGACTTTTGTAATCAGCATATTCAAGCACCCGTCGATTTATTGCTAAGATAGATCTTCCATACTCGAAAGCGACGAGAACATGAAGACAATTTGCTACTTGGGCAATGCGATTCATGATATTAAGGGCTGGCGGAATCGGTGCATCATTCCCCCCCAGCTTGGATGACAGATTCTGGTGCATGATGAAGGCCAGTTGCTTCAACGAGATGCATGATCGTACAGCTGGAAAGCCAAGTCACGTGTGGCCGCCCTGTACAACGAAGGTACAAAGTTCGCAGTATCCAGGCTGCAATTTGCTCGAGAGAAGGAAACCGGCTGAGATCGGAGTCCTCTAAAATATTTTTAGCGTGCAAAGTGAGCCACATCTCCGTCTCTTGGTCTATCCGCTCTTTGAACAGAGATGCCAAGGCAATAACTCCACAGATCATGGCCTCGAAAACCAAGTCTTGCGGCTGCCCATGCCAGTGCATCTCGCATCGGGTGTAAAAGGAATCCATGTCTAGAAATCCAAAAATACGATTTACTATAGCGGAGTAGACCTCAATCAAGCTTCTTGCAGTATTCCATAAAATGCGCTCTGTGAGCTCCGAATGCGCCGCACAAGGCGGCTCTTTCCGGATGCCAGTGTGATACGCAAATGAGTGCAGACGTGGAAGTTTCGTTGCTTGAAGCTCTAATCCGACGTAAAGAGGAAACGCAATCGATGAATATCTTCCCACATATCGAGCTTTGGAGGGCTCGAGCACACCAGGGAGGATAGAGGCTCCAGCGTCTTGCTTTGAGGCATCTGTTGAGTGATCCACACGGTCAAATTTCGGACCCCGCTGGCGTGACAATTGACTTGGCGAGCTTGCTCGTTTCTGAGGTACAATCTGAAATGTTTCATCATATTCACACTCGTAGTCGTATCCTTGGCAAACATTGCAAGGTAGTTTACCGTCACATTTTCTCTTGCGGCGTCGACATGGCAGACAAGCTTGCCTCGAGCGTTGTCGTGCAGGACCAGGGGGCAATGTCGAGTCGATCCGTGAGGAGTCGGGTGCAGAGTTAGATGACATCCCAGAATGTTGAGCTCCGATGGTCTTGTTGAAGTTGGTAAAAGTGAAGATTAACGGCATCCGGCACCGCTAACAAACGAAACCGAGCCACGTGACCGTATTAATGGAAATCTGAGGCGATGTTCCCTTTTTTTCCATTTGAGTGCTCACTGAATTCTATTTTTTGCTCTCTAAATAAATATAGGCATTTATCGAGGTATTGGAGCAGATAAGTTATTATAATGTGGTCACACTACACTTCTGCGCCAAAGTCCCGAGTTTTGCGGATTACCTGTCGTGAAATATACAACAATGGCACCTTTTTCGATACAGTACTACTATTACTACTATTACTACTACTAGTATCAAAGATATGGGCAATAAACAATTGGCTATTAATTTGTAAATAAATTCAAGTTGTTGCCAAGCATAATTGAGGATATTTGAATCATTCTCTTGGAATCATGGACTTCAAGACACGCATCAAAACCTTGGTTACTAATTGTTCTCGGGGTGCTAAATCTTCGCTGTCAACATTGCCGTCATGGGAACCATTCTGGGACAGTGTTTGCCGATGGAAAAACTATGGAATGATGCGCTCCCAGGATCATGCTACCCGGGGCGAAAAATGAATCAGAACTACTCATTTTTTCAGGCTAGTGGGCTGCCTTCTCGAAGCGATCAATAAATAAAACTCACACGTTTCTCCAGGTTTCAATGTCCTCTCCGACGCGGTATTGGCTTCGTACCCGGTCCATCTTTTCTGGAAGCTTCAAATGAAACTACGAATCAAGATTGCTCTGTCTATCCTGATGGGCCTTGGCTGGGTGTGCGTGTCTTCGTCTTGGAACAATCTTGAATCTGGCCATAGATTCCCATGCTGACCAAAAACATAGGAGCTGCGGTATGCTCCACCCTCAAACGCTATGAACTAAAATCGTTGACCGAGACAGACGATGTTACCTGTACGTGGCTACCCTTGGAACAAATTTTAAGCACACATACACAAACTGACTTATCTATTAATTTCACAGATGCACAATCCTCCCTCCTTGTCTGGGCTTCCACTGAGGCTTGGATTATCATAATTGTGGGCCGCGTTCCGCCCATTCGCCTCTTGATGGAACGCATTCTCCAACACCTCGGTCTCACCAGGAAGAAGACGTCAACTCCTTACTACGACCAGAACCATCAAGCCTACGGTACATATGGAACCAATAGATCGCACGTTGCAGCCTACTCAAACCATCAATCAATCGCATATAAAAACCGTAAGCCGCGTGGGCGAGAGGAGGATAACTTGGCTTGAGTGGAACTCACAAATGCTCGGGATTCCAATGATAGTAAAGGGCAGATAATCGGCGATACAAATATTATGATCACTACAGAGTTTGGGACGCAATTTGAGGAGCACAATGCTCACTATACTGGCTCATCAGCTACCAGCCAGATTTCGGGTGAGGGTGGGATTGGAGGCTCTCACACTGATATACAAAAGGTGGTTTGATGCACTTTATTACAATGCGCTCAAGTCTAGGTTTATAATATAACACCATCGATCTACTGCAAAGCAAGGGTCCACCATAACAGATTCATTCTAAATGTATTCAGATCATTTTATAAGAGAGTAGTATCAACGTTGGCGCACTGACACTTCTTTGAGGCGAGGGCATAGGGACTACGAGCTCGGAGGAGGAGCGATTTTATGGGTGCAAGAAAACATCGCGAGCAAATAGAGAATGTCACAATATCATCCGACTGGGGAATGAAACTGACAGTATGAAAAGGAATGATAAAGGCAGCAAAATGAAAAATTCTCAAGATCTCAAGGTCTGTCTTTATTTTTCTGTTTGGCCCTCTGTTCGGCCGAGTCGCTCCAAATAGACTCGCAGGCTATGGTAAAACGACACAAAAGTTGTGTTTGTGCAAAAATCCGTATTCGAACTTAGAATTATGAATTGAGAATATCAAAGGTCCCCCCCACTTGATGATCGGCTTGATTACTTTGCCCTTGTGTAGATCTTCCAATGCTTGTTCCAAAGAGTCTGAATCATAAATCTTGGCCAGTTTGTCGACCGGGAACTTGCCCTGCTTATACCAGTCGATTAATTGGGGGATAAGCTATGCAGACGTCAGAAATGGTATAGGGTACAACCGTTGGCACTATTTTGATAAATACCTTGGCTGGATTTGAAGAGCCCTCAATGGCGCCGACAATGCGTTTGCAGTTAATCATAAACTCCAGCGGATCGATGCTGAGCGACGACCCACCAGGGGTAACACCCACGATGGCAAGAATACCCTCATGATCCAGAGACTTTACAGCTGATTCAAGCAGAGAAACAACACCAGTTGTATCAAGAATCTGATCAACCCCGTCTGGGAACAGATTACGAAGCCCTTCGTTGAGAGATGAGACGCTCTTAGTGTTCAGAGTATGAGAAGCACCTAGAGACTTGGCAAGTTCAAGTTTTGCATCAACAATATCGACCGCAATAACATTCTCGACGCCTTGAGCCCTGGCAGCTAACAATGCAGCAAGGCCGACCGCTCCCATACCCAGAATTGCAAACCGGGATGTTGGCTTTGGTTTAAGGACGTTGATAACGGTACCAGCTCCAGTGAGATAGCCACAGCCCAGAGGAGCAAGCAAAGCCAAGTCGCCTTCAGTGACACTGGGAGAGGCCTTTACCACAGATGTATCCGGTACGATTGCCAATTTGCTCATTGAAGACTGACCAAAGAACTGACCTCGGAGGGGTTGACCGCTAGCAGATTTGATGGGCGAGTCAACAGCAGATATGCCTCGTGCACCACCGAAGTTGATTGCAGTTATATTGCGACAGAATCCATTGCGATCTTCATCGCAGGCAGAGCAATTGTTGCACGAGGTAAAGCTCAGGAGAACCAGATCACCTTCACTCAAGGTCTTGTCTTTTACAGCACTACCGACGCGGCGTACAACACCGGCGCCTTCATGGCCAAGCACAGCAGGGTAATCACCGACAGGAATAGCACCCTGTTGAACAACAATATCCTATAACCCAGGCACATATTTTAGTGGTGAAACCTATGATGTCATCCTGCATGTTCGGGGGATCTTACAGTATGACAGAGGCCCGTGTACTTCATCTCGACCAGGACCTCATTGCTTCGCACTTCATCCAAAACCACATCGCGAAGAACAAACGGTGAGCCTGGTGCGTCAACCACAAAGGCCTTGGTGGGAATCTGTGTCTCGGGAATCATGGCGGGGCGGTAAAAATACGATTTGATGGCTTCAATTTAAACAACCATTCCTTGGTAATAAGGAAAAATCAAGCAGAGAGAGACTAGGAAGAGATCTCATCTTTTATAGAGTTAGATTGAGATCGGACGAATGTCGATCGCATTGCAAGAAAAGCTATTTGCGGGTCCTTCCCCGCAGAACCAGATAAATCGAGACTATTCCCCACATTCCCGCGACTTCGGCGATGAAAATCGGTAGGTACGTACATGCCCCGGCAGAAAGGATGGTCGGGCCGCTGCCGCGAAATTCCGCGCCAGCCTGCAATCTCTCATTCAAGTTATGAGCCAGTGCGGGGAGATAGACTTTGCCTCAATTTTAAATTCCCAGTCGGGCTACAATAAGGTAGATATAATTATTGAATGCCGTCTTCAACGCCGTGTTTTACGATTAAACTCCACATATTGAACCTTGGAAATGATGCGATGCAAAATTATCGAGAAAAACTCCATAGTAGATATTGTACAGCAAGGTATCTTATGCAAATGCAAAAATATAGTTACAGTCCAGTCAAGCCCATCGTCGTATTAAGACTTGTCTCCTCTCTTCTTGGCCAATTCGGATACTGCTAGTGGGGTTCGCAAGAACATCTCCATGAGTAGAGCTGCAGCCACACTGACATTCAGACTGTCAATTCGAGCGGGATCGGATTGCGCGCCCAACTCGATACTGTGGCGAGCACCGGGAATGCTAACGATCGCATCTGCATGGGATTTGATATGCGAACTCAACCCTGATCCCTCGCTCCCCATCATAAGAACACTAGGTGCTTGGGAGGTAGGAAGAGCACCAGCTTCTGTTTGGCCTGCGCCTGAATGACGACTGAGATACTCAGCACCGGGACCGGGCGCATCAGCCGCATAAAAGCGCCACCCGTTGTCTTTGGACCGTTGGATGAAATCGACCTCATTTTTGACATGAAGAAGGGTCATGTTTTCGGCAGCGCCAGCAGATGCCTTGATGGTCACCGGGGACAAAGGAGCGCAGTTTCGGCCAGCGAAGACTATCGCATCAATTCCCAGAAAGTACGCCGATCGGATGATGGCGCCCATATTTCCCGGATCAACAACACCATCTAGAAGCAAAGCGACGGGGTATCGCTCACTCGGCCGACCTTGCATCGTGGGCGCTTGGATGATGGGAATACGATCACCCGTGCCATTGACTGCAGCTTCCTCCCGCGATTGGGGAGCCAGCTCAACTCGGAAGTGATCCTCAGTCGCCGAGGAGACTGGCAGGAAACCGCGCACGGGAAGCTTTGGCAACGGGGATGCCTCCAGCACACAGCCGTTATGAGGCCGACCGGCACTCATTTTGTCAAGGAGCCGATCCCAGCCTGCAAATGCAAGCTTGGCTTCAATATTTTTGGAGAGAGCAAGTTTGCGGAGAGCCATCTTGGTCGGACTCAGGTCTTCACCGGCAGCTTGGTAAATGTAGAGCTTGTATAGCTGACGTCGGCTACAGCGAAGCGCCGCCTCGACAGCGCCCGTGCCGTAGATGAATTCGGATGCCGGTGTAGTGTAAGGGATCGACTCGGGAACTTTGACATTTTCCTTTACTCGCTGCGGCATACCCTCTGTAGCTCGGTGGGCACGAGACCTGGATACAGCAGCCTTGGGCCTCTCTGACTGTTGGGGCATTCCTCGTTCAGTCCCGGGGCGCGATTCTCTTATATCTCTCTGTCCGCGAGGCCGGTGTTCTTGGGCTGAGCGTTCAAAGCTGCCGGTACGGATGAATTTGTCTTGGTCGAAATCGTTGCCGTGCGATTTTCTGTTGTATCGGGAGCTGGAGATGTTATCGAGCTTCCCATTTTTCATTGTATCGCGTGGTTTTCTCTCATTCTGAAACCTGGGGGGGTAAATCACGCCCGGTCCGATTTCCTCGTGACCCATCATTTCGCAATCCATCATTTCGTGGCCGGCGATAAGTGTCGTTGCTGTCCAATTCTCTGTCTCTAGCCCATGAATTCCTCGGAGGCTGCGATCTGCGGATGCCACGTCCAATGGCAGAATTCAAAGACGCGAATCGGACGGACGTTCCATTCTGCGGAGTGAGATATAAAAATGGCCGGGGAAATAAGCCTGGACGGCAAAATCTTGATGCCATTACCAAGAGGATAAGAATGAGGGAGTGATGGGATCCTATGGGAAGGTTCTCACTGAGGTAAATTTGCCCAGCAGAACCCAGGTCCCGATAAGATAGGAACAAAGTTCCTCCGGGGCCGCATGGTCAGCCGCGAACTGGGCGCGTTGTCCCGGGGTATCGCGTTTTCGATTGGACCTTTCCTATCGAGCCGATATGAGCTTCGTTTGACGTTTGCTCGTTTGCACTGTCGTGCTTCACTCCCCCTCAACCTCGTTTCCTAATTTGATTCCTCTCGAACTTCGCGCAGCCTTCACCCTCTTTGTGGCATCTGATATATCCGAAATTCTCATTCTCACACTTGACCTCTCAATTCCACCTTACTACACTCTCTTATCTTCTACGATACACTGGATACAGTATCCGATCCCGCTGTGCCTCATGTCTTATGGTGAAACTGCCATCTTGGCCATTCGCTAGTCAAAAAGCAATGAATACTCGCAATCCAATTCACCTGCACAATCACCTATGTCTCAAATTGGTGACCACGCCTCTCCCGGCTCGGAGGACCCTGATGCCAGGGTTGTTCAGGTCATGAATCAATTCAAGAGCTCGGTCTTTCAGCCCGCGCCCGCGCCCGCGCCCACACCCGCACCCCAGCCTGAACAACCTATCAAGACCCCTCCGCTCGAAGCACCCACGCTGTCCATCGCAGTTGGAGTTGCTCTTCCGACAATTGAAAACATACATGAATATGAGTACCTACCTGGTCATTTCGTGGTCCGTCGAATCCTCCAGCTAGACGCGGAGGATCCAAAGAAGCCATCCTACACCGTTCGCCTACAGAGCGGCGAACGTGCAACAGTAAGATATTCTTTTTCCAGCGAGCCTTTTCGATAGGGTGGTACCTCTAATATCGACATTTCATCGCTGCTTAGATGCCTCACGACAGACTCATGCAATTGGAGAACAGCGTTTCAGCCCTCGACCACTTCAACCCCGATTCCGATTCCGACGATGAGTTGTTGGTGGTTGGAAACCGCTCTATCTCGCCCCAGCATCATTTTGGCGGGGATGGAGCGTCGGATAGCTCAAGCGTGGGTGGCTCTGGACACAGAAGGACTCGGAACAAACGACGTCGCACTGCTGCGGCTGTAGGCCAGTATGCTTCGTTTTACCGATTTGAGGACAGCGACCAAAGCAGCAACGAAGATGACGAGCCAAGTCGATCACATACATATGCAAGGCGCAGGCTTCGGCGGGGCAGCCGAAAGTCAGATCAGATGTCCACGACTCCTTCGGAAGGCTACTCGACGCCAAATCCCAACAGGCGTAAATCATCTCGCGCTAGGAGAAGTTTGCGTGGGAATTTGCGAGAGCGATTTGAAGATGACGTTTCTGAGACGGAGAGCATTCGCCCAAGACAGCAAAAATATTCCGGTGCTAGAGAGGCATTTCGAAAGATCCCGCGCGATGATGATTTCAGAATCCGACACTTTGCATGCTGCGCTACGTGCAGTATCTATGAAGACGACCCAGAGAAAGGAGATCTTGTTTTTTGTCAAGGTTGCAGCTCATCATATCATCAAGTTTGTCTGGGGCCCCGAACTACCCGGGATCATCTCGTCACCAAGATTGACGAGGGCAACTTTGTCCTACAGTGTCGCCGCTGTCTGGGAATTGCCAACGAAAAGCATGATGTTGCTCCACACCTAGGATCCTGCGCAATTTGCAAGGAAAAGGGGCCCATGTCAGAGCCACTCAGGCAGCGTCTGACATCAAAAGAAGAACAGCAGCTTCGCATCGCCAATGGAGGCACAGACCCCGTCACGCCAGTCGATATGGCTCAGGTGAACAACATCGACAACGTTCTTTTCAGATGTGCTAGCTGTCAGCGGGCTTTCCACTCAAAACACCTCCCCTCGGTGAAAGGAGATGATAACTCGGAAGTGTTTGCAGACCATATCAAACACTGGCAATGCAGTGATTGCTCTGAGGCTCTTGGCGAAATTGATGAGCTTGTTGCATGGCGTCCCGTTGATGAACAGCTCAAGAACTCAGCAGGCCTCATCGGCGAGGCGGTTCCAGAGATCGAAAAGGAATACCTTATCAAGTGGAAACAAAAGTCCTACTTCCGCACTAAGTGGATGCGAGGAGATTGGGTATGGGGTTTTGGCAGTCCTGCCATGCGCCGAGCGTTCTACAATTCACCCAAGTCTGACAACCCGATCTGGACGACCGAGAAAGCGATCCCCGAGGAAAACTTGCGAGTCGACATCGTATTTGACGTAACATACCGAGAAGCTACCAAGACAGAAGATGAAATGGACCCGGAGATGGTCGAATCAGCTTTTGTGAAATACAAGGGATTGAATTATGAATCTTCTGTGGTGGAATCGCCTCCCGATCCACTTGATAAAGACCGATGGGAAGATTTCAAAGTTGCTTTCAGCGACTGGCTCTTGCGTGACACCATCCAGCCTCCCAATCGAAGCGTTTTGAAGGCCCATTTATCGAAAAGTCGGCAACAAAATTTTGAGCAAGACCTGGCCTTACGGGTCCAACCCGAACTTCTGACTGGCGGCGAACTCATGGAATACCAAATGGATGGTATCAACTGGCTTTACTACAAGTTTCTCAGAAAGGAGAATGCCGTCTTAGCCGATGATATGGGCCTTGGTAAAACTGTCCAAGTGATTGGCCTTTTCGCAACCCTCATTCAAAGACATCAATGTTGGCCGTTTCTGGTGGTGGTACCCAACTCGACTATTGCGAACTGGCGACGTGAGATCAAAATGTGGACACCGAATGTTCGGGTAACCACATACTTCGGCTCGGCATTTTCACGTCAAACGGCTAAAGACTACGAAATGTTTCCCCAAGGAGGGCGTGATCTCCGGTCACATGTCGTCATTGCTTCATATGAGAGTATGGTCGACGACGATGCCAAGGATAGAGTTCTGAAAAAGGTGCACTGGGCAGGTCTGGTTGTCGACGAAGGACAGCGTCTCAAAAATGACAAATCTCAACTTTACGAGTGTCTTCGTCGTATGAAATTCGACTTCAAGGCTATTCTTACTGGCACGCCTCTTCAAAATAACATTCGAGAGCTGTTCAATCTGCTTCAATTCATCAATCCAGACCTTGATGCCGAAGAACTTGAGGAACGCTATAGTGAATTGAACAAAGAGAACATCAGCGCTCTTCACGAGATGATTCGGCCATGCTTTTTACGTCGGACCAAGGCCCAGGTTTTACCATTTCTGCCACCGATGGTACAGATCATCCTACCCGTTTCGATGTCTGTCGTGCAGAAAAAGCTCTACAAATCAATCCTCGGGAAAAATCCAGAGCTGATCAAAATGATCTGCAAGAAGCAGACAGGCCAGTTGAAGAAGGCAGACCGGCACAATTTGAATAACATTCTCGTTCAGCTCAGAAAGTGTCTTTGCCATCCATTCCTCTATAACAGAGACATCGAAGAGCAAACCCATGATCCACTCATGACTCATCGGCATTTGGTAGAGGCCTCTGGAAAGCTTCAATTGCTAAATCTGATGCTGCCAAAGTTGCGTGAGCGCGGAAACAGAGTTCTCATCTTCAGTCAGTTTCTGCAGAACTTGGACATCGTTGAAGACTTCCTCACTGGTCTCGACCTGAAATACTGCCGCCTGGATGGAAACTTGTCATCTCGGCAGAAGCAGCAACAGATCGATAGTTTCAACGCTGAAGATTCCCCTTATTTCGCCTTTCTCCTCTCTACTAGATCTGGCGGCGTGGGGATCAACCTTGCCACTGCAGACACTGTGATAATCATGGACCCAGACTTCAACCCTAAGCAAGACATGCAAGCTTTGTCTCGTGTTCATCGAATCGGTCAAAAGAACACCGTTCTTGTGTTTCATCTGACAACAAAAGCTTCTGTGGAAGAGAAAATCATGCAAAAGGGCAAAAGGAAGCTGGCGCTGGACCATGTGCTCATTGAGCGCATGGAGGCGGACGAAGACGAAGAGGATCTTGAGTCAATTCTCAGGCATGGTGCTCAAGCGCTTTTCGAGGATGATAATGCCGCCCATGTCCAGTACGACTCTGAATCAATCGATAAGATCCTGGATCGCAGTCAGGCTGAAAAGGCGGAGGAAATTTCTGGCAGCACTCTCAATGCATCGTCTGACCAGCCCCAATTCAGTTTCGCGCGCATATGGCAAAACGACCGCGGTACACTTGAAGAGGTGAACGAAACGGAAGACACGCCTGTAGACGACACTGTTTGGGAACAGATCTTACAAGAGCGTGAGCAGGATGCCATCGAAGAATCCTATCGAAAAACGGAGGGCTTCGGTCGGGGCAAACGCAAGCGAAATACTGTGAACTACGAAACCAGAGAGGAGGAGGTCCGTGACTTTGATGGCATTCAATCACCTCCCTTCAAAGTTTCCCAAAGGCAAGGTCTTGAAAGCGACACCGATTTCCAGCAGGAAGACAACGGTGAGGCATCCGATTCTCCAGATGAAGCAAATGATATGGAAATAGACATTATGGACATTGATACGCCGCTTGTCGATGTGAAGACTCGTCCGTTCAAGCGAGTGCAGCTACCACCGCCATCAACCTCGCTGTCCGTGAGTGGCGATGGCACCCAAGATATTACTCGCCATGCTTGCATTGTATGCAGTCAACACCATGCCCTTGGTCGCTGCCCATTAAAGCTGGCTGGCATTGAGCACTGTCCCCTCTGTGGCCTGGCGCACTTCGGCAGAAACCGAAGTTGCCCCCATCTACGCAGCGAAGTTCAAGTTAAACGCATGATGGAGGCGTTGAAGGCGAGCAAAGAACCTTCTGGGTATGTCGCCATGGCCAAAAAATATCTCCAGGGCATTTTGGGGGATCTCGGTCAGCGCGCACGCAGGAAGGCTGCGAAGGAGGCAGAGCGAGAGCTTGGCCGAAGCATGCCTCAGGCTCCGCCATCTTCGGCTCCAGCATCTTCGGCTCCAGCTCCAGCTCCGCAAACCACCCCGTATTCTATGCAGCAATATTCTCCTGCGATGACTTCGGCTCCCAATCCCGAGGCCCTCGGCCAACACGGTTTAGTCTCGTCAAACGACTTCGGTCTTCAATACCAGCAGACCCAATTTCAGCAGCCGAGTCACTCTCAGCAATACTAACGATCATTTTTTTCGAGCCCGAGTACTTGCTACATTCCACTGATTGATGTTTTCGCTATGGCTCAATTATTACGCGGCCAGCGGAGTCCATGGGATCTTCACAATGAATGAAACTGTTTTCTCAAGTTTTTTTCGCCAGCTTTTGCGGCACATGCTATGCCATTTTTATTGCCATTCCTTTCCATCTTGTTGATGAGCTACGAACGATGATATACCCCAGATGCGTTAGATTAGAATACAACTTGAACCGTCGCATGAAATGCCACCAAGAAGATTCCATACTCTCGAATTTTTGTAGACATTCTCAAGTACTAAGCTAGTACTCGTATGTTTGTATAGAGCCGTCGAGGCATACATGGGCACAAAGGTCCTGGCTCTGGAGGCGCACCAAAAATAGACCTCAACATCGAAATTTGGAAGGATTCCAGTGGCTCAATTTGTCCCGCTATGCCTCCTAAGCAATCATTTCCAGCTCCACAGAATTATGTTGACGCCTTTCAGGGGGGGTCGCCCGTTCAGATCTCCCCGCAAGCTGAAATTGTTTGGAATACTGGAAATTTTTGGTTTGAACAATCTTTCGCAAAAATAAACGACAATGGTGAAAGCCGAGGTTCCTGTATTCATTCAGATCAGGCTTGTCTTGTGCAGTTCGGACTCCGATCAGCATGGACATGCCACATAGTCAGTTTTCCTGGTCCGGGGCCACTGCACTGGGCACTGGCACTGGCACTGGCACTGGCACCCTCGATCTTCCAATCAATCGCTTCTCCCGGATGGCAGTGTATTTCTCAGCAAAATTCTCATGGCTTTTACCGGCCGCTGGTTGTTGTTCTGCCAAGGTATTGTTCTTGGCGCACGAGTCACGGTTTAAACAATGTCACTTGACCGCCCACCCCTGTTTATGCCAAGACGAAGTATGAACTTTAAATCCACGACATTGCTTCCCGTGGGATTGCCTTTAGCAAGCCCCCATGGAGGCAGTGTTGTGCTTCAACGTAATAGACGCAGTTGAAGTGATGCTTTATGGCCCTTTGATACAGTGATAGAGCGTTTTAAGCAGGAGCCCCGTAAATGTGATTGCGGCGGATAAACAAGGCGGTACTGTAAGAGATTGAAGCATTGTTAGCATAGCTTCTCCCATGATTGAGATCTTCACTGATCGAAAAGACTTGCCGCAGGAGTTGCCGTAGATCTCACAGCCAGCTTTCCCCCTTTGGATCATGTCGGCAGGGTGTATGCAAGCATTGCATACACGATTCAGAATAGTTAAATAAGGCAGTGTCGTTGGCGAGAAGAAATTATCATTCCTGGCGTGGTTGAAAGATGCTGTTTGTCTGTAGCTGCACATAACACGTGGAAAGGTAGATTGCGATCCCAACTGGATGTTTCCAGCAAGTACCCGGTGGTCGTGAATCTGGCCTGGCACAAATTAGACAGGAGCAATTCAAAAATCGACAGCATAAAGGTTACCTTTGAGAACTCCAATACCAGACATCTTCTATTTTCATGACAATGAATATGTATGCAGGCCTTTGATTGGGGTTGTCTGTTGTCTTCTGTCTTGCATTTTTGGTCTTGAGAGACTGGCTAGGCAACTACGGTTGGCATTAGGGAAGGAGCATTAAGCATTAAGCATTGCATTAAGCATCCGGGCACCACCAAAATGAGCAAATACACGCACCCTTTACACTTTTGCACATTCACTGTTTCACGCGGGGCTGATCTAGTAGATAGTAGTACCCCGGATGTAAGGTCCCCACGTCCGCTCTGCTGATCTTATATTATGGGACTAGTAGACTGTATGGTGATGTTAGTGGATATAGAGCAGGAGGTGCATTCAATGCGTGGAAACAAAAGAGCCATAAGTAGATAGGGTCGCCGTCATTCACTGTTCTCAGAGAGCAGGTTCGCTTCAGGTCCTACCAGCCACTGCCACTACTACTTCCCCTCCCCCCCCTCAACTTCTCTCACTTCTCTCACTTCCTTTCTCTACCACCCGCTCTCCCACCTATTCCTCTCGTCTCCAACATCTTTATTTCATCTTGAAGCATATTGCGTCCATCCATAAACTCCATCTTCATCTCTGTTCCCGTCACTTTCAGCCTTTCAGCCTCATAATTTTGACATCTCAGATCAATATTTCTCAATCTCTGACACCCAATATGAGTGCTCCACCTCCTTTGTTCTTTTGCTCCCGCCCAGATGGGACCCTGACCCCCCCTGATGCCACTTGACGAGATGCCACTCAACATGGTGTTCCGTGGTGTTTCACGCGTCATCAGCCCAAGCGAGACTCAGGGCATGACCAGTTGTGGTGTTTCCACCAAACGCGCAGAATGCTGGGCCATCGAAAGTCTCGGCCAGGACCAGCCGGTCAAAGACCCAGAGATCAACCAGAAGATCCGCAAGATGCTCGTGGACGTCCTCAAGCTCGAAAACATTCCTGCAGCAATTCGCCAGGATGTCTCAAACCTGATCGCCAAAGGCATTGAGGCCTTGGATGTTACTACTCCCGCTGCGCAGTCGATGGCGGTTGTCCCGGCTCCACCCATCCAGACATGCCTAGGTACTGGAGTTGTCAATCACCAAAAGCCACAGGTGAGTACCCTCTGTTCATCTTGACACCTCCACAGTCTGACTGATCCTTCTTTTTTAAGGGCTCGAAGAAGAAGGAGTTTTGCTCCTACTGGATCCGTCACGGAGAATGTGACTACCAGCAGCAGGGTAAGTTCCTCTGGTCTGACTTTCAAGAAATTTGTTCTAACTTTCCCCCCTCGAAGGCTGCCTGTTTCGACATGCCATGCCAACCCAGCCCGAAGCGCTGGAGAAGCTGGGCCTTCGTGACATCCCACGCTGGTACCGTGAAAAGTTCAACTTGGCAAGTGTTCTTCAGCAAGGAGGGCCCCGACTGCAGCAGCCATTCATCACCATGGATGCCCTGCCTGCTACCCAGAAGGCGATCCAATACGCCGATCATTCGGAGGGCACGCAGTCGACCCACGCTGCCATGAACCACCATGGCCATCCACACCACAGCCAGAACCCCGGCTATCAGTACCCCCGCGGGGACAGCTGGGGAGAGGCTCAAAGCCCCTCCCGTGGTGGTTATGGTGGCAGCGGCATGCAGGGAAGAGGTCGTGGCGGCCACCCAAATGGTCCCTATTACAAGAACGGCCAAAGTACTTGGAACCCTCAGGTCACTCCCCAGTCTCCCTCCCAGCCAGCGATTGGCAGTTTCCCTGTTCACAATGCTCCGACCGGCCCGAGTGCCCAACCAGCGATTGGCAGTTTCCGCGTGGGCAATTTTTCCACAGCCTCGAGAAAGCGACCTGAGTCCACCTTCGCCCAGGTTGCTGCCCGTGCCGGTGGCCTGGCCACCCCGGAGACTTCTCCCAGCGTGGGCTCCAGCAATTGTACCAACAATTCCGGCGGTTCCACTGTGAATATTTCTCAATCGGAGCATGGCGTTGGCAATCGATCTCAAACCCACAAGGTCATTCATGAGAGCATCATGAACCCCGAGGAAGCTGTTGGACCCCTTACTCAAGGTATGGGCCAGCTCGACTGCTTCGGGCTTCCTCCGGTAACCAAGACCGAGGAAGACTTCCGCAGAGGCCATCGCCGACTCTTTGCCCCGGGCTTTGGCCACGATGGTGCTGATTCCTGGTGCGACGTCGTCGATGACTTCGTCGACGTCTTTGAGGATCCCGCTTTCGCGGAAATTGAGGCCATAAAGCAGTTGGTTTCCTCTGATGCTGCCAGACCAGAATCAAGCCTCCTCAATGCTCTCGTTGCTGAGAGCGAGCCGCTCGAGAACAAGCGGGCTCTGGCCAACTGGGGGCCCATTGGGGTCAAGACTAAGCAACCCGCGTCGACCAAGGCTTCCGCCCCTCCCCCTGCCAACATGACAGAGATCTCCAAGCTGAAGGAGACCCTCAGCGAGATCGAGGGAGCACCTGACCTGAGCGAAAGTTCAGCCATCGACATGGCTCGGCTGAGTTACCGCATGTCGAGCTCCTCTTCCTTCGACGGGGACAATGCCGCAGCTGCTTCGTGGTTCGACTTGGCCTACAAGGCCCACGCCAAAGCCGCCTTTGCCTGGCGGCGCAAGGTGAACGGCGAGTTCGGCTCATACTCTCCAAATGGGCCAGATGTCTACACGACCTGGCGGAGAAAGCGTGGAATCGAGGACTACCCGTACGTTACGGGTAGCCGCACTAAGGATCTCGCTTGCGGCTTCCGCGTTCCTTTCCCGGCTCCTCGTGAGTGTGCTCGACGAGATTCGTGGCTTCGTCTCCAGAAGAGACTGATGCGCGAATGTGCGCATCATTAAATGGGAGCATCGCGCTCCCGCAAGTTTAACGGTGCGGCAATCTATCGATATCAACATACCAGCTAATTCAGCCATGTCGCCATAACTTGCATTCATTTCAGCCCATACATCGCACGCATTCCAATATGTCCAAATGTTCTTTTTCGTTTGCTCCAAGGTTTGATGATCTACTTGTTTCCATTTGATCAGTCCTGTGAGCTACGGCAACAAGTTCATCAGGTTGTTTGTGCATACTCTCATACATCTTCCTGGCAATATATTGGGCAACAACGACGATTCACTACTGTCGGCTTTCACTTGTGGAAGACTTGACTCGATCAGACTGAGTTATTTATGAGGCTGAAAATACCGTGGAAACCACGCCTTGTGGCAGTTCCTTCGCTTTCATTCTTGATGCTTGCATCAGGAATCCCTTCCCTTTTGTTCCCTTTATTATTTTTTTTCATTTCCCGGATGCTTTTTTCCATTTCATTTTTTTAACCAACAAAACTTCCCAAAAAATTCGAGACCCCCTCCACTGCCACCTCCCATTCGGGCCATGGGATTTCTGTTTGTGTCGGCTGGGGATTTCTCTGTTCTTAGCATTTGTCCGTTACGAGCCTGCATCTTCCGGGCATTCTGGATGAGACCCATCCCTTCTCTCAATGAATACATTGACATTTAATCCAGCTCGTTCCCAGCTGCATCAAAATTAGTAGATGTCACGACATGACAAACAAAAAAAGTAACTAGAACGGTGTAGTTCCATACAGTTCCACCAGAAGCCCAATGGTACGCATTTCTATATGGTAAAGTTCAAGCGCACTAGGCAATTGGGAGAATCCACGAATATAGCGAGACGCCAATAAATTGAAAATATGACTATAGTACATCGATAATAAATGAAGCCAGTTAGACCTCCTTGAATATGCGCCCGCGCCTCGCAAATGTCTGACCACAAGTTTTGTCCAACATGAAAGAGAAAGAGATCATGCAAAGCTTATACACTGCTCAGACACGCTCCTCATCGTCGAGGCTGCTTTTTCGAACTCCGAGCCCCGACCTTAACAGCAACACGCTCCCGCTCCTCGGTTGCCTGGGCCTTGAGGGCCGGGTTCAGCGAGGGGAGAGACTGGATAGCCTGCGCGACAATCGAGTTGCCGTCGACAGCCTCCCGCTCCTTCGCGGCACTAATTCGTTCCGCACGACGAGCAGCCAGCTGCTGCCGGCGTGCCTCCGTCATGTTCCAAGAATCGGGGAAGCGAGGACGAATCTTGGGCTTGTGGTGACGGAGGTCCAGAGGGACGTCAGCGAAAGCGTCACCTTGCTTGGCTTCCTTAATGAGGGTGTTCACGAGATCGGCCAAGTAGCGTTTGTTCTGGGCACTGGAGCCAAATTGTTCGCAAGAGATTCGGACAACGTCGGTTTGCGGGTTGTAGCGGGTGCCAGCCAACTTGAGGAAAGTCTGGCGCTGGGCTTCGGTGAGGTGTTTGGGAATCAAATCTTGGGAGGCGAGCTCAACGACAACCTTGGGCTCAGCAGGGTGCTGTTCACCCATGTAGGAGGTATAGCGGAAACGGAGGATTTGGTTTTCGGCGGGCAGGTTAAAGGGTTTGGCGAGTTCTGCGGGGAGAAAAAACAGTCAGCCAATTGCACAGGGAGATGAAAAATCAAGGGTCCAACATACTGCTCAGCATTGGCATATCCCAAGCCGTGATGCGGGCGTACTCGCGCAGCTCGCGTTGCAATTCCATTTGGGCATGTGCCGTCGAGGTGATCTCGTCATCGTTAATTTCTTCGTCACCGTCTTCAACCAAGGCCAATTCATCGCTCTCATCTTCGGCCCAGAATCCGCGGGACTTGTCGCGAACATCCTCGAATCGGAGGTCGTGTTCCTTCTCAATTTGGTTGACGCTTTTCTCGAGCTCTGCGAATGCGGCAGCGCGCTTGTCGAGATCGTTGAAGTCGGCCACGGTGCGACGGTTCTCGGCGTCGAATTCGGCACGCTCTTCCGGAGACATCATATCGTACATTGAGCGCTCCTCCTTGCTCAGAAGGTCGGGCGAGTATTCAGGGACGGGTGGATAATCCTCCGCACGTAGTTCCTTGGGGGGAGGAGGCATCACCGGATCTTCTTGGACGAAGCGGAACGGCGAGGTCGAAAATGAGCGTGTAGAAAGAAGCCCAGGGCCCCTGTAGGCCAGGGACCTCGCAGAGCGAGTCAATACCCGAGCGGTACAGGCCATTGTAATGGAGCAATTGGAGAGACAAGGCGTATCGTAACTTTTCGAAGCCGCAACGAAGAGCGAAGAACAGTACTGTTTTCTCCGCGGTCAACGCTAGTCCTGATCAGGGAGGATCCAAACCACGTGATCCCGAAATGGCATGGGCAAGTCCGGCGACGGCGACTGCAACTTCCAAGCCTCGTTCAATCAAGGCTTGGATCACTAACAAATACAAGGATGATCCCCAATCCTTTGATACAATGGAAATGATATCAACAAAGCTTTGCCTCGTCACAGTTGGGGCTACCGCTTCATTTGAAAGACTGATCTGCCAAGTCCTCAATGAGCCTTTCCTCGCTCAATTGGCCAAATATCATTACACCCATCTTCTTGTTCAATATGGGAAAAATGGGGAGCAAATCTGGAATGGATTCAATGAAAAATTCCCGCCTGGGTGCGAGCAGCTTCACGGCATTACTGTTGGGGGCTTTGATTTCAAACCCGACCTATGGCGGTATATGCGCATGGCCGTGAAAGAGCGCAATCAAGATCTCGGCATCATCATTTCTCATGCCGGTATGGCCTGCAATATCTTCTTTGATTCTATCAAATTAACCCATGTCTCAGGCACTGGAACCATTCTGGATGCGCTTCGCTTAGCCTTACCTTTGATCATTGTGCCCAATCCCGATCTTGCGGACAACCATCAAGAGGATCTGGCTGTGGAAATGGAGCAAATGAAATACGCCGTTCGTGCTGATATTGAGTGAGTTTACCTCCTAAGCGTGTCTCCTCCCAATGGGCTGCAAGGGTATTGACCTGTGTTTAGGGACTTGATTACGGCACTCGACACTGCGGAAGCTCAGGCTCCGGAACAGCTGAGTCGACCTCATGGCCCGGAGGATGCTCTGGCTGGTCTAGTTTCCGATCAGCTCCAGGATGTGGACTGAATGCAGTCGCACTTCCTGTCCTTTACGACGAGACGACTTGATGATATAGCGTTGCGATATTGCGATATATGGTGTTCTCCCCCCTCCCTCTTCGGATGTCACGTTAATCGAAAATCATGAACACAAATATGCCATGGAAGAAATAGCGAAGCATCAAAGATGATACTGTCTTTATTTTGTCGAAGAAGTAGACTAGTTCCTCGTTAGTAGTTGTGGTGGCTCCAATACCTCCAAGGCCCATTCATTCTGCCAGATCATTCTGCCAGATTTAATTCCCAAAAAATATTTCCATCTTTTAGCTTGACAATTTTCTCCGAATCTCAATAATCAGTTTCCATCTGTTTCAAAAGTTCACCTGTTAAGTTCATCTGCTTAAACCGAGTGGAACCAGCGCAGACCGTCATTGGCCCGAGCTTCTTGTTGACAACTCCCGACGCGATTCCGCAAAACCCTCCTGGAGACTCCTGACAACCTCAGCGAGGTGATTGTGATCGCCATCATTCAGGTCAACGCATGCTCCCTTTCCTCCAACATCCTCTTTGAATTTTCGAGTCGCCAGCCCTCGGCCGTGGGGCCATCTTGAACACTCGCGACCCCGATCACCCCCGACCTCCCTCTTCATACGCACTCCCACTCCCCGCAATGGCTGAGGCTACCCTTCACAACGTACCAATTGTCATTGACAATGGAAGCGGGACTATCCGAGCAGGCTTTGCAGGAGAGGAGATTCCATCATGTTATTTCCCCTCGTTCGTCGGCCGTCCCAAGCACCCGCGGGTCATGGCCGGTGGTTTGGAAGGCGACTCTTTCATCGGCACACGCGCACAGGACCTTCGCGGACTTTTGAAGATTCGGTATCCGCTAGAGCATGGCATTGTCACAAATTGGGAAGATATGGAATCGATCTGGCATTATGTCTATGAAAACGAGCTCAAGACTCTGCCCGAAGAGCACCCCGTCCTGCTCACCGAGCCTCCGCTGAACCCCCGTGCCAATCGTGATTTCGCTGCCCAGCTCATGTTCGAGACCTTCAATGTCCCTGCTCTCTATATGTCTATTCAGGCCGTGTTGTCACTCTATGCATCGGGTCGTACTACTGGTGTAGTGCTGGATTCTGGCGACGGCGTTTCCCACGCCGTGCCCGTCTACGAGGGTTTCGCCATCCCCAACAGCATTAGACGAATCGATGTTGCTGGTCGTGACGTGACGGAACAAATGCAGCTGCTTTTGCGCAAGGCTGGGCACGTACTGCACACAAGCGCCGAGAAGGAGGTGGTACGCATGATTAAGGAGAAGGTCTGCTACGTGTCACTGGATCCGAAGCGCGAGGAGAAGGAGTGGATGAACAGCTACCACAAGTCAGACGCCAAGGCTGTCGATTATGCTCTTCCCGATGGCCGCAAGATCAAGGTGAGTTCATGATCTCAATTTGTTTACTCCCATACGCAAGCCCTGTTCCATACTAACATGACCATCCTTTCCCACCAGATTGGCCAAGAACGCTACCGCGCACCCGAGATCCTCTTCGACCCAGAACTGATCGGCCTCGAGTACCCTGGAGTGCATCAGATTGTCCAAGAGTCGATCACTCGCACAGATCTCGACTTGCGCAAGGCTTTATACCACAACATTGTGCTCTCTGGCGGCTCTACTCTGTGCAAGAACTTCCCGGATCGTTTGATGCGGGAAATCAAGAAACTCGCAGTTGAGGATATGAAGATTCGTATCTCTGCACCTGCGGAACGCAAGTATACCACGTGGATTGGAGGAAGTATTCTTGCTGGTCTGAGTACCTTCCGAAAGGTATGTGAACTGAAAGCTTCGTTGATAAACTCATGCTTATTCGTTCTTTAGATGTGGGTAAGCGCGGACGAGTGGCACGAGGACCCGGAAATCATTTTCAAGCGATTTGCTTAGAACAGGTTCAATCAATTGATGGAGCGCTACATGAAATCGTCGATCTCTCCCAGAAAGACGATTCAGCTTCACATACAAATCCCGTCCAGCTCGAAATCCTCAAATCTCTCCGACACCCTCTGAGAAAGGGCGAAGGCACCATTTTCCAAAGAACGATCTGCTGTGCAAGTCATCGTCTTTCTCAGGCAAGCAGTACACAGCACAGGCGTGAGGGACCCTGCAATCCTGCGACTTTTGATACCCCCTTCCCACCATGTACCCCAATCTCCTCAGTGCATATCTTGTGATATCATGCATTACTATTATCATCTACATTTGTGCAAATACAATTTCCCTCTACAGTTACCTGAGGCACTTGTCTTGTGTGATTTGCGTGATTCCAAATTTGTGTACTCCGCACACCGATCCCAGTATTTATTTGTAATAGGCATTACATGATGATCAGTTCTCCCGTCACTTAACCATCTTCCAAGGTCATAACTCCAAGTTCACGATTGGTTCTAGTATAGCTATCCAATAGTGTTATCACGGAGAGGTCCAAGCACGCAATCCCCAATCATCTGGCGTGCGGAGAAGCCTGCCAAGAAATGCCGCTTCCCTCAAGTCAACTACTACTATTAATTCTACGGGGTACAGGCCGCACCATCGTTGTTTGCAATAACCACAGAATACTAGTATATTCATGTCAGATTTCTACCACCGACCCGACCGGGCAAGGGCTGTTTGTCTACACTGCCATGCGCGAAAGGTTGACACCGGATTTGACCCCATTCCCACAACGTATTAACTAAACGGGTCCAGGTTCGATGTGATCTAGAAGACCAACCAGGTGGGGTCTGTAGTAATTGCAGGAAACGCCGCCAATCATGTCAGTAAGTTAAATTTATCAGTTGTCTAAGGTAAAACTTCCGTGACCACTAACCATGTCTACAGACGACGAGGTCGCAGACCATACCCGGCCAGGGCAAATGGCTCGAGACAACTCACTGTGCCGAGGCAGTCTGACACAACTACAAAAATCGACGAAACTGCCTTGATGTGCTCTCCAGTCTCATCTAGCCACGACTCAAAGGATACTCCACGGACCGGAATAGCGTCAAGGGAGCCGCCTGCCTTTGTTGACGAACTGTCATTCATGGCCCCTTTGGCGACTCAACAAGACTATGTCATTCCAGAGTCAGTCATTGCAGCTCAGGACCAATTCTCCGAAAGGCTCATCCAGGCTGTGTCTGCCACAACACTACCGCCTAAAGCTCAAGTAGAAGCATTTGCGGATTCATATTTCGATTGTTTCTACCACCGCGCGCCGTTGATAGATCGCGCGGACTTATCCACAGAGGACCCGTCAGTTCTTGTGTCACAGGCTATTTGCATGGTAGGATCCCTTCTTCGACACTCTGGACCGGACTCACCTCTTGGAGATGCCGAGCACTACTACGGCAAAGTGAAAACACTCCTCTATACCGACTACGAGTCAGACCAACGCAACGTACTCAAGGCTCTTTGTCTCTTGAGCTTCAGAAATCTCACACCACCAAAGGTTGTGAGCCTTGACTGCTCATGGCAATGGCTGGGTATGGCAACTCGACTCGCCTATCAAATGGGTCTTCATCGTGAATCAACGTATGCGCAGCTCCCGAATCCCGGAAACGCCCGTCGGATTATGTGGTCTCTATTCGTAAGGACAACCCAAGATTCCCAAGCGTCACCCATTAAGTACATAAACAGGTCTCGGATCGACATCAGACAGCGTGTTTCGGACGGCCATCTATCATCAGAGCTTCAGAGTTCGACATACGGCTGCCAACAATGGACGACTTTGAGCAGCAGGATACCAAAGCGGAATTATTTATTCAACATGCCAACCTCAGCATTATTCTAGGTGGAATTGTGGACCGCCATGCTCAAAAGAGTGAAATGACCCAGAACGAGGTAAGAAAAGCGACCCGATACTCTTGCATTTCCTCACGTGTTGCTGGACAGGCGATCACCATTCTCGAATCTCTCCAGCAATTCATCAACAACATACCAAGCCGACTTCAACTGTACGAAGGATCCAATCGACGTCCCTTCCGGCCAGATATTTATGAGTTTCATGCCAACTACTTCGTTTGCCTAATTGTCTTCTTCCGACTTTTCGGTCATGCCCTCCCAGCTCTCACGGTCTCGGCTGCGTCTCTAGTTGCTTCCTCTTGCATCGCCCGTCTCTACGAACAATTTTTGTATCGTGATGAAATGAACTACTTGACCCCGCTACATAACTGGTTCGTCATGGTCGGTTGTGCCCCGCAGATCCATCATAATGCGACTTGCCAAGGTCGAGATAAACTCTGCAATGAAGAGTTGCCAATTTTGATAAATGCTCTGCGATATATGCGATTGAAGTCACCCCCGGCAGGCGTTCTATTGGATATCATAGAACGCCTGAGCGAAGTCAACTCCAATGGAGTGACGCCCAATGTTTCCTCAGTCCCGCAGGAAGGTTCGCCTACAGAGGAGCCGTGGCTAGCCCAGCTGCCCCATGTCGTTCTTTTAAACTCCCTTTTCCCATTCCCCGGCTCCTTGAGTCCAAGGCTATCTATGATACAGGGAACCAATGATGAATTAAATGACTTGGCGGTTCTTGACAGGATGGTGGAGCAGGAAGACGATGATCTCGAATGGATTTTCAACGAATACCAACTCAATTATTTCGATGCATCATTTGTTTAAATACGAATAGCCACATTCAACAATTAAAGAGACTGCTTCTTATCTAGCCTCCGAAAGTGAAACTCGAGTGCATAGTCGTACTATGCTCCTGGGTCAGCCCAACTGGTAACCCTATTGCAATTGCGATTATGATGACAGCCAGTGTTGCAATTCCGATGGCGAGCCAAAGTTTAGCTCTGCGTAATTTATAGTACTGACCCAACAGGTAAATTCGAGTGTCAACATTGGGTTCAGCTTCAATGCCGAAGGCAGGTTAGCACCGCTGCGCTATTCCAGTAGGTAGATAAGGTCCGGCGCCAGTGGAAGCAGACCTTCGGTGATGCGATTATACTCACTTCCCGGGGCAGCGAGCACGTACCTCGGAAGCTTTTGCCTTCGGGGCTCTGGAAGTACCACGTTGCTCTGGGTAGTAATGATGCCAATTGCGTGCGTTATGGATCTACTATACCTTGCATAATGTCATATTTTGCCTTTGTGACGAATCGGCGGTTTTCATTGTGTGCTAGATCTAATTTCGTGCTCAAGCTATACATTACTTTACTTCCATAGGTTTCTATGATTTGTACACTCTGGATCGTGAGCTTACATGGTTGTTGGGGTGCTATGGCCCGGTCCCTATCGTTGGTGGGCATTGACCGCCTTGATTTTTTTTTCCCAACGTTGTTTTTTTTCCAAAAAATTTCCTTTTGAAAGAACTAAAGTCAAAATCAATCGAAAAGGAATAAAACAAACCCAAATTGTCAAGCTAAAAAAAAAAAAATTCAACCAGTCAAGGCACTTGCCACAATGTCAGTTCATTGTCAGATTCCTTGTCTAGATCTGAGTCATGAAAATCCTGCGCGGTTGTTAGCGCCTACATCCGGCTGTGACGGTGACTTGGCTGTGACGGTGACTTCAGTGCGACCCACGTCCAAACCGGCCCGGGATGTCGCCATCAGCCGATCCACACCGACATACTTTTACAAGACTACGGTGAATCACAATGATCGATTTTATAAGAGGAAATTAATGAGAGATCGTTGAATACGGCCTTGCGGCTGGTATTTTCATTGAAAAGCCAACAACTAGAAAGTAGTAGTTGAAGGCAACGATTTGGGGGAATCTGATAACTAGTTAAGAAATAGCCATGATAGGCATGATGGGAAACAAAAGACAAGGGAAAAGAATAGCACGTGACTCCGAAGGACGATGCAAAAGGAGATTATGAGTCTCGAATGATGCAGTTCAGCATGAGATGCTTTGCCCGTAGGGAAAAGAAACATAAGACCGATTCTAGAACCGGGCGTGATGCATTTGGGTACCGTGGTGACCCAAGGTAGAAAGCAGAGAACGCCGATATTCCATGGTTGAGTGAGGATTTGTTGTGTCATAACACGCGGTTCAAGGTTGTTTCACTGTTGAGAAGGAAACATAATGCGAGGAGATTGGCCGAGGAGAGGTGAAAAGGCGTCATTGTTTCAAGAGCCTCCATCTGCTCCCCGAAGTTTCTTGAGGTAGTCCACGTCGAGAAGTTGGTGCGATTAAAAAAACGAAATAAGATTTGAAAGGTCGAAAGGTCGACGGTGTGTTGAAAGAGCAGAGAACTTTTTGGGGGGGGTGGTCGTAAGATGTCGTAAGGTACCATGCAATTCAAGGGCGATGGTGAACCCGCGGGTGTCGCAAACATAGAAGTCGCAATTAAGCAGCACCCTTCAGCTTGCCCCAGCCCTTTTCGAGGCCCCGGCGGGCCATGTCGCGAGCGCGGTCGGCAACGGAGCCGGAACTGCTGGCGGTGTTGGTGCTGGTGGAGGAGTACTTGCGACTCAAGCTGCAATTGCTGGCGTCGTCTCGGTACATCATGTTGCCGGCACCACCACGACCGACGTGGTAAACTGGGGCAGCGCGGCGAAGATCGCGCTCGAGTTCTTCATCGAAGCTGAACATAGCGCGTTCACTGGAGCTGTGGACGTTGCCGGCACCACCACGGCCGGAAGTAAAGGTCGTGGGAGCGCGCGAGTCCAGGCGTGTCAATGAGGCAGGGCCTGTGGCGGTGCGAGAGTCGGTGGTCTTGGTATTCTTCAAACTGATGATATTTCCGGATCCTCCACGGCCAGTGTAAACGGCAGGTCGACTGGTATGAGGCACCGAAGGATGCGGCTCAATAACGCGGTAATTTGAGGCGGGCATGGTGAATTTGATGTGGTGGATGTAGTAGAGAAAAGTTGTGGAGTAGATGTACTAGATGTACTAGATAGCTGCAGCGCAAGCTATAAGAAGGTCAGGTCCATGAAGCACAAACAAAGACTGATATGCTAAAAATCTGTAAAATCTGTGAATTATGGAGCCATCATTTACAGCGGGGGCAAGGACTTAATATAGTCCCAGGGCCATCGCTACCAGCGAGAGTCATTTTCACCTCTCAGGCACGACATCCACGGGTCACACGCCGGTGGGTCGGCGGCTGTGGGGATTTTCTTTCGATTTTTTTTTTCTGGGATTTTCTTTTTCGGGTTTTCAATTTTTTCTTACTCAGTCTGGAATTTGACCAAGTCCACCTGGCGTCATCGGTCCACATAGGAGTTAAAGCGGCAGGTGGTAGACTACTACTTCAGGTAAAGTGGCAATGCTGACATAATCCGCTGGGTGCCTCAGCAACGAGCCAAGGCTGACCAGTCACGGGACAGGAACCGGCCAACTTCCCCCCCAAACAACCTTCTCACTGGTGTATCCCCTTGACATTCTGTCCATCAGACTCCACCTGACTCCATGATTTTCTACCCACTTCTCCTCGCCGCTTTTATGTACCAGACACATCATCTGACCCGCGAGGGCCCCCCCAGTGCCCCCCCAGTCCCAGCGCTAGGCGCCTCCAATAATGGGGAGAGCCAGGGGCCAACACGTAACAGAAACTGACTCACCCGCCAATAATACCCTGCTCAGAACCCCAACAGGGTTGTCGAGTGGACACGATGATTCTCATTACCCCCCAGAAAACTCCCAAAAAAACCTCACGCTGTTGCCCAGACTCTTCCAGACAATAAAACTAGGGGTAAAAATCGTACGCCGTACGCCCTGAACACCTCACCGCACCCCGTGGCTCGACTCGGATCGCTTGCTCGTCAGGCGCATTTCGCCATTCCCCCAGCTTCCAGTGCCAAACATTGGACCGTGTGACACATTTGGGATTGCATCATCCGCCAATGTCGACATTCTTTCCTAATTTGTCTTCACGATAGTTACATGTCGACTGTAGCACGCAACAAGGTACATCAAAAACTTACCCCTACCTTGTCAATTCCCATTTCACCCACAGGGTTCGCAAAACGACGAGGACCCGTGAGCACACTCCTCTGGTCCTAAAAAAAAACAGACAAAAAAATCTCACCCATCCACTTCGTTGTAACTCTGTATTCACAGTGTATACGCCGTCTCGGTCTAGAGAGAGGGGCCCGCTGATCTAAAGCACGATGACCCCATAGCCCAAGAATTGCGGGATAATTCTTCCCCCTAAAGAGTCTCAGACCCCCCGGGTGATCCGCCGAGGGGCAGTCTAGTTCACGCCGGTACCTGAGATCGTCGTCAAATTCGCGCAATCCTTGATCCCATGTGTCCGATGCGGTCGACCCTGCCGAGAAGAATCTATTGATCGTGCCCAGGATGCCGAGACTGCCTAGAATGCAAAGCGCATCGCCTCCTTGAAAATTGGAAAATCCACGCCACCGCACTGTCTCTTCTTTCAGCTTCTCTTTTCCTCTTTTTCCTGTTGTACAAGTAATGCAGGTTGTCTTTCTCGGCCCTTCGGCTGTGCATCCGGAATAGGAATGGCTTTTCCCCAGAAGAACCAGCGGATGCAGTGGGCAAATGACGCCAGGGTGGCCGATGGCATCAAGGAAAGTGGAAAATGAAAAAATTTTCGCATTTTTGCCTCCATGGGCCACCTGACTGGCCAGGGGATCCGAGGACGGCGCCACCGTCCACTTACAGCGTGAGCTCGGACTCATCTTTTTACCCCAGATTGTTCTTCCCCAGACTCATTCAGCCCTTTGCTGGTCTACCGCTGGTCTACCCGCTGGTCTACATCAACCTACTGCACCTGTGACTCCCCTCATACCAGCCCATAGGACTGATGCTCCCGTGATCAACCCCCGGGATTACCGCGGTACCCAGCCAAGGAATCATTTCCGCCTCAACTTGATGTGCCATGACCGCGTGTATGTGCCTGCTTGAACGGTTGGGGCAGTCAATGAGGGGGAAGGGAAACTTTGTCCCCTCACTCTAATCCCCCACCCAATACTGTACAGTAGAATGCCACAATTCTAGGCAATTCAATTATATACTAGTCAACATTTCGACCCGTCAATGCGGCCCTGCAGGATATCCAAGGAGGTCTTCTCCGGCACTCCGTATCACATCAGCCCAACTAGCATATACAGTTTACGATTCTCCCATCGCTACCCCCTCAATCCATCCAACTCCAAAACTATTCTGTAACCCCCTGCAAAATGGTGGGGACATACGAATCGAAGCCACCGCATTTCCCACGTTATTATCTAATAGCGAGACTGGATGACACATGATTATCGTCGCCGCCTGGTCGAGACCACCGGCAACCGGCAACCAACACCTCGCGCCGACCGGGACGGGAAGTCGAGTCTCGCAATGACGCAAGATGTTCTAGTTTCGCCTTGAAGAGATCAAGTATGTATGCGCGGTGTGTATGTAAAAAGTATTCTGTCAGATGTGCCATGCATTGCGATTACGGTGTGCGTGACAGCCGATCCAGAATCCAACTACTCTCAGAATAGTCCTCCTCATTGCGCGATTTAAGTTCCGGGTACGTTACCTAAGGTTGTACTTTTTTTGGAGTGAGGCCTGTCAACTGTGCAACCTTGTTGGCCTGCCTTGAGGTTGGGGCTAAGCTCTTTGGATTTCCAACTTGTCGGCTTTCTGTGCGTGGTAACCAGCTGTTTGGTTTGAGACCAGTCTTGTTGAGTTTCGTCATAAGCCTCCGAGAGTGACAATAATGTTGAAACCGAAAACTACACTTCGAGTAATCATTATAGAAGGTGTTGCCGCGCTCACGCAATGATCACCCATATGACAACCTCAATTGGTTGACGACCTCCTGAAACACATACCTCGAGTGATGACTAGTACATCATGTTTCAATCACGCCCGGTGAACCAAGCCAAGATCCTTGGACCCGGCCATGGCGGTTTCAAAATTGCTTAGTTCACGTTCGTGATACAACAGGGAAACCTCGAATCTACGAAACAGAGCCATTCGGGAGCTGGGGGTTCATGTTGCTCGGCCATTGCAACTAGTTGAATTTGATACATGTTAGTCTTAGATCAGCATATTGTTGAAATGAAATCCACTTTCGATCAGTTTTGAAACAATTTCTTGATTCGACTTCCAACGGTTCCCATTGAGCATTATTTGTCGTTCAACAAGACAGACATTCCTCCAGACCAACCATATACCCCGTTCATCGTACCGCCAAATCGCCGAGCGGTGGTAAAAGGCACTTTTCCTCGCGGGTGTGGTTCGTGGAATTGAATGCTCCTCTCAACATCCAATTTAGTGGGTTGGAATTGCCAAACCGAACCATACAACTTGGTGGCAGCGAACCCGACCAAAGTCATTGCGTGGAGGAAAACATTCCATGGAACTTCGCCAGGGGTAGAAGTCGTGGCAGGGTTGAAGAAAATGGTTCGGAATACTTTTAGAGCACTCGTATCCATAGGGAATGTGGGCTGACGGTCGAATTCGTTTTGTTCATGCAGGCTTTCGACTTCTGTATCCGCTGCAGAAGAAGGACTGGGCTTTCCGCGCGTTTTGGACTTCGCCTTCGGCGGTGCGACATCCAGTTGTCGAGGGGAGATGCCAAAATAGATCGCGGAGACCGGCAAATATAGGGCATAACAATCGGATTCGGGGTCGGTGCGGGTATTGCAGCCGAAGCCTTTTCGGGCTCGGTCCATTCTGGAGTCCGCTGGAGGATTCGTGGCTGTGATAGAAGACTCCGCGCTGCGGTATTGCGCAGGTCACCGGATTTGGCGACCATGAGCTGGTCAATGCTGGCCCAGAAGGCGTCCAGGTTGTGTTCAGATTAGCGCAGCGCCTCGGTATTTTCCTGGGTACGGCGCTTCTGAATGGGATAGGTGAATTTGCCGCCAGAGGGCTCACCAAGCTTGACTGAGCGAGTTGTGAAGCTCTTATCAGAGAGTGCGGCCAGAATCTTGGCCCATGACTGGGTTCGTTGAGCATACTCTTTGGAGTAATCCTCTTGGATATCGGCCTTTTTCATCTCCCAGATCTAAGCCCATGGCTGATAGTGGTCCAACTGGTTCAATGATTGGGAAATGATGGAAAGGCCACTGATCACCGAGCTAATGTAGGGAGAGCTGAGCTCCTGGGCATGTGGGTCTGATTGAAGTAGACGTTCCAACTCATCTACGGCGACAGGCATACTTGCGAAGAACAAATATTTGCCATCTTCCCATAGAGTGCTAAGAAGCCACAGTAACTTTATCTCGAGCTTGTTTTTCTTGACGCCGGGTTTGTATATAGTCAAAATCTTGGACGAGTATGGGTCGACAGGAGGTTCACAAGCAAAGAATATCTGCTTGGGTACTCAGTTCAGAGAACACCTCCAGCTCTAAATACGCTTCTGAAAAGAGAGTGCCGAGGATACGTGACCAAAAAGTGTCCCGCTGTCCAATTCGGAATACCGGGTGGGCATTTCCAGCAGTATCCTTGAGGTTTTTCTATCGATGATCCTTTGCCTAGAGCACAACATGAGAGAAGTATTCGGAATCCTCACGGAGAGCCCACAGGTGATCATCCGCTGCCGATGCTCTAGCCGATAGCAGGGACTCAATCTGAGATAGGTCTAGCTTTGCGGGAACCCGATATGGGGCTTCGGCTACCATCACCCCCAAGGATTCGAAGCCATTAATCTCTTGGTCGGTCTTGAGCGGTGGCTCGGCTAGGATAGGAAAGTCATCACTAGTGACGGCGGATGGGGTGATATCATGAAGAAGCTGCAAGGAGCAGTCAATCAAAAACCCGAGCAGTCACTCTTGAACCTCCAGGATTATGAGACCCTCTCCCGGAAGAAATTGCTTGCGTTGCGCCATCCAGTCAACCGCCTTTGGCTCTTCTTCCCAACTCACGAGTCGCCCATACTCCCGGGCATTGTCACTCACTCCGTGCAAAATCATGACATATCCGTTCAAGAAATGGGCACGATGGATTTGGTGACAAGTCCCAAATGGATGGCTCGGTTGTCAGCCGCAGCAAAATGCGGTGGAGGGTAACGACCGCGAGCATTGAGAAGTAACGGCAGCGTCTCTGGTGGATGTGTAGCCAGAGAAAATCTCCCCGGTTTTTCGTTCCTTGAGTACGCTCCGCAGAGGCCTCATTCCAGGGCATTTCAAGATCAGGCCGATGGCCTACAGGCATGTCGGTCCAGGCATTCAGTAAGATTTTGAGTCTCTGCTGGCGGGCCTTTTCAGCCAGCGCTTTCTAATTGTAGACTCGTGGCGCTCCAAAATGCCATGCAGAGTCTCATAACGGTCGAAGATGTGCTGCGACCTTTCAGTGGCCTCTTTGCGAACCTCCGTTGGGGAGCTAAACTCTGGCAGTTGTATGTTGCCCGTCCCACCGGCATCAAGAGCTTTGAACAAAGCCGTAGGATCATTCCAATCTATGTTATCGAAGCAGGGTCGGGCGTGTCGTATACCGCCGCCTCAGGGGGAAAAGGATCAAATTGATGGTTTGGTCGAAGATCCATGTTGATGGGTTTCAATTGGGGAATCAAATCTTTTAAAACAAAAAAGGATAGAAATGTAGCGGGTAGTGTGATCTGCTGAGAGGACATAGATGCTACCATATAGCAAGAGAAGCAATAGTGCAATAGATGGACAATTGGATGAAGCTACCTATATAGTGGTGCTACGTACTATTTACGCACAAAGTGGTGGTGTGGCATGCCGCATGACTAATACATTAGGGGCCTCAGGCTTTCAAGATGGGCACTGCTCTACTATAAAAGAGCTACGCAAAGATCAAACAATCATAAAGACTAACATTATCTTCCTTTTCTACTAACTGCTAACTGCCTAGGCCAGGTGATTGATTCTGGGGCCGCGAGGAAACACAGGCAGGTCTCCAGAATTTGCTCGACGAGAATCCAGTTGTCGGCGGCACAGGCTACACCAAAACACCTCACAATCCTCTTCGTATATTACCTGCGCGACCCCAATCTAGGAGCCTTATAACTATATACCAGAGGGATCTCCATTTCGGGGTCCTTGACACCGAAGAACTCCCTAGCTTCTCCTTGTGCGGCTGCGACATAAAGTCGCCCAGCGAGCTTTTGGTCTCCTATAGTTGCCACCTGATGCTTGACGAAGGCCCGGTCCCACAAATCAAGAGATCCCATGGCTGTATGTGCTTTTCAAAAGGAGAAGAGGGTTATATACTGCTAATATTCATAAGTAGTGGCGAGAGAGACGGCAAATGAAATGAAGAAGAAGAATAAAATGATACTAGTTAGGAGTGGAAATCACGTTATATCTAGTACTCTCTCAACAAAGGACAAACGGCGTTTAAACCGCGAGCAAACGACTTATCAAAGCCATGAAAGCCATGTAGTAAATAGAGCTGAGCTAGGTTGCGAGCATTAGCACAAGGAACCGGTGATGTCTTTCCATGGCTTCAAATGAATCGAACAGTGCGCTCGAAAAGGGCTTCAAGGTTGTCTCTCTCAATGAGCTCGGAAAGACTTGAATTTTGCAGCACCACTGTAGACCGCAGCGAGAGTGTCTGTGTAAAGTCTTTCTTGGTGCTAGGTCTTGGTGTTACTAGGTCCAAAAACTTTAAGTATAACAAAAATATCGAAAACGCGAATATTAGCGTGATATTATAAGGAAGGCAGGACGGCAATACTTCAGCCACAACTCCCAATATTAACAAGAAAAATGAAATGGAGTCGAAATTAATATTGCAACAGGCTTCTAGTCACTTTGAAACAACTTGAATAAGAATTATACATACTGAGGAATTTAATGCTACTATATGCGTCCTTAGGTAGAGAATCGGAGTAGTCCTCCCCAACTCGAACCTCGAGACCTGGTCTTCATCCATTGATCTGCAGAGATGGCGGGCTCGGATATATCCTAGTAGTTTTATTTGGGTAGTACTTTACCAGAGAAGCATTGAATGCCAACATGGAGAATATTATACAAACTCCGGACAGCCTAAGATCAAGCTCGGCTCGATATTATCCGAGACGTAGCGTGGAGACTGATAGCAGCCCCCAAAAGTGGAAATATGGACCGCACCAAGTTAAGCTTCGCCCACTTCTTCAAGAGTCTAGGCACCTCATTGTCCGCTTGGGATCGCTTCGCCTGTTCTTCTGTGCTGGTAATTGTATCCTTGACATCTTCGGCACCTCCCTCATCATCACTCGCTGCGTATGAATCCAGCGTCTTGTTGGTCTTGAGCATAGCCAAGACAGTCCAGGGTGCAATGCTCATAGCCACGGCAGCAGCAAGCAAATAGTGATTGGCCACGCTGGATACCGCTTCCGTTGGCGTATCCCGTAACGCCCAGAAGACGTAAATGTTTGCAAGAGACGAAAGGCCTGCAACTGATGGGAATATCTTATGACCACGATCATAAAAGTCCAGCCACTGGTGCGAAAGATGGGCGGCGAGGTTACCAGGCGTTTCGTAGAAGGAACGGCTAGATTTGGCCGGGCGGCGCGCTGGCAGAGTGAGGTTGGGGATGCATGCAATCGATAACGTAGCAATTCCACCTATGAAGGTAAGACGACGATTCACTGGGATTGGCTTTTAGCTATGAGATGGTAGATCTTACCTGCAGCTGCCGCGCAACCAATCGTGCCGATTGCCTGGGCTATGTAAACACCAGTAACCATATCGAATTTATAATATCGTAGCAAGAATGATTGTTTAAATTGAAAATTAAATAAATGTTAGTTCCTCCAGATGCGAGTCAAAACCAGGACTGACTTTTCAATGGCCTGATTTTGGCCCCGACCTTTCGGGATTTGCGGGCCATCGCAAACTCCGGTTATACACCGTCCGGTCAGCACTAAGGCGAAACATCAACTTGCATAATTAGACGGCCATTAAAATATTTGCAAATTGAGGTATTCAAGCGAGTATCTAATCTGAGGGCTTACAAAATGATCAGGAGTATCCCATTGTTTGGTTCTCCGGAATGAAGTAGTAGACCGTTGCACCTTGGCTAAAGTGGGTTCCAAGGTTGGCTAAACCTGTTCAAAAATACCCCATACCTCACAGCTTAACTATTATGGAGCAACTATAATAGTGCTTGAATCCTCAAGTTCATTAAAACGCTGCCACTAAAGCAACGCCTGCAACACCTATAAAAAGGCCACTCCACTGATAGCTGGGTATTGTGGGCAGGGCTGCTAGCCCTGTCGATGTTGAAGTTGACGGCCGTATAGCTGTTGTCGTCCCCGGCGAACATGGTACAATAGATATCGGGAAATCTCCCACTGCATCCGGCATTTTCGGGCCATCGCCAATTTCCAGAATTTCATCCAGACCGGGATTCTCGTTCAAGACGGCCACGCCGACGAAGTAACTGTTGTAGTCAAGAGCAACATACAGATGACGCCAGAGGGCCGTACTAATTTCACCTGCATAGGTATCTACCTGGGAATCAAGAGGTATGATAGTGAGGCCGCAAAGAGCTCCGCCTGACTTCAATGGCCGTACTAAGAAGATTTCACTCCAAATCGCAGAGATAGTAGTATTTCCGAAGGTGAGATAGTAGTATGTATCCAGGCAGCGCATACATTCGAGCCTTAAGGAGACCGCCTGGAAGATTGACCACTAAGCCCTATGAAAGGTCTTCATATAGTTCGATGCATACTCCGTACTGCAGTACGGAGTATACACTCAAAAAACAAATTGATTATGCCCATTCCAAGTGGGACCATTAAAATGATTACCTAAGCCGATAAGCTTGGGTTCTGTCATCTCACACCGCCTCTGCGACCCTCGCCGACTCAAGCCCGCGGACGACCTGCCAACCTTGAAATCGCGCTGTTCTCCGCATTCACCGTCGAACACCTGTCGCAAGCTCTGTCATTAAGATCTGTGGCATCTTCAAGTGCGAATTCCTTGACTTGCTTTGCGTCACATATTCGCTGGCTCTCCTCCACCCCCGGCTGGAATTTTTGTCTGTCGCGCCATAGCAACCGAACGCCCGCAGAAGCTGACAAGATGCCGAAATATAAGTCCTCCATGTCCTCATTCGTCCTTCGCATATAAACTGACTTTCTGTGAACTCTTTTGTAGGTCGCCTGTCTGCCTTGACAATCTAATTCCGCATGGTGCCCAATCTTGCTTCGCGAAGTAGCAACACGACGAACGTTGCAGATATCAACTGCCCCAGAACGAGATAGAGCGCATTGTTAAAGAAAGTCGGCTAACTGAGCCTAATATGCAGGTGATTACTGTGATGTCTACCTTACGCATGACTCAATGAGCGTGCGCAAGGCGCACAACTCCGGTCGAAACCACTTGAGGAACGTTGTGGAGTACTATCAGCGTACGTCCCCGAATCTTCAAAAAAAACAATCGCGAATATACCTAACCACACCACAACTAGAAATCGGACAAGAAAACGCCCAATCTGTCATTGACTCTATCACGGCATCCTACGCCGCAGAGGGCCAGCCCCTCCCCAATCCCGCCATGGTGCCAGGTGCATTCCCGCCTCCATTTGGCTTCCCAGGTACACCCATCTTTCATATTTCCCAGCAACCTCAACAAACAAGTCTAACAACGGCCTCGCGAGGCAACTTAGGCCAAGGACCTCCTCTTCCATTCGGCATGCCCCCACCAGGGGCCCCCGGCGCTCCAGGAATGCCGCCTCGTATGTATCCCCACGGAGCCTCTTCTCAACTTCTACACCCACTCCCACACCCGCCAACACCCTACCTACATGGACAAACAACTAACAAGTCTGATTTCACCTGGACAGCCCCCGGCGCCCCCGGCGGTCTTCCCTTCCCACCTCGCTTCCCTCCCAATGCCTCCGGCACTCCTCCTCAGGGAGGTTTCCCTCCCCCGCTTCCGAACTTGCCTCCCGGTTCAAGCCTACCTCCCCTTCCTCCAGGAGGCTTCCCCGGATTCCCCATTCCTCCTCCCGGTGCGGCCGGTGCGTTTCCTCCACCCATGCCAGGTGGTGCAACACACTCGCCCATTCCATCTGGACCCCGTGGTTCAGAAGGATACCCTCCTCCCGGAGGCGGTCCTCCTCCAGGAATGGACAAGTGGTAAGGAGGCGACTATTTGAGCCTTTCTTTCTTTTCTTCTTTGAGGCTTTGGTATCTTTCTTCTTTTGCGTTTTTTCTTACGATTCAAATCGGTTGAATACATTGTTTCTGGTTACGATTACATGCAGGCTGCCATTTGTGGTGGATAGCAAATAGTCTCTCTAGGGTGTTTTTCCCTCGGTGTTGTATGATAGCGGTTTTTATGGGTTGCTACTACTTATTTTATGGACTGATAGGCAATGACGGATTCAAAATGCATAGGATTTCAATCAATGTCGTGTGCACTTACTACTACCCAGTCGTGTTATGAAAAGGGCCGTTCCAGTAAGGTCTTGATACTGAACTGCACAGACGGACATTTATTGATTTCATCCATCTTCAAGTCTGATAGGAGTAATATTTCAAAGGCTGCGACTGCACTAGTCCAAGATACATGGATCTGTATTTACCAGTCCCGATACTTAGTAGATAAACCCTGTCAAAGCTGAGCATTTAATGATTCATTGAACAATCCGCAAATATACGGTATACAAATCAGTCTTTCTTGAAAAGGAGAAGAGCAAAAGTTTATTCCGGAGCCCATGAAGTGGGACCACAACCCATAACCATACCCTAGATGCAACACAACAACGCCTTACCAAGTAGCAAAGAAAAGTACACATCGACCACAAAGAAGCCACCATCGTCATAAAGAAGGGGAGGTGGAGAATTCCGGGAGAGTAAAAAGAAGAGAAGGAGAGGGAGTATAGAAGTGCAAGGTAGGAAGAGATCAACACCGACTCAGCGGTGGAAGGGGAAGATGTGTCAAGGAAAATTCGATGATCGACCGATCGCAGTGAACAGATTTAAGAAAACCCAAAAAGATACCGGACCCAAAATGGATGGATAGAAAAAGAAGAGAAACCACCGCTGCCCCACGCTAAAAATCACATGTCTTCATTTCAAAATTGAAAGGTTACAGGGTATGACCCGAAAGGAAAACGCCTAGTGCTCGTAGCCGGCCCCTCGTTGCCATGGGCTAGAGCTATTTTGTTGCCGGTAGCCGGCGTCGAGAGCTGATGCACCAACGGGTGCATTTTCATAGCCTCCTGGTGGGGCATGATGCGTAGCGGGAGCGAAGAGCGGTACTGATGGGTCAACGGGTGAGGGTTGGCGATTGCCATTGTGAATTGTGGTGATTTGGTCCATTTGGGCATGGTTGTTGTGACCAGTACCGCTGGAAATGGAAGCCGAAGAGTCCCCGAAGGGGTTGGTAGGCTCGTAAACGTGGGACTTCATGTCACCGCGGGCGGCGGCACTAAGCGCATCCAATTCGGTGTTCAACTGAGTCTGAGACTTGATGAAAGAGCCCCGATCGTCACGCATCGGCTGGTATCGGGTATCAGGGTTCCTTGAGAAAATGGCGAAACCTGAGGCGATGAGGACCAGAATAAGGAGGACCAGAGCAAAGACAGCGTTAATCACAACAATAATCACACCCATGAAGGCAATCATCATGCCAGGTGGGTTGAAGACGTTGGAAAACACAAGGAGGAAAATGGCGTTGAGAAAGTTGATGACAGCAATAGAGATGTTGAAGATATTGGTCTTCTTATCCATCCATGGCCGAATGATACAGACGCCGACTAGCATGGCGGTCTCGAGAACCACCAATGCTACGGTCTGGACCACGGGAGCAGGCTGACTCAAACCAATGAACATTCCCTTAATCAGGACATAAATGAGGAATGGTACAACGAAGTAGTAGGCCGTCGCCCGGTACTGCACATATAGGAAGCCCCACTTGTTCAGAGCAGAAGGATCCGAATAGAGAATATAAGCTGGGTTCTTGTGCATTGTCACGGAACGCTTGGCCAATCGAATGACCTTCTGCGCAGCCCAGCCCAGTGCAATAAGCAACGAGAGGAACATGACCACAGCAAGAACGACTTCCGCGGCCGAGTCACGCTGGGTAAACTCCCAGAGACACAAAACACACATCTGAGGGAAACCAATGAGAGCCATTCGGAAGAGGATTCCTCTGAGGACAACTCTCCACCCATTGCGGAAGTCCTGGAACCTGTCACTCTTCATTTTGCCTGCTTTGACAAGCAATTCGCAAACTCCCTTAAAGGCTGCGACGATGAGAATGACAAAACAAACGAAGACGGTGAAGAAGATCAGCCCAGTCAAGAAGATATTTGTTTCTTCCATATTGGCACGGAAACCGACACGATTGATACCCCGTACAACCTGGACTTTTTGACCGGAGTCAGCACGCTTCGAGAGCGTGTTCATGCCGCGTCTCATGAGCATAACGGCTGGGTCGATCAGGTCACGCTTGCGGCGCTTCAACACCTCCACCGAGGTGTCACTGAGGGACGAAAGAACCGTAGAGGGGCTGCCACCGGTGGACCGCTGATACCAAGTGCAGATATTCTGAAGAAAACCGACACGGATAATTCCCATGCTCCACTGGAAATTCTGGGTCCATGATTCGAAGATCGGCGGGCTGTGGACCGACGTCATGCCGATCATTGCTTGACTTTGGAAAAATCCGAAAAGCGAGAGGGCGTTAGCAGCAACATGAGCTGCTGTGTTGGAATGGCCGAGTCCAGAGGTAATAGCAGACGCCGCGAGACCTAGACCGGATATTACTGCAGTCGTCCAGGCGACTCCGACTTGGTAGACCGTCTTGCCGTTGGAGAGCTGTGCCTCCACACAGGCAATTTTCTCAAGCGACTCCAAGGTTTTGATCACAATTTTCAAATTGGCGTCAAGATCTGGGATTGTATAAGCCATGCCTGCGAGGTAGTAGTTAGCGAGTTAGTTCCCGACTCTCTAAGAGCGCGCTGCTTGGCTTACCTGGAATGCTAGAGGCAGTATCCCCGGCAATCGGAAGGGTAACATCGGTTAGATCGATGGGGCCTGGAGCCATGGGGCACATACCCATACCCTCAATTGAGCATGGGTTGATCGTATTTTGGTAGAAATTGATACCGTAAGCTGTGAGGGTGATTTCTGCGACAACCTTGCCGGAGATGTAGGAGACACCATCAAAGCTGATCATGAGTGAATTGTTTCCGGGGTAGTAGGCAACATTGAAAAAGTTGGCGGTGAAGTTGCTGCTTTCCATGCACACATTAAGTGCATTGGATTCGAGGAACTTCACGGCAGACACCAACGGCGCCACGAAGGCGACGAAGATGGTCAGAAAAGATAGATATCTCATGGTGGCGCAGTTCGATGCCAGTCGAAAATCGATTCAGAAGGTATAAGCCACAAGGCAGAGAATGATGAAAAGGAAGAATATGATGGGTAAGGTGAGAGCGATACTCCGGAGTACCACGTTGCCAGCCGCCGGATGCGGAAGTCTTGAAGCGGCCGAGTGCTCGGCGGACACGGTGGGATTGGTGGGAATCTCTCGGACCCAGGCGATCGATCGGAGTCAGAATATGATTGTCGAAGATCAAGAAATCCGAGAAGAAAGGAGCTAAAAAACCAAGAAAGGCGTGCAGTCAAGTGGGGTCGCCTGGAGGTTTTTTGGTTACAGCTTCATCAGGCCGTGTGTCGGATAGCGATGTTGGCGGAAACGGATGGGATCGTAAAATGGATGGGTAGAGAGTGGATGAACGAGAGTCGGGGAATATAAAGGCCTGTAAGAGGAGTGATGAGGTGATTAGACTGCAGCGAAGAGGTTGGGAGTCGAGTTGCAGCAAGTAGTGCCGATCGGGAGGCGGGTCGACACGCGGTCGGGTCAGGAAATAGAATATAGATGAGATGGGGGCGAACAGAAGAGAAAGCGATGAAGAGAGGGAAAGAGAGAGAAAGAGATCGAGCGAGCGACACGGCAGCACAGGGTTGGGGGGGAGGAGAATGAAGGGAAAGGGAAGACAAAAGGGAGTGAAGGGAAGCGATTTGCCTCTTTGGAGAGAGCAGAGGGCAGAGGGTACTGTCCGTACTGTCCTGTCCGTATTGTCGTAATGTCAGTCGGTGTCTCAGTTCAGGGACGGGTCTGGAATTGGAATGTTGTATTCTATGTATTGTATTGTCAGCGCCACCCAAGACCGCCGAGCTCGCCAATAAATGGCGTGTATTACCGTGTCATAACCGTCTCCCTGGCCAACCAGTCCCTTTTGATCCGGTGGTTGTGCCTACTTTAGGCACAGGACTATTCCTCCTTGATACTCATCATTTTCTGAGAATCCCTTGATTAGGCCAATACATTCTACTTTGGGTACGGACGACTCGCTCTTGTTATGTCGCGATGATGATATGGATTTATCCACTCCGTACGTTAAATTGGGATAGTGGGGTTGTCTGCAGAATTGAAACTGGGATTGGAGCTGGCCAAGCCATAGTCCATGTACCACACTTTGTCTGGATCAGTGGAGTCATTGCCTGTCACTGTTCCGGGGAAGCCCTGGAGAGTGGCCATCCTTGTTAGCAGGTGACCTCAGTACAATACAGTATCTATAACTAACTACTATACTGGACGTGAAGCACAGAGTACAGACTCGGAGTATGCATACTCTTATACACCGGTACCCCTGAGTCGAGCAAGGGAGTTCAGTAGGTACATGTACATGTATCACTGACTTGACAGGACGTGCTTAAGCGCCGGTGGACGGCGGCACACGAGGTACTCCCAGCGTACCAGTGACTGGCCTATTTATATCCTGCGAGTCCATCTGGTCACACAAATCTGACCCGTTAACGCTCTGGGGTTGTGATCAGGCGTCTTTCCAATCTTCCCATCTCATCTGTATGAAGTATTTCTATGAGAACCACTCCGTAGCAAAGCCATGTACACATCGGTACAATGTTATTGGTGTTGTATCGCCCCCACCTATTAATTTTAAAAAATCTAAAATCCTACCCACTGCTGATCTCTCTCGGTTGTAATCAAACTCTTGTCATTTCCACTCTTCTCACTGCTTTCCAAAGAGTAGACGCTGGCACTGCCCCCCGCCAAGTATATCTCTACCACATCTGAAGGTTGTCAAAGTCCTGTCAGGGTTTCAGTTAAATGCTGCAGCGCTAGGTAGGACGATCAATTCGGTCCACTTGCCACCTGGTCCATTTTCTGTCCCGAACCCGGCTTTCATATTGGATAACGTTGGAAATCTGGATTTTTGCATCCTTCCAGATGGCTGATCACCAACCCCCCCGCAATGATCTTGCGATCGTCGCTCTGATGTGTGCCATGACGTTGGTCACCCGCTGCTCGGATCACCTGAGTCAATATATCATATCAGATGGCACACCTCATGTGCGACCGTGAATCTGAAAAATACAGATTCAGGACCTTGTTCTCCAAGTACTAGTATTGCTGGAGCTAAACTTGGAGCTGACTCCATTCATCATTCCTAGGGCGTTGCGAACCACGGGTGGGGACCTATTTTTGGATTGAAGTGTTCGTTTTCGCCTTTCGGCGCCATTGCGTGGCGCCCAGCAAACCCGGGTACCTCTTTTCTCTTTGATTCGCTCTCAACTCTGTGAAATCTCTGCGATGCCAAACCTGGGCACAGAGTATATATGTATCTTGCAATTTTCGTGTCGCAGGAGCCGCCAGGATCTGTGAGCGGTCCTGCTACGGAGTATCGGTCTGCGAATCGCTCTGCATCTGCAATTGGGTGCGCGGGTGGATCGCATCTCTTGGTCGGGCCGTAGTTGACAAAAGGATGGTCTGCCTTGTTTAGACCGTCATAATCTGATTGTCGCAGTGACCGCGACGTGCTCACTATTCAGGCCGACCGCTGGTCTCTTCTTGCCGACCGGCGTATTCAGGTTTGCCCCTATTCAACCAATAGCCAATCTTGGCATGAGAGACATGTCGCAACTATTTTGCCATGGCTTTTACGCTATGGTGGATTCTTAGAGCTACTACCCGCCCGAGATTGAGGCCAAGGCCATAGTTTCTAGGCAGAATTTTAGGAACTGCGCTACAGCAACCCCCCCCCCCCCGGCTCATGAGCTAGAGGAGCTATTTAGTCAGTTCTATGTAACTGGTATGATCACTAGCAGTGCAACATACGGTCACTGCATACAGGTATTGCATGGTAATTTTAAAATAGTATTTCGTTACTCCACAATTGGACATTGACATGTTGAACAGCGTACGGTGTGAATAGTCGCCATGACATCCACCTACATTAGGTAGCCCTTATTGTTCAATGGATAAGAATTTCTGTGTCAATAGTATGATCATTCATGCCTTATATACAAGGCACCACCATGGCAGACACCGCTCTATCAGCACGTGATGTGGAGATTCTGCCTATTTTCACCGAAGAAAAAAAAAAGTATCAGCGATTTCCGGCAGCGATAGGACCCTTGGAGATCAAAACATCACCGAATCGTCCTGATCTTGCCGATTCCTCTCATCTTTCTCGTCTGTCTAGTACTTGCAACAGTGCATACAAACGGCAAGATGCCCGGCCCCGTGGACACTGCCAAGTCCATCACGAACAAGCGCAAGAGAAAGCACAGCGCAAAGCCAGCAACCGAGGATGCGGACATCCCCAAGCCCGTCGAGGCCAAATCGAGCCCCAAGGTGACCCCCAAGAAGGTCAAGACCTCCTCCAAGTCGGCCGTGGACAAGTCAAGCAAGAAGCGCAAAGTCACCCCGCCGCCTAGTGACGACGAGGAGAGTGCCGACGAGGCTGAGGAGCAGGAGGATGATAATGAGGGAAGCGAGGATGGAGAGAAGGACTCCGATGCCGCTGATCTTCCTACCGTGGATGACGTTCGCCTGCCTCAGACCGAAGGCGAATTGCAGAAGTTCGCTGAGCTGAACCTCTCGGACAAGACCATGAAGGGTATTCAGGATATGGGCTTCGAGAAGATGACCGAGATCCAGCAGCGCACCATCCCCCCTCTTCTGGCTGGCCGTGATGTTCTCGGAGCGGCCAAGACAGGCAGTGGCAAAACTCTATCATTCTTGATCCCCGCGATCGAGATGCTCCACGCTTTGCGCTTCAAGCCACGCAACGGTGAGCTTTACTGCGTGATTCCCCGACCATTCAGAGACTATCTTGCTAATAAATGACTAGGTACCGGTGTTCTCGTTGTCTCCCCCACTCGTGAATTGGCCCTGCAGATCTTCGGTGTCGCTAGAGAACTCATGACACACCACTCGCAAACCTATGGTATCGTCATTGGAGGAGCTAACCGTCGTGCCGAGGCGGAGAAGCTGATGAAGGGTGTCAACCTGCTCATTGCCACCCCCGGTCGTCTGCTTGATCACCTCCAGAACACACAGGGCTTCATCTTCAAGAACCTGAAGACCCTGATCATTGACGAGGCTGACCGTATTCTCGAAGTGGGTTTCGAAGATGAGATGCGTCAGATCATCAAGATTCTTCCCACCGAGGAGCGACAGACTATGCTTTTCTCCGCCACCCAGACCACAAAGGTTGAGGACCTGGCCCGTATATCCTTGCGCGCCGGCCCCCTGTACATTAATGTCGACCACCGCAAGGAGCACAGTACAGTCTCTGGTCTTGAACAAGGCTACGTGGTTTGCGAGGCGGACAAGAGATTTCTGCTTCTCTTCTCTTTCCTAAAGCGCAACCTGAAGAAGAAGATCATTGTTTTCTTCTCCAGCTGCAACTGCGTCAAATACCACGCCGAGCTTCTCAACTACATCGATCTTCCCGTTCTGGAGCTGCACGGCAAGCAAAAACAGCAGAAGCGAACCAACACTTTCTTCGAGTTCTGCAATGCCAGCCAGGGAACTTTGATCTGTACTGATGTTGCTGCCCGTGGTCTAGATGTTCGTATTCCATTCCAAATCTGTTCATTTGAGCTCCTTTTACTAACCCATCTCTCAGATTCCTGCTGTGGACTGGATTATTCAATTCGACCCCCCTGATGATCCCCGTGATTACATCCACCGTGTCGGACGTACTGCCCGTGGCGCCAACGGCAAGGGTCGCAGTCTGATGTTCCTGCAACCGTCAGAAGTCGGTTTTCTCAAGGAACTCAAGGAAGCTAGGGTTCCGGTAACAGAGTTTGAGTTTCCCAGCTCCAAGATTGTCAACGTCCAGTCTCAACTGGAGAAGCTTATTGGACAAAACTACTACTTGAACAAGGTAAGCCATCGTCTCCATTCCACTCCTTTCTCTCCTCATTGTCTTGACCGTTTTGTCCTAACTCGATTTGAATCTACAGAGTGCCAAGGAGGGTTATCGCTCATACCTCCAAGCGTACGCGTCTCATTCCCTGCGTACTATCTTTGACGTGCACAAGCTGGACCTGGTCAAGGTGGCCAAGGGCTTTGGATTCAACGCGCCGCCCCGTATCGACATCTCGCTGGGATCCAGCCTGAGCCGTGACAAGAAGCAGGAGCAGCAAGGGCGCCGGACCTACGGCAGCCAGCCGCGGAACAACAAGGGGCTGAAGTTCCAGCGGAAGCACGATGAGGAATAAGGAGTGTATGATGAATGTGGAATGTGGAAACAAAAGTAAACTGGTCGCCTGCATCTTCATTCTGGGTCCTTGGAGTTCATTAGTGTAGATATCTATTTGAATTTATTTTCCGAACACTATTATTATTTGCCTGTTGTTTACTACTAATGATCGTTCTGCTGCTTGATGGGTGTAAGTAAGCAGTGATTTACTCGTAGAGCGGTTATCTATTGGTGGCGTCTAATTTCGCAAGTGTGGAATGCCATACTAGGAGTCTTTTGAAACCGGGGTCGGCCATGCGGCCTTCCCACGTGGAAAGCTTGTCATGCTGCGAAGAAAACGCCGCCGGTATTTGATGTCGTGCTTTGTTTCAATGTTCGATGCAATCTGAAATTGATTGCCTTTTAGCCGGGATTTTACATATGAGGTTTGAGTGATTGGGGCCATTCATATCACAGATGCAGCAGAGTGCAGAGTCATACCTACTGTAGCCTGTAGGTACCTTTCCCGGTTTTCTGTATTTGTAGGCAGCCCCGATAGGAATCATAGTGACTTGCAGCCGCCCCTTGCGATCGAGGCTACTCGTATGTATGTGGAGTAGGGAGTTTAGCTAAATACACATCATAACAGATCGGATGGCGAAGATATCTTCTCATCGAGGCTACCCTACGGACACCCTAACTGCTTACTTGTCAGATCCAAAGTATACTCGTAGACAAATGGGGAGGCTGGCTCGCCCCAGGATGCCATGGGCAAGTCGGATGTGATGAGTTGGATGCGTTGGCAGTGCGTGGGGCCAATCACGGGGACTCCATCCACCCAGGGTCTGGTCACTCTTGTGTCGTCTGGGCGACCACCGTCGAACCGGTTTGACGCCTCGGCCGATTTTGGGTCCCACGGAAGCAGTGGCCCGTGTGTTGTGCAACCAGAGGACCAATGGCAACTATGCAGATGAGAAGAGGAAAGGATGCGAGGGTGATGGGGGGAGGGGGAGTGTAAGGCGTAACGGTGTAAGGCGGTGTCCGGAGGTAGAGTACAGTCTAAGTATACAGACACTACTCCGTACAGTAAGTCAAGTAAGTCAAGTAAGTCAAGTACAGTATGGAGTAGATGAGTAGATTGAGGAGGGTAAATAAGAGTATGGCAGAATAGTTCGAACCCACGGAACCCAAGGAACCCATCCGAGATCCGCAGCCCAATCCATGGCTCCGTTTGTTGATGGTAACCTATAGGTACGGAGTACGGAGTACTCTAGGGTAAACTCTAGGGTAAACTCTAGGTCACTCATTAGGTACTCTTTGTATGCAACCCCCGCTGATCCGTGACAGGTTGGCTACTTCCAGCCATCTTCTTTTTTCCCCCATGAGGCTGGGCACACTCTTTTTCTCCAGGACCTTGACATTTGACATTTACATTTACATTTTATTTTATCTCATTTACTCCATACCAACGCACTAAATTCTTTCGGCTTCCTACTCCTCTTCTCTCCCTCTCCCTCTCTTCTCCAATCGCCCCATCTCATCCCATCTCATCCCATTCCATGTGAGAGAGGCGATCGGCGCAGCTGAGCTCATTCAAACCTCCCCGAGAAGAGAGCAACCCCATTCTGTTGCTTTTCCTCCTTTCCTCTCTCGTCCACTCTTGCTTCTTCTCTCCCCACCGTTCTAAGGTGTCTGCGCTGGTACGCTTCTTCCCATCGATTCTCCTTCGAGATCCTCCTCCTCCTCCTCCTCCTCCTCCCTTGCCTCTGCCCAACCCGCTCCTCTCCGATCTCCCTTACTCCCCTCCTCCCTCGCCCTCTCGGTCCTCCGGGACTCCTCCTCCTCCCCCCCACTATTCACTGTCGTGTCAACAAGCACGGAGTATCCATCACCAGAGTGACCAACCACCCCCTCTTCTTTTTCTCTGCAGTCCCATCGTGATCATCCATTCTCCCACTTGGAGCATGCGATTGTCGGACTAAAGAAAAGAGGAAGCCCGTCTCCACCATGGGGGTCGAAACCCGCAGACCAATTCTTCCCGCTCCCACAGAATCCCTCGTCGATACCAACCCAGGCGACAGCACGACGGGCACAGATCTGGCAACTGACATTTCTCGCCGCACAGACAAAACGTCGTACTCGATCCCGGACGACGGTAGCCCCATTACTGTCTCCACCCGGCGCCATCGGGACCGGGACGACAAACTGTCTCGCTCAAATCGGGACTCTCAGACCTCCCTCCTGATCGAATATTTCGAGGGTGGGAAAGGCCCCGGCGGTGTCGTTTCAAGACCCAGTGTACGCGTACGAGTGACCCCCCTCAGGCGCGAGAAAGCGTAAGCAAAAGGACCGAATCCAGATCACCGAATCGGGCTCCAGTCGCCAGCCCTCTTACACCCGTCGCATCTCCTTGACCTCGCCATCCTCCAAAAGCAAACATCACGCCGATTCGGGCTTGGATGATCAAAGCGTCAGCTCGATCAATTCCGTCGAAGACGAGGCTGAACATTCCTCTCGACATCCACCCGTCGAAATCCAGTTTATGAATCGCGACCGAGGCAGCGAGCTTTCCACCGCCTCGCGTGGTTTCATGATGCCTTCTTCTGATATCTCGTCCATGCCCGCCGACAGCATGCTCGACACTTCATCCGCTGGTCCGCGCAGGAAGCGCAGTCAAAGCATCGAGCGTGGTGCAAGTCGGGATAAGGATCTGCTGAAAACGCCATCCCGGCAACGGAGTCGCAGCCTCAGCAAGGAACGCATCGCCCATCGAGTTGCCGAGAAACTCAGCGGCTCCCCGCAGGAAGTTTCCAGTGGTAGGCACAAGAGCAGGAGTAAGCATCGAAGTGCAGGGAAGGACTACTTGGAGGCTGAGCCCAAGTCATCCCGGCGCAAACGACATGGATCCGGGGATGAGGATCTTAATATTACCAGCCCCGAGTCCAGTCTTCTCAGCTCGGCTGTTTCTTCCAACCGCAGGTCCGGTGACCAACACTCTAATGTTTCAAAATCCTCCATCAATAATCCCAAACTACTCGAGACCGTCGAAGATGCAATTCGGCGCTTAATCCTACCCGAGCTCAAGGAGCTCAAGAAGGATCAGAAAGTCATGACCAACAAATCCAAATTCGACCGCGACATGACGACATCCTATTCCTCCGCTAGCTCTAGAGATGAATTAGGTCGACGTTTGTCGAAACATTCCAGCGCTCCTGATGTGATGAAGCCTCAGCCCCGCGTTGTTTTGAACAAAAATAGCAAGGATGAAGGCATTGTTCTGGCTGGCGACCCTCTACAACAAAGCAGGGAACGCAAGTCGAGCAAGGGCAGTGAAACTTCTGATGCAGCATGGGTCAAATGGGGTCGACCGGATCTTACTGAGCATGATAAAATCCGCAGGCAAAAGAGCAAAGGCCTTCGTGATGCGCATGCCGCCGGTCGAGTCGGTTCCGCTCTGACTGCTGCCTCTCTCAAAAAGCATGACTCTCAGTCTAGTCTTGGCCAGTCAGAATCAGGGGAACGTAGAGGTAGTGGCTCACGCAAGAGTGTGGACAACTACAACGAAACAGAGCTTGTTTTCCAGAAGCACAATGTGGCCCCCATGCCAATGCGCAGCGAAATTGATTCAGAATTGACGAGGACTTCATTGCTCTCGGAACGCACTGAGAGTCCCACCCCCCGCAAAGGAATGTCACAGGCCGAAATTTCTCGTGGCTCACCAAGGCAAGTTGTCTCACCGACATCGCGAACGCCGACTCGAATCCCACAAGAGTCACAGAATGAGCTCGGTATGCGCCATGGAAACCAATCACATCATAACCTGTCCATGCACAGTGCTTCGGATCGTGACTTGTATCAAAAGAGCCAGTCTCCCGGCACCGATGGTGGTGACTGGGCCATTGCTGCTGCTGCTGCCGCCAACTTGCTCGACGCTGCTCATCCAGGACAACAACCGTCGCCAGACAGGCATTATGAGGCAGGCCGAGCACTGAGCCCTATTCAGAGCGTTGCCAGTGACCTTACCGAGACTCGTGATGCGCATTATCCAAACAAGCACACTGCCGACCTCCAGCGGGATGTGGAACCTCGCCTTTCGATTGATTCTTTGTCTTCCGCCCCGAGCACAAACCTCGCCCGATCTACTCGGCAGGATGGAAACAGCCCCAGCAGTCAAATCCGGGCTTTCGATGGTGAGGAGGGCACTGATCTCGGATACGAGCAATCACGCCGTGCATCCGGAGAGGACAACTACTATGGTCCCGATGAGGAGTCAAGGCTTTCATTCGAGAATGATGACAGCGAACTTGATTTCATGGATCGAGTGAAGGAAGGTCATAATGTGGCCACCGGCATTGCTGCCAACCCGCAATTCATTCACCCAGCGGGCGTTGAGTCAAACGTTGCTACTCTGATTGACGGGTCCATTCTCGAGTCTCAAACCTCTGGAAACCGCTCACAGACCGAATTCGCTGAGCGTGCGGCAAGCCGAAGCCCCGAAAAACGTGGAAGCCCTCTCAAGCAACGCCAGGACGCCTCCAGCCCTGATGAGACATCCTTCCCTCGGCGGATTGGTGCTACCTCGCCACCACAAAGCGTTACCCAGTCTATCGACGACTTCGATGAAGCAGGCGCAGCGGCGGGAATGGCTGCAGGAATGGCTGCGGCTGCGGCTTCTAGGGGCATGGACAGCCCGGGTGCGGATGAGGACCGCAGTCAAGAGTCCGAATCCGAGATCAACACCAACCCTTCCATCATCCAAGGCCCTGCTCAAAGTGCTCAAGATCACTGGGGCTACGCATCGAGGTCCCCAGCCGAGCAGCCTAACTACTATGATCATGGCGCAAAAGATCTCGACCAGAACCAGCCCCGTAATCTTGATGCGGAATACTATGAGACTGCCAGAAACATCTTTGGTGGCGATGACTTTGTCGTTGACCAACAAGCTGGTCAGCTGTTTGGTACTCCCCCGGGGGCCAAGGATGAAGGCTACGTGTCGGCTGCCAACCCCATGTCTCCAAGTATCGGTACTCCCAAGAAAGGGGATCGAGGTCTTGAGGGCGCCTTTGAGAGTCCGACTGAGGAAGACCCATTCAGCTCTGGCCACCAGCGACACTTCAGTGGTTACTCTCACGGTGTGGGCTCTCCGCTCTACGACAGCGCCACTGGCCGAGGCATCGAAAGAATCCAGTCCAAGGACATTGTTGCTCTCATGGATCATCTCACTGTTCGTGATGCCCAACGAAATGCCAGGGATACCGAGATTCTCGTGACTCTTGTTCGAAGCGCCGCTGAGATGCGCACCTCATTCGAGCAGATGAAGAAATTCATCGCCGACCAAGATGATATGATTATGGACACTAGCGACCAGCAGCACGAGCGAACGCACAAAGCCCTCGGTGGCCCACGTCCACTGCCTCCCAGCGCTTCTCGTTCTCGTCAATTAAACAACGCGGAAAACGAGGATCTGCAAGCCAAGCGGGCCAACATCTTCAAGCGTGCGTTGAAGGGTCTGAGCGGGAAATCAGGAAACGACTTAAACAAGATCGAAGGAATGCTCGAGCAGCTTCTTGAGGAGGTCGAGGCCTTGCGCACTGGTCAAGATGTTGTGACTCCCCGGAGAGCAAGCATCGACCCGAATGGCTATGATAATGGCCCGAACAATGTTGCCATGGGCAGTCGTTCTCCCTACATGGGCAGCCCTCGACAAGGCAATGGGGATCCCCGTGTTAGCACTGTCCCCGAAGAGGATGAAGAGGACGAGGATCTTGAGATTGATGAGAACGATGCCTACATGACTGCTCATTTGCCTATCAAGCAGCCTGCTCGTCATGAGAGAGCTGGCTCTCTGCCTCTCAACACCCCGCCTCGAAAGCCAGTGGCAACAAACGGAGCCCGAAGCACAGAGACAACCCCCAAGGCTTCGGAGAAGGCTCGCAAGCATAAGTCAAGCAGCTCATCAATCTTCCCCAAAATCTCACGCTGGTCCAGGTCCACTGCCACATCAATGGGAGACAATATTCGCAACAGCATCCAGCCTGGTCGCAAGGAACGTCCATACTCAGAGGTCTCCCGCTCTGGCTCTGATCTTGCCACAGACGCCTATAAAACCGGTAATTACTATGACCCCGAGGGTGATGACCGTATCAGGTCTACCTATACTCTAGGCGAAGACGATCAGCAAGAGAACCGTCCTCCATCTCCCTTGGTGCCCTCGCAGGTCTCCGAGGCACCCAAGTACCGCGCCCATCGCGGCAGTCTCGATCTACAGCACCCTCAGCCCCGACAGGGCCCAACTGGCCGCTACCAAAACCAGCTCGAAACTCAGGCACAGACGTATGCTACACCCGAATCCCCATCCTCAGACCACTGGGGATCGAATCCCAGTCTGCCAGCCGTCAACCCTAACCAACAACGCTTCAGTGGCGGTAGTCGTCTGTCCCCTATCTCGGACGCAGGATACTCAGAAACGAGCTCCCGCAATCCTGGCCCCCCCTCGACCCCCAAAGGTCAAGGACGATGGCCCCTTGATCCCCGAGCGACCTCCCAAGGTCTCGGAAGAAGAAGAAGAAGAGCAACAGCAACAGCAGTACAGTGATCGCGTTGTCTCAAGGGTATGTCAAAGCTTTCGTCTCAACTCCAAACACTGCAATAGCAATTGTTCTAACTTTACTCGCAGGGCTCTGCCATGCGCTCCCCTCCCACCCGCAAACCAACTGGTCCCCGTCCTCTCACCTCTGGCGGCAACTATAGCCCCAGCAATATCAAGCGTACTCAATACCGAGGCAGTCCGATGCAGATCGATTATGATGACAACTATTAAGACCAGCATTGTGATACCCCGGGAATGTATTTCTGTCTAGCGAGTTTTGTTCTCTTTTTTTTCCCCATCACGCATTCCCTTGCCCTTCTCCCTTCTTCAATTCCTATTATTTGTATGTGATGAGCTGGCGCATTGCGCCTATAACGACAGAAACGATTGTTTGTTTGAGTTAGCATGTTCATCATTTTTCCCCTATTCCTCTATTCTCTTATTCCATCTTCATTCATGAGCAACGTGCATTGCGAAAAAAAAATTCCCGTTCTTCTCGGCGTGAGTTTTAATAGGGGGAATTGAGAGTGAGAGCTGGAAAAGTTATGTATGTGGTTCTATTTACATGGGTTTTCCTCTCCAGTTCTCGTATTTTCTTTTCACTTACTACTTTTTCTTCTTCCCCACTTTCGTTCAAGTTGCCTGTTTCTCAACCGTTTTGCTGCGTGTTGAACGATGGCCCTGGGTTTGGGGTAGCTGGACTTATTGTAGATAGTACTAGCATGGGTGGTATTGGTCTATATTGATGTAATCTTAAGTGCTTCTACCATGACTTGTTATGGGATCCCCTTTCAAAATGTTCTCCAATCCTTCGATCGTCTGTAGAACGTGCCGGGTACACTGGCGATTGAGAGTATGGTATGGATTATTTCCAAGGTTTCTACCAATCTGTCATAGCTCGCATACTACTAGTAAAAAAAAACTTGAAGAATGCCTCGTAAGTCACTACTTCACTTATCTTGAAATACGTATGCCATTGAACAACTTTAACTTGTAGAGCATCGATCAGCAAGTCAGCGATAAGAGTCATGAATAAGTTAATTATACAATTTAACTCTAAACCCCCCCTAAAGTGGGATATCCAAACCTCGGACGTTCATTCACAGAACAGTAAAACACAGCAAAGAAAAAGAGGAAGAAAAAGATAGAAGGAATGAATGCAAGGACCAAAGCCTCCAACACCGGAATTCAATGCCCAAAAACCGCAGATATACCAAATCCGAACCATGCGCTCACACATGAGTCCAAAAAGGGTCCCGATATCTAATAATCCGAGAAAGGCCGTACAGAAGTTGTCCCCCTCTCCCGAAACGCGTATTCAGCCGTGGCCAAATTGCTGTATTCCATACCATCGCTGACGGGGAATTTTCCAGGATAGCTCTCGGTAGAATGGGACTTGGTGGCATGACCGGCATCCAACGATAGAGAGCTCGTATTATCCGTATAGCGAGAGGAGGAGGCGGACTGGGGACCAATTTCAGGTTCGAGTTGACCGGGGCCGTCAAATGAGTCGGTAGGAGACGTATCCATTGCCATTGGTGGATTTGGCATGTCCATGACAGGCCCGGGGGCAGTGGGTTGGGATATATCCAAACTTAAAGCTTGATCGGCGGGTTGCGAAATCTCCACGATATGTACTGTAAGCTGTTCTTCTTCGTGCTCTTCTTGCTTTGTGACGGCCGTGGTTTTGTGGGCGCCAGTCACGGGCTCGGATTGCGTTGCCTGGCTGGTGGCTTGATGTTGTCGGTGCGCTTCAAGGGTGGTGGATAGCTTGGGTCGAGTGGATGTAGTGACCTTCCGCGCGGTCCCATAGGTTGAATTACCTGAGTCGCCTATCTTGTTGAACCGTTCTGTGTGTGTGGAACGCATTGTCTCGGTTTGAACTTCCTTTTGTTGCGGTGACGGGTGCGAAATCCGGGGCTCGGGGTAGCACTGCGGCATCTGAGGTGGGACTACATGCACTAAGGCACCTTGAACAACAGGTGGAGAGGTTTCAATCATGGGATTCGATCGATTGAGGCTCAATGGGTGGCAGCGACTTGTGGCATCACTGATGAAGTTTGTCGGTGCGGGCGAGCGATAATTTGAGGTTGGAACGATCTCTAGGATGATGTTGATGGCAAATGTCTCGGCGCTTTCGATGGTCTGTCTGAAGGGTGGGAAATCTAAGTTTGAGCTCCAGAAGGGACGGGCGATGAAGGAGATGGCGTAGACGATTTGCAGGTATGAGAGGGCGAAGGTGAGAGATATGGTGCTCCATAGCGAGATGGGCAGATTGGCATGCGTATGGGAGACATATCGACCGATGAGCGGCATTTTGACTGCAGATTGGAGGAAGTCGGAATGAAGTGATCTGATGAGATGAGATGAAGAGGATGTAGGATTCCATGATTGATAGAAGATGACCCATCTTGTTTGGGAAGAGATGAGAAGAGGAAGGAGCAACTGAGATGAACTCACTGATACTTACATACCATACATACTATGCAGTATGCAGTATTCTATTCCAGTATACATGTATACATACTCCGTAAGGTATACTCCGTATACTCTGTATACTCCCACTCCGTACGGGAATCCGCTGCCCCACTTATGGGAAAGGAACATTGGAACTTCAATAGGAACCCGCCCTCCTCCACCTCCACCTCCGCAACCTCATCCCAATCGCGCCTCTATGACCGTTCGTGCCGCCTTACGAAGTGCTCAATCATCCATCATGTCGGCAACCAAAGTAGAATGCCAGCATCTCCGGCCCCGTCGATTCGCGCCCCTCGACACATCCCGCAAATCGGATGCGCCGCCGCTGAAAGGCATTGTGTTTGATGTTGATGGAACTTTATGGTAGGTTCATTCTATTCCTCAATCACGACCCGAACCTTGCATGGTTGGGTTAGGGTAATTTTGATCTGAATTGCCCTACTTCCCTGCACGTCATCATATCGAGTGCCCTCGTCGACAAGCAACCGAGTTCCCGGCACAGACGGAGACCTACCGGGAAACTCCAGTTCACCTATGGCACGCTCGACAGCGTCAGAGGAGTGCTGACAATTGGTGCTGATGATTGAAATAGCCTCCCACAACATCACATGTTCAGTGAAATGAGGTGAGTTGGATATTCCGATGACATCGTAATCATCCTCGGCATCAACCCGGACAAAACCGTCAATGGCGACTATATGATCTCTAATGTATGTAATATAGGGAAGCTCTGGGAATCGATGCCTCCACTGACATCCTCCATCACATCCGCGATATCGAAACCCCCGCTGAGCGCGCCGAAGCCGTAGCAAAAGTCCAGGACGTCGAACGGCTCGCAATGCTCAACCAGCAACCACAGCCCGGCCTCGCGCGCTTGATGGATTATCTCCAATCACGCGGACTCCGACGAGCTCTTTGCACCCGGAATTTTGAGTCCGTATTCCTTCCACAATGTATCACTAGTGGCATGCATTGCAATCCCCACAGTACTGATATAGATATCAACCCATAGAGCCCCGGTGAGGTATCTCATCCAGAATCACCTACCGAGCCATGTCTTCCTCCCCATCATCACTCGGGACACCCCTGATGTAATCCCCAAGCCTGATCCCGCGGGTATCCTGCATATCGCTGGGGAATGGGGACTGCCCAACCGCGCAGAGAGCCTGATTATGGTACGTCACAAAATTCTCATATTAACCATGCTCGTGCATTGTCCAGGGAGTTCCATTGATTTAACCGCTGCTAATCGTTTCTAGGTCGGTGATAGCATCGACGACATGACGGCGGGTCATACGGCCGGCGCAGCAACCGTCTTGCTAGTAAATGAGCGCAATGGCCATTTGCGTGAACATGCTCATACCGACATTTGTATCAGTCGCTTGGATGAACTGGTGGATATTCTTGAGCAAGGTTTCGTGGGTACTCGCGAGAATCATGAACATAAAGAGTAGACTTGTACATATAGTAGTAGCACTTATTTCTTTTCAAGCTATTCCTGCTCTTTGGCGACAGCCCTCCTGGGCTCTAATGAGCGAGCTCAGCATACTAGGTCAATAAGAATCCAGCTCATTATCGATGCATGCATACTTCTCCTCGTCTGAGAGAGGATCAAACCAGACCAGAAGATAAACTCCAATGGGCAATGTACAGATATATGGTATTCGTAAGGATGCTCATAATGCACGACCAGCGTGGTCGATCTAACGTCCTCGGCCTCGCTTGCCGCCGCCCCCGCCGCCGCGTCCGCCATTGGAAGCCCCACGGCCTCGATATCCTCCCCTGCCTCGTGGAGGCGGTGGGGGTCCGCGACGTGGTAGCGGAGAGAGCGTTCGCTTTGAAGGGGGTTTGCCTCGTGGCTGATCGGAACCTAATCCACCGCCGAAACGAATCGCCCCGCGAGCCCTTCCACGAGATGGAGGCGGCGGCCTTTTACCACCACGGGGCAAATCGTCGCTGCTATCTGAAGTGAAAGATTTGTTACCACCTCCTCCACCACCACCTCGGGGACCTCTATTCCGCGGTCCTCTGGGCGGGCGATTAGGCGGCGGGCCGGCGTTCTTTTGAGGTATGGCACCAGCGCTGAGGTTGGTAATTGCTGTTGGGTCGATTCCCTTAAGAGAGAATGCGCATGATGAGTAAGAAGGGTATGGAACTGAAGGGCAGTCACCGATGAGATGCTGGCTGCTGGCACAGCGGGCGCACGACATAGCGACCTTGATGGACGAGTCCGCGACCTCCCGCATAGGGAATGCGCATCGTTGATCACACTGGGTCTCAAGGTGAGGTAGACTGCAGAAGTCGCAAGGAACTTCGGACGCGGAGCCCTTTAGGGCAGATGAGCATTGCTCTTCTTGGTGGCCTCTCTCTCGGCATCGTATGCATCGTCGCCATGAGGGACAGAGGTTACTGGAATGTTTATTCCACACTCCACAGTGCTCGCACTAGATTTGGTTAGTATATAGATATCCAATAAATAATGGGGCGAAGGGTTAAGAATCGCTACCTCTTTCGTCGGGCACACTTCAGCCATATGACCTTGGCGAAAGCACTCGATACAACCAATCGGCAGTTGGAGATCAAGAGTGTGGATATCGCGATCCCAGTAGAGGAACATGGCCTGCTTTTCGAGATCCGTTTTGTCCAAGTCTACCAACGTGACCGGGGCAGTTGGGTACTTGCGACTGAAGTGCTGGAAGGCTTCTTCTTTCGATTCCGCTGCTGTAGGTATAACATCCAAGAGGGAGTCTGCACCCTTTCCTCCAGAGGCACCATTTATATGACCGTTTGTTAGGCCTTGACTCAAGTCCAAAGACTCCGGGTCATATTCATCCGCCGCTTGCTCATGTTTTGTCCCGATGTTCAGCAGGATAGAGTCATCGGCCTCGGAATCCAAGGATTGCGAATCATCAGAGTCGCTGACAGAGTTTATCTCGCCTTCTTCAGATGTACTGTCCTCATTTGACTGGCCATCATCCTTCTTTGCTGTGATGCTTCCTGCGGATGAAGCAGAACTACTGCGACTGCGCCAGTATGTCCCATTGACTGCCTTGAATTGCGCAGAAGTTGCGTCTGGCTCAGGCTGGGCCTTGCGTTTCCCCAATGTTGTACGCACGGCATTTTTCCTGCCTTGGTTCCAGCTGACGGCGGGGGCCGTACTGCCTGCGTGAGGGTTTTCGGTCGCGGGTGCGGGTGCGGGTGCGGGTTTGCTAGAAGCCTCCGAGTGATCAGAATCGCCTTCACTTTCAGAGTCCGAGCTGGAGCCGGAGCCAGAGCTTGAAGTCTCATCAGGATCAACTTCGAGAGGCTTTTCGCTGAACGAGGCTCCACGCGGGACAAAATCTTCGAGGGCGCGAAATGCGGCGGGTTCGTTCCGCCGTTGTCTCTTCGTGGGACGGGATTTGCTATCGTGTGAAGATCGGGAGGCGGCGTTTTTTCGGCCTCGCTGGGCGCCAACAGAGGCCGTCCGTGAATCGGCCTCGTCCCCTATGTCAGACATGGTGAAGGTTGTGAAGAGTTGAAGATGAAGCGAATAGATCTACACTGATGGGTTGAGATTCAAGCGCAAATTTTTACGGCGGGCGGAGAAGACCATCACCGCAGGAAATCACGCAGGAAGGCGCGACCCTCGGAGTTACCTGAGCACCACACAAAATAATAGAAATATTACTAGCCAGTTATCCTTACTTTACTGTAGTGTATTGCTCTAATTAACTATCTCATTGACACTGGTAATGCCGAATACAGGTGGTACCTATTAGAATTCCAAAGTTACCTATACTCACTTGAAGTAGATCCGAGATATATATACAAGTCGAGCCTCACATGCATAACCTCTATAACCATTTCGGGTATGTATTTCCAAGGTTCCCACAATATGCCCAGGTGTAGGATAGTATTACTAGTACCTAGTATGGTACGATGCTGGCCACTGGCAAATATCAAGCCACACAATGGCATAGTCTCACACTAAGCGATCTGGAACTCACTATTGGAACCAAAAAACACGGCAATGCTGGGAATGGGCAAGGTCGGCCAGTGGCGCGCACGTGCTTTACACCCCCGTCTCCAAGCCCACCGTCCTTTCGCCTCATCCACCTATCCTGATTGTATTTCATAATTCGCCCCTTTTTGATCCTCACTCATTCTCCTCAAAGTCGCCCCAACCTTGATTGTAGGAGTGCTGCGGCCCAAAAAAAAATAAAGAGAAAAAAAACGAGATTGCCCCCGTGACCCCCGACAAGCCCGATCCGCCCGACTCCACGCGGTCACTTCATCATCCCCACGCTCCTTTTCCCCCGACCACCCACCTCGACCACCAACTCCAGTCAAGCTGGCGTCCGATACTCCCAAGTCCTCCCTACTGGTCTCGCGTACCATCTCATTCGCTCCCGAAATGGACGGCGCACAGCGACTGTCGCCCAACACCCAAAAGCAGGGCCGTCGGCGACGCTCGAGCAGTCTCATCTACCAGGAACCTGCCGAGTCGATCGAACATACCAGTGACCAGGCGGCACTGCCGAACCTCAATGCGAACTGGGTCAATGCGAAGGGTAAGCTCGCATCCTTCACCTTCCCCTCCTCTCTCCCCAAACTCTCCCCCATCGACTCCGGACACCGTGGACAAAGCAAATGAAAGCAACAAGAGCTGACGCAGAAGCTATTTCTATGAGCAGGGGCTTGGACCATCCATTTCGTCTGCATTGCAGTACTGAAGATCTTTTACGATATCATCCCAGGCGTCTCGCAGGAGACATCATGGACTCTGACCAACATCAGCTATATGTTTGGCTCCTTCCTCATGTTTCATTGGGTGCGGGGCATCCCGTTCGAGTTCAACGCCGGCGCCTACGATAATCTCAACATGTGGGAGCAAATTGACAACGGTGATCAATACACTCCGACCAAGAAGTTCCTGCTCTGCGTCCCGATTGTCCTCTTCCTTATCAGCACCCACTACACCCACTACGATCTGACCTATTTCACTATCAACTGCCTGGCGACGCTATCCGTGGTTATCCCCAAGCTGCCTTTTGTATGTATTCCCTTTGACCCCATATGGATGGACCTTCCGTTAACAATTCACCAGTCGCATCGGATGCGAATAGGTCTTTTCTCCGATTTTGACGAGTCATAGTCCTTTCATACGTCTTTTTTCCCTTCCCTTGTTGCTACATTGGCGTCTTCCGGGCCTTCGACCTAGCTCCTCCTTTCCTTTTTTGTGTCGCCTCATAAACAGGCTTTTGCATTGCGTTGATTTCACGGAGTTTTGATCCGTCGTTGGTTCTCGCAACCTTTTTTCCCCTCTTCTTCCTTTCCCTTTCGCTTGGCAAATACAGTCACCTGGGCTGCGAGTCTCTCCTTTTAACTCCAGTTCCTGTCTAGATTTTTCAGCTTCAGAGCCGTGCATATGTTACTCTCTATAATTCACTTTCCACTAGTTCCTTAGATGTGTAGTTGAGTTCGTCCGGTGGTGCCGCTAAATCGGGCCCTGCAGGACCGAACGATGCAGGTCATCCTTCTTGGCTCGGTCCATGCGGGGGGGATATTGCATCATAGCATACGGAGTAAGCCATGGTATATGCAGACCAAGGCAGCCCATGAAAATAAACTTGTAAATTCTAGCTGGAGCATAGAACTAATTTATAATTGTACAATCTATAATAAAAATAGTATATCAATAAATCTCAGAGTGCTTACTCACAATCACTAGTAACTATTAGTAGGTAGTGTCTATTTTTGGGAGATCCCGCCTCGCCCGTTTGCTCACCAACCTAGGGTTCCATGCTCTCAATTCCTCCAGTGTTTCCTTTTGCATCTGCATCTGTATCTGCATTTTCGAAAAGGTCCCAAACAACCTCCAATCTTCATACCTCCAATCTACAACAAGTTCCTCGGAATTCTGTCAATCATCCCCCAATCCCCCAATAAGGTCGTATCCAATCAGGGTACTGGGACATTACTAAGCCTTATCGATAAGCGCGCGCCCAAAAGATCGGACGCGACCAACTGCCCATTATGTCGTCGCAGCATCTTGACGAGATGGCTCCATGGGGCAACTTGGAGTATCGTGCACCGAAGCCTCCAAGGTTTGAGCTGGTTCAAAACATCGAGATTTTCTTTGAAGAGAAATTATGTCAGTCATCTCCTGAAACACCTCTCCAACCCCGCGATCCAGGAACTAACATAACGCGCCACAATCATAGATACCCAAGCACTGAATCTCCTCTTCAATACCCTTGCTTCTGGCAGCTATGCCTCGCCCGAGTGCATTATCCCTCTACCTCCGCATCTCGCTATAGCGGTCACTTTTCTCGTACATCCATCTACGACTACCCGAGCCTCTTCGGACGAGGAAAAAGAGGTCGCGCATATCGCTCTCCGACTCCTGCGACTTCTCGGTACTCTCGTCAGTCCCGGAGCAGCGAAACTCGATATTGCATTTGCTTTTACACATGATCAGGCCTTGCGTTCGGGGGGGCAAATTTCGCGCGCCAGGAGACGACAACGAAAGCCACGGACATGATGATAACAAGCCGCTGAACATCAAGCTCGGCAAAGAAGGTTCTCTATGGTCTCGTGCGGAGGATTTTTGGCATGCCGTTGGCTGGACTTTTAACTGCTCCGTACTCCATCATGAAAGATGGGAACGATGGCAGATTTGGCTGGAGTTCATGTGTGATGTACTCCAAGACGACTGGAATGAACGAGAGCGCATATTCAGGGAAAGGAAAGCCGACGAAGGTGATGGAAACACACAGCAGCGCGTTCCAATCAAAAGAGGGACCGTAGACCAATACCAAGATCATTCCTTGACGATTCTTAAAGAGAGTTTGATCTTTCGATACATCTCGGCTGGCAGTGGGACTGGCAAGTACCGCAGGGTCGTCAGGGCTATCTTTGCAGATGGTGGCACGAATTCGCTCAATGAATTCCGCCAAGTTTTCCCCAAGGAACTCAAGCTGGCCAAGTCAGATCGACAGGCCGAGAAGGCTAAAAAGAGGGAGCGCGACGTTAATATCGACAAGGATGAGTACGGCGATTATCTAGCTCAGGATGAGTCAGATGATGAGGCCACTACTGGCCTCGAACCGAGCAAGTCAAGTTCACAGTCAACGTCTCCTTCGGGCGCAGGCTCTAGACGGTCAAAGCGTACAAGGCGAGGTACGAGAAATACGAAGGATCCACTTGATAACGAGCTCATCGATGAGATTACTGGCCCGGATCAAACCTTAACGCAACATGATGTTGGTCTTTCCCCCCTAGGTGGTCTAGATTCTCTTGATCTGCGCAAAAGACTTCTTGGCCTTTTGTCGAGAGTATGTGAGCTGCTTCCGAAGGACTTCCTGGCAATTGACGTTCTCGATCACTACATCATTGAGAATATCCGCCATCTGCCTTTACCGATTTTCCAGGCCTTCATCAGTCCATATGTTCTACCTGGTCTCCCTGATAGATCGCAGAGAGATTCGTCGTCCGATGAAGAACAAAATCCAGGCGAAGATGGAAGAAATATCCGCGGAGAAAGGTCGGATGCAGAGCAAACTGTTTTGTGCGAACTTCTCCTGTTTAGTATGCTTGAGAGTGCCGCGCCGAAATCCGACCAACCTTATCTAGATCAGGATAAGTTGGAGGAATGCTTTCTTCCCTTCGCGGCCGCGAATGCCAGTGTTGTCGACAATGTCAAGGTGTCCATTATTCTCGAAGCGCTCATGTTGCTCCTGGCTGGAAACGGGCTATTGCGTTTCCGGCCCTCCTTAGAGAATGCCGTCCAGATTGGGTTGGGTAGGCGGGTCGAAAGAGCTGCGATGGAGGCACGACGGAGCCAGGCAAAGAAAGATCAGGAACCTCTTGAGACGTCCTGGTTGATTGAGAGTGGTGATAGATTGCTTTTCCTCATGGAAGTTTTGCAGTCGCAAGCGCAGTCGATCACCTGATGGGTAGCTGAGTACGATAACTATGACAATAACGATTTATGATACATCTTTAAATAGTATATGAATGGGCAGATAATGGCACCCGTGTCCTGCCACCCTCCTTCCAAATAGCGGTGCAATAATACTAGTAGTAGCAGCAGTAAAATTTGTGTCACTCCGTGGGTGGGTGACTCGCTGGCCCTGAGGTCTGGAGGGCTGATTCTTACTAGTACTGAGAATTTGAGGACTGGACTGCATTCAATAAATGGCTGCAATTATTGATATATAATAGATGTCATCTACAATCGCAGTGTAGGCTTGAAGTATGAAGAAAGTAGTATAGAAACATCTGCAAGACAAAACTTCCGGAAGGGAATCATAGCAACACAAAAGAAATAAACCACCGGGTCGCCGACGCAAAGAATGGAAATCGACATTGAGCCAGGCTCAACAGTAAGAGAATGGAGAGAGGAAAAAAAATAGTTACTATCCTAGGTTGAATAGGGACGCATTTCATCTACCAGATGAACATTTATGGCGGAGGCCGAGGTCCGATGATTTGACGACGGGCACCTCCAACGCCCAATCCAACACCACCGCGGTTCTGGTTGTCGCCACCCAAGTACCCGTATTGATGAACGTCCCAGGTCTGACCGGGCCCCGAGCCCATGGTGTTATCGCGCGCAGCAGCCTGGGTGTTTTCTTGGTTTTCTTCCCATTCACGCTGGCGCTCGCGTTCACGCTCCATTTCACGTTCAAGCAGCGATTTCGATGCCCATCCGCCGGCCTTGGTCTGTTGCTGGGAGGCAATACGGCGGCTGTTCTCTGCGTCGACTTCTGATGTCGTGCTGTAGTCTTGAGGTCCATGAGAGGATGGAGCAGCGGCCTGAGGTGCTGGGTTAGAGGAGAGGAAGCGATCGACACGACTCTCGCGACCACGGTTTGCGGAATATGCAACTGGGTCCGGAAGAGGACGAGAGGCAGCGGGTAGATCTCTAGGTGGGAGTGATGGTACTGCCTGAGATGAAGGCACTGGCTGTGGGAGTGGTCGACGAGGTGGAGGCGAGGCTTGCTCTTCAACCTCCTCTGGTTGCTCTTGCGCTGCTGGCATTTCTTGTGTATTCTGCCACTCCGTGCGCAGCATGCGGCGTTCCTGTTCAAGAGAGGAGAGGTCGTAGCTTGGTTTGGGGGGGTACTGGAACGGGACGTTGACGGCTACCGCTACGAGATGGAGATTCGTCGCCACTCTTCTCGACTTGGAGTCCTGATCGATCAGTCTCATACTGACGCTCTCTTTCTTTGGCTTGCTCAAGTTCGCGTTCGAGTTCCTTGATGCGCCGACTCTCGGGTGTTTCTTCGACTGCCGGCTCTGCACCAGGCTGGCCCGCTTGGTATTGACTGAGGAATTGTCCATTGAGACGAGCATCGGTAGCACTCTTTCGGCGTTGGCGGTCTTGCTCGAGGCGCTCCTCAGTTGCTTTCTCTTCCGCGACTCGTCGCTGTTCTTCTTCCTCCCACTGACGCTTCTCTGCATCCCACCGTTTCTTCTCATCTTCCATTTCTTGGCGTTCCTTCTCTCTCAAACGTTCTGTCTGCTCCTTCCATCGACGCTCTTCTTCAATCTTGGCCTGCGCTTCCTGCTCCTCGATCTCTCGTTGGCGAGCTCGTTGTTCCTCTTCCTGTCTCGCAGTTTCTTGACGAATTCTCTCATCTTCCTCACGCCTGTACTTTTCCTTTTCTGCTAAACTCGGCACGGCCGGGCTTGGGGTAGTAATTTGCCGTCGAGACCCGAATGCAATGCCTTGATTGCCTTGGCTGGCACCACCCATATAGCCATATTGGTGGATGTTCCAAGCGGGGGACGTGGAGCCCTGGTCATTCTTCTTACTCCAGGAGCTGTAAGATCCGGACGGCTTAGAAGGACTCATTCGACCGGGGTTGTTAGGATTGGCGTCGCTGGCATTGCTGGAAGCACGGCCGGTTCGTGGGGTATACGACCCCTGGCTGGAGGAGCCCGTCGCATTTGGGCTGACCACCCCACGTTTGCTTTGCGGGCCAACCGAACGCGGGAATATACCTGGGTGAAGAATATGAGCCCGACGGCTAAACGATGCCAGACACTGGAGGACCTGCGCCGGGTCCTTGGCTTCATAGAGATCGACAGTGAGGAAGACATCGTGCGGGGGGAGGCCGAGTGGTGCCATTTGACATGCGCGTAGGAAGTGTGAAATATTCTCCATCTGAACAAATGGCATTGAGGACTGCTTATATTTCACGCCTGGTGATACAGCCAAATTGACTAACCTGGTTCGTAGTCAAGGGGTTAGCCGGCCAGCGCCGAGCAAAGAACAAGACGGGTCGAAAACAATCGGGAGACTCACTTGCAAAGTGCCACTCCATCCTTAAGGCCTTCTAACAGATCACTCGAAGGGAGTTTCTCACGTAGAACCTCTTCAATCCAGTCACGTACCTCCGCGGCTGCCTGCGGGGTATAGCGGGATAGGCGCATGTTGCGCAAGTCTTTGTCCAGCGAGGTAACCGAAGCCATGATCAATGGTTGGTGATCGTAGTACGATCAAGGTTGATTTGCAAGAGCGTGAGGGGAAAACACCGTGGTTCCTGATTGCGTGGCAGTATCCCTTTGCCCGAGTCTGCCTAATCGGCCACCGGTCCGTGGGGAAGTTGGGTATCCAAAGGGGGCGCGCAAAAGCACCAAGACGATTTCGTCCAGTGAACGACAATAGGGAGTTTCCGAAAACCCGCGAATATGCGAGTAAAGGGGGGGGGGGGGATTAGACGAAAGGTGGAAGGTGGAAGATGGAAGTGAGTGAGTGGAATGGAATGGAGGCTGTTTATGTTCGGGGCCGATGACGTTCCTGACGTTCTGGCTCATCCGCGAACCACTTTTCTTCTCCACGCTTCCCTCCCTGCCAATTCTTCCACCCCATCCCCATCCCATTATGGTCAATAGTCTCTGGTTCCAGTGGAAGAGCCTCAAGCTCCCCTGGCGAAAATCCCGAATTGCCGGTAAAGTCGTCTCTGTCTCTGTCTCTGCGAGCCTCGTTGGATATCACCCGGGTTTACTGACTTTTGCCGCTCAGGCGTGGATCTCGCCGGAAATACTTTCTGGGAGTACAGAGATGACCCAAATGCCAATCGTTGGCGAAGAATGCTGAAGCCGGACCCCAAGATTCATCTAAGCGATGTGCAAGTTACCCGTAAGTGCTATGCGAGTGGAGAGAATCCTATCCCCGGCGATTCGCCTGACTGGAGCTTTGATTTTGGCAGATCCTTGAAGACAATGTCACTAACACGCTCATACGCGAATAGCACAATGGCATCAATGGCTCCGATATGTACGCGAACATCCCCCAACCGTTGAAGAGCAGCAACAAGACGTTGTTCGACAACTCCAAATCAAGCAACTCGCCCGACTCGCCGATGAACGCTGGGCCAGTAAACCGTCCTATCTCGACAAGCCCCAGCCCCAGAACCCGATCCCTTCAGTCGGCGACGGCTCTGGGAGCTTGAAGTCTCAAAATCTCCCCCATTCCACACAATCTGCGACGCCTTCACAGACCGAGTCGGCTTCGCAACCAACACCCCCAAAGGAAGCGAACCCATGGGCCAAGGCAGACCGTAGCAACCCCGGCGACAGCTGGCAGCCATCCGACTGGTCGCCAAATTCCAAGCGATGAAATATAAATTCGGGCGGTCTGGAACATAAGTTTATCGGTTAAGATATGCCCCCGGGACATATGCGGTCGAAGTGCAACAGCCAACCTCTCCCGCCATTTCTCAACGAACTACACGATAAGAAGGACACCGATGACGAGAAACCGTTGTTGCAAACACACATACTTTGCTACCTTGTTTCAGTTCGGCATCATTCATGATGATAACCTCCCGCTGCCTTGGAGATCAGCGTGCCTGGTCGCCGAATTTGGCTGATTTGATTACCCACGAAACCACTATCTCTATTTATTCAGGCCGAGTCAGCTTCTGGTAAACTAGCTCTTGTACAATACTATGCACCTTCAATGAATTATCCATTACCCTCGACCTCAATCACACTTACATATCCCGATGCTTTAAAACAAACGTCGAACCTACGAACTTGGAAGTCAACGACATACTACTACTTTGTTTCTGCTTGTACCGCGGATTCCATACGAGAAAAGCATAGAAATTGGTTTTGAATAGCCCGAAGGCCCTTTTTTTTGTATTTTATTTTGAAAAACAAAAGCCAGAACATAATATCAAAGGGGAGTCACACCGCAACTTCTCTCTCTCTCTCTCTCTTTTTCTTCTTTTTCTTCTTTTTCTTTTTGCCCCTTCCCATCTCCCCTGTACGAACATGATGAAATTGAAGAGAAGCCACAACAACATAAACCTTTTGTTCTCTTTTTTTTTTTGCTTTTGCACCCCTCCCGCCTCGTTATCAGATCTTAAAATAAAAACTAAGCCATAAGATAACTTTTTCACTCCACAATTGCCCGAACGGAATCAACAAATCAATCAATGACTTCAAATGTAAACCATGGTCTCTGCAAGACGAGGATTGATCGAGACATCGGCCTGGGTAGGTGTGTGTGAGGCTCGTTTTGCATGGGGATTCTGTGCCTCCTTCCATTCGTAGCAAGCAACAACGTGCTTTCGCGCACGGTCACAGTAGCGATCAGCGAGGAATGCCGGGGTGGCGTAGCTGATAGAACGGGTGCAGCGAGCCATCATGTAGCAGATATTGTGTGTGAGCTGCTGTAGATCATCGGCTGCGGTACGCGAACTCGGAGCAAAGATCTCGTCATGAAGTACCACGTAGTGAGCTGGACGAGCCGAACCTTGGAGGGGAGCCTGTGCCTGGAGATAGAAATCGTAGTACCACGGGCGTGTCACGACTCGATCAATGATCGTGCCATTTTTGCAGTTGTTCTTGTCATCGCAGCCTTCTGAACTGGTTGGGTAGAAGCGAACGTGATGGCGCTTTGTGACTATGATGAAGGTGATTTTCGGTGAAGAGCCTTGGTAGACTTTCTGGATGGCCTGACGAATCGATGACATCTCCTCTTTCATCACTTCGTTGTATTGGCCTTCACTCACACCATCACGGTAGACGAGGATGCTTGTCGGCAATGTTTTGTTGACCTTTTGCCAGCGGTGAAGACGACCGACCATCATATCCTGCAGATTCTCAAGAATCTCCTTCTTGGAAGTCTGGATGCGGCTTGCTCCTGCCCATTGGCCAAGTCGACCGTCTGTGCTAGCAACAATGGCAGCGACTGTTGGGAAGCCTTCACAGTCAGTAGCAGACGGATGCGTAGCATCAATTCCGACAACCATGGTTTTTCCCTGGGCCAGTAATCCAGAGGCAGGAGGGTCAAGGATGTGATTGACACCACCGAGCTTCAGGTTAACCTTCAACGCATTGTTGGCCATGTACTGAGGATTCCCCTTGGCAAACTTGTCGACGAGGACGCAGTGATTCGGAATGCCCAGTTTGCAATCAGCGGCCCATTTGACGAAGCGGAAAATCCGGTCTTGCCCTGTGGGAAGCACAACCAACAGGAGGTGTGGGGTTTTCGCTGCCAAACTTATGAGTCTCGCCTGGAGTGCCTCGCACTGGTCTTTGATGGGCCCCTTGATATCAATGGACTCGAGACTGGGGCGCTGTGCCACTCGCATGCCCATTTCAGCCATCTTTTTGCGGAAGCCTTCAACGGCAGTCTGGACTTGATCAGGTGGAATTCTGGTGACACCAGACTTGATCCACAAGACAACCCAGGTTTCGATAGTGACACCTGCAGAAAACTGCTTTCCCACAAGATTCCAGGCACCCCTCTGAGGCTTTTCCGTGCGAGTTCCATACTTCAGCGCCGGGGCATCAAGAACCCTTGCAGGAACGACAAGCATCTCGTCGGAGAATTTGATTTGTCTGTCGCGGAAGTAATTACCGGACATTCCCATAATGCCTCGGCCAAGAGTTCGGATGGTCTCAAAGTTGTCCGGTGGTTGGCGACAGCTAAACTTGATGATATTCTGTCGCTGCGCAGTAGACAGCTCGCCGTTGAAAACATGCCCTTTCTTGATCCAGGCAACCTCGGAGGGAATGTAGACAGCCCTCTGGTGGTTCCCGATATTGACCACTGGTTTCTTCTTGTCCTTCAACGTGACATCGTATTCTGCGTAGAACGGGTTAGCCTAGTATTTCTTGCCACAGTGCCTGATTCCACTTACTTCGTTTGAAAAAATCCGTGACAGTCACGTAGCGGCCATTCGATTGTCCTTCCTCGGTAAACCAGAATCGCACGTCGTCTGGACCGGCGCCAAACGATTTGACTTGGGGAGGCTTGTGATCCTTTCTGTCTTTGCTGTCTTTGTTGGGAACGTATTTTGTTTCATCTTCCTTGCTTGCCAATCCCCAAACAGTGCCGACGCGGTGAACTTGTTTGCAATCATCATCGTAGATCTTAGGCGAATGTCTGAGTTCGATCTTGACAGTGCGAAGATATCGGTTCAGAGTTTCGAGATCATTGAAATTTCCTCGAAGAACCTCCTCGATGTAGACGGCCAAATTCATATGCTGGTAGAAAGCACTATTGCTGACACCGAGGTTTAGCAAAATTTGTTTGGCAGCCGGGCGCACACTTGAGATGACGCCGCGGAGAACTTCAAGTCCACCAGTCAGGTTCATGCTTTCTTGACGATTATCGGTGTAGAAGAACTTGAGTCGACCTTTGCCAACATTTGTGACGCCTGGGTCACCGTAAGCGAAGCTTGTCATGAAAATGTTGAGAAGCTGAACAACATAGTCCTCGTCTGTGACTTTCTCATGGATGTCGGGGTTTGCAAGCCCATCAAGTAGACCTTTCAAGGGAATGGGTTTCTCGTCCTGTAGAGTGAAGGCAACAGTGTAAGTGTGAGCCCATTCTTGTTCCCCAGGATCACATTTGGTAGGATCACATCTGGCGGTTGTCTCTTTCAAGGGGATCGGCTTGCAGGTCACGATCCACTGAGTCTCGTCTGTCGCAGGCATGCAGTCCTTGATTTCAGGACATCTAAGCACGAGTTGCTTGAAGATCTGTCGGATATGACGCTTGTGAGTGGGCTCCGGAACGATCTTCACACTGTATGCGTAAAATTTGGCATCTGGCTTGAAAATCATTGAGAAAAAGTTGGCGCGGACGTTGGTTGATTTTCCCTTGGTGCCATAACCGGGACGGCGAACCAAATCGACATGAATCGGCAATTGACCCCTCTCTGCCTTGGTCTTTTTGTTTCGAAGATCTCGCTGGGGCTCTTGCTTGATGTTCTTCTTGGATTCCAAGGACTTTTTCTCGAAGTCCGCTATCTGCTTGTCGGGAGGCGAAGCAGTGAACATCACCCTAAATGGAAACGGTCAGTGATTTTCCATGCAAAAGGGATCCTTCAACTTACTGTCTATCTGCCTTGACAGTCGGGGTACTTTGATAGTCCGGGCGAGGACCTCCAGAGCCACCATGCGACTGGGAGCCACCACGCTGCTGAGGGCCACCACGCTGCTGAGGGCCACCTCGAGGAGGGCCTGACGATTGTCCTCTCACGGAACTTCCGCCTCGCCCGCTTCGTTCGGGGCTTGGAGATCTCTGCGGGCTGCGAGATCGGAGAGGAGCATCGCCAGCACCGGTAGGTGTGGTAGGCCGGGAACCTTCTCTGGTTGGGGTCGAGGGTCGTGGGCCAGTCACAGAGTCGCGTCGGCCGCCTCGTGAATCTCCACGGCCGCGATTTGAATCACGGGAAGACATATTTTCATTCGTACTGGTTCTGTAGTTGTATCGGGTGAAAGAGAGAGATAGGGACTCAGAAATATGAGTTTGAATGTGGCGTGAGAAGAGATGGAATTCGAAGGAGGGAGAGGAGGGGGTGGAAACGGCTCCCTATGAGTGAGAGACCTGTCTGAGATCGAGAATGGGGTTGAAGGAATCCGCCTTGCACGAAACTTGGCATTCGCAAGGAGGGAATTCTGAGGAGGGTATTGCTGAGAATTTGTTAGCGATGGCAATCAGACATGAAGGATACAAACTTTGAGACTGTGGTACCGAGGCTGTTGGGTATGCGCAGATGAATAGGAGTGGGAAAGGGTTCTGTGGGCAACTTGCACGGACACTCAGTAAACGAAGGCTCCAGCAAAGTTGGATTCTCGTTGCAGAGACGCACAAGGTGAAGGTAGTTCCCAGAGATGAAAGTGGTGGAAGGGTGAATGTGAAGATGAAATTGGAGCTTCGGGGGGAATAGAATGGCAAGCAAACGATGCAACGGGGCAAACAGTGGCAGCGAATCAAAGGGCAAAAATGAGGGGAGACCGACCAGTTGTCACGATGTTCGCATGAACAAACGTATGGGATATCAGGCTGAAGCTGATCGAGCCAGCATGATAAGATTAGAGGCGAAATTGATGGCAAAAGTGAGATAGAAATCAAAACGATAGTGAGGATAACAAAATGGGATATTGGATATCGCGGGAACGCAAAGAGATGGGAATCAGCAATAGCAGAAGGTCTTGGTGCACTTACATAGCGTAGTCGTGGTATGGATAAGTCGTGATCAGCATAAGAAAAAGATATGGTGATCTGGGAGAATCAAAAGGAGAGATTGATTTCCTGGAAGGCTGGCTTAAGTAGTCGAAGTTAAGGCCGGCGCGCAGCTCGCAGGGTCGCAGGGTCGCAGGGACACCCCGATAAGGTGTTCAGGTCAAATTTCGGCTGAGGTTCTGGCCGAGGTTCTGGCTGTAGTTGAAGTACCCCTAGCATGAATGGAAATAATTCGAAAATATTGTGGTCGTGAAGTCGTGAAGCCGTAGAGTCGTAAGGTCGTAAAAACGGCCACTAGCTACAGTCTGTCGAAATACCACTTAAGCCATAATACATATGCCAGAGAAAACCCCGACAGATATAGTCTGGCCAAATGGTATCGCAAACACAGAAATAGCGTAGGAGCTCCCAGAAATAAGAGAGAAGGCTTGAAATGCGGTCGTCATAGGCAGACCTGGTATTGGGATTTCTTGAACTAGGTGGATAGTTTCGGAGGAGTATCTTCTAGGACATGATGACGGTAAGAACTACCTTGTCCAACGCGGCTATTCAGCCGCTGTGAATGAGGATTCGCATGTTTATGCCCAGCCCTAGAGGATATCAGATTGAAGGAAGGGCATGGTTTTTAGTCAAAGGAGGGTACAAACGTGAGCAACCTTGGAGCCTCCAAGATTGGGGCATGATCGGAAATTCGGGATGTAGAGTGTAGAGAGGAAAGAGACGAAAGAGAGAAGATTCTCTTGAATAACTTGACGTTGTAATTGGAAACTGTGAAGGTAATCACGTGCAGCGGCACAAACGGCCCGGGAGATCTGCTATCCGCAGATCTGCGGATAGTAGCGGACGCAGCGGACTATACCGCAAGGCAAAATTATTTAGAAATCACAAACTTGAAGCTACAATGAACGGAAGGATATGGAATTCACAGAAGATGTGATGGTATTAGACATTGGTAGATATTTGTCTAGACATTAAAAGTATACAGAATTTTGGGGGGAAACCGAAACCAAAGATGGAAAAGCAAGAAACCAGAGCGCCTGAACGACCAACCAAGATATTCCCCATGATATAGTAATGACAAACAAAAACACCGGCTATAACGTCAGATAATTAACACGCAAAAATTAAATCAAGAAGCAAAGTAGGATGTGCTTCAGCAAAATACAGCTTCCAAAGCATCAACATCGCCACCGGCATTGCGCACGGCGCGAAGAGCTGCCTCACTCAGTTTGCGCCGTCGGTCCTTGGCTTCTTGCTCCCGTCGGGCTTTTGTCTTGGAGCTGCCAGAAGGTGCGACACCGCCGAGGATTCGGTGGCTATCATTAGCTGTGAAGTTCACAAAGGAGACGTTCACGGATTTGTTTGCCCCACGGGGGCTGGTGGATGGCTTTGCCATTTTGGGACCGTTCATGCTCTGGCCTGAAAGTTTCCGGCTGTGTGTGCGACGGTGTCCCTTGTTCTTTGGTGATGTACCGGCCCGCGGGGAGAGAGACGGGGAACGTGAGGTGTGGACTTGTTGAGGGGCGAAGGGAGTAACGAATTTCTGAGAGTTCGAGGCCACATTGGAGGAGAAGGAAGAATTGCCGGACATGTCAAATGACGGGTCGAGTTGGATCATCAAACCACCTTGCATCATGTCATTTTGACTGCCGACGCTTTGCATGGAGCGCTGGGGTGCAGGGGATGTGACCATAGACTGGTAAGGAGTCTGCTGCTGTTGAGCGACTCTGGAGGGCATAGGAGACCACCAAGAGGCATCTTGGGCTTGGAGATCGGGGGTGAAAGATAGTGAAGAAGTACCAAGGGCATCAGACTGCCACGAGGAAATCGATTGAGGATCGGATGAATGCGATGAAGAGAAAATGTCATCTGCGGAGGGAGGACTGGAATTGGTCAAGGCCGAGGAGCCGGGGTGGTTCATGTATTGTTGCTGGTGTCGTGCGAATGCAGTGGCAGAGGGAGAGGGCATTGAGACAGCAGGAGAAGGGTGAAAGAGGCGGGAGTCATATTGGCCAGGCATCTCTGGCAAGCCATGGTGGTGTTGGGACATGGTGTCGGCGGTCATATTCTCGTGCTTGACTATGACATCCGATGGCGGGGGCGACAATGGGAGACGCTCGTCTGCGCCAGTGAAATCGAAGTTCTGGATCTTTTGAGCCCAGGTGTCAGGGTATGCGACTCTTCCTTTTTGAAGCGAAGAGCGCATCATGCTAGGAGAGAAGGATTGCTTTCGCAGGAGTGACCGGCGCTCATTCGGGTCACGATGGCGAATAGACTTGGGAGTAATCAGAGCGCTCTTGTTCGTCTTCCGCCGAGGAGTAGCTGGCGGGGTGGAGGGCGAGGTAGATGAAATTCCGGTGGTTCCTGCAGGGCCACGGGAGGAAACCTCAAAATTGTTCAAAGTAAAGTCGGAGATAGCAGAAGGGTGAACAGTGTCTTGAAAAGCGAACTGGTCAAGAGAGGTTCCGTCGTCTTGCAGGGACCAATCCTGAGTCCAAGGTTGCGGTGATTGACGATGGCGTTTAGAAGTGGAGTCGGTGGGGGAGTGATCGCCACAGTCCGAGAATGAGTCTAGGGGAAAGAGCTGGTCAAGGTCGCTGGACAACGATAGGTCTTTGTTGCTATCGGGACCAGAGGGATCCATATTGACGTATTGGTTGAATAAATCATTGCAAGAATGATCGAATGGTTGGGCGAACATCTTGCTTTGTTTTCCGTTTGCGGCGAAGTGGTTGTGGTTGAGTCAAAGGTCGAACACCCGGAGAGCCGATGGTCCACTGTGATTGGTGACCAGAGGATAAAGAAAGTCTTTGAGGTCTTGTGGGGGTGCAGTTTGCAGTGGATGCAAATCAGCAATGCAAATATGCAAATATGCCAAAAGGATGCAAATATTGGAGAGAGGGGGAGAGAGATGTTTGACAGTTTGTCAATCAAAGAAAACAATGCAGAGTATGCAAAGAAAGCAAAGCAAACAAACAGATCGAGGCGACTATTTGAATGGCCATCGACAGCTCCAGCCTCAGATTTTCTGCATACATTCCAAGCAGATCCCCAGATGCTCGAGGAATGTGTGAGGAACAACCCGGTTGGCTGCTTAATGACTCCACCCTCCTCCAAAGGAATGATTCAAGGCTGTTTGATCAGCATGGAGCCAATCAGACAAACTGAGAGCCTGAAGGGTAATAGATCCGCTGGAAGCGTATCCAGCCCCCGCAGCAAGCTTCACAATTGACAGCCACCGTAGATAATGCAACCTTCCCGCGCTATTCCCGAAGCATCGCGTCACTGAATAAGTCAATGTGGCGGGGAGTGTGGGATAGAGAGCCAACATGCCAAATCAACACTTTAGAGTGAGATCGGCATAACCCCAATGGGCATCGGGGAGCTCTAGGTTTGGGTCGGAACGGCCACAGAGCCATGAAAAAAAGATCTCCGAGCCTAAGATGCGCCCCATCTCACTGGTTGAACAGAGATCACCTGCCAGGCTCAACTATAGTGTAGGCGTCATGACCCTCAATATCAAATGATCACGATCATCCTTAGGTTAGCCTGATGGAAGGTAGGATCCACACCAGCTTTCGCCGTCCTCTTTTCTTTCTCTTTTTCTTTCCCCTCATGGGTCACTAGCTCTCATGGTGGAGTTCGTGCAAGTGCGTATCCAATGTTCAAGTGTCGGAGAGCAGGAATGTGGGCCGGGAATGTCAGAGGTCGAGCGGAATGCTACTCCCGCCCCTTCCGACAATGTACAGAAGGGTCTTTGGCATTCGAGAAATCAGATCGGCCGACTGAACTCCTCGATGGGGGATAGCACGAACGGGCCGTAGAAGATCGCCGGCCAGCAGCACCGTTGGAGCTTCTCGAACCCTTTCTGTTCTATTATTATCCACATTGCGGAGGTGTTGGCCCTAATCGAATGCATCGAAGCCATCGAAGCATACACGAGGCCACGCTTCTAAGTCATGCATTAGAGATACCCCCCGTTGAGCCGTGCGAGAATTAGCCAGTCATGGAGATGTTTCAAAGAGGTGGCATGGTTCTCATTCGTTGTTCCTTTCTTACTCAAAAAGGTACCATTGGCCAAATGCGTCCGACCGATGAGGGTGAGTCCGAGTGGCGCATACCCAGTTATTGTTGTGCCGAGGAGTGGCAGCTGGATGTAGCCACGACAGTGTTCTTTCAGTCGGTCGAGATCCTTGTTTGGCTGAGCCAGGAACGGCCAATATTATCAAGCGTAGTAGGAAGGGTGTATTTCGGGGTGCCACTGTCCACATCTTTGGGGCAAAGGAAATAGATGAGGGCACCACTCATAGGGCTCTGAAGTACTTCACGACCCAAAACAGTCTGAGTCAGGCCCATCTTGGGATGCATTATTTGGAAATGCGTCTAGGAGGGTAGGGAGGTGCATGGTAAGAATATCCCAAAGAGCCGAGGATGACTTGTGGATCCTTGAAATCTTGTTATTCCAATTCCTGACTTTCCAAATTTATCCATGAGCTGGCATTAGTCCACGTATTATGAGGCCTGCAAACACATTGGGCGTCCCATGCAGTTCTGCAAGGTGATTTCTCGTTCACGTGATGTGGTCATAATTCGGAGCGGTTGAATAGGAAGTGAACAATGATCGATGCCCGAATGTGATATGTAAATATTCCGAGGTAAATCCAGAAGACACTAGTCATCAGGTGCATAATCTAGTGTCTTCTGTGCCTATGGGAGTATCTCCATATGTCAATCTTGGTCATACAAGGGAGTACAGTAAGATGTTGGCGTCGGCAAATGCGAGAAGCGAAGGGGAAAGTGGCTGAGTCAGAATGACGGAGCCAGGTCAGGCGACGGAGGCAAAGAGAAGAACTTGAATAGTGAAAGGCCTCTTTGAACCATTAGGTGCCCAGTGCTGTATTATCAGCACTTGCTTTTTTCCCTTTTCCTTTGCCCCTGCTTTGTTCCACATCCTTTCAACTCATCATCTTGCCAGTCTGCTGCCTACTTCGCTGGCTATTTCCCTCCCCTTCCCCCCGGTTATTCGACTGAGTGTGACTCAACCCGGAAACCCCTCTCCATCACCCCGCGGAACGTGGGCACTTCGGCTCAACTCCAATTTTTCCCCCTCTTCTCCTCATCTCCTTCGTCTCGTCCATCGCAAGTTCGACTGCGATCGCGCTCTCCTGTGACACACCAACGCCTATACTCACGGGCCCTCTAACATTCCGCCGTTTTCATCGCGTCACGAAACCCACCATCGCACCTCCGACGCCCCTTGATCATAAGCATCGCTACTCGTCTTACCAAACACTTAGCGTTACGAAAAGCCTCAGGACTGGGTACTGAGTTATCGACCACTATCCATCTCAGTACAGAGATATTGATCAACCACCCTATCTCTTGACATCTCTACCCACTCGTCTTAAGCATCAAAGCGCCCGAATCCCACACCTTCAAATTTTTACAAGACACAAACGAAATGTATTCCTTTATCATTCTGGCTGGGCTCGTCCCCGTCAAGTGTCCTTAAAGGATCGCAAGATTTCTCTTGTGTTTTCATACCATGGATCTCTCTCCATGTTCTGAAGGCCTCCGACGCCATTCCAATAACCACACCTTTGAATAAATCATTCACACCAACGGCCGTGTGCTCCCCACGAGCATAGATCAGGATCCTGTCTTGCAGGCCCTACAGGAGCATCGCGGTGTGTAAATCTCAACAATAATCTTCATAAGTGCGCCAACATGGCCACTTCTACCATCAACCGGGAGTCATGGGACTCGCTTTCATCCACGTTCGCAAACCTCGAGGTTTCATTCTCACAAGACAGCTGCTATGGGTCCGATGAAGTATCGGTCTCGTCTAATAACGCTGCGCCGTTGCAGCCAAGCGCTACCACCTACACCATCAAGTCGGAGCGCCCTAACCTTCAGCCCTTCTTGAAATCAATCCTCAAGAACTCGCGCTCTGATGAGCAATGTGAAACCGATTCAGATTCGGAGTCAGAATCTGGCTATGGGTCAGATGAAATCGATTCCGAATACGATGCTCTCTCCGAAGGCGAGAGTCATGAAGACGATGATGACGATATGTCTGATTTCTCTATCTGGGAAGAGACTTCTCAAGACGTTCCTGAAACTCGTCAAGATCACACTGATTCATTTGACGTTGCTTTCATCGGATTCGAAGCAGCTGTTCATTTCAGCCCAACTGTCCAGTACATTGATACTCCAGAATACACCGAGGATGAAGAGGAAAGCTCGGATTCCCAAATGACTGTCCATGAAATGATGCTCCTTTCCTTGCAATCGGGTGGTTCCCAGGGCTCTTTGGTTCAGTCCGATGCGGACGAGATATCAGATGACCTCTGCGATGAAAAAGAATTCATTCAGAATTACACCCATCATCCTGAAGAATTCACTCTTGACGGTGTTGATTTGGATCGCAACCTCTTCGTCGCATTGATTAATGGTATCCATGGGATTGCCGATCATAAATACAAAAGCTACCTTCGTCTTCATGTCGACAGCATTCGTCTGGGCCATGAAACCGAACCCATGCACCCCGACGACCCCCCGTGCATGTACCTCGACTCAATCGTCACCCATGTCATTGGCATCTTCCGCAACCTCCTCGCGGTCGATGAGCTTGATCGCCTAGTCTCTCTGCGCCATGAAGATCTATGCGACCAGCTGGCAGATATCGCTCCTTCGGACAAGTCTGCGAGCACCCATCACATCCTTCTCGACAAGATCGAGCATCTGCTCCTGAACAGGTTGGCAAATGGTCGTGTTGACATCAGCCCAGATGAATTGAGTTTCCTTGCTGGTGGCGTTGCCCATGCTCTGGGAACCCAGGACTTACCTGCGTCAACGGCAAACTCGATCGAACAACCACCCAAGAGCAAAACAACAGATGTTGCTCACAGTAGCTGAAACATCATAACCAATTCAAAATCAATTCACGATGTCACGACTATAACAAAATAGCGATTCAATTTCGTCTGATATAACAGACAAAATGGTATCCCATGGACGGTTCAACCCTAGGAAAAGTATTCGGTCAGCTCGGCGGACAAGCAATTTGTCCTATTTAGCATTAAATGCACATGGTTCTTTAACTTCATCTTCTTTTTCATCAGGGATCAGGAATCTAAAGTGTAGGAGTTCCAAGGTTCTCGGCTGGCTCTCAATAAAAATTACTGTATACATCATTCTTCATATTTTGATACTCAGGCTGCCTGCTGAGGTTTCTTTGGGCATTACATCACTTGCTGCCCGCGGGTATGTCGATTTACTTTCGATGAATGACTTGGACACCTACTAGTATAGTTCGTACGAATACAGGCAGTATACGGTGTCTTCTATTATGCCCATGTTATGCTCTGGTACTGTGGTACTGGTACCAAGGTTGAAGTTAAGGTACTAAGTATATCTCAAGGGTCCAATCGCCTCATTGAACCTTCAAGTTGGAACTCACCACTGCGGCCAAGCTTCACACAATGTAGTACTACCTTCAAGCATTCAACACAATCTACTAGGTCCACCAATATTAACAGTTATATCTCAGTTGTTGAAGGCCATGTTTCTTCAGGTTCAAACAATTTCCGCTAAATATCCAATGCCGATCTAATTGGCCCTAACCCCTGTAAGGCTTACGCAGTCCGAGACTGTAATTAAGACCCTGTGACAACTATGAAACCAACCGTCCGCCAGAACCAAACGCCAACCAAACTAGACAGGGAAATTACAAACATAGCAAAAGAAAAACCAACATTCCTTTAGCAGGACGCACATGCAAAAGAAGCGTCCCCCCAGAAAAGGTCTAGAATCTCGCATAACGCCAACGTCGATAGAGCAAAAGCCAAACGGCCAACGGTCTTGAGCATCAACCCCAAAATGGAAGAGACAGCTAGGATCGGCCGTTTCAGGATTCCTCCCGCTCCCCACCACAAGCCTTTGAAGCCACCCGACTGGGTGGATTGAGGTGAAGATACTGGAGTCCCAATGGCAGGGGCCTCTGACTCGTGTTTAACGGGCCCCTCGCAGCAGGGACCCCGGACATTTGGGAATCCAGATCCGTCAAATGGGACAAAACCTAGGAATGGGGCTAGCGGGTCGCTGGGAGGGGCTTCGGAGATTTCCTCATGGTCTTTCCATAGCCGGTAGGGATGGGCTCAGGGGAGCTTTGCCGATTGAGGGGCGGCATATGTACATGTATTCCTCGTTTCATTTTTGGGCATGCATGTCGTTGCTGTATTTGACGGATCTATCGTCATCGAGGACAGAGATGATGTGTAAACTAAGCATGGCTTACGAAGTACCCTCATCACTTGCTTTTCTTGTGTATGTATCCGTACTCTGTGGAAACACCTAAAGAAAGGGCTTGGCCCTGTCGACCTGCTTACATAGAAGCCAGCTGGTCGTCAAGGCGAGAGTAAACTGAAGTGTGGAGCAAGAGGCACGACATGGCAGAAGATCCCGACTGCATAGGCTATTTCAGACTCCATACGTCGCTGCCCATATCATCGACTATGTACTCCGTATTGCTCCTGAGGTACCCAGCAGGGCCCACACAGTAGCCAAGGAGCGAATGCATCTGACACAGCAGGAAACCCAAATGATCGGTGTCCGACCAGACGGTGAAGATTGGGATCACGACTTCTTCCTGCAATAATATACATGCAGGGCCATCGTGCGACTCCAGAGACAAGTTGGATGCGTTGCAGAGCGGGTGACAGGTCAAGTAGGACGAAGAAGTTGGCTCCAGTCACCGTTTAGCCGGTGTCGATCGTAACGCCGCAGAAATGCACAGACAGGTACACGGGTAGTCCTTTTCTCGAGGTCCTCGTTCTGTGCTATGAACGGAGTGTCTGTGTCTACAATGCGGTGTACAGGATATGAACTGTCTTCTTGTTCAAGGTTTATGCAGCATACGGGCTTTGACGCACGTACCATGCACTCACTGAACTTTCTTTGGCCTCAGCGTACAAGTGTGCATACTCGTAGTGATCCTCCCCCTCTCTTGCTATCTCATTTCTCAGTGGAGAGTCTCGGCGTTGAAGAACTTCGCGTAGAGGTCGATGCAATCTTGGCTAGTGGGGCCCTGAGGAATTGGCAAGTTTATGACAGCGAACAAAGAGTGGACCACTTGAGTTTCCTCATCAGTGCGGGAATTGCCGGTGGAAACTTCAACAGAACCAGGATTTTATGGACGATCATTTTCCCCCTCATCTCCTTTCCTTTCCTTTCATTCATTGTCAGCGGGGCGGAGGTATTCGCGATCGTGCGACGGAGTCGGGGTTAAACTGCCTCAGCTCAAGACTTCACGGATAGCTACATACTATATGGTCATGACCTCGTTGCGATTATTCCTTTGCTACGTAATATGTCACATTGTCAATTGCTCGAGCTGCAATGTGAATCAGGCAAAGCTTTGACCAGAGCGGGGCGACGAATTGGCACTCGGGGGGGATCAATACTCGTACATAAATGCATTGTGATGAGATCTGGTATATCGCACGCCTGCAGGCTATGTACCTCAAAAGTATGCCTGTCGCTCGTGCATTCTCAACACGATGGCTTCAAGTTCGTATGCCGCATACCTCGTATAGTACTCCGGAGTACGAGTATATTCAAGTTCTCGGACGTACTCTGTGGATAAGCACGGTATGGCCACCATGTGTACGTATTTCCCAGGAATTAAAAAAACCCTATTCCCGCTTACGGCGCGCATCACCGACCGACTAGAAGCTAGTCTACTCCACGTCAACCTCTAGGTTGCGGAGTAAACGGGCCACGAGGGACCGCCAGGAGACCCGCTGGTCTGTCGATCGTGGAACTGCAAAGCTACGAGTAGTACCCAGAAGAATCGAAAATGATGCGAGACTCGCATGTGCTACTCGTACATACTCTGGAGGAGCATAAATCGGGATCTACACATTTCTGACCAGGGGCGTTGACCGCTCCTTGAACGGAGAACACGGGAAACTCATATCATAACTCTAATACAGAGTTTACGGACGAAAATAGACGCCTTGTATGAATAGTGCGCGGAGTACGGAGTACACATTCTAGTACTACTGTTCCTGAAAATGGTCATAGCTATCAGAGCACGCCACCGACCGGTGGTTGTACGGTTCGGAGATTTTCATTCGCTGTGGGGGGGTGTTCTCCCCGAAAACCGAACAGTGGAAATTCCCCAGCGGACAGGCGGCCTCGCAAGTGATTGGACTTCCTGATGGAGACAATGGATATGTATTCTATTGATCGACACCAGAGAGAAAATGACCGAGTCCGAAATTCCAGTCGAGTGATTTGTCACATGGGGAAAGCTAGGAATCCCATTGTTCCGGCTTTATTCGGTGGGGAGAGGAGGGGGAAGAGCAAAGACCAAAGGACCGCCCTAAAAAAAAAGGGTGGTCAAATCGGAGGGGAAAGGAGTCGATGATTGTGGTCTTGAATTGTGAAATTGTATCAGGGCAACGCTCACCCAGACAATCGGGGCTGAAAGACCCGCCCCGTGGCCTGATTCCCTGGGGCGATATTCTGCAACTACTGTAAAACGGCTACGGAGTACTGCAGGCGCCTTCATCGGGCGTCGAGGGGATTCGGGATTCCTTGCATAATTCGGGGCACCTCGTGGGCGTCCCCCACGCCCTGTCGGTAGCCCCATGGAACAAGGCCAGTAGATGAATGGTCGCGGCTGAGGGGAGGGCCGAGGACAACGATAACTGGTTGAAGATGGCCCCGTCCTTGGTGGAGACCATACAGAGACTATCGAGATGTGCCGTGGGCAGTGGCCATTGAGGAGCGTCGGGCGTCCGGCGTCCCCCAAGGCAAGTGAGCAACGACGGAATCCAGTGGAGGGTCACGAAGGGCCGTGGAAGGTTTGGAACAAGCGAGAGATTAAAATGCACTCCAAGGAACAGGGGTCCTGCAGGAAGCATCAGCGTCGGGAACAAATCCAATAATGCGTGTGGGTTGGGGCCCAAGTGAGAAAGGCTAAGTGGTCCCACGAGGAGATGATTGGGTTTCTGGAGTGGATGCGATGGATTCACTCAGTCACTAGCGTCCTCGTTGGAGCCCGTCGATCGATGGAACAGTCTTGTTGTTCGTAGCCCCCCCTGCCCCTGGTTTTTGGTTTCTTCAATGCGATAGGCGGAGTAGCTGATGACCGGACCGTGGTTACGCCAGGTACAGATAGGAGTAGAGGAACACATACGAGGGGATGGGAGAGGAAGTGAAATAGTACTCATACCAACCTTGGAAGTGTACAGTAGATCTTGTATCTGTATACTTCATGTAGTAGACCCATGTTCTCCGTGATAGTATAACTACTTCGTACCTTACTCCGTAGTGATACCGGTATATTCGTAAGCCTATACTCCGTACTACTCCTACCTGATCTGATCAATACAGTAAACATCCGTAAAGTCAAATCAAGACCACTCCATTAACCACTACTAGTATTAACCATTCGGTAGTCTCCCCCGAACGATTCAAGCTGGTCCCCACTCCTTTCGGAGGGTTGAACAATACTAATTTCGACTCCTGTCTCTCTCTCTCTTCTCTTTTTCTTCCCTTTGCTGTCCTGTCCCTCTTTGATCATCCCTGACCAGCATGACCTTTTCGCCCTCCATTCTTTAACGGGTACGTTTTTTGGTTTTTCTTTTTCTGCATTGAAGCTGGGGGCCGTGGCGTCCCTCCACTTCCCTCCGGGCGCGCAATTTCACCAAAGAAATGCAGTTACTGCAGTTAATGCAGAAATCAAAGAATACATGCAAGACACCTGGAATATACAAGCTGACGGGGAGTACAGGATGATTCAAGAGATTTGAATTTTAGTCTGAGCCAGTCCATTCCCAGCACTGCGCTCGAGAACAGACACCCGACACACTCTACACCCTGGTCCGCGGTCCACCAGTGATCAACCATGCAACCCTACAAAGGATCCGATCTCCTGGAAGCCGGGACTTTGTCCCGTTCTCGAAGCACTTCCCTCTCCAGCGACTCGCACGTTCGAGTGAACCTCATGTCTCCCCCTCCGTACACCCTCCACCTGCTTTTATCTCTTCCTCCGCTGCTTCGGAAATTATCGACTCCGATCAAGAATTTAATGCCGCCGATTTTGTCCCCGAGGACGACGAGACGGGCTCCGGCCCCGCTGCTCTGGTTACACCAGCCGCCCTTTCACTACTGAACGGCTTCCTCGACAACCTGCTCTTCAATGTCCTGGCCGCTTCCAAATCTACCCAGCTCTCATGTATCCGCCCAGCGGTCTCCGACGTCCTGAAGCCCCGTCTCGCCTCCGAGGTTGTGGACACCGCCGATGAGGAATTGAGCGAATATATGGGGGGTGCCGACGACGAGAAGACGGAATTCCGTGGTGGTCAGGACCCGGGCGGCGACTTCGATCTTGTGCGCTCGTGGAAATTGACCCGTCTTCGATGCATGGTATACACTCGTTTGGGCGACATGGAAGAGGAGGATGAGGATGAATACATTGCGCAAGATGGTCTTGGGGAGTGCGACGGCGCGCCCCGTCGATTCTCCAGTCATGTCGATAACATCACACCCGCCGCGGCCATTTTTCTCACTTCCATCATCGAGCACATTGGCGAGCGCGCCTTGGTGATTGCTGGTGAGACGGCGCGCTCCCGGCTGTCGGCGAAGCTGAATGACGGCGCCAGTGAATCGATCGACCTGGAGGAGGAACGTAAGCGAATCGATCGGTTAGTGGTGGAGGATCTTGACATGGAAAAATTGGCGTTGAACGCGACTCTGGGCCGGTTGTGGCGGACTTGGCGAAAGCGCAGACGCAACACCACTCTTTCGCGAACTCTTTCTCGTGAGTCCTTCCGCCGTCGAGGCTATTCGACTCTGGCGGGAAGCCGCAAGAGCAGTATTGCGACCATCGAGGAGCCTGTCACTCCCAAGGAGCCTCTTCCTGAAGCGCAAGCAGCGCCCGTCGAGCCCGTCGAGCCCGTCGAGCCAGCCGACCCCGCCGACATCCCCTTGCCCATAGGCGATCACGATGTCAAGGAGATCGAGGTTCCCGGTTTTTCGCATGAGTTGGAAGGTGAGGTGCAGACTATGCAGGCCGTTGTCGCGCACAAGGTGCGACCACGTAGCTTGATGGTTTTCACATCGCCATCGTTCGCGCCCAAGTCGCCTGGTGCGAGGGATTCCCCCGTGAGTGCCTCCGCAATTGACGACCCAAAGGTGGTTCGTCATGCCCGCTCAAGGTCATTGCCAAATGCGGCGGCCAGCCCACAACGCGAGGCCAAGTCGGAACCTGCAGATGAAAATGCTCCATCCCCGAGCGCCTCGGAAAAGAGCAAGCAGCTCGAAACCATGTACGAAGATGACGAATCCGCCGAGTTCGTCGATGCTGCAGAGACTGCCCCTGGCATTGCGATCACAACACCTATCGATGAGCCTACAGAAGCGGAGAGTTTAGAAGATGCGAGAATGCCCATTGTGCGGGAAGAAGATGAAGAACAAGCTGAACGGGGTCCGCCCGTGAATGAAACCATTGCTTCCTTGCGCTCTAGCGCCAACGACGAGACCGATCAGTCGAATAGTGCCCGAGTCTCCGTCTCATCCCTTGATGAGGAACCAACCAAGAATCCGGAGATTATTGAAGGACGGGGAATGTGCGAGAAGCCTAAGCCTGCGGCGACGATCCAACGCCCAAGGAGGAAACCTAGCAGGGATTCCACTGCTCAGATCAATGCAACGGCGATCACTGCAGAAACTAGCGACTCAGACGGTCAACCTATCGCGGAGAAAAAGCCCACCACGCAAGGGGCAGAAGCCACATCCGCACCACCTGGCGCCACGATCGAGGCTGTCAATACTCTCGATGATGAAAATCCCGTCGAGCACGATCACGATAAATCGGCTATGGCATCCCCTTCGCCGAGTGTTCCTGTGAATGAAAATGATGCCGTCTCCGAAAAGCCTCTTCAGAGTGTCGCTGCGCTAGAACCCGATAATTCTCGTCCTACCTCCGCTTCGGGCGACAGCCAATACTCCCAGAAATCCCGTACACGCCACAGACCTAGCCCGCTCGTGGTCACGGCTAGCAATCGCAATTCTCCCAGTGGCGCAGAGCGAGCAGCCGTGCAACGCATGCCTCCACGACCTTCCAATTCTGTTTCTTCGACCGTCCAGCCAGCCAAGTCTCGCCGCTCAGAGAGCTTCAGCAGTTCGCGTGAGAAGCGTCCAGTTACAGCGGGCTCTACCACATCCCAGAAATCTGGAAAGATCACTCGACTCATGGGTCGTCCGGGCGAGTCTCCTTCGCTCCGCCTTCGCAGCTCATCTGACACGAGCCGGGCCTCTGGTAGCGCGGACTCTGACGGTAACGATACCACGGACCTGGACAAGTTGATCAATAGCGACGAGACTATCCACTTCACGCTTACACCAAAGAGTGTGAGGGAGATGACTGTAAGCCCTCCCCTTTCATTCCAGTCTAATTTTGTTAGCAAACCGACTAACCCAGTTGTCCAGTTCCCCGAGCCGCCTCGACCAATCCCTAGGTCGGACACGGCCGATACGCATGATCTGGCTAATTTCTTGAAGAGCACGGCTCCTCCGGGAGAAGATGCACGACCACCGACTTCTCTTTCCACCCGCGCAAATGGGGAATTGACTTCTCTCGGACGCACCAAGTCCGCTGATTCCCCCAAGTTCATTCCCATTTCCTCTCGCATGCCAGCTCCACCGAAGTCCCCCGTGTCATCAGGCAACGCTAGGGATGCTCGCCCTACTCTCGATTCCACTCGTGAAATTGCCGAGTTCATCAAGTCAACTGGACCTGCCACTCCCACGTCTTCGCATCCAGGCAGCCCGACCCCTACCAATGGGACGAGGTCTTCTCGGCGCCAGTCTACTATCTCCGCCAGTACCAACAATACCCATAGTACCTACAATACCAACAAGTCCAACAAGTCTCGTCAATCAACTCGCAACGCCCGCCTCCAGGCACGCGCACCTGTTGAGACTAAGCGTTCTCAAACATCAGAGCTGATTGATTTCATCCGCGAGGGTCCCCCGCAACCTGGTGCACACCGCATTCCCCGAACAGTTGCGCCGTTCAGGAACACGATTGACTCCGAGGACCTGCAGTACGAACCTGTTCAAAGCGAGAAGGATACAGCTACTCACAGCTCTGTGACCAGCTCCATGCCTAATAAGTCCATGACTTCTCTGGGCTCGCGGACAGGTCTGCTGGAATCCGCCAGCCGTGGCAATGCCCAGATAAAGGCGGCACCGCCTGCCAAACCTATGGAACAAGATGACCCGATGCCAGTTCGGAAGCAGCGTCGTGTTCCAGACCCCTATGCAATTGACGACGATGACGACGATGATATGCTCGAAGAGCTTATCAATGCAAAGCCGCCCCCACGCCAAGAGGAAAGCTTAATGGACTTCCTCCGCAACGCGCCACCTCCCCCACAAGCAGAAGAGGCGCCCCAGCCCTTCAGTTTAAGCGGCCCCCCACCCTCGTCAGGCTCCAATGGCTCCGCGGGCTTGAAGTCTCGTTTCCTACGCCCCAACACCGACAAGGGCCCATCCAACAAAAAGTCCATGAGTTCCATGCGTTCGCAGAGCACTCTCGGCAGTACTCAGACCAACTACACCCAAAAGGTTGGCTCGGAACGCAACCCCGGTACGATGCCATCCACTTCGCACAAGCAGAGTGAGACCAGCGCTCTGGCGGACTTCCTTCGGAACACTGGACCACCCGAGCCACCAGCTCGACCTAAGAAGGACAATTCCTTCTCGCGCTTCTTTGTGCGCCGCAAGAAGGTCGAGGTATAGGCGTTTCCAATTTTCACCCCAATCCTTCGATGTCATGCTTTGAGCGTTTTGAAACTTTCCATCTAACGATCCACTTTGTCCATCGTTTTGACTATGTCCTTTCTTCATATCCATCTTTCCACTTATATTCATCGTTTTGAAACTTTATAATTTGTATAGAGTTTTCATGTGCCTTGTGGTACCATTTTTATTTTTGTCTATGTTGCGGCTATGACCCGGTGGCTTTCTTTCGCTTCTTCATGAGAAGACACTTTCCCTTCAAAATTCCTTCTTTGGAAGGTGACACTGAACGACTAATACGGTTTCATTCTCTTTCTACGTTTTCTTTTCTTTTTCTTCAATTCTTTTCCATGTGTAACTGGGAAATCCCTGGTTACTTTTCTGTGAACTTCGCGAGATACCATGTTTGATGTACTTGTGCCAGTATCTAACTAAGCCTCGATACTCCTAAACCAATTTTCTTTCTTTGCTCCCTATTTCGAATATTCTAGTAAATTGCTGGTAATAGGTTTGGTTTTATTGATCTTGACTATGCATCAATCCCAATTCACGAGGATATTTGGTTTTAAGATGCTGTTACAAGTAAAGTGTGATGTGGTCTATAGTTCCGCTGGATCGCCCCGGAATATCGTTGATCCCGGCCCCCTTACCAGGTGGCATCAACAGCTCTCCTGTTTACCGACACGACCAGTTCCCCAAACCATGGGCTCCTCTCCATTCACAATGAGGTCCGTCCTCGCATTTTTCCTACTTGTGGTACAAATTGCAACCGCCCTGAAATTTGATCTGCCCGCCCAATCCGGCCACGGCGGCAAGAACGAGCGATGCATCCGCAACTTCGTCTCGAAGGACCAGTTGGTCGTGGTAACCGCTATCGTCAGCGGTTCCAAGGGTGACGGCCAAGTCGTCAACATGCACGTACGTTCAACGTTCCTCCGGACACATGGTCTTCTCAATTCCATCTTCGAAGCGACCAAGGGTGGCAGCCCTTACACATGAGACAAGACGATTGATTGCTGACGACTCACTCTTCGACATACAGATCAAGGATTCTATGGGCAATGACCACGGTCGGCCTAAGGATATCGTTGGCGAAGTGCGTCAGGCTTTTACCTCGACCGCGGATACTGCCTTCGACGTGTGCCTTGAGAACCAGCTTTTCGGCCGCAGTAAGTCTCACCAAGGACGTGGATGCGAACGTTTCGGAAATCATCCACCAGCCGCGCACTCAAACGAATAGACCTAACCTGGTTTCTCTTGAATAGACGCTGTTAGCAATCCATCCCGCGAAATCGAACTCGACGTTGAAATCGGCGCCGACGCCCGAGACTGGTCCAGCATCCAGGCCCAGGAGAAGCTCAAGCCCATCGAAACCGACCTCCGCCGTATCGAGGAGATGGTCACCGAGATTGTCAGCGAGATGGACTACCTCCGCTCCCGTGAGCAGCGCCTGCGTGACACCAACGAGAGCACCAACGAGCGCGTGAAGTGGTTCGCCTTCGGCACCATGGGTATGCTGGTTGGTCTGGGTGCGTGGCAGGTTGTCTACCTGCGGGCTTATTTCCGCTCCAAGCACCTTATCTAAAGCCGCTGCTGTGTATTGGATGGATGGGTTGCATTATGGAGTGTTATGTTTTTTTTTCTTCTTCTTTATTATGCTGCTATCTTGGATCTGCGCTGCAGCGCTTTCTGGGGGAGTCCTGCTCCATCGTCTCCCTGTGTACTCCCTCATGTCGTATGGCATTCTGTTGCAACAGTCATGACCTCAATGATATAAAATACACGCCCTGCTTGCGCAGGTATTAATCATTCATTTGGTTCAGTATCACTACGGAGTACATAACCTGTATACAATTCTGTGAAGTATCCTTGGCTATGGGAGATAGGACGTCCCTGAATATCGTCAATACTAGGCCCTATACCCTTATATTTAGTACCTCATGGAGAGTATCCCATCGACTCGACCAACTTGAAAGCAATTGACTCGATTACTACTAGTAGTATTGCTGTATCCAGCTGGACCCCGGCTATGTAATGCGCCGCGGCTGAGTGGAGAGAGATAATGCAAACTGTGCAAACATCGGAGACCGGGTGTTGCAGGTAGATTTTCGGGACATTACTCCGGATGATGTCAAGTTAGCATTGCAGCTCCTCAACTTGCTATCCCTTTTAGCAACTCTCCAACAACTGCAGGAGCTGAAGACAGACGAGCATAATGTCTGCCCCCAGGTTTATCCAGCGCGTCATGCGCCCTGCGCCGTCCTACACCTTGAAGGCCATCAACCGTTCATTCGGCACATCGGCTCTGCGTCTCAAGGATCCCGATGTCAACGACCGGGCTCCCTCGACAACCCAGGGACACCGTGACGCCCAAACCAAGAAGAACACCAATCCGTTCGTCCCCAATACGACTTCCACAATGACCAATGACTTCCCTAGTGTTGGATCCCGGCCCGCGCCGCCCGAGATGCTGAACTCGGTCGACCCGAACTACCGCCCAGCTGATCCATACCCCGGCAAGATTGAGCACTTCACCGGCGGCCGTCAGGACCAGGGTGCGCAGAAGCCCGAGCTGGGAGTCGGAGAGATGGAGGGTATTACCTTCAAGGTTGAGCCACTGAAGAGAGTTGGAGAGGACGTCACCACCAAGAGAGCACGCCTGCTATGTGAGTTGTCATTGATATCTTTGCTGAACAGCAACATCTCCAAGTGAAGCTCTCAGCTAACGCCATTGTGAAAATCTAGATCAGAGTCGGAAGCGAGGTATCCTTGAGTCCGACTTGCTCCTGTCTACATTCGCCGACGTCTACCTGCGTACCATGGACGCGGAACAGCTGCAGGAGTACGATAGCTTCCTGGATGAGAACGACTGGGATATCTACTACTGGGCGACACAGGACCCGCCCGCTGATGAGCCCGGAGCTGACCCCCGGCCATCCGAAGACACGCTGACCGAGACCTGGAAGGAGACCAGTGCCAAGAGCGGCGAGTGGGCGCAGACCATTGGAGCGTTCAGGGCGGCATATCGCCCGGTCCCCATGCGCTGGAAGGAATCGAAGGTACTGGAGTTGCTGCGGGAGCATGTCCGTGATAAGAGCGCAACTGGCTTTGAGTCGGCGAAGAGTAAGAAGACTGGCGGTGGATTGGGCCGTATGCCGAATGTGCAGGTATTTAACTAGATGATTAGTGGTGGAGGTTTAGTCATTCTGTATATTATAGTTGTTATTATTAGGTAGTTGTCTTTGTTGATAAAACGAGCCATGTATATTGAAGTTTAAGATGTGGTTTGAGCACTGGTAGTAGTACTATATGTAATAGTATATTTATTCGAACCTCAACCGACTTAAAGTTTTCGATAGAATAGTACTAGTACTCTTCAATCAGGTCCATATATTCAGTTGCATTCTATTGTCTGGTACAACATATAGATAGTGGATCCAATACAATGGAATACATTAAATCATGACTCAGCAAGCTCAGCCTCCACGTGATCTTCGCTTATAGTTAGGGCACAGCGGAACCACACAAGGAGCCAGCCAACCGGGTTAGGGCTTGAGCGGGCACGCAGCAGTCCCATCCTTCCCTCTGCGATTTTATCTCCCCAGCGTCAACGACCTCCCCATCCTCTCACCTTCATCGTCTACTCCCATAATGGCTGAGCAGCTGGTTCTTCGCGGCACCCTCGAGGGCCACAATGGCTGGGTTACTTCCCTGGCTACCTCTCTGGAGAAGTAAGAGATCTGGTCCAAGTTTTTCGCATTGAATATCTCATTCTAACTACTCCGCTTCTAGCCCCAACATGCTGCTGTCGGGCTCTCGCGACAAGACCCTGATCATCTGGAACCTCACCCGCGATGAGCAGGCCTACGGTTACCCCAAGCGCAGCCTGGAGGGCCACTCCCACATCGTCTCTGACTGTGTATGCATTTGCCCCTCCCGCACCCGCCCCGGAAACATGGATCAATCGGATATCGAATGAATCGAATTGGCATCGAATAATGGAATCGGGAATAATTGGAGCTTTCTGGCTGACCGCTGGTCTTTTTCTACGTCTATAGGTGATCTCCTCTGACGGTGCCTACGCTCTGTCCTCCTCGTGGGACAAGTCCCTCCGCCTCTGGGAGCTGTCCACCGGTAACACCACCCGCACTTTTGTCGGCCACACCAACGACGTTCTCTCCGTCTCTTTCTCCGCCGACAACCGTCAGATCGTCTCCGGATCCCGTGACCGCTCCATCAAGCTGTGGAACACCCTCGGTGACTGCAAGTTCACCATCACCGACAAGGGCCACACCGAGTGGGTTTCCTGCGTCCGCTTCAGCCCCAACCCCCAGAACCCCGTCATTGTCTCCGCTGGTTGGGACAAGCTCGTCAAGGTACGCTATCCATCCCGACCCTCGAATCCCCAGGGAATTTTCGACTGCTTTTTTTTTTTTTTTGCACTCCTACCCCCCTACATGATGTTTGCATATAAACGTATTTGCTACTTCAGAGCCCTCAGGGCCATGAGACAACCATTCACCCAATGCCTGATAGAAACCATTCAAAACATTCTTTTGTTTTGAATGAGGAGAAAGAAGAAACTTTTGCTGCTGGATTCAACACGTTAAAATATGGATGAAATCAGAAACGCTGACAATTTATCCATGAATAGGTCTGGGAGCTCGCTTCCTGCCGTCTGCAGACTGACCACATCGGTCACACCGGCTACATCAACACTGTCACCATCTCTCCCGATGGATCCCTGTGCGCCTCCGGTGGCAAGGACGGTACCACCATGCTGTGGGATCTTAACGAGTCCAAGCACCTCTACTCCCTCCACGCCGGTGACGAGATCCACGCCCTGGTCTTCTCCCCCAACCGCTACTGGCTGTGCGCCGCCACCAGCAGCTCCATCACCATCTTCGACCTCGAGAAGAAGAGCAAGGTTGATGAGCTCAAGCCCGAGTACGTTGAGAAGGGCAAGAAGAGCCGTGACCCCGAGTGTATCTCCCTGGCCTGGTCCGCCGACGGCCAGACCCTGTTCGCCGGTTACACCGACAACAAGATCCGTGCCTGGGGTGTTATGTCGCGGGCTTAGATCCTGTTTGATGAGTTTGCGGTGAAGGGAATGGAGGCCTCTTTTTGATCTATCGTCAAGGGAATCAAAAAAAAGTTCAAAATCCAGAACAAGAAGGGCAATTGGTTTGGAATGTATGAGCCACGAGCAATGAAGCACTTTTGGGACGGGGCCGCCCCGGTCTGAGAGGTTTTCTAACATGCCTAGCTTACTTGATTTCGCCATTAAAATCAAATGTCTGGAATCTTGTGAAGGCATGTGATGTTCTAATACCACTTAAGGCATCAAAATGTTTCCTATTTTTTTCTTCACTTGGTTCCAGTCTCGTAGTATCAGTCATTCGTCGTACTAGGCTCGTAATCGTTAGCATCCTTGAATTGTCTCGCTACATCATGTGGCATCTCGCAAGAAAGGGTCTCTCTCCTATGTTATCCCTGTTCTGATATATGGCCGGCGGGTATTTGAGGTTAATGAGGGTAGGAGATGGATTCTATTGGGTCATAAAGTAATGTACAAAAATTGCTATCCTGCTACAGTGATACATCTATAGGAGCCTCTTTCGGAGTCTCGCCAACGCATCATCTGCCAATGAGACCCCTTCTTGGTATCCAAGTCCCTTTGCGAGAGATCTGGCCTCGGTATAGCGTGCAATTGCTGTTTCGGGCTTTTGCTGTAACTCAGCCAGTTCACCAAGGTTGTAAGTAGCCGCAACACAGCTAAGATCACACTCCTCATCGCGAACTGGGGGTTTGATGTGGGCCGCGACATCAATGGCCTTCTGTGCCCATTGCCGAGCAGCCTCAACCGTGGGTTCTTGGGAAATACCCTGCTGCTTCATCTGTTGTACACGAGGCGATGTTGGCTGTGCCTGGCCAGCCATGGAGCTGGCAACGCTATTCAGCAACACGACCTGCTTGCACGAGGGGGTGCTTCCCTCCTCGGCACGGATGATGTCCAATGCGCGAAGGTATAATGGCATGGCGAGTTCATGTCGTTCCTTGGCAGTATAACTTATTGCGAGGTCTGTCAGCGCAGTGGCGATTTCGGTCAAGTTCATCCAAGAAGAATCCGATCCCTCGCCGGAACTTGCTCCAACGGGCAACCCTAGTTTCTGGCGCCGGTGCATCTCCTTAAGGCACAATTCTACGGCAGCAATCTGAGCCGCCTCGGACTTCTTGTCATCTTGGATGTAGTCGCTGGAATATAGCTCGGCCAACTTCATCTCGATGCCAATGACCTTCTTCAATGCGCGATCTCGTTGCCGCGCCTCGTACTCCTGCATTTCCTTCAATTCCTTCTCCGCGTCCTGGAGTGCCTGTGCATTGATTTGTACATTATCAGGAGCGACCTTGGCATTGGAAGATAGCTGCGCCTCTGGAATTGACGTTTTGGTGACAATAGAAGACTCTGACCGTTGGCCTTCTTCAATCCAGGACAAAGCTTCTCTCTTCGTCCGCTCTAGAACCTCTGTAGCCTGCTTCACCAATCCAGCCTTTTCCAGCATCGCCGCAACCTGTATCTTGAGACCCAACACTTCGTCTGAGAAGGGATGCATCCCCTCGTCAATGGCCAGGTGCAGTGCATTTTTGTACGCCTGCAATGCCTTCGGTGCGTTCAGGTCGATATCCGTGTAGTAAATGGCTTGGCGCAGAGCATCCGCCACTTTCGGCGGGAATTTGGTATACTGTGGTATGTTTTTGGTGATTTCGACATAAGTAGTGTAAACGAAAAAGGTGATTCCGCCGACGGCGGCGAGGATAGCGATTGGCAGCACGAGGGGATTTTTGCGGAAAATATCCTTTGACGCTTCGCGATAGCCCATGCGGACACGATGACGGAACGAGGAGTAACGCTGACCGGCAACGCGCGAGTTCAGGGTTATGTTCGTGTTATATACTCGTGCATGTGGTGTAGGTCGTGCGGTGTTGCTGCATATTGATCGGGTGGACGTTTGGCGCTGGGTTTGGAGGAGACGCGGGATGCTGGCGCTGAGGCGCCCCGACGCTGCACGGAACATTGGCGTATTATTGTATGGAAACGTGTTATTTCAATTGATTTGCCGCGCAAGGGTTAATGTCTCAGGGAATAGCCGTGTTCTGGGATGAGGGTTGATGATGGGAGGCGGAGATTACGGCCGCAGGTCGATTTTCTCTTGGCCCAAGCTTCTCTCCGCTCACTGCATATGACGTCGCCCGTACTGCCTGCTCGTATCCAACGCTCCTCTCTTGCGCCAGTTGTAAGAACCAAGCACATAGTTTATTCAATTAGATCATCTCGCTGAAAATGTGTGGGCGATATGCTTTGGGTGTGGTACGTTCTCCTTGTCACGGTCCACTGGACCCCATGCTCATCACGGCAACAGCGCTTGGCGTACATGCGACAGCAGCTAGAAGACAGGGGCATGCAAGTTGATGACGCACCAGAAGACGAAGACATTCGAGAAACATTCAACTTTGCTCCCGGTAATTTCGGCGCTGTCTATCGAGCAGACATTCCTGACAGGGGCCATGACCACCGGGAAGCTCCAAACGAGGGCCGGCATAATGAACATGAAGCATCAAAGGAAGAACAACCGGAAAAGCATCAAGATGAATCAGAGAATATCAAATACAAGATCCAAAGTATGAAATGGGGTCTGATTCCTTTTTGGACCAAGCGTTCGCCAGACTATGGCTCCATGATGCGTACTATCAACTGCCGAGACGACTCATTAATCGAAGACCGGGGAATGTGGACGACCATGAAGCGAAGGAAGCGATGCATTGTCATATGTCAAGGTTTCTACGAATGGTTGAAGAAAGGACCGGGTGGCAAGGAAAAGATTCCTCATTTTGTCAAGCGAAAGGATGGAGATTTGATGTGCTTTGCGGGACTATGGGATTGTGTGCAATACGAGGGTAAGATTCTGAGTATGATGGTTTTTTTATTTCCAAAAGAAGAATATCGCTAATAGGTAATTCCTCGAGCAGATTCAGATGAGAAACTTTACACTTACACTGTCATCACAACCTCGTCGAATCCTTACCTTGCATTCCTACATGAACGCATGCCTGTTCTTCTAGAACCTGGCTCGGAAGCAATGAAGACATGGCTTGATCCCAAGCGAACGACATGGTCGAAAGAGTTGCAGTCTATTCTTAAGCCATACGAAGGCGAACTAGAATGCTACCCCGTCGCAAAAGAAGTCGGCAAGGTCGGGAACAATTCTCCCGACTTCATTATCCCAGTCAACAGCAAGGAGAACAAAAACAATATCGCCAATTTCTTCAGCAACGCTAAAAAAAGGGAAGACGGCCCCATCGCCGGCTCAGGAGTCTCTCCGAAGAAGGAATCCGTGTCTCCGCAGCCAAAATCCGAAGATGGCAATGGCTTAGAGACACTTGATAAGAAAGGTATCAAAAGGGAGCATAGTACGCCGAGCACTGATGAACACAATAAGAAGCAGAAAACCATTGAAAGCACAACCTTACCATCGCCGTCGAAGTCGAAGATGCGCAGCGCCACTCGCAATACACCTAAGAAAAAGTCTGGTCCAATAAAATCGACCGGTGGATCACAGAGGATCACTAATTTTTTCAAATAATGAAAATATTCGCACAAATATAAGAAATCATATATGGAATTTGAAGTGTACTCCACCTGCGCAAGGCTGAGGTCATTGTGCTCTTGCACTCGCAGGTACCGTGGACCACTCCAGGGCTACTACTAGTAGTAATAGAGACTGCAGCCCCCTGTAGTAAATTACTAGTACTAGTAGTACTAGCAGAGAAAAGTCTCGAGATCCTTCAAGTTCAAGTTGAGGTTTCATACTACTAGTATTTATAAATAGTGTAGGCCATCTATCCAGGGCTCTCAGTATAATTGATTATAGTACAAGATACTATAATACTTCGGCACCTATGTATATTGGCATGAAGGTCATCTCCGAGACAAAGTGACAAAATTCAATTCGAATTCTTTTCTTGATAAAAGCAGCCGTATCTTGGATATCTGCGAAACACGGTCCCAGTGTCCGGATTACAGCGTGTTGCACGGCGTAGGAAGACAGAAGTCTTTTCCAGGTTTTTGAAACTTTTCATAGACATAGTAAGTCTATGAATTCGAGGTATTGAAAAATTAAATCTCAATCTCAATCGGCAGCTTGCCCACAATGTTGCACTGGATATGGGTTTGAACTTTTAGATACTGTGGTAAGTGAGGTTACCACAAGGCTTGTTGAGCCTATCTCTAATTATTAACCGCTAAAATAATAAAAAGGATCGATAAGTATATTCTATTGACAGTGGTCTGGGTAAATAGCCAATTATCAAGTTACATAGCATCTGGAGTTTTTGATGGTAAGGCTTGGTCGCTGGCGGGGGGGAGGTACCTAGGGGATCCGGAATTGAATCCATGACGGGTCGTGATTTAGAGAATACTATGGAGGGGAACGGAGGGGGATGGAGAAGGAGGAGGAGGAGAAGAATATATATAACGCTCTTTAGATCTTCCAAGGTTCATTACTTCTCGAGCTCTCGCAGTCTCTGCACAAGCTTTTCTCTGAGGAATGGGCTCAATCCCAGACTATGCCACCGAGTTAGCAAATCATCGACTCCGTAATAGTATAAGTAAAAAAGCTCTTACATTCCGTCTCGGGTCACGGTCCGATAGGTGCCTGCTATATTGTCAGTGGGGCAATATTTTAGATACCAGGAGTATACCATACCGCTAGGTTGGTAGTTTCCATTCCCATCTACAAATTGACCCTGTCCATCAACCTCGAGACTACCGAACATGTCCTCGGGCCTGTACAATATTAGTTAGAATTATCTAGCAGCCTCATTCGTTAGCTATAACGTACCAAGCAATTCTTCCATACTCCGGGGGTCGTCTGCTATCCGAGATGTGTATCCAGCCACCTCTGCCAGCAGACCCAGCACCACCTTGACCACTGGCTCCACCACTAGAGTCTCCCATCTCTTTGCGCCGTCTTCCGCCCCGCTTGCCAGGAAGTAGCACGCCGCCCGACATCAGATTGGCACCTGAAGTGGACACCATGACTTGGGCCTGGGACTGTGCATCGGGATCTTCATGAGCATGCTTGGTAAAAACTTCTTGGAGGACATCGAGAAACTTTGAGTTCTCTGTGAGCGAATCCGCGGTTGGGGGGAGCTTGGTTGTAACTCCAATGGCAAGTTTGGGGTTGACTGGTTCGGAGGGTAGGAGGGATAGAATATGCGACGATGTTGGGTTTTCACTAGGAAATATATACTGGAGGAGAATTGAGTTAGCACCACAATCGCAAGTAGCAGTTGACCTCGAATCGCATACTATATGAGGGTTCCCTTCCAATGTAGAGACACTGCGAATGTGAGCCCATCTGGGCGCACCAAAGACCTGACGGCCAATTGATCTTGTGGCAAACATTTCAAAAATTCCAACCCGGAAGACCGCTAACTTTATTCAAGAGAGCAGTGGTGAAGTCCGGAGAAGGTGAGCTTCCAAGCATTCGGTCATCGTGCAGATCCCAAGGCGGTGAGTGGGCCTTTTGTTTTGCCGGCTGCAGCTCAGCGCCTGTCAACCGCGAATGCCGGGTTCGTTGATCTTGAGGCTGCAGTGGATTAAGCTTCTTGCTTTGCGCGCCGTGTGAGATTCCCTGGCGCGACACTTGTTTAAGACATTCGCTCTTTTATAGCTCCCCGATTGCTAGCACCACTACGAAATCTCCATTGACCTGCAGACTGCTGCTCCCTGACGGCATCACGCAGCTAAACGGCTCAATACCAGGCTTCCGCCCATGATATCACAGTAAAACCACTGTGATACACTACGCCATGGCGACTCCATCAGCAAAGCCGGGTGCAACTCCCACTCACCTCACCTCATCGCCTCACCCATCCTCCGCGCCCCTCTCCCGCTCCATTGCTCACAAGTCGCCTTCAATGAGAACCCCGACGGCCTCAGGCCCAGGATTGAACCAGCCAGCAAGCACTTCGTCGCATCAGTATACCACGCCTCTCGCGACGACAAGCGCTGTGGATGATCCCGTCAATTTCAGTTCCCCCTCTGCGCTCCTCGCGCTTGGCGGTTACGCTGGGATCAGTCCCTCACCTGCTGTGCATGATAGCTTGGTTGGCACCAGCATGAACGAGAATGATATCCAGAACCTGGGTATGCAAGGCCTGAAGCTCGGGGTCGCAAGGGATAACGACGAGGAACAAAGGCATCGCATTGAGGAAGTTGTCCGGAGCCTTCGCACGCGCGTTGCAGGAAGAGGGGTTTCTCGGGACGGCATAGAGCGGCTGAGTCGCCTGGAAGGCCTTGAACGTCTGTGGCAAGATGACAACATTAATATTGCAGGCAACTTCGTTGACTTGGAGATCGAATTTCACGCCGGCAACGACGTCGTTAAAGAGGTGAATTTACAATATGCGACTGCGGAACACACCGAGGGTGGGCGGCGCGAAGCTGCTACTTTGGTCCTGAAACGAAATCTCATACAATCCCTCCAGGACGCCGATTCAGGGAAATGGAGATCGCTCGGTCCGTTTTACAAAAATCTGCAATGGCTGGCGAAGCTGGACAAGCTTAGCCAGGAGGTGAACTGCTTCGAGGCACTCGAGGGTCTTGAGGATAATCTTAAGCGCATCTGGGCGGAAGAAAACAAGGATGGACAGCACGGAGGTGATCATGAACATCTTTGCAATGGGGTCATTGGTCGCCCGACGATGCATAAGGGCACTCGGGTTGGACTAGGCCTGGAATACTGGGTTGAGCAAGCGAAGCTACTGGATTCAAAGAATATTGCTACATCTGCCGATTCAATGGCGATAGACCACCCGCAAGAGACAGATCCAGAGGTCGAAGACCAACAAAAAGCATGGACTGTAATGATTGAATGTGAAGAAGGATACCCATCCTTACGCATCTCGAAAGAATGGGTCGGAAACGAGATTTTCGGACCCAGAGAGCGCAGTGAATCGTTGCCCTCAATTGGGTCTGCGGAGTCAGTAAACTGGCTTGAGCCGCCTCAGACCATGCGCTTGCCACACGGCGACCATCCCGATTCCATGGCTCTCGATTCAAATATGCTGGGACATTCACCCCCTAATCGTCGATTTGTCGCCAAATTAGAACCTCCCCTTGACATTCCAATTCTCGCTGCCTCCAATATTCATCAACACCTTGGTATGCAATTACCTCAAGATTTCAAAATGGTGACCTATGATGGGTTGTTAGTCCCAGGACCAGCGACGGACTCCTCAGCTCAGGCTGGTCGAAGAAAGCACAAGGCTTCCGTCCAAGCACCCGATTCAATGGGAAACCCTCGCACAAAAGATCATACATACACCTTCCAAGCATTCGAATCTGTCACAGGCCGTACAATTTCCGAACTCCCCTTTTCTCATCCTCGGCAGCTCGCCGAAATCTTGCCGGTAAGCTTCTTGATCCCTAAATGTCAGTTGTTGGTATTAATATGAAAAAGGTTCTCCGCCAATATGCTTTGCTCGCAAGCATTATACGACGAGCCTTTAATTCCCCCCCTTTGTCAAGAAAAGAAACCCGAGCCACCAAAGACCGTGTTGTTCAACTCTTCCATACTCGCAGATCCCATTTCAGAATTACTTTCTCAAAACGATGGACTCACCATCCTGAGTAATGAAGACCCCAACGAGGATAGGTTGAATTTTCTCTTGGGCGATGGGTTGGAAAGTGGCACCGACTGCGCCACCAATGGCACTCAACCTAGTGATCCTGCAGATAATGGTATCAAAGTGGACATCACATTACGCACACAACTCGGACAAGCGCCGGCTCTCATGCTTTTCATCACTGATGCCACCCGGGCCACGGATCGGACTCAGCATGACGACCCGTTAATATCAATTTGTTTCGAGGTTGGTCTTAATGGCCGTATATCAACGGTGGACAGCTCAGGACTTGCGCAAGGCAAAACACAACATTACAATGGCGACTCAGAGATGCAGGGGGCAGATGACTCCGGATCTGAGTTGGAGCTGCAGAATATACACAGGAAGATCGCCAGGGTCCTAGAGATCTCTCAGGACATCGGCATTCTGGTGGAGTGGGTCCTGCGTTGGCAGCGGCAGCGGGCCGTCAGCGGCTGAGACAGACAGGAGTCCGGACCTCTAGGGGCTTTCGGTCTCGCTGCCCGAGATTCTTTCTGGATCATCCGTGTTCCGATTATCTCTGCGCCAAGTCCGGACAGCTCGCATAATTTGCGGTCTTATCTAATTCTCCAGTACGGTTGCCCACCCCTGGTTTGGTGCCTGAGCAAGTGGTTCTCGGTTCATTGCCGTGTGCACTGTGCAACCAGTCAAACAGCTCCGTTTGCCGTGCGACTAGTAGCGTCAGATTGACCTTGGGGGTTATCTGCATGCGTGAACATGGGTGATTCCCACGCCTGTGCATTGACAGTTTGTCGAATATGATAATAGCTCTACAACAAACAACGCCGGTGCCCTAGATCGCAAAATCTTGCAAACCAGAAGCATTCAAACAAAGCCTCGCGAAATGATGCTGCATGGGAGATGTATTTAGCACATAGCTTCCTATGAACAGAGGTTGGGCCTCACCCGACAACAAAGGATTTTGATACCTTTCGAGTCACCAGCCATTCATACTAGTACTTGCCTGTAATATGAGTTCAAACACAATACCATAAAACTGGCATGCAAACACCGTAAGAAAAGACGCCAGCAGCACAGGGCTCAGCAGCATCACATGATCCATGTTCGTGTTCAAGTTTCTACATGCAAGACGCATGGCTAGGCTCTATGAAATTCCTGAAACTTGGCGACTTTCCACCAAATCATCATCATTACATCGGTTAGTTGATCAACACCCGGACATCCCCCAGCGGTGCGGGGTTACCACTAGATCTGCAGCTTTACGTCGTCCTCGCATCGGAGTCCAGCAAAAGGAGGAGAAAATGCGTGAATAGCCGAATCTACAGTCTACGATGTTTATCCATGACGCGCCGGAAGCGGGCACGAAGTACGCCGGATGAGGTACTAGGCCAGTTGGCGGGATATCTTGCTTCAAGTTCTTGAAAAGAGGTAACGAGACGCTAAGAGTCATTAAATATTCAATACTGAAATACACAGTACATATACATGAGGGTTTATCAGAACCAGTCGTGTGGTACGCCACCCCACCAGCTGAGGCTTTTGCCATGGCTGATGATGGAGACGCTATGACATCGTTATCAGTGCCTGGGAAACCAGTCGTCAAAGTGCCCCTCATTATTTTGCGAGTCCACATTCCGGTGAGGCATTTAGAGCATTGCTTGGAGAATTCCCTCGTACGTGGAAGATGTCTGAAGCGTAAAAACATGCTGATCCATGTCAAGCCTTCAAAGAAGCGGAGGTAGGATTCAAAAAGACTTCAATGGTCAGATCAGAATCAGAAATACATACTCTGCAAGATTACCGTAAAGCAATGCCGGGGCTGGGACCTCCAGTTGGCCAAGCGTTCTAACCGGACGGGGGTAGTCAGCGCCATGTGTCAGACCAATGAGCGATGACCGATAAGAAAGCCAGGGTTAATGTCGATCCCGGACTAGAATAACCAGAATCGACCCCATCTGGGACCACACTGGATTATCCTTTGCGTTTCGTGACTGATCGAAATACAATTCCACTTGCTGTGGCCGAGGATGGATTAGTGTGACTTTCCGCTTCTCTTAGGGTATCCTGGATAGGGCATTGTGCATCGTCTGGAACCCGGCCCGGCCATACTCTCTGCGCCTCGATTCCAGATTGATGACTAACGCACATTGAGTCATGTTTCACATCATGCTATTCTTGTCCGCGCGGAAAAATCGAAATAGATCTCAGCGCGGCTGTGCAATACGATTCCTTCTTCGGACTACTCCTCCAGAGAAAAGTATTCGGGTTTGGCCGAGACGAGGTAGTTCTGGCGAGTGCAGTGTATTATATGTACTTGAAGTCTCAGGTATTCTTAGACAGGGCTGAAAGGTGAGGATCGGAACCCTTAGCCACTAGGTCGCGTTCCCCCCTAAATCCCCCGACATTTTTGCTGAACACCCATTTGCCCAAGAAAATACGGGGGAGGATCAAGTAGCCACTTTTTCAAAGAGTTCATTGTCCGCCGTGACCATCTGGAGAATCCCTGCTCTGGGGTTCTCTTCTCCTTCTGCTTCTCATTCACAAAGGGCTAACTTTTCATCCGTTCATCCGCCCTTTTACCCTTAAAACAACTACCTCATGCGGACTTTCCCACATCCGACACAATTTGTTTTTCTTACATAGCCGAGTACATACAATGTAATATAATGATAATAAAAAAAACTTGAAAAATTAAAACAAAAAATCTCGAACGCGACTCGTGATACGTCCCGCCGAATCCCAGTGCCGTGGCCGGCATCGGGGCGGTTCCATTGGACCATGGTCCCACATGATTGGTGCTTCGCCGGAGGTTTCGAGAACGTTTTGCCACGCTCCACTTGGCCGGCGACTCGAAGTGGCTGGGTGATGGGGGTCGATGGGGGTCGATGGAGTTTGAGGATCGTATCGGTACTGACTGGTATCTGTTGGTGGAGGCCCACCCTGCATTGGTGGGTAAGGTATCGACGCATGAGGGCCGACGGTAAGATTTGCATATCGCGCAATATTGGACATCGCTGCAGGTACATTATGGGCGATAAGGTCTAGACGGCGGTGTCGTGAAGCTAGAACTTCCCTAGGGTCGGACATGCCACGCGGCACCGTGCGAAGTGCAGATACACCAAAAGCACAATAATAGCCATTGGCCGGGCTTCAGGTACCATTTTTGTTGGACGGTGAATCTGCGAAGGAAGCTCGAGCACATCTCCTGAAGCTTGACGTGTCTGTATTTTTGCATACAGTGGTCTTGGTCTTTGCATGCGCATGATGTGCCAGTGCGTGGATCTTTTACAAAGTATGCTCATATGTACTCCATACATTTTCATTCATACTATGAGTGCTTGTATACAAATGATGCATGTATCAGATGGATTCAATAGCTTTGTACTAGTAGCGTGATTATTCTTTGCTTTTTCCGATAAGTCTATGATAGCGGATTTAGTTGAACACCGGGCTATGGATGTCTGTACATAATATCTAATATCTAATCCCGGCCTCGCTCTTGATATGCCAAGGCTGCATCCTAGCACGGTTGTGGACTGACAGCTTGTTTTGCTTGGGCAGGTAGTATCGCAGCAATGCGATGCAAAGCACAGCATGGACCCGTAAATTATCCGACCAGATAGATTTAGTTTTGTTTAATTCCCGAGTGCAGCTCTTTCTTGCCAGATGGACGTGGCCGTACGGGTGCTGGGTAGGGAGGGGAACGATGAACGATCCCCGGGATTTTTCCCGCTCGGGATCAGAGAACCTGGATGAGACGTGGGGTCCCTCTCACGGGAGATCACACACGACCGCCCCTGACCAGATTTAGGAGGCAGATGCGTAGGTTCGTCCAATCGAGAGAGTTAGATTTGAATAGATTGAAGGTCAGGGCAAGCCTCTAGGGTCGTTCGCGAGTTGTTATCGGTCCAACGGGAGAAGGGATATTGATCATATTACCGGGCCACATTACAAGGCCTGGTCGGTGATTGGATCCTGCTGGGTGATGGCTATCACGAGGAAGAGGCAAATATATCCTAAAGATATCACGGACGAGGTAAAAGATACTACTACGCCGTAGTGGGAAGTTTGTCACCTTCGAGTGGCGGTCTACAGAAGTAAACCCGGGAAAAAGGAACCATTGTACAAAACCTTGAAAATGCGGAGGTCGGAGGAACCCATTTAGAATTCGACGGCCGAGCAGCCAGTATGAGGGTAGCGGAAGATCGCTTGTGATCGTGGTGAACTTCTCGGCGGCGACCGGGCACTGCAGCGCTTGTATGATGCTACGATGATGACACGGAGGGTGGCGCTGAAATTCTGGGAAGCTGCGCTTGTCTCGCTTGAACGTAAAGACGAGGGCTTTGTTGTACACCTCCTGGATCCCCTGAGACTTTCCCCTTTTTTTCATGTCTACAAATTGAAAGAAGCAAAATAACTCAAAACATGCAACGAGCGATTTTTCTGTTTCCCCAACGACCCCGGTTTCGGGCAGGAAGAATGTGTTTTAGTATGAGGCACTTCTTTGACGCCGACAGGATGTAAGGCGTAAGGTGTAATACAGACAGGTACGATTACCGTAACAGAATACGGCTAGTCAGTTTTGGGAGTGGCTGACCCACGCCTTCCTCATTCTCCGTTTTCCCCCCCAAAAGGTGAAAAGGCAGTGACTAAATTTAAATCTTTATCTTTTCCCCCTCCCCACCATCTAAAAACTCACCCTTCTCCCTCTTTTTGGATTTTCCATCCATCTGTTCTCTGTGCTTTCTATCCTTCGGGATTCTCTCTATCCATCTCTTCAAATTCCAAGCTTGCTTCGCAAGTCTGCCTCTGTGTTTTTTAAACGCTTCACATCACATCACCATTCATTATGGTACGTGTCTCCCATCTCCCATTTCGCATCTCCCTGGCGATGATGTGACTCATTCATGATGAATTTGAATGCTAACGATTTTCACTTTTCACAGGCCGATTCAACTGTCGTCTCCAACACGGAGAATGTGCGTTTGATTCTCGATACTTGGGATTTCCACAATGGCCTCTGAGCCAGAGAGGAAACACAATATACTGACTTGCCCTGGGGGTGATTAGCTCATGAAGTACATGTCTCTCGACCAGCGCGGTCGATCGATGGCTGAATACATCTGGATTGACTCACAAGGCGGAACTCGCTCCAAGACCAAGGTATGTGGTTCTCCCGGTTCTTCTCATGTGTCTACGTGTGAATACATCCTATGGTTGCTGGGCTTGCAGCGTGGTGGCGTTCCGACCTTATCGAATTTGTCTCGATAAGCCCTGGTTTTCCCCCACGCGCGACGCAGCCGCCCGTATCACGTGAATAATGAGGGGCAACTTCATCACTATCGCTGGTGATCATCTGCTAACCAGATTGTTCCCACCCACAGACTCTCTCTAAGCCCGTTACCTCCGTTGACCAACTCCCCGAATGGAACTTCGACGGTTCCTCCACCGCCCAGGCCCCCGGTGACAACTCCGATGTCTACCTCCGCCCCGTCGCTATCTTCCCCGACCCCTTCCGCCAGGGTGACAACATTCTGGTTCTGTGCGAGACCTGGGATGCCGATGGAAGCCCCAACAAGTTCAACTTCCGTCACGACGCCGCCCGCCTGATGGAGACCAACGCCAAGGAGGAGTTCTGGTTCGGCCTCGAGCAGGAGTACACTCTGCTCGGCACTGATGGCTGGCCCTATGGCTGGCCCCGTGGTGGTTTCCCCGGTGCCCAGGGCCCTTACTACTGTGGTGTCGGTACCGGCCGTGTCTACTGCCGTGACATCGTCGAGGCTCACTACCGTGCTTGCCTGTATGCCAACATCAACATCTCCGGTATCAACGCTGAGGTCATGCCCTCCCAGTGGGAGTACCAAGTCGGCCCCTGCCCCGGCATTGACAGTAAGTCTCAAATCTATATCTACTCGACCCCCCGCAGTAAACTAACCGAGATATCAGTGGGTGACCACCTCTGGATGTCCCGCTACATCCTTCACCGAGTTGCTGAGGAGTTCGGAGTCCGCATTTCGTTCGACCCCAAGCCTATCAAGGGAGAATGGAACGGTGCTGGTCTGCACAGCAATGTCTCCACCGCTGCCACCCGTGCTGAGGGTGGTATGAAGGCCATCGAGGCTGTCATGAAGAAGTTCGAGGCCCGCCACCTTGAGCACATCGCCGTCTACGGTGAGGGCAACGAAGAGCGTCTCACTGGCCGCCACGAGACCGGTAACATCGACAAGTTCTCATATGGTGTTGCTGACCGTGGTGGCTCCATCCGTATCCCTCGCCAAGTTGCGAAGGATGGAAAGGGATATTTCGAGGACCGTCGTCCCGCATCCAATGCCGATCCCTACCAAATCACCGGTATCATCGTTGAGACGATGTGTGGTGGCCTTTAAGAAAATCATCATATCTTAGCGTTCCGATACCCTCCGGCATCAACTGGGAGTTCGGATCATGAGAGCGGCCTGACTGCGCGAGGGAGCCCTTAGATTATTATCTCCGGTGCCTTTTGTCTCTTATATTTTGCCGTCCGTCTTCTGAACCCTATTCCATCCTTCACCTGGCGCCAAGGGTCCGCCTCTGCGTTCATTTCAACTCCCTCGTTGCTTTCGCCGATTCTCTTCGTTTTTTCTCTTTTGACTTCCCACGACGTGGGTTATGTGACACGTACAATAGCATAGAACCACTACACGGATGGAAAACACAACCATCGTTTGAACCCACACAAACTGCTCACTGCTCGTTTTTTATTTTCTGTAAATCTAGACATTGCGTATCGTCGTAAGTTTCGGCTTTGATCCGATATAGACGGATTTAGGGCACAATACCGATCAAAATGCAATTCCATCAGACAAGCAGACCATTCGCTACGTGACCGAATTCAAGCAGAAGAAAGGACTCGTTGGCCAATTCCGTCATGTAGATTATCGGGACGGATTACAAGGGCGTCAAGGCAAGCATTGAAATACTGGAAGAGGCATGTCAATACAAACGATATGGTCACCGCGGTAGAGGGGGAGAACGCGGAGGTGAACGTGGCGCTGCGTGAGCTTGGCAGTAGCCGATTACGTTCATTGAGGGTGCTTTTTACTATTGCATTCAACTTGACGCTATTACCCTTTAAGCATATCCGACGCCCCAGCCGGATTTGCTCCACACGCCTCCAGGGATCTGATCATCATGGCCCGCGATTCTTTCTCGGTTAATCCAAGATGATGCCGAGCCTGTACCCCACATATGTACAACAAACCCCGGGCTGCTCCACCTCTCCGCCTCCATGCTAGACGGGTAGCACCCATGCCTCGGACATCGAAGTACGACTGATTGCATGATGTGCAGCAAAGGTCATTGATATCACTCCATATCGTCGAATGCCCCCCTGCAGAAGCTCTTAAATTGAGCCCCATCACACCTTATGTCGGCTCAAGCGGGGACGCGGAAAACGCTTATCCGAAGCTGCGAGTTCTGTCGGTCCAGAAAGGTCCGATGTGATGGCCAGCGACCATCTTGTAGGACGTGTTTTGATCACCAGAAAGAGTGTGTTTATCGAATATCCCTACCAAAACCAAGGTAAGCCTGGTTAGCTTGCAACCAACAGAGAGATGTTGCGCATTATGCAGATACAAAATTTGCATGAAGACTTTACTGAGATCTCGCTACAGACCAACAAAGGCGGTAGTCAATGCTCTTCGCTCAGAAAACAAACGACTTATATGCTTGATACAACGCTTGAAGAATGCCAGTACGCCAGAAAATCTATGGCTAGCTCTTCATTCGGGCGAAGATGAAACCCCAAGTACGCAGCCGCAGGGAGCCACCATGCCGCTTGTATCAAGCAATACAGAGAGTGTTACTCCAAACAGAGAAGGAATAAACGACCAGACCGAAGAATCGGAGTTTGTTAAGCTTGTCCCTCCCCAAACAGCCTTTGACGCATCATCCTACATCTCCGTGGACGAGTCCGGCAATTTCAATAGTTTTGGACCTTCATCAGCATGGCAGATGATAACAGATGCTCCAGCAATTGTTCAGAAATTAGCAACCGAAAACACAAAAAATGAATTGGTTGCTAATGCCGCCCTATCTCGTCAATTAGAATATCGATTAGCAACTTTCGGTGAACTAGCTGGCGTACCCACCGATTTAGCAACTCATCTTCTCGAACTTCACTGGAATCGACAACACCACACCTTCTTACTAACCTATCGGCCTGCCATAATACAGGGCTTATTGGAAGGCGGCGAGTTTGGGTCCTCATTTTTACTGAATAGCATTTTCGCCTGTGCCAGCAAATTCTCCACCAGGCCCGAGCTGCGAAACACCTTTGGCAATGCACAAGAAGCGGGAGCCAAGTTCTTTCGCCGTTGCGATGAACTAATGAGCAAAGAAAATCTCCTCCTTCGCCCAAGTCTTGCGACTATTGTCGGACTTTTACTTCTGGGATCAACTTACGTGGCACGTGGTGTGACCACCAAAGGCTGGCTTCTCACGGGGTATGCCTTACGCATGATATACGATCTCGGCCTTCATATAGACCGCAAGCCATCCAAGGATGATAAGGCGATTGAAGAAGAAGTCCGGAGAAGAATCTTCTGGGGTGCCTTTATCTGTGACAAGCTTCAGAGTTTATACTTGGGTAGACCGTTCGCTATCAAATTGCGCGATGCCCATGTCTCGCTTGAGTTGAAGGATATCATGGAAGAAAATGAATTATGGACTCCATGTGAAGATTTGGCAAATCAGACGATGAACGAAAAGAACGTATTTCCGCCAAAGTTCCCAATCTACTCAGTCTCATGCTTCCAGAGATTTTGTCTTCTCTCAAAAATCATGACGCGAATAATCGATGAGTTCTATGTTGTTGGTGCAACAGTAGAAAGTGCTCAATTAAGTCTGCGCAGTATCGACAATCTTCTACAACAATGGGAACAAAATCTACCTGAGGGGTTACGCATAGATACCTCGAGTCGCTGCGGACCAGCAGTAAGCCATGCTCCAAACGTCCTTTGTTTACATGTCATCTATCATGCATTGAGAATACTCCTACATCGCCCATTGGTCGCCGATGGACACCTACGCTCGGCATCACCGCCAGCCTTATCATGGAAGCGCTGTTCCGAAGCAGCAGAAAAGATCACTCAGATAGTCGCTTTATATCGACAGCTATACACATTAAGGGGAGCTCCATATCTCATCAGCTACGGTCTTTATGTGGCGTGTACCATACATGTTCGCAATATGGGCGTGAATACCAGTGAAATGGTCGTCAAGAATTCTTCTACGCTAGAGCGAAGTGTCCGTTGGCTTGAAGAGCTGGCAGTTCCCAATCCAGCTGTTGCAAAGACTGTTTCCATCATAAAGAAATTGATGAGTGCGAGAGGGGTCAGCTTGGACTTTTCTCCTGATACTGTTGGGTTTGCAGTGCAAGAAGAGTTGGCCAATACTGAAGAGAATCATGGCTGTGGTACCGACTCAGCTCCCCTAGCCCGTGACATAGGCTCATTGATGGACCCATATTTCTTCACTAACGAATGGGACGAGTCATTTTCAGGTGACCTTCTGTATGGGTTCTTAGAACAAGAATCTTTCGAAGGAATGATTCCATAGGAGAACCTATTGTCTGCTGCTATAGGAAAATAATATTATGTGCTATGCTATACTAAGTCTGTAGTCCCGCCCCAAAACGATCACACAGACTATTATAGATAGCACTGTCATGCGCTAGTATCACCCGCACATTTTCCAGCTTTCTCAACTCCCGCACTCTCTGCAAGTGTATCTCTGCAAGTTCTTTATCGTGATGGGCGCATTTTGACCGGCCCGTCTTCTCATCTAGATAGACAGCAGTCTCACCAACCTCATTCAAGATTCGAGTATCGTGTGTAGTATCTCCAGCCAGCAACATCCACTGATTCACATCACTACGCGCAAGCAAATTGACATGTCCAGGGCAATGGCCAGGCGCATTGATGATGTACATTGACTGATCTCCAAAAAAGTCATGGACATCAGGAAACGGGCCCAATGGAGCCCAGAACGATCTGTCAGTCGCAGGGGGTAGTTCGATTGTTCGATCTTGGGGAAGTAGCCTCGAGTCGAAATGTGAAAATGCGTTGCATGGATAACTGTCCGGACCATAAAGAAGCTGCTTGGCACCAGGTCCGATGAGGAACTCTGTTTTAGGCCCAAATTTGCTCGGGTCTCCGATGTGGTCATAGTGGAGATGTGAGAAGATAATCGCTCGGATATCCGACGATGGGTCGATGTGATTTTGGGCTAAACTAGCAAAGACATCTTCTGGGACTTCAGACTTGATGGCATTTTGTAACCTCTCGAAGACTGCAGGCGTATAATTCTCGATGTCTTTTCGGATTCCTAAATCAAAGATCACTTTTTGACCTGTAGGCTCATGCTTGAGAAGCCACGACATTGATGGTACGCGGCGGACATCATTTGGATCCGAGCCAGCTACAAAATACTTCATGGGGAGGTGTAAAAACCCCCCCGGATAGTATTTGGATTCCTATTTTGGAATTAACGGTTGGTTGTTTAGGAAGAATATATGTCATGGTGTTTGAGGTGATTGCGTTGATCGAGAGGCGAATGATAAATATGATATATGATGAGTTGATACTCTTGACTTGATTATGCTGTTCAAGACAGTCTGAGCCCCGCACATTCTAGAGACGGACAGAAGCTACGTACCCTGGTCAAACAGTCCATGCGCATCGGCGGTCCCCCCGACCAACCCCTCACGGAGAGTCTCTCTCCGAAGAACATTACGACATCCATGTTACTCCCTTCGGGAATAAGTTTCAGAACAATCTAATAAATTTGTTGTGCTTGAGGCCACACGAGCTATCCGCTTTTGAGCCAATATACTGTCCACTTGGGCTTTACAATCGAGCATCAAGACCGGATCTACGCGACTGTGCCAGCAATCAGGATGAGTTCCATGTCCGGACTCAACGTCCTATTGAAGAGAATACCATACAAGGTACGCTCTTGGTTAGCCATCCAAAGGGTGTTCCTAGACTAAATTTCCTTTCAGTTCAAAACTCCGTTCCTTCTTGACAGTAGGGCCTTTATCGGAGGACGCTGGACACCTGCAGCATCTGGGGCAACATTTCCTGTCTATGGTGAGGGCCAATAATAACTCGATCTTAATTTATGCGCTAATCAACTGGAATAGATCCAGAAGATAATCAAGTAGCATACAAGATTGCTAATGTCTCCCGGGTGGAAGTGAAGACCGCAATCGGTGCCGCACAGACAGCCTCGAGACAATACAAGCAACTCACCCATCGCAATCGCAAAATTTTACTCCGCGAATGGACAAAGTTGATAAAGAGAAGTCGTGATGATTTGGCAGCTATTTGCACGCTGGAGCTCGGGAAGCCCATTACCGAGTCCTATACAACTGTCGACTATGGAATTAGTTTCCTTGAGTGGTTTGAAGGTGAGATCGAGAGACTATATGGGGAGACTATTCCGGCGGCCCGTGGAAGCAATCGTATCATGACTTATCGTGAGCCCCAAGGCGTAGTTGCGGCAGTGACACCGTGGAACTCACCCGTGGCCATGATTCTTCGAAAAGTCGGCGCTGCCATTTCCGCTGGAAATGCAGTTGTTCTCAAGCCTGCGCCGGAAACTCCGATGTGTGCCATTGCGATCGCAAAACTGTTTGAGCAGGTCGACTATCCCGAAGGAACTCTCAATATCGTCACTGGGGACGCTGCGGCATCTGTAGATATCGGAGACGAGATGTGTCACAATCCGGCAGTGCGACATTTGAGCTTCACAGGATCAACTTCTGTGGGGAAATTCCTTAATGCAGAGTGTGCGAAGCATTTGAAGAAGACTAGCATGGAGCTGGGTGGGAATGCACCATTTATTGTGTTTGAAGATGCCAATATCCAGAAGGCGGTTGATGGTTAGTATTTCCCCAAAGACACAAGCAACTCTAGCTAATTAGCACAAAACCCTGGGTAGGTCTCATCGCTTGCAAATTCCGATCTTCTGGACAAACATGCGTGTGCGCTAACCGCGCTTTTGTCCACTATTCCATCATCGACGAGTTCGCAGAGAGACTCCAGAAAACAGTTGATGGCCTTTTTAAATACGGGTCTGTATGGGACCCGGATGTTAATTTTGGCCCCCCTATACTCTTCCCGGGGTGTAGAAAAAGCAAAGGCGCACCAAGAAGATGCCGTGTCGAAGGGAGCCAAGATCATATCTGGGGGATTTATCAAGGAAGACCTGGGACCGAACTTCTATGTCCCGACCATTCTTACTGGTGGCCCATCGCAAGAAATGCGCTCATGGACCCAAGAGACTTTCGGTCCTGTCATGCACTTAACTCCATTCGAGACGGAGGAAGAGGTTATCAAGCTGGCCAATACAGAAGAAAGCGGACTGGCCTCATATTTCTATACTGAAGATATTTCTCGAGTATGGAGAGTATCCGAGGCTCTAGAGACGGGTATGGTAGGTGTGCGGACAGGACTCGTGAGTGCGTGCGAGCAGCCCTTTGGGGGAATAAAGGAGAGTGGAATTGGGCGTGAGGGATCCAAGTTCGGGGTCGAGGACTACACTAATATCAAGAGTATTACTGTTGGTCTTTGAAGAGTCTACGCAAAGTTCTGGTAAAAGCTACGAGAAAATGAAATTGTTTAAATTACTTTTACATTGCCGAATTATTTTAGGGGGGTTTAAATCTCCCCAGATAATGATGAGAGCATAGGGAATACCTAACACGCCTCATGTCTTCCGCCGGAGGGTGTGTCTCCGACGGCGCTCGCACATCTCACCGGAAGAGCGACATCCCCGCACAAGCACCTCGGCTAGCTTGAGGAGAGGTCGAAGCTGTGTCTGGGCATGGAAATAAATAGATATGATTGTTTTGACTCTACGCCCCGTGGCTGCCGGGGCATCGTTGCTAAATATTCAGGGCGAGGCCAAATAAGTTCGTCACGCTCACCAGCACCTCACCATGCGGCCTACTATTCCACTTTCACTTGGTCGTCTTTCTGGTAAAACGGCACTTATAACAGGGGCTGGGTCTGGAATCGGCGAAGGCATAGCTAAATTCTTCACAAAAGAGGGTGCAAATGTTATCATCGCAGATATCGCAAAAGATGGAGGAGAGCGTGTCCAGAAGGATATCCAACAATCTCATCTTGAAGGCCATGGTCGGGCTTTATTTCTCAAGTTTGATTGTACGGCAAGTCGAGCATGGAAAGATGGCCTGAAGCTCGCTCGCGATGAATTTGGCAAGCTGGATATCGTGGTGAATAACGCTGGTACAACATACAACAAAAAGCCCAGTGTTGAAGTTACCGAAGCGGAGTTCGACAAGATCATTGCTGTCAATACTAAGAGCATCTATCATAGTGTTGTTGAGGTCATGCCTTACATGGCAGAGCAGCGCCGGGGTGTTTTTATCAATACATCATCGGTAGCTGGATTCAAGGTGCGACCTGGACAAGTGTTTTATGGTGGGACCAAGGGCTTTGTGAACACCGTGAGTTAATTATCCGGCACTTTATCTTGAGTTCTCTTTACTTATATGATTCGAAATAGATCACACAGGGACTAGCTGCAGAATGGGGCCCATATAATATTCGAGTGAACTCGATCTGTCCACTACGATCTCCCACGGCTCTATTAGAAAAGTTTTCTGGCGTACCGGATACTCCAGAGGAACGTGCCCGATTCTCCAAGACTGTCCCCTTGCAGAGAATGGGAGATATTGACGCTATTGCTCATGCTGCTGTTTACTTGGCGAGTGACGAGGCCAATTTTGTGACTGGAATTAACTTCCCTGTTGACGGAGGGAGGCTGGCCGTGTGAAGTTTAGTTTGGGAGAATTCAACTATCTTGATGGATATCATATATCATCCACGCTCTCAGGCCTGTGACTGCCAAGAAGTGGGAGAACTTGAATAGTAAATATAGAAATACTGAAATAACGATGGGTTGCGTCAATGGATTTCGTCATTTCACGAAGGAGTCGGCTTATTGTCGGAGCTTCTTGGTCCGGCTGCCTCGTAGCAGGCTCTAAGATAAGAGGAAAATGCCGCCATTCGGCGTCTTACCCCATACCCCGCGCGTCTCTCTTTGTTACGATGTGGAGAAGTATATAATGCTGATCCCTAACTGCGGGGAAAGTAAGCAATCGCTACTGCTTCTTGCATTTTGATTCCCTACCGACAGACATGGATCTTGAAAAGGAATTCCCAGAACACGCGGAGGAGGCACAGTCTGCTGTCTTCCTTGATGATCGCGAGGAGTACGACTATTTTTTGAGCAAATTTGATACAAAACGGCGAAACAAGCTCCTGCGGAAGATTGATTGGCGCTTATTACCGATACTGTCTCTATTCTATCTCATATCGTTCATGGATAGAGCCAATATTGGAAATGCGAAGCTACAGGGCCTCGAGGAAGATTTAAACTTGACTCCCGGCGAGTACAACTGGTATACCGAGCTATTCTCCGCTCGATCCTGCTTTGTATTAATTATTTGTTTGAAAATAGGGCGTTAACTATCTTTTTCTTCCCTTACGGCGCCTTCGAGGTTCCTAGCAATCTTGCATTAAAGTTTACAAAGCCCTCAATATGGATTCCTATTATCATGCTCTCATGGGGCTTGGTGTAAGTTAAAACCCACTATTCTTCAATATAATACTGGCTTCTTACCACTAACCTTACGCAGGATGATGTGTATGGGTTGGGTAAAAGACTACTCTGGATTATTAGCGACTCGCTTTTTCTTAGGAGTGACCGAGGCCGGCCTATTTCCGGGGGTAACTTATCTCTGCTCTACGTGGTATTGCCGCTATGAACTGCAGTTTCGTATTGCTTTGTTCTATTGCGCAGCCAGCCTTGCCGGTTCTTTTTCTGGACTTCTTGCATATGGCATAGGGTTCATGGACGGTAAGATTTCCATTGAATAATTAGTAGTATATATCATCACTGATATGCCTTTCTTCTATTAGGGATCAGAGGTTATAGCGGCTGGCGTTGGATCTTTATCCTGGAGGGTGTTCTCACAATAATCGTCGCCTTAGTCTCGCATCCCTTCATATGCGATGATCCAGTGTCGTCTTCCTGGCTGACTATAGAAGAAAAGCGATTCATCACTTTAAGGCTGCAATTTGATGGCCACGAAAGCGGATACAAGGAGTCTGCATTCCAGAAATATCATTTGAAACAAGCCTTTTTGGACACGAAAGTTTACCTCGGCTGCGTATGAGCATTCCATGTCTGATAAAACGAATTCGTGATTTAGCTAACTCGAAATATTTTAGATATTATTCACGATCGTATCTATGGGGACGTATGCATTGTCCTTCAGTCTTCCCACGACAATCAAGATCCTTGGCTACACTGCAGCTCAGGCGCAACTTATGACCATTCCAGTATACGCATTTGCGAGTATAATGTGTGTGCTCAATGCATGGGCCTCTGACCGCCTGGGGCGTCGATATCATGCTGTTGTGATTCCCTACCTGATCGGGATCATAGGTTTCATTATTTGCATAACCGTTGACCCGGAAGAAAAGCCAGGAGTAATCTATCTTGCGATGTTCTTCATTGCAGCAGCGCTTTTCCCCACGACTCCCAGTGTCGTTTGCTGGATGGCGAATAATCTATCAGGACAATGGAAGAGAGCAGTCGGAATGGCTCTTACATTTACTGGCGGCAACCTAATTGGAGGTGTTGTCGGGTCAAACATCTTTTTGGCCAGAGAGTCTCCAACATTTCACACAGCCTACTACATAATGGTGGCCGTTTTTGGTGCTGGCATTTTGGTCGCCACGTTCAAATTATGGCTTCTCATCGCGACAAACAAGAAGCGAGATGGTCTGGTCGAAAGTATGCCGGAGGAAAGGCTGGCAATATTGGATGAAGAAACCAAGTTTTTGGGAGATAATAGCCCCTTTTTCCGTTATACTCTATGATTTCTGGTGTGCCTCGGAAAAGAAGTAGGGCGATTATATCCGCGTGCTTTGATTAAATTTGGCATAAATCTTCATTATGATCATTTGAGCAACCGCCACTCCAGTCTTCTACTACATAAATATTCCTATTATTTGCGAACATTCTTCGCGCGTCCCACCCACCGGTCGACTCCAGATCCTAAGCCCTTGAGACCACGTTGTTCCAACTCGCGGGCCGCCGCTCCGTCGAGTACGCCGTCCGCGTCTTCCGCCTCGCGTTGGCGGCCATCAACGACCCGAACCAAGATCTGCATCAGGGCGGCAGCAAGGATACTGGCGATCAAGATTCCTACCATCACTAGGTTACTCTTTCGGTACTTTTGACGCCCAGGGGCCTCGTAGTCGCTCGTCCAACCCGAGTAGAGTGCATAGGTGGTTAGAATGCTACCACAGTTACCCCATCCAGAGACCACGGCAGATGCAGCAGCCACACCGACTTCGCCGTGTCTCGGCTGGAAGATCTCGGCAGTCCATGTCATGGTGATAGGAACAGTGGGGCCGAGGCCGAAGCCGATGATAAGGAGGCCACCATAACGGGGCCAGGGGTTTTCTTCGCTGCCAGCATAACTCGTGAGAAGCAGGCCCAAGATTTGAATCAAAGCTGGGATAGCAAAAAAAATGGCACGGTGACGATGAAAGCGGTCTGAGAAAGGCGTAACGATAACAATGGCGATCAAATCCATCTACAGACCAGTTAGCTAAACCACAGTCGGGATAATATCGGGGGAATGGATACATACAATCCAAATAGGGGCCGTCAACAGACTGATGACGACACCGCTAAGGTTCGGGTTGATCGCTTGGATGATTAGGTTTGCGTACAGCTGGACACCAATCCCAACGCCGACAACGCCGAAGTACATGACGAGTAGCGGCCAAAGTCTCCAATCCATAAAGACGTGCAGGAGATCTGTCCATGTCCATTTGGTGCTGTGGTACACACGTTTCATGTCGTGGTAGTGGACGACAGCATCCTTGCCAGTCAATGCAGGGGCAGTATCTGGCAGCCAGCTTAGTAGCTTGTGACGCTTAGGAAGAGGTTCTCCAGGCGGAGTGGGACGGTCAGGCAACCACCAAAGCTGGCCGAATCCGAGGGCAATAGTAACAATACCCCAGATGAGAAACATCCACTGGAAGCCAACATAGCCCTTGACACCGTCCATTTTTTGAAAACCCGCAGAGACTAGACCGACAACGGCAGCGGATACTTGCGAAGCAGTAAAATAGTAGCCGATGCGTTTTCCAATACGCGAGGGCGGATAAAAGAGAGTGAGATAGTAGGTCATGCCAGGCCAGAGGCCAGCTTCAACGATACCGAGAAGGAGACGCAGGAGGCTAAGTATAGTCGATTAGCATGGGGTCACAAATTCAACAAAAGTTTTCACCTACTAGAAACTCCACTCGGCTTTCATAGCAGTCATACAGGTACCAATTAGACCAACACTGAGCACAATACGGCTCATCCAGACGTGCGGGCTCAAGCGGGTCATGGCCAGGTTGGATGGTACATCAAATATCACATAACCAACATAGAATAGCGCAAGTGCGGTTGAAATCTCGTGGGGGTTGATTTTCAAGACAGTTCCGAGATCGTGGCCCGAATCCTCATTCATGGTCTGCGCTAGACCAACATTGGAGCGGATGGCTGAACAAAAGAAGTAGAGAACCCAGAATGCGGAAATGATTCGACGATCCAATTTTCTGCGACTTGTTGTTAGAAAAGTAGTTCAAGATTATTTCCCCATTTTTGAAGCTGTGATTCACCTGTAGATTCGCTCAATATTGGCTACATCGAAGTGGCCTGGCTCAAGATCGTCTTCCATTGATCTGGTCACCTGCGATTGCTCATGAATATTCTCAGAGACAGGCTCCTTGTCGGCGCTGCTCATGCCACTGTCGGCGTACTCGGGGGCGGGTGTAGTCGCCATTTTAGATGCAGAGACCAAATTCAAGCGGTCTTCCCATGAAGAAAAACCGTCTAGGACCGAAGCAGGGAATAAAAATGATGCGCCGCTGTGAGACTAATTAGCGGGTGGGCTTTCCGATGGCATGTATAAGTCGGGAACTTTGCCGAGGTCTAAAGACATTCCCGGCGACGCTAAGATAAAGGCCCAAAGGGAAAATTCAAAAAAGTGAATAATGGATCGCATATACTTACCTTGAGATGACAGCCCCGGTGGTATGCGGCCGGACAACTCCGCTTCAACGCGAAAGCTGGTCGGAGAAAAAAAAAATAGAGGACAAAGGCGGAGACCCGTTTGCAGATCTGATAAAGGAGGGGTGCTGCACAGCTGACCGGGAATGGAAAAGTGTGTACTCGTATGAGTATTATCCTGCTCTGGTCCTTTCCGTCTGGCGACACACAAATAGAAGAAGAAAAGAGACCAAAAATTAAAAAAACAAGAAAGAAAGAAACCCAACAAGACTAGCCGTTGAGCGGTTGAGTCGCGTCGCGGTGGGAAAAAAATAAAAGCGTCCGACTCTCGGCGCTGCGACTGTTCAGAACGGAGAAGCCTTCCCAACCGACTCTCCCACTCACCGAGGATAACCTTAAATTGTCACCCGAATAGAACTTCGGGCTGAACTCCCCGGAAAGCCTGGACTTTGGATCAGGTCACCCCTCCTCGAGAGAAATTCTAGACCCACACCTTGTGTTATCATTTAGAATATGACCCATTCCGGGAATGGTTCATCCCATCGGTACTCCATATTGACAATCCTTTTACATCGATCTATCTCATCGCCGGTTTCGGTGGGTCACGTGACTAAGCTGGGCTTTGAGATTATGTAATATATTTTCTCCAACAACTTCGTCACATTTATAAGGACACCCCAAATGTGAAATAGTAATTATAGTACTAGAATACTTATACTTGCCCGCGACGAAAATAAAGTAAGAATGTTGGGCTATACTACTAGTAGGACTTGGTAACCTGAAGGGAGATAGAAGAGAGATATCTGAATCTGATGATATGAGATATATCATGGATGGATGCGAAAGGGGCAATACTCACGCTATATCTATCTATCTAATGACAAACGGAGTCGTGCAACGACTAATCAAAGTGATCAAGGTCCGATAAACTATGGATATTTGAAGGTTGAGGTAGGTGGATCCTGATAAGCTCTGAATCGGCTCATCCTCGGATTTGCGGGGAAGAAATCAACCTATAATGGAGCTGGGAAGATCATCATGACATGGATGTTCCTCTCCACTACAGCATGCATCTTTATAGTTCTACCTCTAAGCAGGAATAGCGGTGAATGAAGGTTTCACTAATTAAGCCGAATTATGTTGTGGAGACACATGAATCTTTAACTGCGCCTTGTGGCGATTTAATCTTCGCGAAGAGGAGTTTCTCCGAGGCCTTCTCTAAGCATTGAATCTAATCTATTTTTGTCAGAATTCTATCTGCTGAATCTAACAAATTCCGACCACTTTTTACCTGGGTGATGTTATGCCCCTCAACAGTTACTACCTCGTATTCGCCCACGCTAGTTCTCTAGTCAACCCTCAAATCATATCACGAGACACGCTAGCCCTACTAGACTCTTGAATCATGGTCCTTCTCCGAATCACCAAGATTGCTAGACCGGGCAGGAATAAAAGCCTAGTACCTTGGCAGCCACAAAGTATACGGAGAGATAATTCAGGGACCAACCAAGGGCTGCAGCAGCTCAAGCCCAGCCGCCAGGGCACCAGCGGCTCGAGTGATGCCAAGCATCATGCCTCGTATTTCGCCAACGAGCCCAGCTAAAGTTTGCAGCCACAGACACGTTCTCTCATCCGCCATCCCATTTTTCCATCAATACGAGGCGCACCGTGCCCGCTCGATCATCCGGGTAATGGCGCCTCCGCACTTCTCAGAGCCGCAGAGTCCCTCCAACCTACTATTTAAACCTCGGGAGGTCTCCAGCGGGATGTGCCTCCCGGCCCACCTCGCAGAAAAAGAATAATCCCTCTACAAAAGTGATACCGAAATCTGAAGTCCGATTTCGCAATGAAGAATCTCATGGCGAAGCAGGTGGGGCTTGTGCTCCTTCTGGCTGGATTGGTGACTGGCGAAGCTCTCAAGAATGAAGAGCGACTCTCTTATAACGCAACCCATCGTGAAGCTAGTATTGGGATGCTTTCAACCCGCGATCTTTTTGGTCTCGACAAACGTGCCTGGGAATGCAACCCGGGATACAGCCAATGTGTTTACGACTCATCACGTTGCTGTCCAACAAGTGGTAGATGTTGCACAACTGGATACTGCGCTGACTCCGACGAAGTTTGCTGCCCTGTCAGAGGAACATGTCCTAGCGGATATAACTGTTGTGGAGCCTATAACTGCTCTCCTAAGAGTGGTGAATGCTGCAGTGATGGAAAATACTGTCTCGCCGGCTACAAGTGTATGATCCATAACGGCAATGCGGTGTGCTGCCCAAATTCGGGATGTATAGGAAGTTATGATTCAGGAGACGCTTCGAGTGGCTCTTCTGCAACGGAGACGGAGACGGAGACCCTGACTACTACAACGGCAACTTACCAATATCACTCATATTATTATACCACCTACTATTGGTAAGTCAACCGGTTTTCTCTCTACACATGCGTTTGGTGATTTCTAATATTCCTATAGGACCTATTGGTACTACTATTGGACCTCTTTTGCCCCGTACACTGTGAGGACTGTCACCTCTACCGAGACCACAACTACAACCATTTGGTCTGCATTCGCAACCGCCAGCGCAGAGGCAAGCGAGTCTTTTGAGTATTACATCACCGCTAGGCTCACTCCGCCCTATTCTGCTACCTCACTGAAGAGCTCCACCGACTCTGTTCCACTTTCGACAGACTCTAGTGACACTACTAGTGCAGTCACTGCCAAGGCTGCTACTACTACACTTCTACATTCTGGTGGTGATGACACCGGGTCCTCGGGCAACGGAGGCGTTCCTGATGCAGCCGTTGCACGATCTGTAAACGGTATTTTACCATTGATTGGGGCTATCGCTGCGTGTCTCATTGGTGGTTTGGCCTTTGGACTGTGAAGAAAGACAAGAAGAGGATATTTTGCCGAACCTTGGAGAAATCATGTGGATATAATATGTCGATAAGGGGAATTCTTTACATCTATTTGTCATTCTTCCAAGTTTCAAATTTAGTACTCTTGATGAATATGAATGGCCAGAGAGTTAATCGAACATCAATTACTAGACCATCTAGATAAGTTCTAGTATATAAAAGGGTCATCACCCTATGATCTTGGGCCTCAAGACCTTAGACTTTCGATGATTCTTAATCTAACCCACCCGGGCACTTAAAATATCCAAATTTTACTAATCTCATTGCTGTCTATAGTAACTTCTGTTGTATTTTTAGCCACGTCTAGGTGTTCCGAAATTTCATCTGATTAAGCTCGACGACAACTAGAGTTGGAGTTCCAAATATGGAGTTTCATAGGGTCTAGTACCATGCTTGATAGGGTACAAAAATTATCAATATTCAATACAAGTCTGAAAAGAACTCCAAATTATAGTTTATGAATAATGTCGATCATTATTCATAAAAGCCTTTATCTGGACGGCATGCTCTTTCCGTGGTGTGGCCAATTTGTCTAGATTCAAACCGATCGGTCGTGACTTGCTCGAGTCCGAGATAACCTATAATCTTCCACAATGATTCGCGTATAGAACTAACCTTGGAAGGTGGCAGAAATTATCGCTCTTTAAAGCCCGGTTTAACTATAGTACTAGTCATTCAAAAAGCAAGGACAAAGGCCGGTCTCATATAGTATCTATCTTATTTAGCCATTAATCAGGTGCAAGTACAAATACCAAGCTGGAAGATGAATCTGACAACTGGGGGAATTCTTGACAATTTTCGTATTATGTCCTCGATATTCGAGACTCGATCTTACCTCTCATCGGGAAAACGGCATGCCAAAAGAGCGACCTGGCTCAGGAATTACCAATTGGTCATATTGCTGGTTGAATTTTTCAGGAGAATAGCTTTTGCCGCGACAACCTTTCAGGAAGCCCACAGAGGAACACTGCTTGGTTCTCGGGTTCTGGCCGCAGGATGTAAGCACTACCGCCGGAAAGGGTAGCGGCACGACAAGATCAATCAAATCAATCAGATAACCCGAGCCACCAAGGATCAAGTGGATCCCGGTTTCTCCTATCATGTGCGTAATCACACTACTCCATCCAAAATCTTGAGAGTACGGTGGGGCCTGTGAATCCAGACAGGGTCTTCGAATGGCTTCCTCGTAAGGCCAAGACTAATTAGAACCGGGCTTGTTTTCCACAAAGCATTATCATCCGGTGATCGTCGACATCAGTACCCAAAAGTGGTATGGTCAACAAGGTGGTTAGCCAGGTTTGTGACAGGGCCCATGCTCTGAAAATGTTCTTGGGGCGATTTTCTAGGCGAACCACGAAGAAACTTGCGGATTTTGCCGCTCAGAAAATGTAGCGACAGCAATGCGTCCAGACCCGACCGGCCTTCCAGTATTTATCTTGGTCGACCCCTGTCACTTTTCCCACACCAATATTTTGTTTTCCACTCTGTTCTGCATTGAAGCTATTGGGGTGTGTGGTCAAACGACGACTCTTTCACACCATGGCCGTCAGAAAGCGTTTCATCAACCCCTTTGCAGGCAATGGTTCAGCCAAGAATCAGTCTACTGCCGATATTCCCGAGACTGAGACACCAGTTGATCTCAAATGTTCTTTAGAAAAATCAAAAGAGGCTGATAGAGCTTCCTCTAATGAAGAGCTCATCGATGAAAATGCGCAATCTGGCACCCAGAAGGCCCAGGCCAGTACCCTAGCCTGGACAAGAAACACTTTAATTGCCGCGTATATTCTGTGAGTGCCATGATATTTTGTGTTCTAGCTAGCATTGTATAGCTAACAAGTCGAAGTATGTGGGTTGTCAACTTCCTGCAGTACTTCAGTTCCGGAATGCTAGGTGTTTTATCGCCCTACATCTATAGTGATTTTCAGCTACATTCACTCACGGGCCTGACCTCCGTTATCGCATCCTTAATATCCGCTCTGATCAAGTTTCCCTATGCAAAGCTCATGGATATCTGGGGGCGACCCCAGGCTTTTGGACTTAGCGTTGGATTCCTGACTCTCGGCCTCGTCATGATGGCTGCTTGCAAAAATGTCCAAACATATTGTGCCGCTCAGGTGTTCTACCAGATCGGGTTCAGCTGCATAGACTTTTCTATGACCATCTTTGTTGCCGATACAACAGCTTTACGAAATCGTGCGTTCTGGATTGCATACTCTGCATCCCCGTATTTGATCACGCCTTGGATTTATGGTTATGCCTCCGACCAGATCCTCGCACCTGGAGGTATTGGATACAGATGGGGCTTTGGCGTATTTGCCATCATTATGCCTGTCGTCAGTGCCCCTCTCTGGGCTTTGTGGTCCCATATTGAAAGAAAAGCCGAAAGGATGAACCTGGTGGAGAAGGAGAATATCAGTCGCACCCCGTGGCAGTCGGTTGTTCACTATTTGATCGAGTTTGATGTCATTGGATTGCTCATTGTCTCCACTGGCTTCTCCCTCTTCTTATTGGCCTTCAATCTATACTCCTATCAGACAGAAGAGTGGAAGTCGCCGATGATAATCTGCTTCATTATCTTTGGCTTCTTCTTGATCGTCTCATTCACTATCTGGGAGAGATACTTTGCTCCAGTGAAGTTTATGCCATGGGAGCTCATCAAGAATCGGACAGTTTTTTTCACCTTTGCCATGGTTAACTCCTTATACTTGGCCTGGTACATTTGGGACAGCTACTTCTTATCACTCTTGCAAGTTCTTTTTGACCAGAACGTCCGGGATGCGACGTACATCTCCAACATTTATACTATTGGGTCGACCTTCTGGTGTCTTGTCTTTGGTGCCATTCTCCGATACAATGGTCGCATCAAGTTGTGGGCAATTTGTTTTGGTGTCCCGCTAACTATTCTGGGGGTCGGACTCATGATCAAATTCCGCCAGCCCAATTCGCACATCGGATACATTGTGATGTGCCAGATATTCGTTGCTTTTGGAGGGGGCACTTTAGTCATTTGTGAACAAATGACTGTCATGGCTGTCTCGTTACAGCGCAACATTCCCGCTGTCCTGGCCATGGAGGGCGTCGTGTCTGGCATTGGCAGTTCTATCGGAGGAACTGTCGCTGTGGCGATGTGGACCGGTATATTCCCGGTCAAGTTGAAAGAGCTTCTTCCAGCTTCCGCCCAGTCCGGTTTCACTGCAATTTATGGCTCCTTGGAAGTTCAACAATCGTATGATCGGGGCACGTCTACTAGAGACGCCATTGACCAGGCGTATGGCGAAACACAACGCCTGATGCTTATCACGGCCACTTGTCTCTATCTCATCACGTGGACCTCTTGCTTTCTCTGGAAAAACATTGATGTGAGAAAGATGAAGCAGCAGGTCCATGGAATTCACTTCTGAGTCAATTGGCGCGATGTATGACTACGACGACTATCGGTCGTAGCATGTCTGGCAAGATATCGTTGATACAAATAATAAAACTAGTATCACTTGTGTTGATCATGAACTTCAATTCTGTATTCTACCAACTTCCATATAGGTCGTATATAAGATATCAAGAGCAGCGTAAGACCTAGTCACCAACCTGCCCGGACATCATCCATGCAGAAAATTGGTTATGCAAACATGGGTATAAAAAAACAAAAAGCCATAAAAAAGGAAATACAGGTCCACTGCATCAGCATACCCAGATGAAGCAACCATGCATGTTTCAGGAAGGTGATTCCCAGACCCCACCCGTTCAGAGAACCGAGCGCAACTGATGGGATAGGATCAAGTGGGTTCCGAACCAGCAGAATAGTGAACACGAAATCAGACAGGATATTCTCGTGTGCCTTTCATTGCGGGACATCGAAGGTGTTGATATTCCGCATGACGTAAAATATATCGTTTCCTTTTGTAGGAATGGTGGGTGGTGAGGTGCAGCTAAAGCTCGGAATAAAAGCTTAGCTGCTATCAGAGGAAGTTCTATCGGTCTGGTTCTCAACGTGAGCACCCTTGCCACCCTCCAATGCGCTAGGAGTGATTGAAGCTTTCTTGGGCTTATCAGAGACATAGCTGGCGCGACGAAGGTGCTCTTCGGTGTCCTGGTAGTTGACGAGAAGCTCGCCTTTCTTGCCGTAGCGGTGAGGCTCGTTTCGCGCAACAGATACCAGGCTGAAGATGCTGTTGGTCTTGTGGAAAATGGTATCCATCTCCTCCAGAGAGCGATAGGCGGTCTCGGGATAGAAGAAGTAAACGACTGGGAAGATGAAAGCGTTGATGACGGCGAAGATGATATATGTCTTATATCCAATTGAATCGAAAGCGACAGGGGTAACCATAACAACCATGAAGTTGAAGATCCAGTTACTTGAAGTGGCCAGGGCATTGGCGGGGGCACGAATGCGCAGAGGAACAATTTCAGCAGGGTAAAGCCAAGTCATACCCAACCAGCCCCAGGCAAAGAAGGTGTTGAAGACGAATAAGAATACAGCTGCCGCAATACCCGCTTGGGCATTTCCTTCGAAGCTGGTGGCGATGGCCAATACAGCCATGGAGATTGACATTCCAGCGGCACCGACCAACATCAAAGACCGCCGGCCAACCTTCTCAATGATGAAGATAGGAAGCAAAGAGGCAAGAAAATATTCTGTTCCGTTACAGGCGGCTAGGATGCGAGACATCAAGCCACTCATCCCAATTGACTTCTCGTAGATAGTGGCGGCATAGTAGGTGATGAGATTAATACCAGAAATCTGCTGGAACATCTGGTTGACGTAGGCAAGGATAGTACGGTGGAGGTGGCGGTCTTCGTCCATGGTCAGTAGGTCGCGGAAGCTGACAGAGGAAGAAACCAAGACGGCATCCTTGATGGCGGCAAATTCAGAGTGGACGTAAGGGTCATCCTCCGGAAGATCCAAAATAGCCCCCCAGAACCACTATTGCCTCTTCCTCACGGCCCTTGAGAACCAACCAGCGGGGGGACTCGGGTAAAGGCATCACACAGAACAAGATAATCAAAGCAAACACGTTCTGGAAGGCGATAGGGAAGCGCCAGGCGATGGAGCTAGGGTCGAGGAAAGAGAATCCGAGATCCATCCAGTAACTAATGGTGATACCACCAGCAATCAGAGAGCCTTCCAGCATGACCAGCTGGCCACGGTGGTGAGACTTGCTGCATTCGGACTGCCAAGTAGCTATAATAAAAGGTCAATATCTGTTTGATAAGTAGTGACGCTTTGGTATATAACTTACGGACGGTGGAAGTGTTCATGCCGTTACCGATACCGGTCACAATGCGGCCAACGATCAAGTGTGGAAGGCTGTATGCGCAAGCTTGCAACGAAGCACCGATGACCATGATGATTGAACCGACAAAAATGGTCTTGCGGCGTCCAAGGTAGTTTCCAATCCAGATACAAAAGATGGCACCGCAAAAGCATCCCAGGTTGTAAGAAGCAGTTGTGATACCTGGCTCGGTCAGTATATGGCGTAAAGACGCAAGATTGTGACGTAAATAGTCCACCTACCTTGAACGGTGGAACGGGTGCTTTTCGCTGCAGCAGAGAGACCCATCTCTCCGGCCGTTGTGGTATCAATTTGGGGGAATGTAGTGACGAAGGAATTCAAGGTCAAGAGACCTCCCATGACACCTTGGTCATAACCGAAGAGCCTGGCAAGTATTAGTATGGCAAGGTTCTTGGGATGAACTAAAAAGTAAATGGAACGTACAAGAAATCAAGACCAGCGATGATACTGATCATGATATTCAGGGATGTACCCCGAAGTCCGAAGTAAGGTTTCATGGTGACGGATTTCGATTGAACCTCACAGTAAGAGATTTAAGGACAGGCTTTATACAATCAATGTGCCAGGCGTGCCCTTAGACCAATCAAGAAAGTTGAAGAAGTCCAAAAGAGTGCCCAAGCCTATGGACGGAAATGGAAATAGGAAGAGTTGGCGGATGAGGAGAAGTAAAAAAGAGCCAAAAAGATCTGGGGAAGCAGAGGGGGTTTATGAATTCCCAGCCAACAGGCGGCGCCCATCGTCACTGAGGGGGAAAGGGTCCACAACTGGCATGATACAAGGTCCGGGAAAACCGCCAGGATCGAAACCAAAATCTAGTCCAGAGGATTTGGGACAAGCAGGGTCGCATCAGGAGCGCGATACACTGCCGCCGGATTGGGGGAAGACTGGGGACTCCACTTCCTCGCTTCTCCTCCATGGAGGAGGGAGTAAGACTCCGCTCCGGGGGAGAACATCGAATGAGAAATAGTCATCGGCATCAGTCGTTGGTCATTTTCGGCACAGGTCCCACCGGGGGAGGTCGGTCGGGTGAGTGTCTTCGCTGCTTGACTTCGGTATCTGCCCGGTACAATTCACGGGCCGTACCAACCGGTTACCGTACACTGCAGTCGGACGAGGCTGCTTTCAGAGAAGACATTGAGTGTATGACCGCATGAACGATACCAGGCGCTCCTCGTGGCTCGCGTGGGTGTCGTGATGGTAAAAGTGGGTTGGAATTGTGGACTGCAGTGGTGCGTTTTGGTCCGATGGACCCTCCCCGGATTCCTCCCCAATCTTTTTTTTCTCCGCGACTTGCGGAGGTCCCGAGTGAGGATATTGGGACTCAATGTGTAACATTTTCACTCTCTGTTAGAGAGACAGTCTACATATTCAATACTGGTGTATATTCCATGATCATACTAAAAAGTAAAATGATATTCGGCCTGCCGTGCCAAGTCGGGGACCGAGCAGGGGTATTTTCAGGGATCAACCCGCCCCGACGAACCATATTGTCGGCTTTGGCGCATCAGAGCGACGGCCGTGGCTTGGCCCCCGAGGCTTGACGAATGCTTTTCCCCCGCCCGAGTCATCAATTACATGGCTCGGGTGGGCTCGGACACTGCTAGCCTCCGAACAAATTGCTAAGAGAAACCCTCACCAACCCTAGCTAGAACAATCGAATTGCACGTAGTCGGCTCCGAGAAGTCAAGGGAAGACATTAACGGGATGGTTAGGTACTCCCGAGCTCGGAAGGTAAATCCGTAGCAAAGGGGACAAAAGCTCTCAGAGAACCCCTCTCCCTCCCACTCCCCGAAAAGTAACCAAGTTGCGATCGCCGGGACGGTAGCACGCATGACATCATTGCCAGGCACATAACTCACTGGGTACCATTTACCCGTTTTATGGTAAATTTCAATGCAAGGTTCTGTCTGGATGCTAGTGCACTAGATATTGAAGCTACGAGTACATTTTACTCCTCTGGGGTTCTGCCAATATATGAGAGCTTAATTCCTTCAACTCTTGATCCAGCTAATAAAGTATGAATATACTCTGTAGTACAACTTCCCTACCTACCCCGGCCCGGCTTTCCCGAGGTCGTTTTAGACCAAATCGGAATCTGGGGTTCTTTCGGGTTTCCTTTTTGGGATAAGCCGACTACCTGCCCGGCCCGCTTTCAAATGCCACCAGCCTTCAATAATGCTTTCCTGAAACACATTCCTTGGACAAAAAAAGAAATTTAGATCTGGGACCGATCAATTCGATGTAATTCAATTCAATCAGGTTGTAAGCAATGAGCCAAAAAGGGAATCCGGCTTCGAACTCACATCTTCTGTGTATGTAAAGTCCAGAGCCGCGCCAATGCCTACCCGATCGAGCCACTCCGTTTTGCAGTGGAGCCCGGCTGCGAAGACCTGATGGCGATTGTCCTGGAGAACCCACGGCGGGACGCAATCAACAGATTGATTCTTCCGTCCTTGGTACAGTCAGGGACAGAGTTTGGCCCTCGCGTCCCTGACCGTCCCCAAGAGAGACTACATACTCGTTGTACAGGATTAGAGCTCCGGCACGAATCATGTCAACGCCACACAATCAATAGCAAAAGTCTAATTGCTCTTAGACAAATGCACAAGATGATTCAAAGGGGACATCAAAGCCTTACCTACTTAAACAATATTGTAATGAAATGTTCGGCATATCTTACGCGGAAGGGAATCATTTCCCTACCGCTAGGCTATCACGCCTTTTTCGATCTCGTAGCCTATGTGCATACACCCACAATAATTCACACATGAATGGACTCGTCTAGGGACTGTGTTATATCTAAGCACCAATCAAACCCATCGATTCTTGATAGTTCGCCACCGGATTCGGCATCGCTTGGACCAACTGGGCAGGATACAGCATTATTACACATTTTCATTCCGAACTACATGTTCCAGAAGCATAAGTATAATCTCTGAAAGACATGCTCAATCCGAGTTAGGAAAGAGAATGATACCTGTAGTAATGAGGTCATTGAGCACCCTTTTCAAGCATATGGCCGTGTTGCTAGTGGACGCTGAAAACTCCAGGATTATGTCCAAGCCAAGGTTTCTTTGAATGAAAGTTGAATCGGTCTATTTGCCGTGGCATCGGCAAACCCGAAGTCGAATAGGCTTTCATCCCGAATTTAAAGATGCCGATGGCGGGGCCGGGGAGGATTACGGCTCAGAAATTTACAATTATCTCGTTGGATCCTGCCCAGGTTTATCCAAATACTTTTGTATCGTATTGTTCATCTACTGTCGAGCCGTCATCGTCGACCTTTCGGGTGGGCAGCAATGCAACCACGATCTGTCGCGCTTCGCCGACCGATCCACAGGTTCAATTGGTCACTGCAACACCAGCTATGAGGCCAAGAAATTGGGCGTCGGTTTATCTCAATCCGATAAATGTCTGGTTGCTCACATATTTGGTGCACTAGGAATCCCGAAGGTAAGATCTTGAACCCTCCCTTTTCTCGGTCAGACTCCTCCGGATCTCTCATTGGCCGAATCCCCAGAACGAGTGCTTTTCCACCAATAATTTCTTAGACTAGGTGCATATTCCTAGTCACACTAAAAGTTGAACAGGCAAGATTAGAGTCCCTGGTTAACAGAAGCCAAAGGGAATAATGATAGTTAAAGATAATTGAATATCATGAGATTCTCAACCAGTAGTTAGCTTAGTCTCGTTATCTGAAAAGAAAATAAGAGCGCTTTTCCACCGGAGAATGCCATTCTCCAGAGCTTGGCTCGAAGGAAAGCCAATCTGTTCACGAATAGAACATGCGATAACCGATCACTTGGATGCATACCCCATTGGTTATTAGCCAACCGGCTATGCAGTCCGAGTATTGAATAAAAAAATGCAGTCCTCTCCCCTACCCAGATCAAAGCCTTCCTACCAAGCCAATAGCCTAGGTCATCTTTGAATCACCAGCGGCCCCCCTCTTCGTCGTATCCTCCTCCATTGTTGTCTTCCCGAAGCTCGCCATATCCATGGTTGTCAAGAGCTTGATAGTCTTGGCGAGACTCGCCTTCATTTTCATGGTTATCAGGAGCTTCATTGGCTTCAGGCTCAGGCTCAGGGCATCGTCGAACAGTGTGACCCACTACATATTATTAGTTAGGCCTCCATACCATCTACGACCATAGAAATATGGACTTACTGTTGCTACATCGGTTGCATTTGACTTTACTCCAGTTCTTGGGCTCGGGGCAATCGCGAGCAGCATGGCCCTCTGTGAAGCGCGAATGTTAGTTTCAAAATACTCATTTTAAGCACCTGTCGGGCAACTGATACACTTACTTCCATCACAGTTTCGGCAGATCATGTTGTCGGGATTTGCCGGCTGGTCACATTCACGAGCAATATGCTCGGTGGAACTGCATGCTTGTTAGAACATAGATACTTGCCTTATCATATAATCAGTTTAGTTCCATGAACTTACCCGCAGTTACGGCAAGTGCGAGGTTCCCGTGGAGCGGAGTTGGGGCAATCCTTGGCAAAGTGTCCCTCTGTAAATCTGTAAGTATGTGGGCATTGACAGGAAGAGTTCATGCGGCTTGGATCATACTTTCGTTGCAACGACGGCATTCGACATCATCAGCAGATCGGGGCTCGGGACATTCCCGGGCTTCATGCTCTTCAGAACTTTGAAATGGTCAGTATTTAGCGCTCACTGTTGTTAGACTTCGCTGAACATACCCGCAGTTGCGGCATCCGAATCGGCTTTTACGCGGTTGTGTGCAATCTCGCACCCGGTGCCCGAGCTCTCCACAGTTGTTGCACTTGATCTCCGTTTTCTCAAATGCGACAGGCTCCTGTTTGCATGCGCGCGCACTGTGACCCATTTCTATAACATTGTCAGTGCCTACAGAAGATATTGAGCATAGAGTAGGATTTACCTCCACAATTACGGCACTTCATCACTTGCCGGTCGTAGGGGAGTCCTGCGTTTTGGAGGCGTTCAAGGTTGTCCTCGGGGGTTTCAGGCCAACGTTCTCGGAGATTGGCGCGCTGGGGCTTATCGCTGTAAAAGAAGCCAACGACATATTGGCGATCCAGTTTTCCTTGCAAATCAATCAAGCTGATAACATCTTCGGTGGGCTTTTCCTACAATTGGAAGACCCGGTCAGTTGCTTGTCCACACAGTAGGCAAAGTGAGATATCGGTTACCAGAGCAATAAGAGAGATCTTGAAACTCTCATCCCGCATTTTCTTGCCGATGGTCTGAAAGGTCTCGTCTGGGCACGCTTTGGCGTAGATTTGGAGGGCCTGAGTGATTGTGTCAACAATTTCGAATTGAAAATTGAAAATATTGGCTTTCTTACATCTCGGAATTCTCCAATTTCTTTCTCTTCGCTTGCACCCTTCATCATCGCCCATGCTTCTTCGGGAAGCTTGTCGGCGACCTGGTTTAAATCGAACTTGCGGTTTGCTTTGCAGTCTTTCGACTGGTGGCCTGTCACGCATATGTAAACATTTTTCGTCTTCAAGTATGTGGGTAGTCTAGAGGGGGATCTTTCACCTTCAGCTTTGCAGTTTCGGCAAATATTCACCGGCTTTTCCGGGCAAGTAGCCGCTGGGTGGCCCTCTTGGTTGCAAATACGGCATGTTCCCTTGAAAATGCGAGGTTGGAGACAATCGGACTTGTTGTGACTATGATCTGTGTCAGATGTGCTGAATGATGGGTTCGGCAAGTCCACGTGTATGAAACATACCCTACTTCCCCACAATTGTAGCATACGCCCATTGCCTTTCGGGGCTGAGGGCAGTCGTTCTTTGAATGGCTAATATTATTAAATTAGCTTCAACATGAAATGATTCAGTAGCGGCGGCTCACCCTTCCTCCCCACAGTTGTAGCATGCTCCCATCGACTTTCGAGGCCGAGGGCAGTCGTTCTTTGAATGCCTATAGCGCCAATGATTAGCCGGGAAACTTAGTTGATATCTCCGCTTGATGCACATACCCTTCTTCGCCGCAGTTGTAGCACGCGCCCATTGACTTTCGAGGTTGGGGGCAGTCGGACTTGTTGTGACTGTAGATGCAGGTGTCAGCACGAAGTCTGCTTGGTCAACTCTCGATCTTCATGGCTTACCCTTCCTCGCCACAATTGAAGCATGCGCGTCCGCCTCCCCCACCTCCTCCGCCTCCACCGCCGTTGTTGTCGGGACAATTTCGTGCAAAGTGATCAGGTTCACCACAGCTATTTCCCCTGATTAGCTCGTGCCGTCACCTAGCGATTTTGAACGACTCACTTGCGGCAAGTTTTCCCATCCTGGAAGTTTCCATGAATGGTCTTGAACCCCTGGTCTTCTTCCCCCTCCTCGTATTGTTGTCCCCGGCCAGACATGCTGGTTGTCTTTGCTTTTACCGATTCGGTGAGCTGGGCCGGAATGAGTCAGTGATGGAGCCTGTGGATATTTGTGAAAGCAAGACAGGATAAGACAAGGGGAACAAGTCGAGACACGGGAATTGGAGCTCCGTGAGGTAATCACACGACAGAGGTCATCGTCAAGTGAAGCTCTCTAGCATCTCCGGCCTCGCCAAATCGAGGCTGGAGTGGTAAGAGACACTTACCGTGAGACAGTCTGGACAGAGGTATTCCGTGCCGATGAGTGAGAATAATGAAAAGAGTATGATGTGAGTGTCAGATTGAAATGCGCAGAGAAAAAAGGAAAACAAAGGAGAGGAGAAAAGAGAAAGAGAGGATGGGTATCGCTGGAGGAAAGGGAAGCGTGCGCCTGCCTTGAGTGCCTTGAGTGCCTTGAGTGCCTGTTGTGTGGCTCGACAAGTGTGGAGAGGCTCCAATGCACCCAACTGGATGTGGAACAACCCCGATTGCTCACCCTGAGGTAGTTTGCCTCGGCTGACCTTGAAGCTAAATCCGGCTGATTGCGGCTGATTTCAAGTTCCATTGTTTCTGGCGCAAACTTGGTGTGTGTAAAACGTGGTGTCATTGGTCACTAATTTAAATGCATGGCTGAACGTATCAAAACACTCCCAAAATTTTAGTGACAGATACTATTGTTGAACATGAGTGCAGTCTTAATGCACAATAAAGATGCTGATCATTGGATCCTCGCTTCCAGTCAGCCCAGATCACCGGAAGAACCTGCCCAGCAGGCCACCCGCAAGATTGTTCACAATACCCCCACCCAGGGCACGGTTCGCAAAAGTCGATGCTTGGCTGAATTTGTCGCACCGGGAGAATGCCACAGTGTTGGTGATTGTCAAGATCAGGGCAATAACTACAGGTATTTCATTAGCATAGGGATCTTGCTTGTCACATCTTCAGAAATACACCAGGCACCGGGTACACTCACCAATCAAACTGAGCCAAATCACGCCAACCAATCTCACAATGGCCAGGATGGCCAGTCCAACCCACAACGCCGGGGTAACATAGAGACTCAACCAGAAGAAGCGCTTGTCTGTGGCGGCGACCGTGCGAACATTGGGATCAGAGGACTCGAACACCCAGTGTGAATCGCCGGAGGTTGTGTTGACTTCGTTCCACCACCGCAGGCCGACCAGGCGGCGCCCAGCAATATTCTTGAGGTAATAAAAGTCGGCAGACAGAAGGAGAAGGGTCAGGATAAAGACGAGGATGCTGTGGAAGCTAATTAGCGGGGTGGCTACTTTCATTGTCCGCGGGAATATGCGCTGGTGGGGAGTCATACAAATCTTTGATAAAGAGGAGACCAAAGAGGTACATCAACAAGGCACCTAATATGCGCATTAATCAGTTAGTTGTTCAATGGACAGTTAATGAGAGCACTGCAGCACGCACCGATACGAATGGTCAAGAAGACAAGTAGGGTGATGGGATGGGCACTCAGGCGCCAGTTCAGATCTCCTTGCTGGCCTTGATCCATGATGAATAGCAGGGATCTGGTAGTCCTGAAACTCCCGGAGATACCGTGAATCAACCGACTTCTTACTAGTATCGGGGAGTTGTAAAGCTGTTGACGATGGATCTCCCTGATGTTCACCACGCGGCAGGCACGCTGTTGGCGGTGGCAGAATATACAGGGTGGCACGTCTTAATTGGCTGTTCGCATCTTGAAGTTCCACCTCTCCAGCACGGAATGGAGTGGAGACAGCAATAATTATTAACTATAGTACTACGTAGTACGGAATAGTAACTAGTACTACTTGATACACAAGGGGATTTGACATTGGTAAGTTGTAATCTTGGAATCTTCAAATTGGAAGTGGTATATTGTTATTTCAGTCTGAAATTTATTTTCAAGCATATTCTCTCTTGGCTCAAAAATTGCTGAATACCACTACTTGAGCTTGAACCTGAACCTGGACTTGCTTAGGCGCCGAGGGTCTTGTAAAGCTCCTCGATATCATTACCAATGACCCATTGAAGCTCATCGATTTGTCGTTGGTAGAACTCCTCGTCGCCACCTTCGGCCGCGACCATGGCCACAGGGACCTTCTCAAGGTATTCGTCCTTGCTCAGTGCAACTAATCAGGTTAGCCTCGAACAATAATATAGTCGATTCCACAGCCACTTACCATGAGCGTTGACGACTGCACGCTTTGCACTCCACATGGCATGGTATGCATTGGTGCTACCATCGTTGTTGGCATCACCAACAGAATAAATGCCACCGACACTTGTTTCCATATTAGATGCAACCTTGACCGATGATCCATCCATTTGCAAATGGAGTTGCTTGTGCAGACTCGATGTCTGTTTTGTATCTGTGCTATACAGAATTCCGTTGGTGACCAGTGTGTTCGGGGAAGCGCTAAGAGTGAGCTTATACTCGTCGTCTGAGGGCTCATTTCCTTTTCCAGTTCTTTCAATCTTGGTGATATCGACTTCGTGCACTTTGATTCCATAGGTTGTCTTAATGACTTTTTCCCATCCAGGCCACCTCTCTTCGGCAGCCTTCTTGTCCTCATCCGTGAGTTTCCCCCCAGTGACGATTTGGATATTGGTTGTCAGTTTCCGCATATTCAAAGCAGATCCAATAGCGCCGGCAAATTTTCCAGGCTTCCCGTAGATAACCATGGCACGCCCCTTATAGTCGAACCCATCGCACCAGGGACACCAGAATAGACCTCTTCCGAAGGCGTCAGAAAATCCAGGCTTGTTTGGAAGTACATCAGTGATTCCAGTGGCTAGAATAACTTTCCGGGCGAGTATCTTCCCTCCCTTGTCATCAAATATACGAAATCCTTTTGTGAGAGGCTGGATAGAAGTGACTTTCTTTCCAAGAGTAGTACGGAAGGAATAGTCGCTGTAATGCTCATCAATCTGACTTCGCACCGCAGCTCGGAATTTGAGTGGAACCTGGCCTAGAAACAGTCAGATCATGTCCCTGAAAATTCAAATTTCAATCCAAATTACCATCTTGACCCAGCACATCGTGCATGTATCGAGTTCTCCCGTTGCGGTACTCGTTTGAATCGTACATGAGGGACGTCCGAGCTACTCGACCCAAGGACATCGAAGCTGCGAGACCAGCGGGTCCACCTCCAACGATGGCTACATCGTAGTCCCATGTCACAGGATCCCAGTTATCGCATGATTTGTCATCGGAAGTGGAGATATCGTATAGGCCAGTGTCCGTAGCGTTAAACAGGGGCTCGTCTTCTGTGAGCTCAGACACATCATTACCCTCTGCCAGAACCTTCTGAGGAACCGTCAGGGCTGATGCGAGAGGGATTGATAGGAGGCATAATTGCCACAAAAGAGCACGACACTGCACCATGATTGTGGTGTCAAATGAACTGAGAAAGAATGCTCAGGTCGTTTTGTGAACAGGAGAACGAAAGAAATATGAGAGGTTATTTATATTAGAAAGCTTCTGTATACATGTTCTTCCCCATGTTTGTGACTGGCTCACTGATCAAACCCAGGTCATTGCCATAAACAGCGGCTGCCATGATGTTGGAAGATCACTTCTATGGGTAGAAGCCTCAGGTGCTACAGCATAATACTAGTTCATGCGAGCTTGAGAGACATACTTTTAAGTGGAGACTCGCCAAAATGCATTCAGCTCGGCATATCTAGGCGAGATACTAGACCTGGCCCAGATGAATCGTAGCCAGAACGGCAAAGATAGTACGACTATGGATGATTAATTTAATCTCAGGGTAGTCTTATCTACACATTTCCTGCCGCAAGTAGTGTCAGAGATCAGAGGCGATATTCAAGCTGGTAGGGGAGGCCCTGGCGACCCCCGCTCGAGGCCAAGAGATCGACAGTACCCACTGCGCCTCTTATGCATGATTCAGCGCTGTCGAAAATCTTAAAGTATGCAGCTGAGGCTACCTTAAGGAACGCCAAGTAACTTGCCTTTGAAGTGCAGAAGAAATAGGGGGGAAGCTTAGAATGTGACGATTTTCACACAGACAGGCACAACGTCCTCATAAACGACAGTCGCAGTGCAATTCCAATTTCCATTGCCCAGACCATTGCCCAGACAGATAATATAATGAGTAGCTTTATGACAATTTATCTTATACTAGAGATTAGAGTAAAATTGGATTATGAATCGGTGAGGACAAAAGCTCGCAACCCCGCAGTCCAGGGCTATGCGTATATTGCATATATGTGCACTAGGTATGTGATACACCGATCAATAGTTCGCCCGTTCAGCCCGCCACAGCTCAGATTCACACCAACGCGTCATGCTTGTGAAACACTCTTGGATATCAATTCTCGATTGGCTAAACTTTAAGAGAGGCATTTATTACTCCGTACTTTATTCGGCGTCGCGCGCATTCTTCAAGACATCATGATATAATAGTACTACTAGTAGTACCACTGCTAGGCCAATTGCTCACTGCCCAGGGCAGGTGACTGGGACCTACCCGTACACCACGGAAAATGTCAAGCTCGTCTTGGAAACACCGAAAGATTGCCGATGTGATTTTTTGACGTGTAGATATTGCGATCCAGGTGAGCTAACCGATGCTAAATAGTTCTTCAGGTTCTCTATTGCTTTGTCGAGGGTTTTAAGAGAAGGTAAGACTAGAACGTTCGCGTGAGCTATCTAAGGTTATGGCTAAGAGCGAAACGATGGGAACTTGAATGTTATTAGAAACTGAAAGATCTGAAATAATATAGCTTTTGAAAGTTTCAACGTCGCCATGGCGCTGAGATTGTAGCATTCGAAATATCAGAACGGTGGGCCGGAGAAGTCCAAATAGGCGATAAGCCGGGCGCATACAGCCTACATGCGGTTTGTCTTAACCCGAGCTACAAGAATACCCAAGAAGATTCAAATTGAATGATTTCCAATTCTTTCCTTTTAGACTGCATATTCTCCCAGAGAACGCTTAGAAAAAGACCACGGCTCGTGGTAGTTCTCTAAACACCTACTTCCGATTCTGACATCACCGCCGAGCACGGAATTCCCGAGGTCGCGGAGCTCTTCATCTTCCCCACACGGCACTGACAACATCCAGTGCCAGCACCCAGCTTCACCAATTCTTTGCAAGCTTCCGTTGATACCAAGCTTGAAATTCATAAACAATGGCCGCTCGCAATACCCTACGCCGCTCCTTGCTCTACGGTAATTCCGCCTACGCATCACGTCTTTCCCCCGCATTCTAATGCGCGCTGCTGTCAAACCCCGAAGCTAACCAGCTTTCTCCCCCACGCAGTCCCCGGGTCTTCCCAGCGTTTTCTCGATAAATCCCGCTCGCTCGCGGCGGATTGTGTCGCCTATGATCTTGAGGACAGCGTGACTCCGCACATGAAGGCAGAGGCCCGCGGCCTGGTGCGGAGAGCGATTGACCAACCCACACCGACTAGTATTCGCGAACGCGCGGTGCGAATCAACTCTGTAGACAGCGGTCTGGCATTGGGTGACCTGACAGAAGTGGTGCGTATTGATCTTTCTCGGCCTATTCAATGGCCAGAGATTGCGTGAGAGGAAGGGAAATATACATGCTAACTACATCCTCACCACCACAGCTCCAATCGCCAAACCTAACAACGATCGTGATTCCCAAAGTCAACTCAGCCTCCGACCTAACATTCGTAACGGACGTCATCTCCCACACCCTCGCGCAACAACCCCAATTCGAGAACAGACCACCCATTTCCCTGCTCGCCCTAGTCGAGTCCGCCAAGTCCCTCACCAACCTCACTCAAATCTGCGGTGCCTCGCCTTTACTCCAGGGACTAGTTTTCGCCGCCGAGGACTTCGCCCTGAGACCTGAGTATTACGCGCACGCCAGGTCTTCGGGAGTTTCTCTTCGCGCGTTCGGCGATCGCGACTGCCGCACGCGCAGCCGATCTCCCCTCGACAATCGATCTCGTTTGCACAACATACAAGTCTGAGAAAGGTGATGGGTCACCGCCGGCTGTGCTGCAGGAGGAATGTCTTGATGGACGCCGACTTGGATTCAACGGCAAGCAGTGTATTCACCCGTCGCAGGTGAAGGTTGCGAACGATATCTTTGGGCCGCAGGAGGAGGAGACGACGTGGGCTGTGCGGTGTGTGATTGCTGATGATAAAGCTGCTGCTGCGGGGCGCGGGGCTTGGACTCTGGATGGTAAGATGATTGATGTGCCTGTTGCGCAGAAGGCGAGGGCTATTGTTAAAAAGGCTGAGGCTGTTGGTGTCGATGTTCAGGCGCTCCGGGAACAGTGGAAGCATCAAGAGCCTGAGTAGATAGATGTTGATACCTAAGAACTCGAATTCAATGAACATAGTAACTATTTACTGTCAATGTGTGTAACACGGATATCTCGCACGAATGAAGGTGGCTTCAAGGTTCAAGTTTGATTGAGGTCCCGGGGTTATGTGAATTTTCATTCGTATTCAATACTATCATTGCTTATACTAGTAGTATGTGACACCTCGTATGCCATGGTATGCCTCCAGGGTTCAAGTAATATCAAGTACGTGCTCGTTGAGAAACACAATATTCTATCAGGGAATTCGGCCAGGGAGAAGTAGCCGGCTGGGAAAGTTACCCAAGTAACTGATATCTTCAAAATAATAGACATTGCTGGGAGGGGAGCATGGTCAAATAAATAAAACAAACAATGAGGCAGGTGAGTGGCTCAAGCTCTGCAATGCAAAGGATGGGTATCATGCCGCATCATCACGGGCTAAAAAAAAATCAGAATATCACACCAACTCATTGATTTTGCGTTTCTAAATCTTCCCGCCTAAGCAATTGGATTTTGCCTAGCGTGAGGTTGTTGACAATATCCGCGGCCGCCGGTTCTTCCTCCGTCATACTCCGAGCAAGGGACTTATCATAACTGGTCGGGTCAATGCCAAGGATACCTCCAACATATCCCCCGCGCTCGCCAGGCACGCTGAATTCTCGGAATAGATAACGCCATTCGTTCAGCCAAGCTTTGACGGCCTTTCCGATCTTGTCTTTGCCGTTCTTCGAGTGGTGGCCAGTGCCTGTGATGGCGTAGACAACCCGAAGTCCCTGGCGTGCGTGCTTGAGTAGTATTTTCTCCAGGTATTCGATAGCCTCTTCAGGGTGCAGGCCGTGCAGATCAATATAGAGCTCCTCTGCAGATTCGTCCAGGCCCGCCTGGTTCAAATGCTGATTACGCTCTTCATATAGCTGGCGTGCAGCTTCCCGGTGACAACGACGCATCGCATCGTTCTCAGCTTGGCCTCTCAGTGATAGAGCCTTCGCAGCTCGTGCGTCATTCCGATTCCAAGCTTGGGCGGCGCTGTTTAATTTGTTAACAAAACCCAGACCCCACAGACAAAGACCTGTGATTAGACATACCTCTGTAAGAATTTATTTCGCACAGTCCCGTGGCGAATTGCCTCTGTGCGATATTTAATATACTGCTGATTTGCCCGCGATCCGGTCTCGAGCCACGGGATATTCTGCGGAGCCGCGATCGACATAGCCGCAGCGCTGTTCTCGCGGCCCTTGGCGTCCTTGGCATTCTTGGACGATGATTTGCCTTTGCTGGGAGCCGGAGATGGTGTCATGCGTACAACATCTGCCATCGAGGAAGGAATGTTTTCTTTATTGATATCGCGACCATTGTGGCCGCCTCGCTTGCCATGATGCTTTTTGCCGGCATTCTTCGCACTGACGGCAGCAAGGGTGGGGAAGGCATCTGGATCATCGACAGACAGTGCTGTCGGGTTCAGCTCACGGTTCTGATGGCGGCTTGTTGGGCGTGAGTTCGGGCGAGTTATATTATTCATACTACCGTTGCGTCGGCCCATTCCCGGGTGAAGGCCTGGGGGGATGTTCTTGTTTTGCAGACCAGAGAGGTGCGCTGGATAGCGACTGCCATATGGACCCGTCCATTGATCTTCTAATCCAGTTGATGATTGCAGCGGTGGAAAAGCATCAGAGCCGCTGTCCATCTGGAAGGGGGAGCCTGCAGCCGGAGAAGCTGGTCGACTGCCGCTCGCGACACTAAGGTTGGAGATGAGAGCAGAGGGATCGTGTGAAAACGGACAGCCATCACCAGCCAGGCAATTGCCCATGACCCAGTATCTAAGATGGATTGATTAGTATCGTAAAGAGGGAATTATGACATGAGAATGAAGAAAACTTACTTGCACACATGACTGGTTAAATCATGGCTAAAGCGGCAATCTGCACGAAGACATTGCCCAGTAGATAGCCAATACTTGCAGACTACAGGACTGCGAGAGTGGCCTGAGGGGGTGACGGGACGAACTTGGTCCATTGCCATAGACTTCCCAACCACCACTCGGCCATCATCCTGTTTGGCAAAAATATCGGTATCTTGATCCTGCGAAAGCGCTGCAATCGTCGCCCCGAGGTCATAACTGTGGGCTTCAAGTGCGGCTTCGATTTCATCGTTGGACCGCCTATCACCTAAAACAGTGCGCAAAATGTCATGCGGGCTCATATCCGGTACGAACTCCGAAGCAGTAGCACTCAAAGATGCAGTATATCCAAACCCTCCAGTGGATGAAGTTGTACTATTTGCATCGTCTGCCACCAACCATTCAATATTGCTGTCGCTACCAAAATCTGCATAATATTCCGATATTTGACTTTGATCGGAGAACTCATATGCATTCAAATTTGGGGAGTGGGGGATTGGTTGTGCCAGTGCCAGTCGAGGAGACGGGCGTGGAGAGGTAAATGGGGAGACGGTTGAGGAGAGCGGAGGTCGGGAGAATGCCCCGCGCGAGCTCTGCACCCACGAGGTACTTCCGGGGCTGGTGCCCAGATTTGAGTGCGGCGATAACGGTGTGGATGAGCGCGCCATCTGCCATGGGGCAGGGATGATCGACGAATCACTGTATGACGAGCGGGCGGAGGTGATGAGTCGGGCAGCGAGCGATTCCGATGCCGCCATAGGATGTCCAGCACCGCATTTTCCAACGAAGACGAGGAGAGGGAGGTATTTGCCCGCAGAAAATCCTCCACCTTCTCCACCTGCTCTTCATCATCTAGAGCCTGATCCTGTAGGATCTCGAGACATTTCTCGAGAAGTTCTTCCGAAACCATGGTGTTGTAGAGGCGCGCGCGCAACGGGAAAGGGGAGGGATAAGCTGAACAGCCGCAGCGAACAACGACGGAGTCGGAAGGAAGAAGTCGAATTTCTCACGGTTGATGGCAGATCGGACAGGATCGATAACGAGCTAGCGATCGACGAGGAAAGGTCGTATGGGAAGAGTGAATTATTTTGGAGATGGGAGTTGCAAGTCACAGTTCCGGGTCCATATTCTCTGATAGGTGAACCAGGTCGAGGCCCGAGGACGGGCGATAAAGGGGGGAGGTGGGGGATGATGGAGGCGCAGAAAAGCAATGAATCGGAAGAAGGGCAGCCTTAGTTACATCGTAACCCTAGCCAGAAAAGGAGAAAGACAAAGGAGGCCAAAGGGAGATGGAGCGCAAACAAAGGAGGGGGGGGGAGGAGGAGGACGAGAGGCGGAGAAAGGAGATCAACATTGGCTTGTAGATGGGATGGAGACTGGAGACTGGAGACTCTGGATTGCAGCTGAACTGCGGCCCACCCGAACTACCTTTGACACTTAGTACTTATAGATGGGGAGTTAAGAGTTAGGAAATAATAAGTAAAATATAGTAAAGAAGAAAAGTATCAAAAGTATAATAAAATAAAATATATAGAAAAACCCAAACAAGCAAATTAGACATGGAATAGAAATGGAATTGTAGATCCCAGCCAACCAACTCACATACTAATCTCAAAAATGGTTCGATATCTTGGGCATCTGACACTTTATAAGTCTGAGGAAAGGTGTGATGGTTAAATTACCCTACTAAAATACAAAATACAAAATAAAAATAAAAATAAAGTAAAGGTAAATAAATATACCAGGAACCGTACTCCAAGGCATGGCAGAGTTGGAGCAGCCTATGGCAGCGCCCAGTAAAGCCTCGGGGCCCGGCGGATCCGCTTTGGGCCCAGTAACCACCGTGGACCTTTTTTTAACGGAGTACCTTAAGACAGCTTATTACTCCGGCCATTTGAGACATCTTAGGTTCTCCATCTTGTCTTTCTCGCCAACTTGGAACTTACGTCTATTTTCAGCCGTCCAGTACTCCAAGGTACCACCATCATCACCAGCACTACCACTGCCACTGCCATTACCACCACCACCACCACTACCATTCCCTCGTCCGCTCCACAGCGCCGATCGCCAGAGGTTCCTCCCCCGGATCCGATCCCTGTCCCATTTAATATCGTATCAACCTTGCCCCCTCTCTCCGTCTTCCCCTCCAAGCTCTTTGCCCACCATGCCCGCGGACTATGAGTCCACGGCACGGGCATTGGCACTCTCTGACTCGCCCCCTGATCCTCTCCTCGAATCCCCCAACAGCGATGATGAACACAACCAAGCGCCCTGGGCCAGACGCGATTCGTCCGCCCGCTGGTCCAACAACAACCAGGCCACCAACTTTCGGGACCGCACAATCAACCGCGCCAAAGCCGCCTATAGCATGGCCAAGGAACGCTGGGAGACCATGACCCTCTGGCAAAAAATTGGTTTCTACGCAGCCTCCTTTGGAGTCGGTGCACTGGGTATTGGTTTCATGATCTTGACCGGCAAGCTCTTCGGCTGGCTGGGACCCGTCGCCCACAAGTGGGAGCATTCTTTCCTGGTCGCATTTGTCCTATGGCTCTGCGTCTTTTTCGTCTCCTTCCCTCCATTGCTGGGTTGGTCGACGTTTGGAACGGTGGCGGGATTTATCTTCGGTCTGTGGAAAGGGTAAGCTAAAAGCCGAAAGTCGCTGGACCCTGTTGGACCCTGGCGCGCATCTTCCCCGGATCGAAACCACCACCCCACGCTAACATCCCAATCTTCTAAACAGATGGATTATTTACACTACCGCAACCGTTCTCGGTTCCACGGCCTCATTCTATGTATCGCGTACTGTGCTCTCGGGATTTGTGAACCGTCTCATGGAACGTGACAAGCGATTTGCCGCCTTATCGCTAACCTTGAAGTATGACGGCCTGAAGCTTCTTTGCATGATTCGTCTGTGTCCGCTGCCTTACTCGATTTGCAACGGAGCTATTTCTACAGTTCCAACTGTCCAGCCTTTGATGTATGGACTGGCCACTGCGATCATTTCTCCAAAGTTGCTTGTGCCTGCGTTTGTGGGGAGTCGCCTACGACTTCTCTCCGAGAAGGGTGAGGAAATGAGCACAGGCTCCAAGGCCGTAAATATCATCAGCATTCTTGTCACGGTGTCTGTTGGAATTTTCACTGGATACTATATCTACAACAGGTTGGTCATTCCTTGGACCCTTTTTATTCCTGTTTTCCCCCACGTTTTGTGATGGCATTTGGCTAACATGAATCCGTTTGTCCCTGCAGGACATTGGCCCGTGCGAAAGAACTCGAGGAGAAAGAGCGCGCCGAGATCAGAGGATCTCTTCAGTCCGATCATGCCGCCAATCGTCCGCATGGCAGATTCTCCGACGACGATGACGCCAATGAGGCTGCAACAATGCTGGCTCGGGACGAAGAGGAGGGCATTGGGTTTGAGCATGACGACGACCGTGTTGACCTCGCACTCGGGGATGACAGTGACAGTGATGGTGACCGATCAAGGCGGTGGAAGAAGAAGGCCAACCGACGGTCTTACCATGATGAGTTTACGGATAATGACTCGGACGAGTATGTGGGTGATGCCAGTGAGACGTACGGGCTGCATAGCCACGTTGGGCGGCAGGCCTGAAATCTTGAGTAGAATAAATTTTGCATCGCATCATATTTAAGATATTTTTCAGATAATAGACTGTACCATCTCAGATCACATCGAGGCGTATTCGCTGCAGTATTGCATACCTCATACCTCTGGTAGTCGTCAAGAGTCGAGAGCGAAGGAGACCGAGGGCGGCCGGAAGCGGACTGAGAAATACGCGCCCCGAGGAACTCGCGACTTCTCCAAGTCCTGCCATCCACCCCTCCCTTCGCGCATGCCAATTGGGTCGCCTCGATTTGATGCCAGTCGGATTCTTAATCAGCGAGAGGTCTACGCTTGCTGGGGGAAGTCGACTGGCTGTTCTGGTTTGTATGTACCCCCGACCCCTCGCTTCCTCCCTGTGCAATATCTATGCCGGACCGAAAAAGGAAGATGAAAAAAGAGATGCCCCATTACCACGCATCTCCCTAGATGTTAGCTGTGTCTAATTTCGAAATATAGATATACTCGATCGTTGACAATTCTTGCCTCTCTTCTATGCAACTTGATACAACTCAACATGGTTGAACATCGGTGGCTGTGGTGACGCCTGATATTCAATTCGTGTGGGGTTTCGTATTGCCGGCCCTCTTGTGGTATCCTTTGCCATCACCAATTGTTAGAAGATCTACGGGGTCTTCTATCTGGTAGATGAAAATGGAGTTCCATCCAGTCTCTCCTTCCGCCTCCCATTCCTCCTTGAGGGCGCCATCTTATAATCTGCCGACGTTGAACATGGACGGCTCGGCGCCAATGGCCTACCACGATATATCGGGAGAAACCTCAAATCAGGGCGGAAACATCAGTCAAGTTGCTCAAAATGATGTTTTATTTACAACGGGAACAAAGCAGACCATGCCAGATCGATTCGAAGCTTCCGAACCACCTGTAAAACGGCTTCGAACATCTGACGGTCCGCTGACCCAAACTCATCAGTCATTTCCCGTAGAGGAGCAGACACAGGCTGCCAGCTCTAGCGCTCTGCCGCCTCCTCCTGGGCTGACTGGCCCTTGCAAAAATGGCAATATCCAGGGCGATATATATGGGAACAGCAGTACTCCCAACGAGTCCACCGCTTCGATGTCCCTTACCTCGTCATATCAAACCGCGAAGTCTACATCGCCTCCAACAACACCCGGACAATCCACCTCTACTCCTACGCACACTGCGGGCGTGAGCATATTAGAGAGCAACAAGGTTGATTTATCGAAATGTCGACCGCGAAGTTCCATTCCATCAAGGCTTGCGCCGTCTATTTATGCTCAACAGTGTGTCGCTGCGGCATATGCATCTCGGTTAGATCCCTATGCACTACACAGGAAGGAACAGGAAGCATTGCAAGATCAGCTTTGTCACGTGCACGTCACACTCTACTTGAACATTCGGAATGGGATTCTCCGGCTCTGGACGGTGAATCCCATGGTCAGTATAACCCGTGAAGAAGCGATAGGATGTGCCAAAGATTATCGTTGGATGAATTTGGCTTCTTTCGCATACGACTGGTTGTCACGGAAAGGATACATCAATTTCGGGTGCGTGGAGGTCCCAACACCCCCAGTCGCTCCCAGGCGAGGTAGACGCAAAGAAGGGCCCACTATTGTGGTTATTGGAGGTGGAGTAGGAGGACTGGGCTGTGCTCGACAGCTAGAAGGACTCTTCCGTCATTATCGTGATGCCGACACTGCTCCACGCGTCATTGTACTCGAGGGACGTCGCAGAATTGGCGGAAGGGTGTACTCGCATCCTCTACGGAGTCTCGAGTCTGACATGCTTCCTCCTGGACTCACACCCAAAGCAGAAATGGGTGCACAGATCATTGTTGGCTTTGATCACGGCAATCCTCTTGACCAGATTGTGCGTGGCCAATTGGCACTCCACTATCACCTGCTACGAGACATCTCGACGATTTATGACATTGATGGTTCACCGGTTCATGAGGTTCAAGACGCTATGGATGAAAAGTTATACAATGATGTTTTGGACCGCACGGGGGTTTACCGTAGCAAAACACTTGTCTCTCCCACTGCGGAGGGAGACCACGATATGATTGATAATGGTCGTGAGTCTTTGGTGGACGACGGTCTCAATGTACGACAATACGAAGAGGCGCGCGCAGCAGGAACCATCGATTCTCTCGTTCCCACAAAGAGAGTGCGTCGACGTCGCGGCGTTGGACACAAAACGGCTGATCTCCAACCAAATCCTGATGTTGTTGGTGATCTCATGAGCCCCTCCAAGGAGCATCCAGCTGCCCTTACTTGTCAGGCTACTGGGTGGACTTTGAACCCCGGGATTTCTCCTCGGGAAACCATCAATCTAGATCCCATCGCCAGTGCTTCACAAATGCAGACCCTTGGAACAGTAATGAATGAAGGTGTGCAGCAGTATCAGCGCATGCTTCCGCTCACGCCCAAAGATTTGCGACTTTTGAATTGGCATTTCGCAAACCTCGAATACGCAAACGCAACAAATGTTGACAAACTCAGCCTTTCAGGTTGGGATCAGGATATCGGCAACGAGTTCGAAGGGGAGCACTCGACTGTGATTGGAGGCTACCAGCAATTGCCATTTGGGCTCTACTCTCTACCTACGAAGCTTGATCTCCGCACCAACAAAATTGTGAAGAAGATTACCTACGATGCCACCGGATCCGGAAAGAAAACAGTCGTTGCGTGCGAGGACGGGGAGAAATTCGCGGCAGACCATGTCGTATACAGTGGCTCACTTGGAACCCTCAAGCATAAAGCGGTGGAATTCGATCCTCCCCTGCCAGAATGGAAGACAGGGGCAATCGATAGACTTGGATTTGGTGTTATGAACAAGGTGGTCTTGGTGTTTGACGAGCCCTTCTGGGATACTGAACGAGATATGTTTGGTCTGCTTCGTGAGCCTAGCAACCCCGAAAGCACTGTACAAGAGGACTATGCAGCCAATCGGGGTCGTTTCTACCTATTTTGGAACTGTCTGAAAACCACCGGACTGCCAGTTTTGATAGCCCTCATGGCAGGCGATGCCGCTCACCAGGCCGAAAATACGCCAGATGGCGAGATCATCACCGAAGTCACTGGTCAACTTCGCAATGTCTTCAAAAATACCGTCGTTCCGGATCCCATCGAGACTATCATCACTCGCTGGGCCTCTGATCCCTTTACCCGAGGCAGCTATTCCTATGTGGCCGCCGAAACCCTACCTCAAGACTATGAACTGATGGCACAACGAATCGGCAACCTCTACTTTGCAGGCGAAGCTACCTGCGGCACACACCCTGCAACTGTTCATGGAGCCTATCTCTCGGGACTCCGTGCAGCCTCCGAAGTAATCGAGTCCGTGGTCGGTCCCATCGAAGTCCCCACTCCCCTCGTACCGGAGAAACAAAACAACACACCCAACGAACCAACCGCCACAGTCGTCGAGCCAAAATCCGAACCAACCACCATGACCACCCCATCCCGCGTCTCGACAGACAAACAACGCCGTGAAACCTACGACCAGGCAATGTGGACAGCCATCTACGCCGAGATCGGCGCAATGCCCACCCGCCCCGCAAAAGCCGGCCTCAACCCATTCCTTCTATACCAGAAGGACTACTGGGCCAAATGCCGCGACCAATGCGACGAGACCAAACGAGTCTCCAGCAAGAACCCAGCTGCAAAGGCTGGCCGTGATGAAATCCGACACGCCCTCGGCCAGATGTGGCGCAATGCTGCACCGGAAGAGAAAAGGCCGTATCTAGAACAGGTTGAGGCCAATCGGCGGAATAATGATGAGTCGTGGGATTCTTGGAAGGCGGTTGCTTTGGAGTGGGAACGGAGGTCTTATGAGGTCAAGGATCAGTGGTGTGCGGCGAATCCATTTGAGCAGTGGGAGACGCCTTCATAGAAATTCTTTGACACATGTATAAATGAACGGAGGCCAATTGCTCTGCTTTTGCTTTATTTTTTTGGAGGGGGGTTTATGTTTTATTACTATGATAGGTTTTGAATGGGGTAACTATAGTTACCAGTTGCTTCAAACTTGAAGTGTTGCTGTCTCCGAGTCTTTGATTGCACAAGCTTAGTACTAGTAGTACTATCATTGCTCGTAAGGCTACTATTTAGAGGATTACTAGTAAGTTTAACAGGAGTCTTATACTATTAATATCTACTAATACTTTCCAAGTCTGAGTTAGAACAGACTTAATCGGAGCTCGCCGATTTCCAAGGTTCTCTCTTCGTGAAACCCTAGTCTGAACTTAATACGATTGTACTACATTCAGGATCTACTGGCGGGTATTGATCAGGGAATATCATCTATTTCTATATCTATGGGCACCGAAACCAACGCAAACGAGGCTGATCTATAAGAAGAATCGCTCGAAAATCGTAGATCAACCCAGACACCCAATGTATCAAAGAAAAAAAGGTAAGAAAAAAAAAAGCAGAACAATGTGGCAGTAGCAAGTAAAGGGAATCCGTCAACCATGATAGGAAAAGAAAATATGCACAGGGAATCGAGACTCAGATCGCAAACAGAGACAGATGTGTAGAAAAGCAAGTGAAATCTTTCTAAACGGGATTATCTGCAGTGCAGGCTAGAATCATGAGAGGGCTGTAATGGGAGGGTCGTGTGTATGGAGGTGAAGGAGGCAGGGAGGAAGGAGGAGAGGCAGAGGTAGTATGCATTTAGAGAGAGGCGTGGGACTCGCCACCCTCAGAGATGAACTTCTCGGCATCCATAGCGGCAACGCAACCCGTGCCGGCACTGGTGATGGCCTGGCGGTAACGCTTGTCCTGGACATCACCGCAAGCGAAGACACCCTCGATGGAGGTGTAGCTGGTACCGGGCTGGGTAACAATGTATCCATCCTCGTCGATCTTGAGCTGCTCCTTGATGAGAGCGTTGGCAGGGTCGTGGCCGACGGCGTAGAACAGACCGTTAGCATCGACAATCTCCTCCTGGCCGCTGGTAGTGTCCTTGATGCGGAGGTGGGTCATCAGGCCGTTGGGCTTGTTCTCACCAATGACCTCGGTGGCGACGGTGTTGAAGCGGACAACACACTTGGGGTGAGCGAGTAGACGGTCGGCCATGACCTTGGTGGCACGGAGCTTGTCACGACGGACAAGAACGGTGACAGTGCTGCCGTACTTGGCCAGGAACATAGCCTCCTCGGCGGCGGAGTCACCACCACCGATGACGTACAGGGGCTTGTTGCGGAAGATGGGCACAGCACCGTCACAGACCGCGCAGGCACTGATACCGTTCTGCCAGTAGGTCTCCTCGCCGGGCAGGTTCAGACGACGGGCGTTGGCACCGGTAGCGATGATGACGGCGTCAGCGGTGCGGACGGGCTCGCTGCCGGGGGCGTCGTTCCACTCGGTCCACATCTTGAAGGGACGCTGGGAGAGGTCCAGCTTGGAGATGGTCTCGGTAATGACCTCGGTGCCGAAGCGCTCTGATTGCTTGCGCATCCTCTCCATCAGCTCCTGACCGCCGACACCGTCGGGAAAGCCGGGGAAGTTCTCGACATCGGTGGTGGTGGTGAGCTGGCCGCCGGCGGCGGTGCCATTGGCGAGCATACCCTCATACAGGATGGGTTCAAGTTCAGCACGCGACAAGTAGATGGCGGCAGTGTGGGCGGCGGGGCCCGATCCGATAACTGTGGGCAAAAGTTCATTAGCCTATGGTCCGCGGAACATGCATGCCTCCAAATCGGAGAGAATCGGGAAACCGAGGGTTGGACAACTTACTGACGACCTTGGAGTGAACCATTCTGGCGGTGTTCATGCAATTGCCGCGCGCGGGCGTCGATAGGGAGTTGGAAAAGACCGAGGTAGGAGGGGACTGTTGGTGAACAGTCGAGGCCGCAGCGGCAGTGAATCCAAGGGATCGGAGAGCGGAGGGGAAACGGCGAAAGGCGGAGGAAAACAGCTTGAAGGTATTTCTCGGGGAGAAGGAGAGAATATAAAGGGCTTTTTTTCCTTAGGAATTGAGGGGGGGGAGGAGGAGTGGAGACTTGACAATGAGATCAGGGCAATTTTCTGTGTTTTTCGACCCAAATTAATCATTTGCCCGCGTCGAGGCCCCTCGCTTTCTAAGCACCAGGCACGTGACCAGGTCGAGACCTGCTAAGGTAATCCCATACATACATCACATCACATCACCTCACTTTACAGGAGGGGTTCCGTGTCCGACGAAGCTAACTACTGATTAGGTGTGGATCGAACTACATAGATCGTAAATTACGAGTACACTGTACGGATTACGTTCAAGATGATCTTCTAGATTCCTCTGGCGATTATGTGGTCACCTCTTACGGCGCACTCGGCTCGGTATCACGCCATAGTGAGGCTCCCCACCGAGGGCGGTCTAGGGCTGATCACTCAGCAATGATTAGATGCATGTGGAGCCGACCTGCACTGTGAAAAGAACGTTCTATATTTCAAAGCTTATTATGATTTAGTCACTAATCACCATATCTTGCTGCAGAAAAAATCAAATTGCATTATCCGGCGGAGAAATCACATGCTAAATCGCAGATATCCGGCTATCTAAAAAAAAAAGGTCATACAGATCGTAAGGAGAACCCTCGAAGGGTACCCAAGCGTAAATCATCATAGTGTACAGAACAATCAAAGCATTCCAAACCACTTTTTCTTGCGTGGTGCTGGTTCTTCATCTGAGAAAGAGTAATCATCCTCCCCCCTCAGTGGGGGATGAGTCGTCGACAAGAGCATGGGGAGGCAATCTCTGAGGCACCTCTCCCTCTGAGTCCTCATCGCTGCCAGGATATCCCTCATACTGATGGGACGCAGCAGCATTGGCCCGGGTATTGTTGATGGTGTCGTGGTCTTCAATATCATCGGCATCTTCATCGCTGCCTTCATCATCATCTTCTGCTTGCTGGGCCCAGGAGGCCTTCTTTCTGCGCGGCACATTCAACCACTTGCGCCAGCCCTTCTTGACCTGCGTTGGGGCCGGGTCATCTTCGTTTCCTTCGTACTGGAGAGCAGGAACTAGGAGCTTGTATGGGACTGTGATGCCGGAAGGGTCTTGAGGGTTGACTTCCATATTCAATGTAATCGCCAATCCTCTTTCAAGGTTGACAAAAGCGCCAGCACCATCGTCTCCTTCCTTAGCTGATCGCTTGGCGGCCTTTTCGCTCAGATTGGTTGGTCGGCGGTGGAAGACGCCAGGCTGTGGCTCTTGCAATGTTCCGGGGAAGTAACTATCACCACCCTCCATGGGCCGAGGAACAGAGGAATCGACACTGGAGCGGCGAGCAAGAACCTTTTGGTTTCGTCCGAAACTCATGGTTCTTGTTGGGGGCGGGCCCTTCGTCGATAGTCGTCGAAGTAGTCCAGGCTTGCCGCCTGGTCCCTTGTCACCCCTTCCGAGAGATAGAGTGCGCTGGAGCATACCAGGACGGGGCTCGGATTCTTCTGGAGTTTCTGGCTCGGGTGTGCTGCCTGGGGTTGATCCCGGGATATATTCTCGAATCGAGCACCAGTTTCGTCGTGGAAGCAAGCGCTTGTTGTTTCGAGATTTGCCATTCACGTCCTGCGTGAAGATGGGAATTATATCCTCGTCCGTGTTGGAATCTATGTGGTGCACCGTGTTGCGTTTATTGAGAGTATCTGAAATAATCTCCGTCTCTGGCATGTCAGCAATGGCCGAAGAGATGATGTTCGGCATATAGCGGTAGTCCCGGTCCTTCGCAACGTCAAGCTTAGGGTTGGAATAGAATTGGCCGATTGCAGCAAGGTGGACATCGCCACTGTAGGATACGTATTAGCATGCGTTCAGACGAAATGAGAATGAAATGAAGTCATACCTGAGAATGGTCACCCGAACGGACTTTTCCGCGGCAAGATCTTGGAGATCTTCAACTAGCCAGGTTCTTTCGGACTTGAGATGCTTTCCGGCCCAGTGGTCATCATATACCTCCACGTTGCCACCAGATCTGTTGACGAGTCCTCCGATCATGCCTGCTTTGCCAATGGATTTACGGCTGTTCATGAAGTTTTTGAGCATAGCCTGGCGTTATGGTTAGATCGGATTTTCATTTAGAGAAGCGCATAAGCAGGAACTCACCACTCGAGGGTACGCGATAGGAACACTGGAAAGAACGATTAAATGTTTAGTCTCTCCTCTGACAATCTCCTGATGGCAGCGGTCCCAAATTAGGTCACAGGTAGCCTCAGCAAGGACCTCGTTGCTCTGTAAATCAATTAGCGGATATCCTTTCTGGCAAATCGTATGATAATCTTACCCTTCGCTCGGTTCGACAATCCAGGCCCAGCAAAACAACATCACTACCAAGAGACATGAACAAGTTTCGACTTCTCTGCTCAATGTAGGGGCCTGGCTGGGCGCCAAGAAGCCAACTAGGCTCTTCAATCTCCGTCTCATCTGGAACACTGTGGTGCTGGAATAGTAAATAATACTTGAACGCAATCTTTCCAAGACCTGAAATGACGGCGCTCTGCATGAATTCTTCATGGTAAGACCCGAACCCTTCGAAGATTTCATGATCATTCCACATGTTGATCATCGGGATTTGAGAGTTGGCGAGAGAAAAGAGGCCCTGTGAGAACCAGGCCGCGTAGCGCTGCAGGTAGAACTGCTCGAGCTCGGCACGGAATTCAGGAGTAAACGGAGCACTATATCTTTCCGCAGCGTTTTTGATCTTGATCCATTCCTGGAAAAAGACCGATTCAGTCATGACTGTATCATTAAATATCTGGTCACCTCCACCAATCATCACATGGAATGGTCGAGTCTGGTGCTCGTTCAAAATATCTCGCCAGAGAGGATCGGGTCCGCAGAAACGATTTGAGTCGACGGAGGGACCAAATCCATTGCCGCTGTGGAACATGATGTTCATCGGCTGGCCTGCAGCCGGAACCCAGAAGCCCAGTGCTGGTCCACGGTTAATTCTGTATGCAATTCGTTGTTGGGTTGAGCCAAGCTCGACCTCGAGATTGAACCTCCAAAAGGTCACATCTCTAGCAGAGTCAGCGTAGAGGCGGACGCCGGGAATATCACGGTGTAACCCTGCCGTTTCGCCATCAACGGAGTTGATTCGGTTTGCAGGAATTGGTTGCTTGGAGCCCCCAGGGTTGTCGTCTATCTGACTGGGTGACAGTTCATATATGCCGTCATCATTTTCCACCGAAGATAAGTCGACTTCTTCCTCCAGGTGGTCAACTGGCTTGACATAGAGAGGTCGTCCGTCTCGTCCAACCTTCATAAGACCGGCAGTGGGGTCGATATATTCAGGAGCCAGTTCTTCCCCGCTGACTTCGGCTGGCGGAGGAGGAAGAAGGTCCATGGGCTGAGAAAACAGGCGCAATGAAGGCGGCGTATCGTAAGAAGAGCGGGTGTCCTTCGTGACGATCAAAATAGAACCTCGCCATATGTCCTTCTCGACAGTACCATGCACGCCATCAACTTTGAACTTCTTAATACCTGTGTACCGGAGCAGAGGACCACATCTGAGGAACAGTTTTGGTTCGAAGTTTTTACTTTCAGTGACACCTGTTCAACATTAGCTTCCGTTATCTATTTCACGCCACAACCCAGGGTTGAAGTTGAAAGGCTTACCTGTCAATTTTTGAGCCGGGGTCTTGTAGTTTTTGGGTAAGGCTCTGCTCTTTCGACGATCGGTGGTGCCGCCTCCTTCCCACCACGCTTTGCTTCGATCCATATCCATATGCTGGAAATCAAAGTCTGTTGATCCAAGCTGAGCGACCGGCGCATTTTTCCACTCGAAAATCGGCGGAGGGGTCGGTGGCGGCACATTGAAAGACACCGTCTGTCGCTTTTTGGTGTGAGATTCGACGCTATCATGAGCCGTTCGGGCTGCTGGAGGTGTTTCTAGCCTTTCGTTGCTCAAAATAACATCTGCGGGTTGCATTGGCGCAGTAGGGCCCCTTTGGGCAAGGGACTGACTACGCACAGGCTGTTTCCCAGCAGGCCCATTCTTTGCTGAGGGTCCGCTCACTGTGATTGATCTTCGAGGCACATTGCCTAACTTTGCAGACTGCGGGATAATATCTTCGGCCTGTGCGTACTGAGCATTTTCAGGACTGCGAACGGCCGGGTATTGAGGACTGTTCACTTCATTTTGATGACGCCCAGGAACAGCAAATCCACCATGGTGTCGTGGCCCCGCTTTTGGTGCATCAGTCGTCGATTCTTCAAGGACGACATTCTTCCTCTCTCCTTTTCTAGCAGGACCGGGGGCTGCATGGTTGTTTGAAGGCACTTTCTGCTTCACGTTTGGTTGGGGAGCAGTAGCTGCTGCCTGTACCTTTGCCTCCGCTTTCTCACGCTCGATCTTTTTGCGGGCCATGCGCTCTCGCAATCGCATCTCAGCTTCTTGCATTCGCGCCCGTTTTTCTTCCTTGGTGATTCCAGAAAGGGTCACCTCGAGCTTTTGCAAGGGCGAACGGTCCGATGCCCATTCTTTGCGAGGTCCATTTGTAGAACGGACAGTGTTTGATCGGCTCGGGGGTGACGGCAGGCTCGCTGGCGCGGTGGGAGCTTCGAGCTTCGGCTCTTCATTCTGTTGCGTGTCTTGGATATATTCCGCGGGTGGGAGGCCCCGAGGCGTGGTTGATTCCTCTGTTAACCCCGGTGGTGTTTGTAGTGTAGACCTGCGAGTTGTATAGTTTGATTCATCGGCCGGGAAATCTCGGGCACGAGCAGAAAAGGATCGACCGGCCTGGCCAGATGATCGAGCAGCAGCAGTGGCCTTAGGCGCGGAACGTGGATATCGACGTTCTGCTGCTGTAGGCTCGTACGTCGGCTCATCTTCATAGTCCATCGTCGCTGGACCGGCTACCGACTGTCTGCGACCCGAAGCCGAATTGGTACCATTGGGATTCTGGTGATTAGAATTGCCATTTGCCATGTCAGGCGAGTCGCGCATTGCAGCGGCGGCCATTTATTTCGTTATTTTTATCTCTCGCGGAGAGAACCAGTCAATCGGCGAAACTTGTTCGGTGGATCCAGCTAAACAACGGTTCTGGTTAACTCTATAACTCGCAAAGCCATTGTTTTGAAGGGCAGGAAATATTCGGAGAAGCAAGAAATTCGACTTACATTCTTCAGTCCAGCCCTTTTACTTCTTCTGAAACGTGGGCGCAATGTCGCTCTGTCTGGTGCCTAACGTAGACTCACCACCTCCTCGCCCGAGATCGGGTTGCACGCGGGTGTCGCAGTCTCTTGAGCCTGAGCTATTGAGTAGCGAAAGGAGAAGAAAGCCCGATATGACTCGAGGGCGATCGTGCAATTGCAGTGAAGATTTGGGAGAAGGAAGAAAAGAGGGGAGGGGAGGGCGTACGGAGTGCTAGTAGAGTATAGGGCAACTCTCAACTCTGGTGGCTGGGGAGCAGCCCCAGCCTTCGCGGGGGTCCACCGTCATTGGGCGACGTGTGTAATTGGAGATTTACTGGAGAATACTTCTCCTACGGAGTACAGTAGTAAAATAAGAAAAGACAAATTAAAAAAATGGAAGTAAATTCTGACATGTTCCAGATGCAGAGGAGAGTAGTTTATTTACTATGTCTTCTATGTCTACTATGTACTCCGTCTCCGTATCCGCACTCTAACCACGCCGTATACATCTACCTGACACTCGTATACTTCTAGACCAGTGGAGCTCCAAGGCACAATGCTCATGCAAGGACTCGCAGGCTAGTGGTGTCCTGCCTAATGTATATCATGTACAATACTCGCACTCGTACTCCATTAACTCAACAACTCTCGCTGTTACTATTTCTAGACGCCCAATACGAAGTTGGCCAATGAACTCGCTACGTAAGCCAAGGCAAGGCCGCGACCGTAGTCTCTCTTGTCTCTTCTCTGCTACCTCTTTGTCTCTAGCTGGAACACCCCTGGTCAATACCAATCTGGCCAGCTATCCTCAGAACCAAAGACAAAAACCTACAGAAACGGGGCTGCATATGCTGGATCATCAGCGTCCCGTGTTATTACTGAGTGGCCCCCCCGACGATCCTCCTATTCTCCCTCAACGCAACTCGAACTCAACTCAACTCTGCTCGCCACTGCCCCCATCTTCTCCCCCTTCCAACCTCCCCTTTCTCTAGGGTACGCATTTCTTTTGTCTTTGAAAGAAACCGGATATTGTTCATGGCAGCTGCGCCTTTGATCCCTTACTCGTCTTCGTGAAGAGCGAGTGCTTCCACCCACCCCATTCATCATGCGTGTCGCCAGCGCCATCGCTGTGGCCTTGAGCCTCGCCGGCGCAGCCTCCGCCAACGTTCACCCTCGCGCCATCGAATCCCGCGAGTTTTTCGCTCTCCATCTCGACGATGATACCCCTCCCTCCCATATCGCAGACGCCCTCGGTGCACGACATGAAGGCCAAATCGGTGAACTGGCCGGCCACCATACCTTCTCGCTCCCCAGAGAACAAAGCGACGATTTCAATGCCCTCCTAAACGGACTCCGATCGAAGCGAAACCTTCGGCGACGAGGAGAGCCCGTGATTTCTGCCCGAAGTGCCGACCCTCTAGATGGTATTCTATGGTCGGAGCAGCTTGCCCGCCCAAGGCAACGACTACACAAGCGCATCCCACCTCCCATGCCCAAAGTCGATCGTCGATTTGCAGCAGAGAGTCAAATCAAACCTTCTGAAGCCCAATCCGAAATCATGCATACCTTGGGAATCACCGATCCCATCTTCAAGGATCAGTGGCACCTTTTCAATCCCCTTCAACCGGGCCATGATCTCAATGTCACAGGCCTCTGGCTCGAGGGCGTGACAGGTGACGGTGTAGTGACGGCCGTCGTCGACGATGGGTTAGACATGTATAGCAATGACCTCAAGCCCAACTACTTCGCCGAGGGCTCATGGGATTACAACGCGGGTTCTCCGGAGCCACGCCCTGTTCTTTCCGACGACAAGCACGGCACCCGCTGCTCGGGAGAAATCGCTGCTGCGAAGAATGATGTGTGTGGAGTTGGCGTGGCGTACGGCAGCAGGATTGCGGGCATTCGAATTCTGTCCGCCGCGATTTCGGATGAGGATGAAGCGGCATCCATCAATTACAAATACCAACATAACGACATCTACTCCTGCTCTTGGGGCCCCATGGATGACGGCAAAACTATGGACGCCCCAGGAATGCTTATCAAACGAGCAATGGTCAATGGTGTGCAGAAGGGTCGGGATGGAAAAGGCTCGGTCTTTGTGTTTGCGGCCGGCAACGGTGCGACATATGATGATAATTGCAACTTCGACGGGTACACCAACAGTATTTACAGCGTCACGGTCGGTGCCATCGACCGAAACGGAGACCACCCAACGTATTCCGAGTCATGCTCGGCCCAGCTGGTGGTTGCGTATAGCAGCGGAGGCAGCAGCGCGATCCACACAACTGACGTTGGTACCAACCAATGCTACTCCGGGCACGGTGGTACCTCTGCGGCTGGTCCACTCGCCGCAGGCTCTATCGCTCTTGCCCTCAGTGTTCGGCCCGACCTCACATGGCGTGATATCCAATATCTGATGGTAGAGACTGCTGTCCCGGTCCATGAGGATGATGGAAGCTGGCAGAAGTCTCCCTCTGGCCGCATCTTTAGCCACGATTGGGGCTTTGGAAAGGTCGATTCCTATGCGTTGGTTCAAAAGGCTCGCGACTGGGAACTTGTGAAGCCTCAGGCCTGGTACCACTCGCCCTGGCTGCGTGTTCACAATGACATCCCTCAGGGTTCCCAGGGATTAATCAGTCGGTACACAGTGACTGGCGATCAAATGAAAGATGCCAACTTTGCCCGAGTCGAGCACGTGACGGTAACAATGAATGTCAACCACACTCGTCGCGGTGACCTAAGCGTGGAACTGCGCAGTCCCAGTGGAATTGTCAGCCATCTCAGTGTTACCCGCAAATACGATGATGTAAAATCTGGATATGAGGACTGGACATTTATGACCGTTGCTCACTGGTATGTTTTCATCTTCTGTCTCTATCTCCCTTTAACTAAACGACTAACCTGGATTTTAGGGGCGAGTCACCTTTGGGCGAATGGTCAGTCATTGTCAAGGATACCATTGTCAATGAGCACAGCGGTCAGTTCGTCGACTGGAGACTCAATCTCTGGGGAGAGGCTATCGATGGAACCGATCAGCCCCTTCACCCATTGCCCGATGACCATGACCATGACCACCCATACGAGGAAGCCCATGTGGCGACAACCTCTGTTCAACCTGGGCCGACGAAGACCGCTACTCCCACAAATCCTGACGACCATCATGACAGGCCTATCAACCAGAAGCCTTCCCAATCGAGCGAGGCATACCCCGCGGTAGAGTTGGATGCTACTGAGACTGATGCTGCCAGCACAACCGCAAGCGCGACTCCTACTTCCACTGCCGCCTCGGACAGCAAATTGGCCCACTTCTTGCCTTCATTTGGTGCTTCGAAGAGGACTCAAGTCTGGATTTATGCGTCTTTGGCCATGATTATTGTTTTCTTCATTGGTTTGGGTGTCTACTTCCAGCTCCAACGCGTCAAGCGTCGTCGCACCAGCGCTCAGGATGACTACGATTTTGAAATTATTGAGGATGAGGATGAGATGCATCCGATGGCCGGTGGCGCTGGTCGAACCCAGCGCCGCGGTGGTGAACTGTATAACGCATTTGCTGGCGAAAGCGACGAAGAGCTGTTTAGCGAAGATGATGACGATGAGCCTTATCGTGATGGGCTAACCAGGATCTCTGAGAAGGATGGTGAGGGCGAAGACGACTCGCCCGGTAGCCATCTCTTGTCGGAAAAGAAGTAGTGTGATTTTTCTGTTGTCGTGCATTTCTTTGCATTGGGTCTGGGCTGTGTCATTTATGTTATATGGGGACATATTGAACTAGGGCAAGTCCGTGTTTATGTTTGTGTTTGGGGATTAGATCGGATCGGCTGCCTGGCGTCCATGTACATCTTACCACGAAAGGAATGCAAAAAGCATTCTGTGCATAATGAAGAGAAGAATCAAAGGATCCCTTCCCACAATACACTCTTTTCATTCCGTAAATCAAACCTTACATACTCAAACTTTGCACAATATAAGCTGTACCAAACACCTAACCTTGTATCTATGGTAGCCACCCCTCCGATGACGACGGTGCCGCACTCGGGACTCCGCCTTGGGGTTCGACGATCACCAGCTTCCCAGCTCCTCCCGCCTCCACCTCCGCCCCCCCATTTTGCGTTCCCCCATCACCTCCGATCCTTCTAATCCTCGATACCTCGTTACTTTTGCTCTTTGACGTTGATCATCAAGACATTTCCGTCGGGCGACCACGGTTGACCGACCGCCCTTCCCCCGCGATGGATCAACACGACGACTTCGACAGCGTCTCCTGGAAACACGATGCAGACAGCGATGTCTCGCGACCGACAACTTCCGGAACAGACGCAGAAGCACCACCGACCTTTGATCATGACACCAATGGCAAGCGAAGGATGAGCTCAGCTCACGAAGAGCCCCAGGCTGGCGCGCTGGCCGACGCCGTCGACCTGGCTGGCATCGGAGACGGTGTGCTCGAGTGCAGAGTTGATACACCTCTCAAAGAGAATGAAGGCACAAAAGATACATACATTTCGTACTTGGTTACAACGAGTGTGAGTACTGGCCCCTCGTGGGGATTACAAGAAATCTGCGATGTGCGAAGCGGCACTGCTGCCTGTGCACCTCGGGAGCCCCCATCAATGTCGCATACAGTTCACTTCTAATATCATGGCTTTACAGACCGATTTCAAGTCATTCCAGAAATCCGAATTTAGCGTACGACGACGATTTACAGATTTCTATTTTCTGTATAAGACCCTCTACCGCGAATACCCAGCATGCGCCGTCCCCCCACTCCCAGACAAACACAAGATGGAGTACGTCCGAGGAGACCGGTTCGGTCCGGAATTCACTACACGACGAGCTTGGTCGTTGCATCGATTTCTAAAACGCTTGACCCTGCACCCAGTACTTCGTCGAGCACCTCTTCTCATCATCTTCCTGGAATCGCCGGACTGGAATGCCCATGTAAGGCTGCATGGTAACCGCACCACCGTGAATGCCACCACAGACAATGCGAGTACGGGCATCTTTGATAATTTCACAGACAGCTTCGTCAACGCGTTCACCAAGGTCCACAAGCCGGATCAGCGCTTCATCGAGGTCAAGGAAAAGGCCGATAAGCTGGACGAAGATCTTTCGCATGTGGAAAAGACCGTGGCGCGGGTCGCGCGGCGAGAGTCCGACCTGGAGACTGATTACACAGAGCTAGCGACGCAGTTCCGCAAACTCGTTCCTCTCGAGCCGGCGGTGGAGATGCCGTTGCAGGTGTTCGCGGCTTCCGTGGAAGAGACCGCTCGTGGGGTGCGTGGATTAAAGGATCACACCGATCAGAATTATTTGGGTTCGCTGCGCGATATGGATGCCTACATCATGTCTGTCAAGACTCTTCTCAAGACTCGCGAACAAAAGCAGCTTGACTTCGAAGCTCTCGTCGATTACCGTAACAAGGCTGTGGCTGAACGCGACTCACTTGCCAGCAACCCAGCCGCCTACTATGCATCCAACCCTCTCACCTCCTCACCAGCCTCCTTCATTCGATCGAAGATGGAAGACATGCGCGGAGTTGACCACGAACAATCCCGCCGGGAACGTGTTCGCAAGCTTGAGCTCCGCATTGATGAACTTACCCGCGAAGTAGAGTCGGCAAAGACTACTTCGGAGATGTTTGACGAGGAAGTCGTGCGTGAAGTGGCAGATTTCGAGCGCATAAAGGCCGTGGAGTTCCGCGACTCCCTCGGCAGTTTTGCCGACTCGCATATCGAATTCTACCAAGGCGTCCTTTCAACCTGGGAACGATTCATTGCGGAGATGGAAGGTGATGCTGATTTCGACCTGGACGCCGATCCAGTATTAGGTGGGCGGTGACGCTGATTCATGACAATGACTCTGGGATGGATTCGGTGTAGTTTGGTCCTATTTACTTGGCTAGCTTGTCATTGCATTTCATACCCGCAATGCTACCATTGCTTTTCTCTCGAGGCGACACCATGGCTTTAATTGTATAACGTCTAAGCTTGGTGGTTTCGTCGAATCTATAAGAACCGATAAACTCAAATTACTTTTGGACCTCGTATACAGTGTCTAGTAGGGTTGGACCTACAATTGTAGATATCGCGATACTAACTTGCATCATAATTCAGTGAGACGGGTAACAGCACTAATAACCTTACTTCCACTGCTATAATCCTACTAGCAGCCTTATCTCTATAACTAGAGCTCATCAAATTATCGTCCGAATATGTATATACAGAGCTTTTCTGGGCGCGATCTACATGCTCTATATCTTTATCTATACTTCTTTGGGGATGTTCCACTCACGTGACCAGTTGCTCGGCACATGGGTTGACTTCAACATCTTGATCATCCGATCTACTTCATGCCAAAGTCAAACACAATGCGTTCAATTTCCAGAGCCGCTCTGCGGCCGTATGTTTGCCATTCATGTCGCAATGGAATCGGAGCCGGTCGACGTCGATTCGGGACCAATTCGAGCCAAACACCCGAGATCTACGACGTGGTCTGCGTTGGTGGTGGCCCGGCGGGCCTAGGACTTCTGGCGGCGCTTCGTACGTCATGCAACCCTCCAATGCCAGATCCTAAGAACCGATGCTAATATTCTATTGTTTCAGGAGCTTCCCCCGTCACCTCAAAGTTGAAAGTCGCCCTCGTCGAAAGCCAAGATCTCCGCAAGGCCCGCAGCTGGAACCTCGATTCAACCCAGTTCTCCAATCGAGTTAGCAGTTTGACACCCTCGACCGTTGAGTTCTTGCGCAAGATTAAAGCATGGGAACATCTCGATGTCGACCGAGTACAGCAATACCAGGACATGCAAGTGTGGGATGGGGAGACGGGCTCACGCATATCGTTTGACTGGTCGACGGAAACATCACCATTCGAAGAAATGCGCACCGTCGCTACGATGACAGAAAACGCCAATCTCGTACGCGGTCTACTATCGCGCATTGAGGCTTCAGGCGACGAAAACCTTACTCTCTTTTCCAACACTACGGTTGCCTCAATTGAGAATGGATCCGATCTTCAAAGCGAAGGGCCTGACCTATCCGCCTGGCCCATAATATCCGTTGCGCCCACTGCACCAGGCGCCCAAGCGCAGTCCCCAACTCGAATTGCTGCGAGACTGCTAGTTGGAGCCGATGGAATCAACAGCCCTGTCCGGTCATTCGCAGATATTAGTACACAAGGATGGGATTATAACCGACACGGCATCGTCGCAACTCTTGCCCTCGGCAACCCAGACAAGCCATCTTTCCCAGCCAATATGCGCACAGCCTACCAGCGCTTCCTGCCTGCTCTTGGTGGCCCTATCGCTCTCCTTCCCCTGCCAAACAACCACGCTACCCTCGTCTGGTCAACGACACCTGAGAATGCGGCCTACCTCAAATCCCTCTCAACCCCCGCTTTCCTGGCGATGGTCAACGCCGCCTTCCGCCTCTCCATGACCGACCTCACTTACATGGTGGGCATGGAGCGATCCTCAGATCAATTCTCCCACGAAGACGAGCTCATCTGGCGTCTCCAGCACACCCCTAATCAATCACAAATCCCACCCTCCGCCATCGGCGTCCAAGAAGGAACCGTCGCCTCATTCCCCCTTCGTTTCCGCCACGCCTCGCAATATATCTCGCCGCGCGTTGCGCTGGTCGGAGACGCTGCACACGTCATCCACCCGCTCGCAGGCCAAGGTCTGAACCTCGGCATGGCAGACGTAGCTGCTCTTTCACGGACGATCGAGTATGCCGTTTCGCACGGTATGGATATCGGCGATCTTCTCACTCTTGAGCGTTACTCTTCCGAGCGATACCTGCCTAATGCTAAGATCGGCGGCGCTTGTGATTTGCTGCACAAGATGTATACTATTCCCGGCCGGGGACCTATCACCTGGGCGCGCAGCCTGGGCTTGGATGTGATCGATCGATTGCCTTTCGTCAAGTCTTTCCTGATGAAGAATGCGGAGGGTTACTAGGCTTCCTTCTGCTGTATTGCTATACTGTACATCTAGTTTCCTTGTTGTCCAAATGTAAGCGCGAATATGAATATTTCCAAGATTCCAAGGTTCTTCTAGATCTGTTTGAGCTTTGGTCCAGATAGTGAATATTTCTAGTAGCACTATATGCTGGATTCGGCTTCGTTGTTTTAGATAAGAAAATGCAAATATTTCTGAATGCTCATTCATGTCGGTACTCCTTGATATCAATATGCGCAGCCTAAAGACTTTTGCCTTGAAACAAAAACACAGCATATGCTTTATATGATCCGGTGTGTAGTTAGATAAACAGAGGCCTTGAATGCAGGAAATCAATGTACTAGTGAGTGGGTCTATGTTTTAGTTAGAAGGGTAATGCTAGCCATGACCAAATTGTAAATGAACCGATAAAAGAGATAAAACGCCTCCTTCCGCGCTTTTAGTTGCTGATTCCGTTTCTTGATGATTTAAACCTGCGCACCCTGAAGCTGTTGCGCCAGGCTGACGACAGAGCCGGACTGTTTCTTTTCGAGGCGGGCCTTGAGCTCGGGAATCAAAGAGGCCAGCTCAATATCGACACCGTCCTTCTCAGGGTGGCCGTCGGGAAGCTTGAGACCCAGCTCCTTGATACGGACCTTGCCCTCGGCCAGCTCGCTCTCGCCCAGAATGAGGCCGAAGGGAATGCCACCGTCCTCGGCAGCCTTGAATTGTTGCTGAAGCTTGGGCTTCAGCTTGTAGTTGAACTCAGCCTAGGCAGATGTTAGTATGTTGGTTCTAAATGGTACGAATGCAAACAGTGATTACCTTAATGTCGGCACTCCAGAGCTTCTGGCACATCTCCATACGCTCCTTGAGCATACCGTTGAAGCCCTTGCCGCCAATAGCCATGACGTAAACGTCAACTTCACTCCGACGGAGAGCTTGGGCGGCCTGCTCACGCTCGAGGCGCGCCTTGGTGATGGAGAAAATGCGGTCCACGCCGAAGGAGATACCAACACAGGGAATCTGAGCCTTGGGCAGGAACATGCCCACCAGGTTATCATAACGACCACCAGCGGCGACACTACCAACACCAAGAGTGGGGTCATTGGATCGGTCATCGTCCTCGGAAGCCTTCTTCTTAGAGGGCTTTTGTGGCTTTTGGGCCTCCGCGGAATCAGCCTGCAGAGCGGGGGCGGAGCCTTCAGTAACAACCTCATAGATCACACCAGTATAATAATCCAAGCCACGTGCCAGAGACATGTCGAAAGAGATCTTATCGAGACAGTTAAAGGCCTCAAGGTAATCCATCATCAGAGCCATATCGGTCAGACCGGCCTTGGCAGACTCATTAGCATTGAGGGCCTCGTCTTGCAGCAGACGGTCCAGCAGCTCCCGACCACCCTTGTGCATGACATAGGTCTCAATACGATCCGCAATAGCACCATCAAGGCCCTTATCATCAACCATCTCCTTGCGCACGTCCGCCCATGGCATCTTGTCCAGCTTATCAACAGCACTCGAGATCGGCCGAATCTTGTCCTCGGGAACACCACACACAGCGAAGACACCGTCCAGGATCTTGCGGTGGTTGATCTTAATTGTGTACCGGCCATTCCATCCCAGCTCCTCAAACACTTCGCTCACAATGCGCAGCACCTCCGCATCCGGCACCATGGCGTCAAAGGTACCGGCGATATCGAAGTCGCACTGGTAGAACTCGCGCATGCGGCCCTTGCTGATGGCAGGTTGGTCACGGCGGTAGACCTTGGCGATGTGGTAGCGCTTGATGCTGCGGATATCGGGGTTCATGGCAAGCCACCGGGCGAATGGCACAGTAAGGTCATATCTCAAGGAACAGATCTCGCCACCCTGGTCCTGGAGGTCGTAGATGAGCTTGGAGTCCTCGCCATACTTTCCAGCCAGGATCTCGCGCAGTTCAAAGACGGGGGTATCGAGGGCAGTGCCGCCGTGACGCTTGAACACAGATGAAATTGTCGAAAAGATTTTGTCTCTCAGGATCGCATCGCTTCCCGCCCAATCCTTCGTCCCCTTGGGGGTTTTGAGGTTGAAAGAACTCTTATCCTTGCCCATTGTGTCGATCGAATCGGAGTGAGGGATTGACGAAAAGTAACGAGTGCGGCGGGGGTGGTTTTGATGGTGGGGGATGGTGGGGGCACGGGGATAAATTTGATTCGAGGTCGCATGCAGCAGCGCTTGGGCAGGCAAAGTGTAATGAGTCAGACGACAGCTGCCAGCTCCGAAATTGTTAGCAATTGCTCTTCGTGTCGAGCGCAGACTTCTAGCAAGGGACGGCATAAAAGGCGCGCAATTCAGGGCGAGCGAGTCGACGTTGCACGATTTGTGACGAACGGGGCTTCTTTCTGTTTGAGGTGTGTTTTTCCGAGGGTTTTTCCGTCACATCGCGATGCACTGTCCAAATGGCGATCTAAGCGCATTCATTTATAGATGGTACATGGCGTGTATTTCGATTCCAAGGTCACCTCCTTTCAAAGCTTACATCAAGTGAAATGTGATGGCCGTGACTGCCAAGATCATCAACAGTGCTAAGCGATATTTATCCAATACTAGAATATGTCGCTAGCTGATATATCCGATATCAAGCCATCGCTTCCGTGCATGATGTTCGTCTATATCCTGTCAAGTAGGAGCGACAAGTACTTGCATACAGTAAGTACTCATAGCGAGCATTCATGTGCTCAGAATGTTAATGATCAGATGAAGTGCTGTCGACCATCTCTTAGTCAATGTACAGCTACCTTCATAGATCACGGCTCCATTCAGAAAGCCCCGGTCGTCGTCGTATTTTTTTAATAGGCCGATCGCGACAGCTATGAAAGCCATATTGATCAGAAAGATGACAGCGAACCCCTTAGCTCGCAGTAAAAGTCCGTCCGTCCAGTGGCTTGAGTCATCCTGGACAGACTGCGCAGTCCGCTTCTCTCTGCGAAATCGTAGGCATTTGACGCTGGAGCACAAAGCAATCAAGTATTTGGATATTCCTTGCACTTGGCGGTTATGAGGCTCGGGCTTGCTGACGGCATCTTCACCGTTCAACTTATCCCTCTGACGGCGATTAATTGTGAAGTTCAAGTTCTTTGGTCCGCCCATGGTACACCCCAAAAATAATTTTTCTATAGTATCAGGGGTTCCCAGTCTATTCAAAGCCTAGAGAGGTATTGATGATAGTCGATATTGGATACTTCGGGGTAAAATGACTACCGAACTACTAGGGTAATATATGTTACTCGTACCTCGGGCTGATCCGAGTCTTGGCTGCATTGTTTCAGCCTCATCTCCTGGGCACTGCGCTGTGCCCTGTTTATACACACCCATGCACCATTAATGAGCTAACATGCAGGTGGAATGAGATTTTTCAATGCCAGGGTTGTTATACAAGCAAGGTGGTAGCCCCTTTACCAAACCTGCCATGCTTTATGTATGCCAACGCAACACTACCCCGGTCATTACAATTGCATTTTTTAGACTGACACTGCACCCGGCACAAAGCAAAAACAAGATATGTATTGCAATATCAGCGACTTGAATTAGTTAGGCCAGTATGGAGGATGACTACAGCTCCGTACTACCTAGATATATATATATAGATCTAGTAGGCTGGGCGGTTTGTGGGTATTTTTACAACCTGAAACTTCAAAACAGGGCGGAGTTCTCCAAGTTTGCCTTTTACACTGCCTATGCCGCGATTCTAGACACAATTCATCCAGAGAAGTGTTGGAGCCTGAGGCTGCACATAGCAGTAGCTGGGTGCCAGCCCATCCACTCTCGCTAGATAACTTCTTCCTGTATACTACTTCGTTCCATGCCTCTTCTCTCTCCTCAACAACTCGGCCCAAAGAACTTGGAACTAAGAGAAAATGTTTGAGTTAGTCATAGGGCAATTAGCAGAGGGAGGGATTGCCTCTCTGAGCTAGTTCTAGTACTTTTAGTCTAGCTTCTTCGGGACCCCTCTCGCTCCGTAGATTTGATATTTCGCCCTCCATCCTCTTCTTGCCATATCTACACTTCTTTATTGCACCCATCATATCACCTGTTTTTTGACATATCACTCATTGAAATTCCAAGAATATATACGCGTTCTGAGCGTTTGTGCACCTTGTGATGCACCTCTTGTGATCTACTTCCCGTCCAGCCAAGATGCTAAAGGCTGTGTTTGACCCCCAGTTATCGGCCCAGCTTCACAACCAGATTCTTGAACATGCATGGATTGGTGCGGGATGGGATGTCGCTTCTCTTCCGTCCAAGACCTGGTGGGAAGAGTCGTCCCCGATTCCATTCGATCTTGCGTCTCGCCTAAAGCCGAGCCTGATCAGGTTCCTGCGGTCGGCAAGAGCATTCAATTTTGACACCGATTCAGACTTCCATCTTTTTTATTACCTCATGGCGCTCCATGGGAAATATGAAATCTTTAGCCCAGACACTTTTCTCAGATCGAGGGGTGATCGTTATGTGTGGCTGTATCCCTCGACAGGCACGAAGAGTGTTGAAGAAGTCGGCATACTGTGAGATTCCTATTATACTTCAAGATAATTCACGAGAGAGAAGAACTCATAAGCCAAATAGATTCGATCAAGAAACTGAACTCGCTTCCTTTGTTCCAGACTGGGAAGATCTGATCTGTTTTGATAGGGAACGGTGGCCCTGGCTACCATTACAACATATTCTGCAAGCCTATCTAGACATGATCAACGAGGGCAAAATAACAACATACTCAGATCGTCAAAAAAGATTGAGAGGTGCCAATGGTGGTAAGTTTGGACGCGGAGTATTTCCTTGGGAGATCCACCATCATACCCCAATGGATGTTGAGAGGGCTGTCAGTGCTTTTACCCGTCTTCTTGATGCTATTGAGATTCGGCTTCCTCCCAGTTCGACACATGACCGTGGCCGAGAAGATCCAAACTTCGAAGGAATAACTCTCCCATACTCCGAATCAGTCGTTGAAGCGTCGTTCATAGAAGTGGATTCATTTGCCAGGTGCTTTCTATCAGCTCTTCCCGTCAGACAACTCAATTTTCGCTATATTGCCCCCGGCATCCGAGTCCAAGATCCGATCGAATTGATAAATCAGCCACTTGCTGATCGCCGCTTCAATGAACTGATTCCAGACCGGTTTAGTACTGCTCAGCCGGAAGCCCATTTCCCTCTACTTCTTTTCCGTGGGGATGGAGAGAACAAGTCACCCTGGACCCGGCCCTGGTTTCCTGACGGAAATGCTGAGAACATCCCCTCTGGTTTATACCTTGAACCCACCGACAACGATTTCGATTGGGATTCTGGCAACCAAAGTCGACTTCTTTTGCCATTCAACATTGGCAGCAACGGATTCGCTCGAAGTAGCAATGGCGTTCCATTCAAACCTCGAGCTTGGTGCGGTGAGCCTGATCAACTATACCAGATGGACTTATTCAGTGGATATAGTGGATATTTACCTTGGGATTCACGTAGCTCATATCTACACAAAGTGTTGGAGAATTGGGCGGAACGAGTGGAAATGGGTGATTGGCTAGTGGGTGAAGACGGCGTTGCCGGTGGCATTGAGAAGTTCAAAGAGGCCGACACTGAAGAGCATTGGAGGGAATATGTTATCCCTTGGTGAGACCCTTGGACGTCTAGGGCTTCTCATAGAATGCCATTTGAAATTGAATTAATTCCCGAGGCCGGCAAAACCCGATATCACCATTGTAGATTCAATATGTACTACAGAATGATGTAAAGACGAAAGATTGTTTCTAGCAAATCAAATGAAATGATGAATATTCTATTCCCCGTGGCCTTTAATAAGCCCCAGGAGGCTAGATTCCATGAGTTCGCGCGTAGCGGAGACGCATGGATCTATCCTGAAGTTGACAAGGTACTGTATGATTTGACCAAACTTACGACATCAGCCAAAAGTATCGATTCCGCTGTCCAGATATCAATACTAGGGCAGGAGCTAGGTGAAGAGTTTTTGCAAAGTCCTTGCCGGTAGTTAATTCCCACTGCCAGCTACTCCCAAAGGGCCATTTGGGAGTGGTGCCGGCTATGTGGCGATCTCTTGGCTATGCAGCAGTCGAGGCGACAGAGGGGCGGGCGGGGGATGATGTCTTTTTTTCCCTTGTCATAATTCTTGGAATTAATTAATTGATCGAGTTCTTCTTTATGATTTCAATAGTAATATTTGGAGGGTAAATGATCAAGAAGCTGAAGTGGAGCACCTGGGCGACCGGGGAGCTGCTGCGCCAGTCTACTTCACACAACAACGAAACATAAGCAAGATACTTGAAACACAGCAGACAAGCTCTTGGACACCTGGGAAGGATGCGAGCTTGACCAGCCACTCAAGTATAGGCCCAGTTAAGCCACAACCCTGCTGATCATGGCTTGTTCTGTCCAGGTTGATAGGCCAAGAAAAAAGCACCCCACCCCCGAGCACTCATCGGCTAGTACAGTACATACCTGAGAGGCAAACACCTAAAGCCAGCGTCGTGGCTTACGAGAGCACTGGCCGCCGAGATGAAGTATATTGAAGTTCGATCAAATAGGGTGGCAAATTATTTGCGGGTGAGAAGCCAGCCACTTGAGAGGCATCGAGCATGATAATCGCTCACCACCTCCAAGAAAGCAAATGGGGTATACGCCAGCGGCCAACATAGACGAGGGTAGCTTATGGAAACTTAACCCGACCAAGATATGCTTACCGGAGTGGCTGCAGCCGAGTTGCGGTCATGCATCAACCCCAATTCATGAATCGGGTCTAACAAGCGAGCACAGCTAGTCCCGAGGTGTCCACGATGATTATTGAATCAGTACGAGTACAGAGTAATCCGTAGCGCTCCGCCCCGATATCATATAAGTGGAGCCTCGTCGTGATTGCAAGCTGCCCAAAGGGGGGAAGGGGCACGGTGTAGAGATGGGGGTCTATGACGGGTGATTTCTACCTAGAAAACCGCCCCCACTATGATGTATGTACTATGCCCTTCAAGTTCGAGACCGCTTGATACTGTAGAGTGGTATCCGTATATGCACCATTTAGCCTTGGTTGCCACTCTGTGACTCCCTTTGTCTCCAGTCGCCAATTAACAGAGGCTTGAACTTCTTCGCCCCCAAATGGGGGCGCTTGGATATGGTGTGGTATCTGGGAGAGATCCCTGCGGATGGTCCCATGGAGTGGCGGAGGTTAAGGACCTGCCCAGTCGGTAGTCAATCAGTGTAGGTCGATAGAGACTGGGCATGCAGGACTAGGCTCCGGCGGTGGGTTAGTGTGCGCCCGCTTGCGTCAATGTCAATAATAGGCTCCTTGCGGGACCGCGCTACTGTCACATTTCCGGGGGGGGAGGTCGTTGCTCGGAAAGTCGCCGGTGACAAGGACACGGGCCGCTTGGTCATCAGGACAACCTCGTATGTGTGGTTGATCCCCACGACTTCCTTGCATGTCGATGATCAGATCTCTACCCCAGGGTGCAGTCAAGCACCGCAGTGACAAGGATACACATCCGTAGGTACGGATGTAGATGGTGCGTAACCCGGGGCCAGGACCACCAAGACTGGAGAGGGGAATCCGACTCCACCGCCACCAGCGAGGAATTCCCCACGCTGGGGATGATCATTGGGCGTTGTGGAACGCCATGCGAGGGGCGGACACATGGCCCGTGAGCGCAGGGCAGGATGGGCCAATGGCCGGACAACGGTTGTGGGTTTGTAGAGTTCATGGCCTCCACTGTTAGCGCTGGAGATGCTGTATGTCCCGGTTGAAATGAGGAGGAAGTTCCATGGTCTTCGTGGGGGGGCTCCGCTGGGGGAAGAAGAAGGAAAACCAATGGAACCCATGGAACCAATGGAAGTAGAGGAAATGGCTGGACTCTCCGCAGTGCAGGCTTTGTTGGGGGCACAACCGGTCACTCCTTCTCCGATATAGCCGGTGCACACACAGACTTGACTCTTGAGTCGTTGGAATCGCGCGGATCAAGAAAATCGGCGATTGGACCAGTACCTGCCTTAGGACTCCACGTGGCTTTTGAGAAGTGCGGAGGGCTCACTTCTTTCTGGATGATTCCGCTGCAGTCTGCGTGAAATAGGTAGCCATCGAATCATAGGGTAGGTAGTCCAGGCATCCAATCTGAGTAATGTAATGTGGTAGGTATAGGTGTAGGTGTAGGTGTAGGTGAACAAGATAAGTCGGGGCGATTCCCGAAATCTCCCATCCCAAGGTAATCTCAAGGGAATACTAGTACTGGAGTATCTTCCTAAGGTTAGCATCAACCAAGACTGCCAACTTCCCGCCCTGCGCCACATCCCTTCCCTTGCGCGCCTTTACCTCCTCATTGCGCTTGCGGTTCCTGCGTTTCAAGTTGCAACTCAAGTCACTTCCGGAAACTTTCACCTTTGGACTGTGGCCTCTCGGGAGTTCTGGCCCTTCTCTCTGCTCCTCCGTGCATTTCCCCGGACGCTCTCCGCCGAACGTTCCTGGCCTCATTCTGCCCCGACCTTCAGTCCCTCAGTCAGCCTCGACACGGCCCCTCTTCCCCAATCTCCCCTCCCTTCCTTCTCTCCTTCTCTCCCTCCCTCTCTTTACTACCTCTCATCTCCCCTTTCTATGTGTGGTCTTCCCTGCGATCGGTAATTTTGTCTGCTCCATGCAGTGGGCTGCAACAAACGAGCCTATTCGACCATTATGAAGCTCTTCCGGCCCAAGGCCAATGGGGTAAGTTCGCCCTTCCCGACGAGCATCATCCCTCTTGTGCGGTGGTACAGCAGACCATGTGCCCTCGCTCCCCAATCCCCAAGCCCCAAGCCGCTCTCGTGGGACCCTTCCAGACGCGAATGGCCAAACTGACCGTCCATTTGAATAGGCCGCCACCTCAACGCCTGCCCCGGCCCCCGTCAAGAAGGACCCCCAGACTCCGCAGATGTCCCCGCTTGAGAAGAGGCTCCAAGATTTAGGTCCGATTCGTGGCGATGGCAGCGACAAGTTCTTTGGCATGGAAAACGTGAGAAATTTCCCCTTCAATTCATTCCCGGAACTATGGATAAGCCTTGGAATCCCAATCTCACACTCATTCGCCTCCCAGTACGGAAATACGTGTTACTGCAATTCGATCCTTCAATGTCTCTACTACTCCGTCCCCTTCCGCGAAGCCGTCATAAATTATCCACAGCGCACTCCCTTGGAAAGCCTCGAGGCTGCTCTCGCTCAAAACTTGCGATTTCAGAACCCCAACGCACATTTAGAGGCCGAGGCCCTGGCAGCGAAGCAAAAGGCCGCTGCCCCGACACCATCATCGCGTGGCGCAGGAGTTCCTCCCAACCAGCCGCAGAAACCGGAGGATAAGGATTCACCGGAATATAAGAAGAAGGTTGCTCTACAGACGCTGCCGATCCTCGAGTTCAAGAACAACGCCCCCAGCTATGGCATGTCGGAGTCTTTGTTCACCTCGCTCAAAGATATCTTTGAGTCGCTGGTGGCAAGTCAATCACGAATCGGAATCATTCGCCCCCAACAATTTCTGGACGTACTACGACGTGAAAACGAAATGTTCCGGACACCTATGCACCAGGATGCGCACGAGTTTTTGAATCTCTTGCTGAACGAGGTGGTGTCCAATGTGGAGGCAGAGGCCACCAAGCAGAGTTTCGCGGAGAAATCCCTTCCACCATCCGAGAGTGCAGATTCGCTAGGCATGTTGACGACCAGTACCGGCTCGAAATCTCCGAATACGACAAGATGGGTGCATGAACTTTTTGAAGGAACCTTGACGTCAGAGACCAAGTGCCTGACCTGCGAGAAGGTCTCGCAACGCGATGAGGTGTTTTTAGATCTCTCGGTGGATTTAGAGCAGCACTCATCGGTAACATCCTGCCTTCGGAAGTTTTCCGCTGAGGAGATGCTCTGTGAGCGTAATAAGTTCCACTGCGATAACTGCGGCGGTCTCCAGGAGGCCGAAAAACGAATGAAGATCAAGCGTCTACCCCGGGTGCTGGCACTGCATCTGAAGCGTTTTAAGTATACAGAAGATCTGCAACGGCTACAAAAGTTGTTCCACCGCGTTGTCTATCCCTACCATCTCCGACTGTTCAACACTACCGACGATGCGGAAGACCCCGATCGTCTCTATGAGCTCTACGCGGTAGTCGTTCATATTGGCGGCGGACCTTATCACGGCCACTACGTTGCAATAATTAAAACAGAGGACCGGGGTTGGCTGCTTTTTGATGATGAACTCGTGGAACCGGTGGATAAGAACTACGTACGGAACTTCTTTGGGGATCGACCTGGCCTTGCATGCGCCTATGTTCTCTTCTACCAAGAGACCACTCTTGAGGCCGTTCTTCGGGAACAAGCTCAGGAAGACCAGGCATCGACAAATGCGGCTACCGATTCGGGAGATTCAACTAAGACCAACGGATACCCCTTGTCACCTAACCTAGTCCACGTCAACAGCGCATCTCAGGTGCCTTCCGATGATCAGAACCGACTTCCTCCTATCCAGAAGACGTCAACAGCACCCCAAATGATGCCCACTCACCACGAAGGTCCCGAGTTGGAAGCCGCGCCGGCCCCAGCTGTTCAGCCGCCTCTACCTCCCATTCCTGACGAGCAGCCACTTCCCCTGAGCCCAAAGAAGAGTGATGTCGCCGCCAAGAAGGAAAAGGCACGTCTCAAGGCGGAGGAGAAAGAGAGGGAGAAGGCCGAAAAGATTCGCCGCAAAGAGGCCGATCACCAACGCCAACTAGAGGCTCAGCGTGAAGCTGAGGAATTTCGAATGGCTATCGAAAGAAGCAAAGCCGATGCGAACGATGTCGGGGCCGAGAATGGCTCCCCCTAAGAAATCGTTCGGCTTTTTAAGGCGCGGGAGCCGGAATCTCAGTCAACGACTGAGCAAGGATAAAGAGCCCAGGTTATCGACCTCAGATCTGGCAGCCATTCCATTACCTGAAACGCCCACCAGCACTACCACCAGCACCACCACCACTACCACCACCACTTCTGCCGCTCCTGCTCCTGTTCCTGCTCCCGCCCCTGTTGCCGCCCCTGTTGTTGGCTCTCCTACCACCACCAAAACCGAGCCTGAACGGCCGGCCGTGCCAACCAAGGATACAAACAACGTCCACAATCCCAAAATGTCTTCCCGAACAGGCCCACCACCGGTGAAAGAAAACAAGACCGAGAAAACCGGTCATACTCACCGTTGGAGATCACTAAGCTTCAAACGAACGACATGAGCTCCAACTCTGTACTACAGGCGACATTCTGTTTTCTTGCATGTCGGCATTTAGTCGAGCTTTCGGAGATACCCCTTAACTATCATGCACATATGAGCGCAAATTGCTTCTTGCACAAAGCTTCTCGTGGATGTATCATTACATTTCTTACTATCTGCACCATCGCCCTTCTGTCCTATTCTTCCGTGGTCTGCCCCTTTACGAGACAGATTCTCGGCTGTGTCTTCTTCGACTATTTTGATTGAATTTTCAATTGTGGCTGATTTAAGTGCCTACGACTACTTTCTATTTATTTTTATCGCTGTTGATTTTTGTATTATGTTGGACGACATGATACCTTCTCCAACGGGGTCTGTTCTATTTGGTGTGAAAACTGGCGTTCTATCTTTTTCGGATTTTGCAAATGCTGGCAAGCATGGGTATTGGGATCTATTTGGCGTTTTCCCATTTGCTTTCGACTCTTGAGCCTTGAGCGATTTCCTTCTTCTTTTTTGCGTTGATGCATGTCCTTCCTGGCCAACTTCTTTCAGGTACCTACCTCATGCATCGTGAATGTGGCCAATACTAGTAGCTTATCATATTTGCAAAGCTTAAATTACTCAATTTGTCCCAAGTAGTACCCCTCCCTCGAATGTAGACAATGGATGAAGTTGCCCTGCCCTCATAATCGAGGGTATCTCCATGGGCCAGGGGTTCTTATTTACCACCCTCTTGCTATCTACGCAGATGTCGGTTCTGTTCAGGGGATCTTAATTGAGATATAGACCTGCTCTTGCAGCATGAATTTTACGTTTGTGAATTGACACTGAGTAGCAATCGAATTCATCTACTACCTGCGGTGCCTAGAAGCAAAGGTTAACTAATAGTGATTGATATTCGTGAATCCAGAAAGTGGCTTTCGGGCCAATAACAGCATAACCTCAGTATCTCAGGACGTAGAACTATTTCGGAAAATTCGCTGCCACCAAGATGTTGATTTGAGTATCCCTCGTGGCTTTAATGGAAGAAAAAAGCAATTCACCAGTGTTTCAAAATAAATTGATTTCGTCTGTCCTAGCCTGTTCTTGAAACCGTCCTTGCGGTCCTTCTTTTCCTTGTTCGGAAGCTCAAAACCTCTAGTGGCAATACAGCACCAGCATTCGGTAGTGCAATGGCCATGTCCTTTGTTCCTTCTGGACAAATCTCTCTTCCCACAGCATCCACATTCCCGACTACAGCATCCTCCTTGTCCGAACAATCCCGAACCAATTCTTCACGCATATACCACCTCGAGTCCTGCTTCAAGCTACGGTGGCCTTCTTTGAAGAGGCTCGAGTACATAAACTCATTCCTGTAAAGCTCATAATCTTTGGCTGGGAATTCGGCTTGAATCTTCTGGAGCTTCTGGTTGATATAGTCAAGCTGGTCGCGATTGTCGTCGATGAGTGAAGCCTTTTCCAGGGTTTTGGCCCTGTGGTGTAACGCTTCCTCACGCTAAGTGAGTTCACGCAGAGCATACTCGGTAAGAAAGAAAAGTACCATTACCGATTGATTCATTAAAGGTTTTGGACCCTTCAGTAAATCTGCATTCTTCGAATCGTATTTGAAGCTTTTATTACTATCAAAATAACCCATCTCTTCTTCTGAGCGGATCCTGGCGTTCAAAGTCTAGTTAGGCGTGGGAGACTGCGGTAAATGTGGTGGTTGAGTGAAAGATCAACATATTACGAAAACTTATAACTTATCCAAGGTAAATGGAGAACTAATGTGATATCATAGTCGTAGACCATGCAATTAAGTTTAGTACGGCTGAGAAATCGACCGCGGCCCAAAACTGTCTCCCGTCAGTACTAGTACTAGTCGATTCCAATAGAATTTACGAGAACTTGTCGGTTTAGGAGTGACCCAAAATGATTTAGTTAATTGCGGTAGACTAAAAATAGCCGCATTGGTATGTTCGCTTTAGCGTATTTCACTCAGTTCAATACAAAGGAGTTATATCTTCACGACTGGGTGGACCAGGTATGAGTCTAACACAGTCAACAGAAAGCACGAGTAAAACCACTGGCAGTGGATAGGTAAACTTAGGCTTTATTTATTCGGAGTCATACTATATTTTCAAACACTATCGTTGTATCTCAATAGTAACATGGTGCCTTTATGAACACATCACCAACCCACATGCCCGCTAGCACTAGCAGTTTATCTTAATCCAAGATTGTGTAATTGGATGACAGCAAACGACAGTTTTTGGCAATATCAATAGAAGGACCAGTTTCGCCTTCGCTGAGACTGGAGCTGTAGTTGTATGTCGGACTCAACATTTGTATTTGACCCACCGTCGAGCCGTACATTTCTGCGAGATCCTTGTAAACACCCTCGGAGAAAGTATAAGGCTCGATATCGCATGCACTAGGAAAACACAAGGGGACCTTGAGAAATTGGCCAGCAGCAATAGTCTCATTGGCCCCGTACTGATTTCCTCCATCACCTTGAATGGAAGCAAGAGTCATTAGGCGTCCGGCAATCCTCCACAAAGTATCCCCGTTCACAGTGTAGTATAGACGTGGTCCGCCCATAAGACACTCGTTGATTCCTGGCCCATCAATAATGCAGGAAGTCCAATCGGGATGACAAACTTGACCAGGGATGTTAATGGTCTGTCCAAAGTTGGGAACAATGGACACGTCGGCCACTGTCAAGCGATTATAAACAGTAAGCACTTGCTTTTATTCAAGTTTCCCGATCTGATCGATATGGCATGACTTACTCAGATTGGCACGACTAATATCACAGACACCCCTGTTGAACTTTACAGCCATTTCGTGGACGGTCTGATTCGCCACGTCGGTGAAATAGTTGAAACTAGTGGTGTTGAGGGATTTGGAGGTCGTTACACTCACCGAGTAAATTCCAGTCCGGGCTCAGACTCACTGAGCGCTCACTGATTACTCAGAGATTCTTCGGCCTTTGAATTGGTTACGTCTGCGGTCATCAAAATACAGAGTAAATATGTCCTTATTACAATCGATTGAATTGAATTTAGTACCATGATAGGAGGTGGTATTCTGCTAGGCAAGGGGGGAAAAAAATAAAAGAACTCAAGCAGGGAGATCTCGAATAATTCCAGCTTTCTTCTGTGCGACGTACAGATGGGCATTTCCGGGCGCTGTGGCAAAGAATAAATGGTTACGCATGGCCGCCCCTGAGAGACGTGCATCTCCCGGGCTATCTGGCTTCACAATAGCAGTCTCTCGAAACCAGGGGGTAAGTGCCACGAAAGCAGAAGTGAGAATTTGCATATCAACAAATATCAGAGGCTGGAGGGCCTGGCCATTAGCGGTATGTATTGGCGTTGCGCCTTGTATGGCTGGACCGTGGAGTACCATATCGAACTGAAGCGCCAGGAGATCGGACATGAAGACAGTAAGCACGTTGCTTCCAGTATCATTGCAGACTAAGAAAGGCCGTGTCAAGTGTTCGTTACCGCCATACTGGGGAGGTAGCCTAATCTAGGCATGTAGCTGATCTTTGTTAGTTAATAACCTAAGTCATCATTGATATAGCTTAGATTGTGATATACCTGGTGCATATGGAAGGTGTTCGAATAAGGAAAAGTTTCCGATCTCGACTGGACCATTTGCTGCGGCTAATAGTCATAAAAATACGGCATATGATTAGCCTGAGACTATTGATAATACCATATAGGATTATATGATATTTGCCTGTAGTTCATGTTGCTGGATCATTTGCTGATATTCTAACGTCTAAAGATATCATTAATATGAACCATTAAAATGGATAGCTAATAGGTTGATGGATATTGAAATATACCTCACACCATCTCATCGCGTTATTGGGTACCGACTCATCTTCCCATGGGTTCCTCTCGACTCGTCGTCCCTCAACAAGGTAGATCGGGGGATCACCTCGTTGGCGTGGTCCAAGCTCGCCATTCTCATATAGGCGAATGAGAGCTTCAACATTCACTCGCTGGGCTGTGCCAAAATCAGTCTGCAGAAAAGCTTTGAGTTGCTCTACTCGCTCCGCGGGGTGGAGGATGTAGGGTATCGGATACACAGGACTGAACTGAGGATGTGGACCTGACATATTGAAAAGCGTTTGGTGGGAGTGGTTGGTGGAAAAAGGTGGAAAAAGTGGGATTGAGGAAAAGTGGTGGGGCTAGCTTAGCCTAGTCTGGGTTAGCGTGTCACCTGTTACAGCACCTGAGCTAAGCCGTACAGTGAGAGGTCCTTTTATGTCAGGCGGATAGAAGGAGAGGTGACAAAACAGTGTATTGGGGCGCTAGGCCGGGAACGGCAAAACTAACCTGATGTAGTAAATCACATGTCCCAATATTACAAGTAGAATTCCAGTTGCCAACATTCACGTGATCCGAGTCTCTATACTAAGTGGCAGCTACGTAGTAGGAAGCTGCTCATTTAATAGGTATCGACAAGCTCAAGTTGTCTTCATGTACTATACCAGTACTATGGCTGAGGAAGAATTCGTAACGTAGGTTCTGATGTATTGGTATGGGGATGACATTCGGTTATTACTGATTGTACTATTGTTTCTTTTCTTTTCGACAGGAGATGAGCGGGTATATACAACGGACTAGATGGCCAGGCGAAGAATATCAAAAGTAGGAGCCAAATACGGGCAACAGCAATCCAGCTCATATATTTGTGTGGGCGGTCCAGCTAGCAAACTCCAACAAATGAATTATTTGAGACTCATCGCCCGCCTGATCAATTCCACCGTCCCCGCACCATCTTGTATGGTTATTCGTGAGGGTCGTGCCACCGTAGACGGTGACTGGAAGGATTTAGGTCATATTGAATAACCTGATTTCGCTGAATTAGACTTGAGATGTATGGCGATGCGGAATGTAGCGGGTTCGGAGGATGCGGCGCGCACCATGAACGCGTTTTCTTTGGTTCGATTGAATTGGCGCGGGAGGGGTGCGGAGGGGTCAAGTATCAGCCGAGAATGAGCTCGTAGACAATGATGAGTATGTTGATTCCGAGAAGAGGTACTGCCAAATAGTAGCGAGTTAGCCGGGGTGTCGAAGCTTGCGGCCTTGCTGCCTGCACATGGTAGAGGCACCCTATGCCCGTCGCCGGAGAAGACTACTCCTAGGGAGCAAGAGAAGCAAAGATCTGGAGAAAGGGGAGGATCAACGTACTCCGCATTAGTGTCCGCACACTGTCAATCAGCTTGACCAACCTCGCCTTCACGCTGGTGCTATCGTGGGATGCGCCGAAGGCCGGCTCAGTTTGCGTGCGACCCCATCCAACTATGTGAGTTATTCAACGGTTAGAAACTGTGTACAAAGAATCGCGGTGCTGGGAGGATACGCCATTGGGCCTAGTGAGAGCGACGTACTGCGAGCAAGGAATCGATCCTCGGAAAGGACAGCGATAGCGTTGATTATGAGGACAGTGACTGTCAAAGGAATTAGCGGGGGACCAGAAATGACTCCTTTGCGCTACTCACCATAGATAAGCTTCCCAAAGCCAAAGAAGAACATGGTGGCACACTGAGGGGAGGAGGGATGGTGGGAGGACCAGCTGAGTGAGAGGAAGAGACGCCGAGAGAAAGAGAGATAAGGCGAGGTGCGGGAAGCGCCAGATCTCCGGATCAACAACCACCGCCGATGCAGTCACCATGAGGAATGGCAAGTCTGCGCGTCTGCGCGCCGCCATGCACCAATTCCCTTCAAGAGCTAATTCCATTCTAGTCTTCTATTTGGCTGGGCTCCTTGTCCCCGTTTTGATTCTCCTTCACCTCCTCGTTGCACCGTACACCAAAGTCGAGGAGTCGTTCCATGTGCAGGCCATACACGACATCTCGAATCATGGACTGCCGGGTTTCACGCCGAAATTCGACCTGAAATATGACCACTTCGCTTTTCCTGGGGCTGTGCCCCGATCTGCTGTTGGCGCATTGATTCTTGCGAAGCTCTCGCAACCCTTCGCAGCCTTGAGCAAAGGCATCGATCGGCAGATCCTTGGTAAGTGCAAGATAAGCTCCGCGGCCCTATATTAAGCTAATACACTCCACAGCCCGAGCTATTCTGGGTATCTACAACGCTGGATCGTTGATTTACTTCGCCCATGGCCTTCGACGTGGTTTCGGCCAGACCGTAGCGATCTGGTACCTAGTCTTCCAAGCTAGCCAGTTCCATGTCATCTACTACGCGTCACGACCGCTGTCGAACATGTTCGCATTCGGCATGACAACGATAGCCTCCCGTCTCCTTCTACCAGACTACACGATACCACGAGTTGATGCGCGCCGCCGGGCCCGCCTGTCGTTGATCCTCGTCGCTATCGCAGGGATAGTTTTCCGCTCGGAGCTGGCGCTGCTCGTTGCGACGCAGACCATTTTCCTCCTTGCAATGGACCGAATTCGATTCATGCAGGATGCTGTACTTGCAGGTGTGGTCAGTTTGTTCGTGGGGCTACAGCTCACCATGGGCATAGACTCTATTTTCTGGAATCGCGTTCCTCTCTGGCCAGAACTAGACGCATTCCTCTTCAACGTGATCTCAGGCCAGTCCTCAGAATGGGGGACATCCCCGTGGTACTTCTACTTTCTCAATGCGCTGCCGCGTCTTCTCCTCAACCCTTTGACCTACCTCCTCGCTATCCCAGTTGCCATACGCCAGCCTGCCACCCGACAACCGTCCATCTCGCTGCTTACTCCCACATTAGCCTTCGTCGCATTGTACAGTATCCAGCCGCATAAGGAGTGGCGATTCATTATCTACATCATTCCGTCCCTTACTGCAGTTGCTGCCTTGGGTGCGTCATATCTTTGGAACCGCCGGTCTCGTTCTCTCTTCGCCAGCCTCTCATCTCGCCTTCTGGTACTCTCATCCCTAGCCGCCTTGCTGCTATCGAATTTCGTTCTTCTGCCGGCCTCGGCAGCCAACTACCCCGGTGCACACGCACTGAATGCTCTCCATAATCGCCATGCCCTTTCCGTGTCCGACGAACTTGATGGGGCTTCGGTCTACCTTGGAAACCTTGCCTGCCAAACTGGTGTTACTAGATTCCTTCAACAGTCCCCTGGCCTGGGATGGCATTACGACAAGACGGAAGACAAAGCTTTGAAATCCTCACACGCCTTTTGGAACCAGTTCGATTACGTTATTGTTGAAGCTTCTTCCGATGCAGAGTACAAAGATAACGACGAGACTCGGTTGCGGAGAGTTCTCCAGGAATCGGAATGGGAAACGACTGATATCATTGATGGATTTGCGGGGATTTCCATAGTGAAACCCAGTTCCCCAGCTAATGGTGCTGCTGAGCGGCGCCTTTTGTCGAAGCTGGGTGGTGAGAGTGCGGCGGGCTTGTATGACCAAGCTCGTGACTCGGTACGAAAAGTGTTCTTGCGTGGTTGGTGGGTCGAGCTAAAGATGCGGCCTAAGCTTAAAGTGCTCAAACGAATTCGGGAGGAGTAGAATCTGAAGGGGGATCCAAAGTAGAACTTTAGGTCCTATTGAATTCAATGAGCTGTATCCTATTCTTTTCCGACCAAGTCTCATGAACTTGAGGTATTTGGAAAGGCCTAATAGATACTTGATTGTAAACAAAGTCTTTCAACTATTCATTTTCTATACATAGGTAGAAGTAAGTACATGCAACAGGGTATTATGTATCATGAATCCCTGTTCTTCCAAGGGGCAGACAGGAAAAAGGCAAAAGGATAGGAGGCAAAACTACAAGCCGCCGGGAGGACCGTCCAGGCGTGCCATACGAGACTCCAGGCCACGAACCCAGGGCTCAACAGTTTCAACGTTCGAACGCAAAGCAGCTTCACCCTGGGACATCTTCTCTTCCACGGCCGCTAGACCTTCGCGCCACTGTTCGATTTCAGACGTCATTTCGGCCTGGTGCTTCTCTAGCTCGTTAAGGGATTCGGCGGCGTGGGCGGCACCGGCATGGCAAGCGCGCAGAGAGCGTAGGCGCTCGAGGACACTCGGTAACAATGGATGAAGGGACTGGATTGTGGGGAGGGTCGCATAGAGGGCTTGGATTTTAGCAGTCTGCTCGTCATTCCCAAAATTGACATCTTGCGCGAGCGTGTCATCTTCCGAGTTCGCGATGCGTGCATTCTGAGAAGCCTTGGCCGCGTCGGCTGCACGCTTACGGGCAGAGGCGAGAGCTTCGGCGTCTGTGGTCAACTTGCGAACCCTTGTAGAAAGAGCTTCGAGATGTGGAGTTGTCATGCCTGGCATCGATGGGCCCCCGGCCGCAGGGTTTGTACCGACGAGGAGACCAGTGAGAGCTGCAAGTCTAGAAGCAAGCTGGTCGATAGCTGGGAGGACGGGCTGGAGTGCAGGCTCGCCGATGCCGCCACCGACAAATGGGTTCGATGAGCTTGAAATGCCCATAGAGGATTCAAGAAGAGCTAATCGGCCCTCGAATGCAGCTGCGTGTGAAAGGATTCCCGGGGAGGTTGGAGCTGGTTGAGAGGGTACAGACAGCTGTCCATCAGCGGATGAGTGTTGCTGCGCACCAGATGCCGCCGCGTTCACATCGGAAGCAAGTTTCTGAGATAGAGCAGCAGCGGCCGAGTAACCTGAAGGAGTCTGACTGCTTCGCGACGAGGCGTGCAAGTTATCCAGTGCCCGACTCAACTCCGCGACACCGTCGCCCAGTTCCTTGTCACCCTGCTGCTCCGCAGATTGGGACGGCTTCGACTCAGTAACAACTTGTCCCTCCGCAGAAGCCTTGCTAGCCATTTCCACTTTCAGGTCCTCCACTTCGCGCCGCAGACGTGCCAGCCGCCGGTCGAGCGATTCGTCTTCACTGTCACTAAAGTCACCAACTTCCTCTGTGCCATCGTCGCGTATCCGTCGACGGCGAGTCTTATTCTTGCTGCGGTATGCTTGTCGCTTCATGGAAATACTGTCGGAGAAATTGGCGTCGCGGGCATCCACCGCGGCACCCATAAAGTGCATGCGCGCCTGGTCTGCGTTGACACCTTCACGATCGATATCGGGACTCGTGCCTACGTCATCATGGTCGAAGTCAGTGCGGACGGTTGCAGTCTATGATTCCATAGCTTATCAGCATCTCATATATTATTTTGCCGTCCAATGCGACTTACGGGAACGGTGGATGCTTCGTCGGTCAGGTCAGGGGTTTCATAGATATCTGGAGAGGGGTCCTAGAGTTGAGTTAGAAATATTTCAAAGAAAGACAGAGACGGTGAGGTCTTACAAGGTCCGGAAGACCGGCATATTTCTTGTTGAAGGCCATGGTTGTGTACAAGAGGAGACCGTCAACAATGGATTGGATTGGCCTTTGGGAAACACCCAGAGCTCACATTAAACAATCCGGCCTGAGGCAGAAATGCGGGCCGATTGAGGCGGTCAGGCACAAAGGCGGTCAGACACCCCATGATGTCGATATGAGTCAGCGGAAGCACGTGTCAGCTCGAGCCTCGGGAAGGAGCACATGCAAAAGAAGGCGCGACCAGAAACAGAGTATATTAGGGAGACGATCGACCGAGACAAGACAATTCTGCTTTGGTTAAATCCCCTGCATTCACAAACTCAATTCCTTTTCCAACGCGAACAATTGCATCCGTTGTGATACTCACAACCTAGTACTTCTACTACCCCACCATCACCCCGCATTCCTAGCTTCAATCAATCAAAATGGCTGCCCCCGCCGATATCACGGTTAAGAACCTCAGTGGACAGTGGGTTATGGTATGTTGACCACAGATAACAGATAGTATTTAACCTCGCAAGAAAGAAAAAAGACTAACCAATTTCATGTATCACAGGACGCCACACTGTCCAACCCCACTGACCCCATCCTCTCTCTGGTACGTGCACGATGTGGTCTTTTTCATAGCTATTTGCAGGTTGTGAGGTACTCTGCATCCCAAGGTGGTTGAGAGGAAACACAATTCAAAGGGCTATATACATGATTGAACAGATCCGCTAACACCCACACAGCAAGGCGTCGGCTGGTTCCTTCGCAAGGCCCTCCCCTACGCCACCGTGACCCTGCACGTCCACGAATACGCCGACTCCGCCGACCCTAAGGTTTACCACATCGACGTGGACCAGGTGATTACCGGTGGAATTACGGGCACCAAGGAGGCGCGCACCCTGGACTGGACCTCTCGCGAGCACACCGATAACATCTTCGGTGCGGTCTCCGGCAAGTCACGCCACTTCCGCGGGGAGAAGGGTCGTCCTGCTATTGAATTCCAGACTAGCGTTGGCAAGCCCGAGGACGATGCCAAGGTCCAGAAGTTCCTACGTGGTGAGGTCCTGGCGGATGGCTCGGCCAGCGATGGATTTATCATTGACAATGAGGGTGAGGAGTTCGGTGAAGGCGAGGGTCTGTTTGTGCAGAGTTTCGTGGAGAGCAAGGACAATGGCTGGACTGCTGAGCAGGTAAGTGTTCTTTACAAAGGTTTCCGATGTGCCAAGAGCCTAGCTAATTGAGTTCATCTAGATCTGGGGCTTCGAGATTGTTGATGGCGAGCGTCGCCACACTCGTCGTGTTGCCGTTGTCAAGAACGGCCAAGTTGAACTTGCACGTCTGGTGTACACCTTCGAGGCGCGGCGCGCTGAGTAAAGGGGAAATCAATAGCAATGGAAATTATCGGGCTTTTAGCGTTGCTTTGCAACAGTTCAGACACGGAGAACAAATCAATCTTCATGTGCAATTTCTCTTCATTATCTTACTATAGAGTAAGAGCCATGGATACTAGTACGTACTACTACTAAGGGAATTAGTAAGGCCCGCACAACGCTATTTCTTGCCCCTGGGGGGCAGGTATATGCATTGACATGTAAGGAACAAAGAAGAGTATTTAGAAGTATCAGGTACTAATCGTCTACAAACCTTGGAAGGCAGGTGAATTATATACTCTAAATTTTATTCAACAATTTTTACCAGCTATTATACACTCCGGTCGATTATCAAACATGTAAAATCAAAAAGACCAAGTATAGCCAGAAGATGCGTTCATTGCAATGAGCCCGTGGGCAAGATTTTGCTGGTAAGAAACTGAAAAATTGGAGGGGGCATAATCATGTCAGGAAATGGGAAAAAGGGAGTACACAGCGGATATCAATTTTAAGAGTGGGTGGGCATAACAACGCTAGCCTTGGTGCTGACGGCGTCCTCGGCCTTCCAGAAGCTGGTCACAGTCTTCTGCTGGGTATAGAATTGCAGACCGGGCTTGCCGTAGAAGGTGTTGGCACCGCCACCGGCGATACTCTTCTTGTTACCGGTGAAGGAGAACATAGGCAGAGGAACGGGGATAGGCACGTTGATACCAAGTTGGCCGGCCTCGATATCCTTCTGGAACTTGGAGGCAGTGGAGCCGGAGCGGGTGAAGATGGCGGCACCGTTACCGTATTCATTGGCGTTGATCAGGTCAATAGCGTCATCCAGAGTCTCTGCATTAAGGCAGACCAGGACAGGGCCGAAGATCTCCTCCTTGTAGCACTTCATGTCGGGTGTAACGTTGGTGATGATGGTAGGGCCAACGAAGTTGCCGTTAGGGTAACCTTCGGGCTTGAAGCCACGACCGTCAAGAAGGATGGTGGCACCCTCAGCCTCGGCGCTAGCAATCAGGTCCTCGATACGCTTCTTGCTCTGGGGGCTGATAACAGGACCCAGGTCCGCACCCGCCTCGAAACCACCGTTAACACTGAGAGCCTTGGCGCGCTCAGCAATCTCAGGCAGCCACTCCTTGGTCTCTCCAACCATAACGGAGGTGCTCAGGGCCATGCAGCGCTGACCGGCAGCACCGAAGGCAGCACCAACAATGGCATTAAGAGTCTGGTTCTTGTTGCAGTCGGGCAGAACAGCGGCGTGGTTCTTGGCACCCAGGTTGGCCTGGACACGCTTGCCGTTGGCAGAACCGCGGGTGTAGATGTACTCACCAGCACGGTTGCTACCGACGAAGCTGATGGCCTTGATAGCGGGCGCATCAAGGATGAAATCCACAGTGGGGTGGGTACCGTGCACAATGTTGATAACACCGGGAGGGAAGCCGGCCTCCTTGGCCAACTCGGCAAGGATCATAGCTGCACCGGGATCACGCTCAGAGGGCTTCATGACCAAACAGTTACCAGTAACGGTAGCAATGGGGATGCACCACAGAGGAATCATGGCGGGGAAGTCTGGCGGACAGTCAGTATACTAAATCCCTTTCGATATAAATATATATAAATAGTCATTTTTGTGAAACTCACTGAAGGGACAGATGGCAGCAACAACACCAAGAGGCTCGCGGTAGCTGCGAGTCTCCATATCCTTGGCCACCTCCAGAACCTCACCCGTCATCTGAGAGGTGATGCCACAGGCAGTCTCAGCAACTTGCAGACCACGGAGGACATCACCACGGGCATCGGCAAAGGTCTTGCCCTGCTCCAAGGTGATGGATGCGGCCAGTCGGTCCCAGTGCTCGCGAATCAGACTGGTAAACTTGAAGAGAATCTGCTGCCTCGCCATAATGCTGGTAGCTTTCCAGGCGGGGAAGGCCTTCTCGGCCGACTCAACGGCGGCCTTCAACTCCGCATCAGTGCTCTGGGGAACACGGGTGACCAAGTTGTTGGTAGCAGGATCATGAAGATCAATCCAGGTAGTGGCCTTGGAGGACACAAACTCATTATCAATGAAGTTGGTGGTGTCGATGGGGTTGGCAATGGGCTTGTGGTCGGTCGGGTATTCGGTAGCGGTGCTAGCAGCCGAGGTAGTGGAAGGGGCAAACTGCTTCGCGGTAGCATGCAGTCTGCGAGCGGCAGACATGGCCGCAGGGGTAGAGACAGAGCTCTGAGAGTTCAAACGCGCAATTGGAGTGGCAGTGGTGAGAGATCGGGCGGACGCTCTGGTAATTGCGGGCGTGCGGGGAGCGGAGCGGAGCGCGGGGATGGTACGGGCGATAGACCGACGGGCGGCCATGATGGCAAGAAAAGTGTGATGAATGGAATAGATTAGAGAAGGAGGTTGAAGAGAAAAGGAGGAAAGAAAAGGGGAAGGGGGGAATAGTATATGAGGGGAAGTGGCAAGGTGGTGGTATTGTTATATAAACTTGGACCGATGGTTACCCCAGGCCCGACACGCTCGTCTCTCGTCGGGAGCAAGCCCGAGGTCAGCCGCGCACCGTCCACCGCCTTTCCCCATGTTTAGTTGGCCTTTTTGAGCAGGTCGTTGCGTCTGATAAGGTCTCTTCGGCGATTTCAGCCAATCACCACCCGCATAGTGCCATCTTCAATCGCCGAAGCTGGCCGCAATCGCAGCAACCTTCGCATAGTAGGCGGTTTAGGCATGGCATTCCGAGGGAAAATGCGGGTAACTGGGGGTACTCCCTTGCTCCACCTACTGTATACTGCACATGGAATGAGCATCTCGAGAGCCGACGAACATGAAAGACCAATTTATATTACCCAAGAGATTCATGTTCTTCCAGTCAAGTTCCAATGGCTTTGGTTCGCTTCGGTACAATGTTACTGATCCACAGCCCTTCGTATTTAATCTACTACTGTAGTACACTTCTGTGGCTACTTTTTGAGTTGTGTGTAGTGAAAGTATACCGGATTTCCATTCTGAAGTAGATATCCGACTAACCTAAAGAGTATTGCTACATTGACCAACAAGAAACAATAGGGAATCAAACGCGGGGAAAAATGATATCAATGCTCCTTCTTTTCGTCTTTAGCCGCGCCTTTACTCCGCCGACGAGCGGGTGTTGCGCTTGGTAGCACCGCTCTTGCCGGTGTCGGCAGAAGAGCTGCTAGCCTCGCTGGCCTTCTCCTTGCCAGTGCTGGCGGGCTTCTTACCCTTGTCAGCGGGAGCCGGGCTGCTGGAGCCAATGGCACCCACGATAATCAGGATGGAGGTCAGAAGCAGAGCAATCAGACCACCGGCAACCTCAGGAACGGTCTTGACGGCGTTGACAGGGTCCTCCTTGGCCAGGTTCACGAAGAAGTCAATCTTCTGGCGGATGAAGGTAACGGGGTCCTCCTGGAAGGTGACAGTGGTGCCAGCCTCAGTGGCGGGCTCGGTCTTGGGCTTGGAAGCCTCCTCCTCAGCCTCCTCGACGGCAAACTTGACGTCGAAAGTCTCCTTGCGAAGAGCCTCGGCATCCTCGACGGAGTGGCCAATGTAGACGTTGTCAAACAGAATGTCGTTCTGCATGGTCCAGATCTCGAAACCAATGGCACCCATAGGCTCCAGGTTGGAGGGGGTCTTGTCCTCGAAATAGGCAGGGTTGGCAATCTTGCGCGGGGCCCAGACACCCTTGTAGGCAGGGTTCTCAATGAGAGGAGCAGACCACTTGCCCTTGTACTCGGGGTTCTTCTTCAAAGGTTGGGTCCACTCGCCGCAGCCAGAGACATCAGCGCACTTGGGGTTAGGAACAGTGGGGGCGACCCAGTCTCCATCTTCCTCATCATCCCAGTCCTCGGGCTTCTCGGCCTCGGGGTCGGGGATGCTAGTGGCCTCATCCTCAAGCCAATCCGCGGGCTTCTCGGCCTCCTCATCGACAATCTCGAAGGGAGCCTCCTCGTTCCAGTCCTCGGGCTTGGTGGCCTCGGGGTCGGCAATCTGAACCTCGTCGACCCAGTCGGCGGGCTTCTTGTCTTTGGGGTCATCAATCTCCTTCTCAGGGTTGACGGAAGGGCTGAAGTCCTCCAGAAGGCTGCCCTCCTTAACGGACTCGCCGTTGACCAGGATCTCGAAGGTCTGATCGGGCTTGACGATCAAGGTATAGAGGGAGGTGACCTTGTTGGTGCGGGCCACGGGGGAGAGTCTTCAGGTGCTTCTCCTCGTACTCGCCGGTCTTGGGGTTCTTGTGGCGGAAGATGAAGTGGACCTGGATGACGAGAGATTGATTAATAGCTGATCACGGTGGTGAGGACAGAACATGACGTTGCAGTTGCAAACATACCTTGTTGGTAGCACCGCACTTGTCGGGACCGAACATGATCACATAGGGAGTAGCGTTGGAGAACTCCTCCTGGTGCAGCTTCTTGTTCTCTTGGAGAAGCTTCAGGTAGGCACCGCCGCAGACCAGAGAGTTCTGGGGCTTCACCTCATATTGGACCACCAGGGTCTTGCCCTTGTTGTCAATCTTCTTGGGGAACTTGGCGGAGATGGCGTGGTGGGCAGCAGCGTTCTTCACAACCAGACCCTTGTCGCCATCGATACCCTTGAAGACGGTGGGCTCCTCGACAGACCACTCGCCGACGTAAGCCCAGTCCTCCTCCGACTTGGGGTCATCCTTCTTGGCGTGGGATGGTTGCCAACGTGATTGCCAGTCGTCGGTGAACTGCTCCAGGAATGGAGCCTTCAGAGCAGTAGGCTGAAAGAAAGTTAGAAAGGAGATGTGGAGACCAATTCGATAGAACATACAGTGAAGGTGGGCCGCTCAATGGCGGAGGAAGCATCAGCAGCAGCTTCCGCCTCCTCGGCATGGGCATAGCCCATGAGGGAAGCCGAGGAGACCAGAGCCGTGAAAGCGGCGTCGAAACGCATGATGAACAGACAACGGGGTGAAAGGGAAAAGAAGCGCACGGGACCGGAAGGGGAAAGGGTGGAATGAGGGAAGAGGAGAAGCGGAGGTTATATATCCCCAGTTGAAATGGCGAAGGTCCAGGTGGCCTCTTCAGCAGCTCCCAATCGGGACTAGCACTGGCTCCCCCCCCAGGTACGCCCTTCGATCGCTTTCTACTCCAGAGTAGAGTTGTTAAGAGCAGCTTCGGATTAATGAATATTTAATTTGAAATATGAGGAGTTATGGGTCAAATTTATCTTTATATTTAACAATGCGAATTCCTAATTACTACCACTTGGGCAATTCCCATGAACTGCTCATGCCAATGCCATGCTCAGTGTACTCGCGGAGCTGCAAATTCCCCGCCCGGCCAACATTTATTGGATTGCGCGATAGCACGCGGGTTACATTTTTCCTCCCGAGCCTGGACACTGGCACCCTTTCACCCGATCTTCCGTCCCCAGCTTCCTGGCGCTATTTGATTGCCTCAGCTAGCTCCTTTTTGCTTTTCGCCCTGCGACCACCCCCTGCCACACCTGGGCACCCTTTGATCCCTGCCAAACCCGAGACGTCCCCCTCCGAGCTTACCATAGAATACCTCCAACCATGTGCGGCGCTGATCAGACCGTTGCGCCCGCCAACAACAATGACCACTTGGTCCAGTCATCCGACCCCGAACACCCGGCCAACCTGATCCCGGATCTCTGCCGTAGATTCTACAATTGGGGCTGGGTCACTGGAACTGGCGGAGGTGTAAGTCTCTTCTGCTCAAGCCGCCAAGGCGGGGAATATCAAACAGAAAAGAACAGAAAGAACCAACCCCCACTGACTCTCATTAGACTTCCATTCGTCATGGCGATCACATCTTCATTGCGCCATCCGGTGTCCAGAAGGAGCTCATGAAATCTGAGAACATCTTCGTTATTCAATGGCCGACCCCCAAGTACCCCGCCACTGAGCGCAACTATATCCGCAAGCCTCTTAAGCTGAACCCATCCGCTTGCACGCCGTTGTTTCTGACTGCCTTTGAACACGGCGCGGGCTGCTGCATCCATACTCACTCTCAATGGGCCGTTCTGGTGACTCTGTTGGTTGAGCGCGAGAAGGGCCCCGACGCTTGCTTTGAGATTAGCAACATCGAACAGATCAAGGGTATTCCCAAGGGCAAGGGCAAGGGAATGCACGGATATCACGACACTCTGAGCATCCCCATCATTGACAACACGGCATTTGAGGAGGACTTGACCAGCGGCCTGGAGGCTGCCATGAACAAGTACCCCGACACCTACGCGGTGCTGGTGCGAAGACACGGAATGTGAGTGAAACCTATGCTGAGAATTGGCTTTGTCCGATCCCCCACCCCCCATACACTGCTAATATCTGCTTGTAGTTATGTCTGGGGTGACAATGTCGCCAAGGCAAAGACCCAGTGCGAGTCTCTGGACTATCTATTCCAGCTTGCCGTGGAGATGCACAAGCTTGGCCTGCCTTGGGTCAAATAGATCTGATGGAACTATGCTGCGGACTTTTTCCTGAAGAAATTATGAATAGAAAAATATAATGTGAGATAGTATAGAGATGAGGTACAACGAGAAATGATGTGACGTATGAAATGGTTTCAGATCCTATACTTTGAATCTCCACTTAGCTTAGTAGTCCTCATTTTCCGAGACCATAAAATTATTCATTTGGATTAATCGTTTATACATTTCAACGGCTGAGTTGATTAGATGAGGCCAGTCGAACAAATTCTCTTGATCAATGGGGATCGGGGGGGAGCAGTGGGAGGGGAAAGCTGCCCCGGACAAGCTTGGGGGGGGGGAGCGGTTGATGATCCCGTGAGTGACTAAGTGCGCGGATCCTCCACTCGTACTGCCAGCTTCCCACCTACGCACCCTTTCCTCCCAGTTTCCATTGAACATTGATGCGTGACGTCTGATTTAACCATTTCGATACCCCATACTCTTCTCCGCGTTCCACTTATACCGACCCGGCTGCTATGGACCTCGATGCCGGTGACTCCCCATGGGGTGGTAGGCAGTCACGATGACAGCTCTGTTGGATTGCGCTCTAACCCAGACTACAGATGAGCCTTCGCGCTCTGTAACCAGCCCGACTACCTCCAAGCCCGATAACTCTGAGAGCTGTATGTATTTATCTAGGCCATTCTTGCTTCCGTGGGTCTCTCCGCTAACCACCCACTCCTTGCAGCTCCCGCCCAGACCGCAACGTCAATCAGCGGCGGCGAGGTCCGTACTCCGGGTCGTCGCGGCCCACGAGGAACACGCAAAATCAGCGCACAAGCGACTCGTCTAGAAGCTGTCGATGATACCGTTGATCCTCTTGGCCCGCTAGGAGAAGCTCCGTCCGAGACCAGCGCGACCCCCACCGATGAGGCCCCGGCTCCTCCCCAGAAAGAAACCATTGCTGGACGCAGCCCCCCCGCCACCGACGACTTTCCCTCCAGCATTCGGTGGAACTGGTTTGGTAGAATCTGGTAACTTGGAAGAAGATGGTGCCGGGTTTCGAGGACCCCCGCCAGTACAACCTCCTTCCGAGGCAGAGGGGCCGAAGCGCCAGACACAACCAAGCGTGAGCATTGAACAGGCGGCGAAGCCGACATTTGATATCAGCGTTGGGGACCCGCACAAGGTCGGAGATCTGACAAGTAGCCACATTGTTTATCAAGTTCGGACAAAGGTATTTAGACGCTCCTTTCCCCGCACTCAACATACGATTTACAGCAAAACTAACTGCTTCATAGACATCTTCAAAGGGATACCGCCAGCCCGAGTTCGCCGTCACACGCCGATACCGTGATTTCCTTTGGCTCTATAACTCCTTGCACAACAGCAACCCTGGTGTGGTTGTTGCCCCTCCACCCGAGAAGCAAGCCGTGGGCCGATTTGATACAAACTTCGTCGAATCACGCAGAGCCGCGCTGGAGCGGATGCTGAACAAGATTGCTGGTCACCCAATTCTTCAGCATGATTCCGATTTAAAGATCTTCCTCGAGAGTGAGGCCTTCAACGTCGATGTCAAGAACAAGGAGAACCGAGAGCCCGACCTTGGCCAAAGCAAGGGCATGTTTAGCTCCTTCGGAATTAATGTCGGCGGAGGAGGCAAGTTTGTGGAACATGACGACGTAAGTAAATGCTGTCTATTGACACGAGATGAATCCTACTGACTTGCGCTTAGTGGTTCCATGATCGCAAAATTTACCTGGACGCACTCGAGAATCAATTGAAAGCCCTGCTGAAATCAATGGATACTGTGGTTATGCAACGAAAGGGGCTTGCCGAAGCCGCAGGCGACTTCTCGAGCTCACTTCATGCTCTCTCTGCCGTTGAGCTTTCTCCGGCCCTCTCCGCTCCCTTGGAAGGTCTGTCGGATCTGCAGCTACGAATCAGAGAACTATATGACCGCCAGGCTCAGCAGGATGTCCTGACACTTGGAATCACCATTGATGAGTATATTCGTCTCATCGGCAGTGTGAAGACTGCCTTCTCCCAAAGACAGAAGGCTTTCCACAGCTGGCATACCGCCGAGTCGGATCTACAGAAGCGCAAGAATACACAGGATAAGCTTCTCCGACAGGGAAAGACGCAGCAGGATCGTTTAAACCAAATAAATGCTGATGTGGCCGATGCGGAGCGAAAGGTTCACCAAACTCGATTGTTATTTGAGGATATGGGGCGCCTAATGCGCAATGAACTGCAACGATTTGAAAAGGAGAAGGTGGAGGATTTCAAATCTGGCGTAGAAACATTCCTTGAGAGTGCCGTGGAGGCTCAAAAGGAGGTAAGTAATCGGATATATCCCCTTGGGCTTCCTTTATACTAACACAAGGCTTGCAGTTAATTGAGCTTTGGGAAACTTTCCTTTTGCAATTGGATGCTGGTGAAGACGGTATCCCTTATTATGTCCCTCCTACAGAGGACGTGGCTGGTGAGACCGCTGCACTTGAGTCCCCCGCACCGAACACCGAAGCCTCACTTGGAGCTGAGGATAACGCCTGATCAATTTCGAAATTGACATTCTCACTCCCATGCCCGTCCATGTATTATCCAGCAATCTTGTAGCCTCACTGGGATCTTTCGTTCGGCATTCTTTTTTCTCTCTCTTCCCCTCCCACAGGTCAATGATTTTCCCCAGCGCGAGCTATGAGTTGTCCACTTCCCTTTTTCTCCCCCCGATTTGTCTTCCAGAATATCCATTCAAATACCACTGTTCGCCTGTTGTAGTTGAAATCACAACCGGGACCCAATAATCCATGTGCAAGACAAACAGTGGACACAGAGCTCCAATCTAGATAAACGTCGACCTTTGTGGGTACTACGAACTCCAAGTCGGACTGACTGACTATATATCTTTAGATCGTTGCAGTGGATACTAGTAAGCAGAAGTTGACACTGATACTCCAACTTGAAGATCAGACAAAGAATAAGCAGTTTCTGGCTGCTCCGTCGCTCCGCCCGCTTTTTGCCGTTTTGTATGCTTACGCCCGATGCCGCACCATCGAAACAAGATCAAATATCTTCGAGGGAGATATTGGTATGAATCAAGTACTAGTAAGCTCTGCGCTCAGTCGCCAGCTTATTTATTACCCTGCAGGTGATTCTCTGTACTTGGATTCCAACACAATACTTACGTCTCAAAGACCCTCCAAGTCATTCGGAAATAAGCCGGCTTGAAGAGGAAGAGTCTCCACTACTACGAGCCTCCAGTGAGAAACGCTAAACTGCACCGGGAGTAGATCTCCACGACTTTGAACCCTCGAATGGATCTCCTCCAGCAGATTGTCTACTTGATTGGATCACGGTGGGAGTGAGATTTTAGATCCATTTGTGGATCAGGGGCTTGCTGGCAAGTGTATACATAGAACCCACTGGCGCTCCTCTCTAGCCATTGCGAGCGCTTCGGTCCCCTTAGCGTCTCTTGGGCAGATTTGTTTAGTGGCTTAGAGGGTATTTTTATGCCAGTGTCCGCATCCTAGGATTCGCCTTGTCATTTCCTTTTTTCCAACTTGGCGAATGTGCGGCTAAAGAAACGCTCGTGACCCCCTGGCCCTGAAACCTATCAATCTTTGAAGCTTGGTTCTGTTTACCTTTTGCCAGCATCCTAGTTACCTGCCATTGTGCCGATCTTATTCCTGCGAGTCCCTGGCCTACTTGAAGCAGGAATCACACAACTGAGTGGGATATTATTGCTTGTTGTTAGCAGTCACGCGACATGTCACCAGCTCCCGCAGCTACGGCTTCTACGGCGGCCACTACATCTTTTGTCGCCTCAGGATATAGTACCAGCGACAACTTCCAGGGATGGTACCTGCAAACAACTCGTCAGTAATGACTCTATCCCTACTCACTCAGGAGAGCGGCCCTCGCTGACCTACCTTAGCCGAGCCCATCGTCTGCGGATCGACCGAGACCTTCTACACAAGTAGCACGTATGGCGACTGCTACAATCCGTCAAGCTCAGTCCCCATGCCGACAGGATGTGATGGTGCAACATTACTTTACGAAGATAGCCTCCAAGCAGGGTGGTACGTTTCATGTTGATCATATTATTCGCTCTGATCCGATTTCTGACCGACATAGCCCGACATCCTATTCCTGCAGTGCCTACAAGATATTTCCGACGGAGGGTTCTGACGCAGAAGAAGCAATCTTGAAATATGGCTGTTTGTTTAATTGGGGCGCCGATAGTATCTATCGGTCCCTTCCTGCTCGATTCGCTTCCTCCACCGCCGCGCCTGAAGTTACCGCCACCGCATCAATATCTGCCACAACAGGTAGGTCCTTACTCACGTTCGGATTTTCAACCCATCTCGTTACCAGATTTCTGACTTAGACGATCTCGCAGATACTAGTACCCACCACACCGCAACAAGCACTAGCACCGGATCGGCCGCCAACTCAACTTCGAACAGCGACAGCGCATCTAGTGGCTCGGACAGTGGGCTATCAAGTGGGGGAATTGCTGGAATAGTCGTGGGATGTGTCGCATTAATCGCGATAATACTTCTTTTGGTGTTTCGAAAGAAGGTTATGGCTTTGTTCAGAAAAGACTCCCCCGCCGAGGATAAAGGACCCTGGTCTGAAGGAAGCCTGCCGCCTCAGACGCAGCCTGCATCTCAAACAGGCTCTGCTTTGCCGGCTTCGGAGATGTCAGCGGACTATAGGCCTGTTCATGAGATTGGATCCTCGCCTCCTGCGCACTCTGAATCTCAAGAAGGCTCTACTTGGAAGGCATCAGAGATGTCATCGGACTATAACTCCGTTTATGAAATTGGCTCGTCTCAGCAGAATGCAACTCGCCCAGTTGTGGTGCATGAGCTGAGCTAGACGGATAACGAGCTGGGTTGGATTGGACATATACCCGGAGTTCTATGATATTTTAATACTTTGCTACCTAATCAACAATTACATGATGAACTTCCCATGCACAAACAGAATAAACAACCTTGGAAATGATAATGCTGGAAAGCAACTTGGGAATCCGTTGCGAAAGCACGACATGATAGTTATTTGGCTGTTTCTATTACTGCTAGTCAGTCGGTTCAAGTAGAGACACCCAAATCACGATTCTCCCTCAATGCAGCTAAAGAACATATCGGCTAATGCCTCATTAGTAACGGGTATCTGGTAATCAGAGACCCAGATCAAACTTACAAGGTCAGGTTTTCTCTGTCAGTCAAATCCATCTGACTATTGTCCACGACGCGGGATATCTTTCCACCTTCAGAATCAACAGTTTCGATAATACCATTACTGGTAACTTGATATTCAGCCTGAAGCTTATCGCGACGCTTGTTTTCCTGACTCAAGTAGAATCTGAGAATTCCGATTACAATGGAGGGAAGGACGCAGGCCACCTGAAATCGACTTAACAAACATGTTTTATATGGAGGAAGAGGAGAACATACAACAAGCAAAATAATCCAAGTTGGTTTATACCGAGGCTTGCTTCTTGGTTATTATATGCTCATGGGGATCACTTCCAAGGCTCGAATGCTACTTACCTTCCACTCCGGCCGGAAAAGCTGTGGAGAAATGATATTTCCCAGACCGTAGCCGATGTGATACAATGCAATGACAGTTGTTTTCTTGGTATGTCCAGCTGATGCATTTGCCGCCCAAATCATCACGACGGCGTAGGGAATCCCAACAGTAGATCGAATCCAGATACCGCTAATCAGACCCCAACGATTGGACCAAGGCAAAGCTGTTGCGTTGCAATATCAGAAAATGTCTAATATGAGTCTCAAATAAGTACTTACCGAGAAGAAGAATACTGGAGAGAGCGCCTGGAATGTAGGCAAGCAAAGATATCCAGGCACGGGAGTTCTATTTGATTTTAGCTTGATAATTCGGTCTTCCAACAAAATTTGAGTAACCTTTGTATAATATAGAGCAATTGCAGCTGAGACAAGGGAGAAAAATGATACTATACCAGTAACGCAGCCCAAAAGCGTTGTTTGAAGGATAGTGAAGCCGAAAGAGTTGATGATGAGTGAATACTGGTTAGTTATTCCGTTTGCCATTTCTTGTGACCAAGCATGCAAGAAAAACAGCCATGTTTTGGGGTCTTTCAGCGCCTCGATAAATCTTTATAGCCAATCAGTAAAATTGTGGTGCTTTGAATCTCGAAATTTGGGGGACTGACTGGTATCTCTTGAAAAGCTTCTGTTCAATTCCAGAGTGATTCTCTTTGATTCGCAGGATAGCCTTCGCGCGCTCTTCATACGTGAGAAAGTCGGCATGTAGAGGGCTGTCTGGAAATAGGAAATAGACTGCGATGCCGAATATCACCGTCAAGACCCCTGTTATTACTGGTAGATGGTATTAGTGCTTGTAAATTAGAAGGGAAGTGGAGACCCAAACCCATAAACCATTTCCATGGCGAAAAAGCTCCTGTTTTGATCCAGAGCACGCCATATGATAGGAGTCCAGAAGTTATTGGGCTTGAGTTTCCAATTGACCACATAATTGGCATCATCACGGCCTGCTCTCCATATGTAAAAAACATCGACATCGAAAGCAAGAATGCTGGCACGATGCACGCCTCGGCCATCCCGAGGAAAAAGCGCACCACAAACAGAGAGGCAAAGCTGTTGCAAGGTATATGTAGCAATGTTATTCCACCCCTGAAATACTGTTAATATTTTCAGACCTATCGAGAAGAGGATTGGCTTACCATATGATCAAATTTGACGCCAACCATTTAGCCACAGGGAACCTTTGCAAGGCCCAATTCTGAGGCCATTCTGCCAGCAGATATCCAAAATAGAAGATCGAGGAGAGCCAATTATATTGATTTGAATCCAAATGCGCATCTTGCATGATTCCAAGAATTGCTGAGCTGCCTAACTACGCAACGTTAGCTGATAACCCCTGATATGAAAACTCGCGCTCCACTTACTGTCTGTTTATCCACATACATGAGATGATATCCAATGCATAGAAAAGGTAGAATCCGCCACAAGCATTTATTTCGAATTTGTAGAGCCTCTTGGGGTGTGGGCTCCTCCACTTGAATCTTGGAGAAGAGCTTGAAGCTCTCATCAGCAAACTGATCTGGGACTTTCGGCGCTGTGTTTAGCTCGCTTTCGCTTTCATTTTCCTCCTTTGCTTGTGCTGAGGCTTTGACACCATGATCGGATGAGCCAGAACTCATGACAGACTCGGAGACGTATATTAACTCTTGGATAAGGCGAAAATTTCCTGCCACAAATAATTCTTCCGAACGTTGGAATGTTTCTTTCCGGGAAACGTCAATATTTTAGAGGATGCTTTAGAAAACGACAGCTATTGCGCAATGTTCTTCCAAGCCTTCGCCTTCATCCCCATACCGGACAGATTCCGACACATCAAGACATACTCTATTGGAGAAAATCCTCCGCCAGGCCGTTCGGGCACGGGAAAAGATACGTCACGAGATGCAAAAAGCACGCATCAAGTCGCCATCGCGGTAATAGCGGAGAAGCTGCACTGCTGACGTGCTCGACATTAACTGTCGCGATAGCTATTTAATTTATCAGACATAGACATCGACAACATTGACTTTATCCCAGGATACTACTTGATTCCTTAAAAACGAAACAGCTTATATTTTGAAATGGGTGAGAGAAAGGATACTCTACGGGTTATAATCGCCGGTGCCGGCATTGCGGGGCTTGCGACAGCGATCTCATTGTCACGAATCGCTTCGATTCCAAACATAGACATCCAACTTTACGAGCAAGCACCCGAGCTGCTGGAAATTGGAGCCAGTATTGCACTCAGCCCAAATGTATGAGTTTCATCTCTCCGAATAGCGCTTTGTTCTAATGGATTTGGTTCACTGTAGGGAATGCGCACCTTGGAAAAGCTAGGAGTGGACAAGGCACTCACAGATGAGTTTGGTTATAGAGGACCAAGTGGCATACCACAGATCTTTCGGTATGAGGATCGTGTATTAATTAATTGCGTATCGATTGATTTATCGTGATGATTCTAGTCACTGGAAGACCGACCAGGTTATCTCGGTCGACACTCACACCAATGTCCCCAACCCTCGCCATCATACCACTCGGTTCCATCGAGGCCATCTACATGCAGCTCTTCTTGAGCATGTTCCCAGAGAATCTATACATTTAGGGAAGAAGCTTAACCTTGCGGAGGCTGATAAAAACGGCGTCACTCTGCATTTCGAGGATGGGAGTAGTGCGCAAGGTGATGTTTTGATTGGGGCAGATGGAATTCGATCGGTAAATATCCATTGCCAATTTAGACGCCCAATTTAGACGCCCAAACGGAATTAATATTGGCTCTAGGTTGTTAGGAAATCATTCTTGCCTGACTACAAGCTCCGTTTCAGTGGAAAGGTCTTTATGAGATCAACATTTGACGCATCTTTGGTTGAAGGGAAAATCCCCAATTTACCTTCCGACTCCATGCATTGGGTACGACACAAGAGCCTTTGTGATGCCATAAAATTGTTGCTGACCATGAGAGTAGTGGGGACCACGAGATAATTTCTTCGCGTCTAGACTTGGTATACCTCAACAATCCCGCATATAGGTAGTCTGCTAATGAGCCCAGGCAAGGACCAGTATACAACAGTCGGGGCTTACGATGATCCTCGCACAGAAGAAGAGCTAGAAAACAGCATTGCATGGGATCAACGTGGAAATGTTGAGTTCCTAAGGGAGAAGTACAAGGTATGTTATCATATAAAATTCTCCCCGAGTCCCTATGAACTGAGGCTCACCAAACTAGAACTGGAATCCAACGATCAGAGCCCTGACTGAACTCACGCCCCATACCAATTTATATCCGAACTTCGCCGGAGATGCTCTCTCGACCTGGGTGTTCGGTTCTCGGGTCACTCTTATCGGCGATGCCGCGCACGCCCATGGGGGTGCCTTCGCTGCTGGGGGCTCGTTGGCACTGGATGATACTCTTGCTCTTGGCCTTGCCTTTCGGCATGTCTTCGGCTCTCAAACTTCCGAACAGCCTTTCTCGATTGAGAATATCAAGGAGGCGTTGGGATTATACAGCAACACGAGACAGCCGCATACAGCTCGTATACTGCGTATTGTTCACAATCAAATCGATAAAAGAGGCGCGCAGTTTACCTCAGCCGAAGAGGAGGATGAGGCGTTAGTTGCCAGAATGAGAAGCAGGCCAAATACGGAATGGTTATCGGAACATGATGTCGAGGCTGCTTTCGCAGCTACGCTTGAGCATGCGGATATGATAGAAGCCTCGGATCAAGCACAAGCCTCGAAGAGCACAGAGCCAGTTCCAGAATCGAGCTCTAGTACTAGTACTAGTATACAGTTCAAAGGCAGCAAGCTATAGACTGCACTTGTCTCATGGTTTATATAGAGGAAAGTGAATTAGTTCGTGAAAGAGACGGTTCTATCTTCCAAAATTTACTAGTAAATACTAGGAGTGACCTTGGAACGACTCTGACAAAAACAGACTTGCCACAGCTGAATCTCGGAAGATACCAAGGATAAAAATTAAGGCGCTCTTTTCTATGCTTGGCATGTATTTCCCCCCCAAATAACTAGAAAATGGAAATCATCCAAGGTTCAAGTTCTCCTACCTAGTCGAAGCAAGAAATTCGATAGAAATGAATTACCTATGATGGCATCCATGCATTGTCGCAGACATATGTATATTATACAAGAACAATTGAGACAGAAAAACAAAATCCCAACTCCCAGCCCATAGAAATTGGAGGGCCAAAACCAATCTAATCACACAAGATGCAAATCTTTACAATTCTCCCCCGACTTAGTTCTTCTTCTTTCCAGAGCCCTGGTTCTCCTCCTGGCCAAAGGAGCTAATCAAGTCAAGCAGATTATCCTCTTCTTCTTGTTCGGCCTGAGCCTGAGCCTTAGCAGCCTCCTCCTTAGCCTTGGCTGCCGCAGGGTCCTTGGGCGCAGCATCGGCCGGAGCGTCCGCGGGAGGAGCGCTCGCATCCCAGCTGCGACCGAAACGCGCACGGAAAGCCGCGAGGCGACCGGCCTCGTCGTCTTCAACATTCATCAGCTTGCTGCTGGACGGGTTCCAGAGCAGGGAATTGCGCGTGTCACGGGTGGAACGGTAGACGGGGGCGGGCGAGGTGGTGCGGTGCGTGAAGGCGCTGCCGTCGGTGAGGGTGATGAGCTGAGTGAAGGTGTATGGGCGCTTCGGGCGGCGCAGGAGTGAAGCGTGACGGCATTGGGAGCAGACAAAAGTTGTGGCTTTAGATTGGGAGGTCGGGAGTTGGCTGGGCAGGATGGTGGGTGTTGTGCTCGATACCGTGGCCGCGGTGCGGCGGAGGGAGGTGTGCAGGGACATTGTGGGTGGCGTAGTGTCGAGCAACACGAGTAAATGCGAGGGATTGCGAGATAGACAGCCCTAGATAAGTATGCTGTGGAGCTGGGACACAATTAAGGAGGTGAGGGCGGAGTTGCGGCGGGTTGAGGTTATACAACTTCCGAAGCAGAGAAATTATCGGCGATGCACATTACGTAATCGACACGGGGATTTTTGCGGGCAACACCTCTGCTGTCGCGCATTCCCTCCGATAACTCGCAGTCATTCTCTTCGACATGATTACACAGTGACCGAGTAGATTCTTTCTTTTCACGTTCATTTCGTGTCACCTTCCCGCCGCTTGGAGAGAGCTACGCCTGGCCCATCAAGCACAATGAAGCTATCACTCACACCAGTTGCGATGCGGAGAGGACTCGGAGGTGAGTTTATAAGCTCCCATGCAGAGATATCTGCTCTGAATGATGCTAATGGTACGGATTAGGAGCATTAGATTCTACAGTATTGACCTCTCGCTCATCACGATCCTCTTTTGCCGTTCAGATTCAACATTCGTCATACCGTCAACACCCATCCCGGCGACAATTTAGCAACACTACAGCTTTGCAAAGCCAGGCCTCCCAGTCCCACAGCGAAAGCTCTTCAAGCAACCAATCCAATATATCCTCATCTCGGTCCGAATCCCTCTCCTCTACACCCGCGTCCTCAATATCGGAACATGTCCGTCTCCTCATGCGCCAAGTCCCATACCCCGTCGCAATTATAACAGCAACCGATCCCACTGGACCGTCAGACACAACCTCTTTTCGTGGAATGACTGTTTCCTCCTTCAGTACCGTCACACTTACTCCACACCCCGTTATATCCTTCAATGTCCGACGACCATCCGAAACCTTGAATGCCCTCCTATCGTCCGGCCGCTTCCTTGTGCACCTCCTCGCACCTGGCCCGGATACTGCTACGCTTGCCAGAGACTTTTCAAAGGGAAATACTACATTGGCAAGCATGATGAACGGCCATGGAGACTTCGAGTTTGGCGCCTTGACCGCGAAACCGGACCAGGGACCAAGTCAAGATCGACCACTCCCGCTATTAAGACGGCGGGCTCAAAGCTCAGAACAAGGGAATGTGGATTTCCCCATCGTTTTCGAATGTACGCTTCACCCAAGTAAGATCGATGTACATGATCACTCGATCGTGTTGGGTACTGTGGTCCGCGCGATTGAGGGCTCTGGCTCTCAAGAGAGCATTGGTGAGAACTCGCCGCACGACTTGTGTTTGACGTATGCGAATACGCGATTCTGGAAGATGGGGAGTGAGATTTGATCAAATAAATAAAAATCCTGGATAGAGATTTGGTGGGGTTGTACATATTATTTACTTCGGACAGGCGAGACTTCTTATTGTACATACTACTGTGGATTAACTAGTATATAAACAGACAAGATATAGACACCTGGGCATCAATCGCATAATTGGTTACTCATTCATCAAGAACCTTGGAACTTACTACTAGTTAGCAGGAACTAGCAATACCCAACTACAAATGCGCTAGGCCGTTCTTAGTGAATATACTAGAAATCTACGCTACTAGTGATACCTACTAGTAAGTAGGGTGTTTGAACGAAGAATAAGCTTTTTAGTCTCTAGGAACAGAACTGCGATTCATCTCACTGCAAACCTTGGAACCTGATCTAACCAAGTCATACATCTCACCGCGAGATACTAGTTGAGTGTCGAACAGTCAAGATAAGATGACCATCACGAAACAACCCGGCGAGGACAAATATGTGAACGAAGAATGGGTAAATCACGAAAGGCGAACGATGATCCAACCAGATGGATGGGGAAGCACAGGTGCAAAGATCAGACAAGCCATTGATTTAGAAGACGCACAAAACCGAGAAATGAACCAATAAGTCGAGGGTAAGACAAAAAAATTGTCAGGACCCAACGGCTGTTTGATAGATGCCAAATGTCTCAATCTCGGGCCGACCCTGGGCTGCCACTTCCACTTCTGGTACCACCGCTCCCGCTATCAGCCCCACTGCCTCGACTCGCAGCTCGCTGAAAAGGACTTAGAGAAGGGCGACCGCCCTGAAGAAAGCCATTTTCATTCGACGCGGAACGTTGCTTTTCGGAAAGCAGTTCGGCCAGCTCGAGCTGGAGGGGAGGCATCCGCTGAGCATCGAAATACTCGGAGCCATACTGGCTGCTACGGGTTGAGCGGTTAGAGAACGAACGATCTCGGTTGGTATCGGAAGCGAAATATGAGGCACCGTTGCCAGGCGAAGAGGTCGGGAAATGGGGCATGAAAGCATCGTACGTTGGGCTGGTTGGATTTGACGAGTTGGCGTGGACAGGAGACGAGCTATGCAGTGGGCTAGATTTGGCTGGAGGGAAGCTGAGGGCTAGTAACGCCCGGCCATTCGGAGCGGAAGTAGTCGACAAGTTCAGAGACGAATTGTGCGTTTCGGACAAAGGATTCGTGCCTGGCAGATTGCCCTCGGGAGTGAGGGGGCCAGAGTCCAGGAGCATCTGCTGCTGTTGCTGCTGAATCGTTTGTTCGATAGCGGAGGCTTGCTGCCAAAGCTGACTGGTGCGTAGCTGGAAGTCCTGAACAGATTGGCTTATGCTATTAAACTGTTCCTGGAAATTGAGCTCTAATTTGGCATGATCTTGTTCCCGGGCGAATTGTTCAGCCGCACGACGTTCTCTTTCATTTAGTCCCTGGGCGTTGGCGGAGATGATGCGCTCGTACTGTTCGTTGACTCGGGTACGGCGGCCTTGAAGACGCTCGCGTTTCTGAATGACCAGGTTGAGCTCTTGCTCCACAGACGACACCTGTTGAGCGGCAGCAAGACGAGCCTCGGTGAGTTCTTCCTTTATCGCGTTGAATCGGTCCAGTTGTCGCTCAAATTCGGTCTTGTGTGTAGACCACTCTTCGAGTTCTTCTTCGGGAACATTTTCCATATTATCCAACTGCACCTCTAAGGCCGAGGTTGCCTCCTCCGTTTGTCGAATGTTCCGCTCGAGTTGGAGCGAACGCTGCTTTTGGCGATTTTCGTCCGTTCCACTCTGAAGACGGTTGTTGAAATTGTCCAGTTCCTTCCGAATTTTAGAGATGAGAAGCTTGTGGTCGTTCTTGGTTTTTTTGAGTCGGGAGCGCTTTTCGTTTAATTTGGCTTCGGCATTGATGATGGAGTTTTTGAGCGTCGTCGTCGGGGATGAGGGTCGGTAAGGCGGCTGCGGAGGCGCGGGAACTACAGAAACAGCTACTATGTTTGTTAGACTTTGGACAATTATAGGAGAATCATGCTGTGTAAACTCACCTTGCTCTGTATCAGCCGCCGTAGGAGTTTTGACACTCATGACACATATTTCCCTCGTCGGTATCGCTGCGGACAAAAGAGCAAGTATATGCACAGTTGGGAGCGAGTCCGGAGATCTCGCCCCGCCATTGAACCATACTCGGGCCATTGGAGGATTCCGAGACCTTGCAAATCGTAGCAGTTGCCCAAAGCGCCCCATTGACGCACACATAAAAAGGTTCCATATCGCCATCTAATTGACCATTTCCACAAGGACTTGGCACTGCGGTATCATCGACGAGATCACCAGCAGCGAACTTTATCGTAGCACTGTCCACATCTGTGATCCATACTAATCCATCATCGAGAGAGACGCCTTGGAGATCGTCCTCAGTCATTGTGAGACCGCGGGTGGTTTTCGAAGACGCTCGCGAGTGCTCGTACTCCCGCATGACGGTGACCTTGGTGCTAGCGAGGGCGGCCCAGAATGGTTGACGGCTTCGGACTTGATTGGCTTGCCTCCTGCGTTTTTTAGCTGAAGTAAGCCGATCTTTGCCATCCTTGAGAAATTGACCATCGGGTCCGACGAGAGAAGATGAAAGACTGGCAGCGGACTCTAGAGCTGAATCCTGCTGGGCTTGCGATCCGGCGGAGGCCTCAGTATCCCCACGTTTCCCACCCTTCGGTGGGGCGGGACCGATTCTTAGCCATGGACCGTCTCGCCATCGCAGTCCCGGCCTGTGCTAATATATGAACAGCGAGAAGGCTCCTTAGCCAACTCGGAGATGATTGTGATGCGGAACGTCGGAATTCGGCGGGTAAAAGATTTGAAAATTGAGAAAGAATATCAGGGCTGACGAGTTTGGCGGATGCGAGGTGACCTATCACAAATTCCTGTATACCTTTGCTGCGCACGATATGAAGAAGCAGAACAATCCCCACACACAGGCCATTGACCCCGCCGTTCTTCCCAGAGCCTCCGCCGCCGAGCGTGATGGCGACTTGAACGTGGGCTAGATCAATTGCAAAGTTTTGAGCCCAGTTCCACATAAAGAGGCCCCAGAAGAGAACGCAGAAACCATCCATGGCGATCATCGTCCCCAGGGAGGGGGTTCCGGCAGGGCCCTGAAAGATATCGAAATTCGACGACAGAGAACCGGCGGCGGCACCACTCGGGGGCATGAAGGTGAGGGAGGCGAACAAAAATTGGACGAGGGTTAAGACCATTGGAGGGAGTTGAAGCAGAAAAATCAAGATGGCGATGGTGTCGTACATGGGGCACGACTTGAGGATGGTGGACGCGAACTGAAGCGGATTGATTGACGAGCTTGAACCCGATCGTTTGGAGACGCCATTGCGAGAAGCCGAGCCGGCGATGCCGCCGTTTTGCGACGAGGCACCGTTGGTCTGGCTGCAATCCATGTCTCCGCCTCTGCTGTGTCCGTTTAACATCCCACGCACATTGCCATCTGGCTTGGCATCATCCGGCCCTTTTGTCACAAGTGTTGGCGAGGTGATCGCGGTATCACTGGTCGAACGGGTGGCGGACAGATCGATGGGAACGGTGGCCGAGCCGGGGGCAGAGCCGTTGCTGGGCGAGCCGTTCAGATGGCCGGAGGATTTCTGCTTGGTCACTTTCTTGCCGGGACCGACAAGGCCATTATCGTGCCGATTGCTCTGGTTCTTCCTACTCGCGGCAGATGAGCGTGGCATGGACGAGGGAGCCCGAAACCCAGGTCCGAGTCAGCTTGGCGGGATGAGGCCAAGGACCGGGACCAGGCAGGGAGCGGAGGGACGAAATAGGGAAAAAAGGGAATTATCCCGGGTCAAGATGAGGGAAGGAGAGAAATAGAGAGAGAGAGTAGGGAAAATGGAAAGGAAGGAAGAGGAGTGGGGGGAGAGGGGGGGAACAGGTAGAGAAAGGAAGGGTAAAGATGATACGAGAAGGGGAAAAGTGAAAAGTGACCTTGAAGTTGAGAGCCACCAAAGACGAAGAGGAAGAATCGGTCTTTACCGTACGATACGCCGTCGATCATCGCAAAAGCGGCAGGGGCCGCCTGCCGCTTTACCATCAGGGTAGAGTACCAGTATCAATGATGGATTTAGTTTAGCATTCATTAGATTATAGAGGTATTGAGATATTAAAATATTAATTAAATATACTTCATTCCTACAAGTAGCACTGGTATTCAATATAGACAGTTGTCTACTGTATAGTATATGGTATGGTTAGTACCTATACATTTACTCTGAATAGGGCTGGCGTTCCCCAAATAGAAAAACCCTTGCAGTTTCCACTTTTGGGTCTGTACTGCCCAGATGGTAACTTCCCTTTAAGCACCCTCTTACTCTCGTAGTTTCCAGCTCAACATCGCATGATTGATTGCTCTGCTGTCTCTTCACCTTTGGTTTTGCCCCTGCTGCAGCGCTATACCTAGCGTTAGCGCCATTTGCTTCCCGTCTTGCATTCCCAAAAAAAGGGTCTCTTAAGGCTGTGCAAAGCCACAATACGCGGATTCCCGCGGCATTATGATCTGACACGGTTTGTTCCCCCGTTTGCATCCCCGAATCTTCAAGATCAAGTTTCAATCGGTTCAGTATCAACCTGCTATCTCAAGGTCGGTCGATCATTCCCTACACCGTTGGCTGCGGGGTCATTCTTGCGCCAGACCTGGGGCATGCATGGAGACACGAGTCCCTGAGACGGTCCCTAACATTATTGGGGGGGGGGGGGAGATTCTCGCGCTGATGAGCGAGCCTGCAGATGGGAAACACGCACACTTGGCCGAGTCCCGGAGACTGCATACTGTACTAACATCATCCGTTTGGTCTATCTCGGTATCATGCAAGAAAAAAAGAGCAAATTGCCTAGGGTCTTCACATGCTCGGTTATCTCGTGCCTTGGAGGCTCCGCTGAGCAATGGCCAACGTGCGATCCACAATGACCTGGTTACTGGAGAGAGACAAGTGTGAGCAAAACATCCCCCCGCGCAGGACTCGCAGATCCTTTGATCGGAGCCGATGTGCATTTCCACACACCACACACACACACAGAAACACAGAGACCGACCAGTCAAACCAATCCACCCTCAGATTCTGCCCAGTTTTGCACCATCGGCCCCTCTCTTCCACCCCTCAAACTCATCAGGGTGCTTGGCAAAGGTTTCACTCGTAGATCAGCCACCGATATGGTAAGGATCGTCCCTCCCGCCCAGTCTTGGTGATGGCTTGACCCCCCAGATTGCAGACACACTGACAACTTTCCCGTTGATCCTCTCTGCCAAAGGCATGCCGGAAAAACAAACTGCTACATAACGTGAGGGGCTTGCCATGAAATACCGGACATCGCGCAACTTACCCCATGCTCTGTACAAGCTTTTGTGCCGTACCGCCTTTCCCGGCCTGGCACACGGCGGAGAAGTTAGGCCCGATAAACCGTTGGACAAGGTTGCGCCAGCGCCGGTCGATCCCTCAGGGCTCGCTCACTTGCCTCTTTCCGGCTTCTCTGCGCCGACATAACAGGTTAGGCCCCCGAACTGCTTGCCCGCGATCGGGTTATGTAGCCCGTACACTAGGACGCCCAAATTTTATTTTTCTTTGGCGAATAATAAAATCAAATCCATACATACTATTCGGGCTAAACTTTCCTGCATGTCTACTTATCACATTCCAATGCGCGATGCTAATACGACGTGGCAAAGGGGGGGGGGGGGTGTTAACACATTAACTCTGGCGGTGTGCTTTACATGACTATGACTGGCGTGTAGTTAAGTGATTTCTCCGATCGTCCAAATGGCTGACGAGTCTTCCACTGTCAGTACTAGTAAGAACCCATACCTATTTATAAACCCAGTAGTAATGCAAGTGCTCATTTTGATTACTTCTGCCAGAGGATGACTGTATGTATCCACCAAAAAACCGGTATTTTTGCATCATAACCCTAGAACCTTTGCAAGGTGCCAAAGAGAGCTTGTATCCGAATGTCCAGCGAAGCTAGGAACAATCTCTTTCCAGGCAAATTTCAATCGCTCGAGTTCTATGAAAAGTGGCGAACGGCTCTCAGGTAATTTTTTGGTATTGCGTATCCAGATTTGATTCTCGCTGTGGTCGGCCCTGATGTCTTCAGTTTTACCTTTAGCGCCACCAGCTGGGATAGAATTTCAGCTGAGCCCTGCGATCGAGATGTCCTAATGACACTCCTTTTTTAACTCTTAAGACCATCAGGGGTAATCTAAAATGAACTCAAATCCCCAAAAGTTCGGATGGTAGTGCAAAGAAATGGTGTAAGACTACTAGTACAAGAAGAAAACAGGCATTGGATGTTTTATGTACCAATTTGAAGAATCCGCTACCATAGACTCTCTGAAAACATTCCAAAGGCATATCACCTGGGCAGTCATTTCAATCATGCGTGTAGAAGCGATAATCTCCACCGTCACCCAATGTAATTTGAAACTTGAATATACACAAATCTATTCTGGCTAGCCACTTTCATCACTACACAGAACAAAATATAGCCAAAGGACAGTCAAACCTAACCTAACAAGCAACTGGCAAGGCACCAAACTCCGCAGGGGCATCGAAGAGGTTCAGTTCCTCGCCACGGCGACGAGTCAACCCATCAACGACCTCGCCATTAGCCTTGTTCCACTGGGGAAGCTCATCATGAGCCACAGTAACGACATCTTCACCGGCGTTCATACGCGAGACAAGATCCGAGCTACCCATATTTCCGTTGCCAACATTGTAGGTCCAGGAGACCAACGCGGCATACTGATTGTCATTGAGGGTGACGGGATCTGCCAAGGCATTGGTGAGTCCATCTTGGTAGCTCTGTGTCTTGTTAGTCGCCAGGCCATGTTTCTGAGCCAAATAAGTGTTAGTAACTTACCACCAGATCACTAGCCAGAAGCTGGCTCGCAGACTCTTCAGTTAAAGGCTGGTTTGCTACTTCGGAGCATGAAGCGTCGCCGCAGAGATGGCCGTAGCCGATCGTAGGGTTGCCGAAACCGTCGTCATAGACGCTTGGTTCGAAGGATTCGAAGCTCTTGATCAAATTCAGGCCATTCGCATTGACCGGGGGTCCGGTGCAGGCAATTGCCAGAGCAGGCAGAGCGGCGACAAGAAGCTTAAAGGACATGATGGACGACGAGAAAGGCAGGAGTTGAGTGAGAGAAAAATTGGATATTACAGTTCCAGTCGATGCCCGAATCTATCTCGAGCTTTTAAATCTTCGTAAATTGTTGGCCAAGACGCTATAGTCTCTTTGGATAGAGCTTTTAGGTTCATGCTTCGTAACAATAGGTTGATGGGAAGGAAAATACGAGAAGAATCGGGGCTCCAAAGCAAGAGATTATGCAGGGGCACGAACAATGGCAAAGAGAACATCGACCTTGAAAGCAGTGGGAGATAGAGATCGTCATGAAGTGGAGGCTGATGGGGTTTAGATCGGCGATCTCCAGCCTATTATTAACTCATAATGTGCAGTGAGGCTTTCGACAGGAATGCAGAACGGTTAAAGTTGGATAGAATTTTTCCTGATTCCTCTCGTACTTTCCGAAAATCGCCCCATTGTAGTCTCCAAGTTCAAACCAGAATGCCCAAGCAGAGCACGGTGGCTCGTGTTAATCGTTGATCTTTGCGTTTCAGTCTGGCCCCCAGATTCTTGGCTCGCCCTTCCGGTTTCTTAGTTGGTGGATGGAATACGAGCTTGTCCACCTTTCGCCCTAGCATTGAAAGTCTACTGAATTGACGATAAAAATCTCACTGAATAATGAGACTTTAGTGGCATTCTGATGATCGACATTGATGGCTTACTATCTCCAGATCGATCCCACTTACGGCGTTTTCCAACAGTCATCTTTCGAGCTTGTCATGCTCGGTTGAAGCAAGCAACGAGCATGCATTTGATCTTCGTTGCTTGCTTTTGTCGACTCTTGTCATTGCTCAAAATTAGCCTTCTATTCAAAATCCTAGATCCCTTTTTTCTTCTTCCCCTGCCCTGTTTAATAGTAACGGCTGTGCATGACCTTTTCACTGATCTATAATGTGTTCCCATAATAAATCGAGACAAGTGCCCCTTGTCAATGAGAGTCAATTAATAGATATTAAACATTAAGAATAAGTTATTAAGTAGTATCACCTGCGTTATTATCCTAGCGCAAAGTATATGTTCATCACGTCATCCTTCTTCACCACAGAGCATAAGTCATGGGATAGTATTATTTTCCATTGAAACGGATGATGGTCAGGATTGGAAACTTTCCATAACTATGCTATCGTCATAGCCTAGACATCCTCAAGCCCAGGCTTCGTGAGTTGCTTCTTGGCCTTCCGTTGAACATGACAAGCTCTCGAGGCAACGATCATCAGATCATATTGAATGCTCTCCAAGCCCGGTTTACATTAGCAAAGCTCCATCAAAGCGAGAAGCTAGATTCTTCTCAGCTTACATCCCAAGAAACATCAATGAGCATCCAAAGTCTTCCGTTCCGTACAGGATTTCGTGCATATTATTCTTGTAATATCCATAGCCACCCGCATGCCAGCCTCCCAGCTCTTGCATATCGAAACACATGGTGATGAGCTGCGCGAGCCAGGCAATGCAGTCGAAGCAGATGATGACTCCAGGAGGGATAGTACAGTTGAAGACGAGCACCACGAGGAATACCACAGTGGACCAGACAAAGCCGTAGGAAGCCTATTGTTCTATAAATTGTTAGTCGATTGAAGATGCGATCAATGACTCTGTTTCTTGTAGACTTACCGTTCCCAGGTTTATCCCGGCCCATGCACTACCAAGTCCATCGGTGGACACTACGCCAGCCTCATGTTGTGGGTATGCCCAAGCAAAGCAGACGATGGGTACAATCGTGCTGATAATGACGCCGAAACGAAGTGACAGGAAACTGAGAAATTTCTTCTGTTGACGAGGTACTACGTCTGTGTGCCAACCAGTGTAGGACTCTTCATAGTAGCTTGAAATCTCGAATTAATTGAATCAAATGAGACAGATAGGCATAGCATTATTCGAAGGTGAGATGTATCCTATTTCCGGAACTGACAGGCTGCCTCAACCCCGACTTGCCTCGCGCAGAGACAACATCAACGGAGAGCAGAGATATCGCCCCCCAAGGCCGCGATGAGCCAGGAGGGGGTCATCATGCCCGAGGAATGATGAAAGAAGGATTAAAGAGAGTGTGTGGAATGAGAAAATATAATAACAGAAAAGAGTGTAATGAGGCTTGTTCTCCCATTCTCTACCTAGGGCTCTTTGCCGCTTTCATACCTGATGCCCATCCCATGTCTTCAGCTTAGGACCCCAAAGTTCTGCCGGAGATAATACTTGGCGAGGTTGCGAGGAAGAGGAATATTACCAGGAAATGAGTATCCACTTTTTGAAAAATTTGGCCCCCTGAAAAGTGATCTAGTAGGAGTCTAGCGGAAAGAGCTGTAGGGCTGGATAAAAATTTCCACCAAGCCAAGCGGAACAAAGAGGATAAGATGCCAAGAACTAGCGCGGAAACCTACAAGCGATAGCTTGGCTGCGTCTCAAATGTACATAACTCTTATCAGAAGACACGCCTGCCCAACTCACCTCTCGCGTAAAATTCAGGGGCTCGGACAACATAGGTTTTCACTTCCCCAATATTTTGGCCCCCTCCAGTTGCACTCTCTTATTGCAAATTACTGATTTCTCATCGTACAATGTTGTTCCTTGGGCTTCTGTTAGCCCTATCGCAAGTCCCCTGCTGTTGGGCGATTAATAGTCGAACATTGGAAGTGGACTTGGTCCTACCTCGGAATGACACTTATCCACCTTCGCCAATATTTCCCATCATCTTCGCTGTTCAAAACCCGAGCCTCGCGGAAAAGTTTCAGCCCATGATCACCTTGCAAGTGCATCAGGTTGGCGGAAACTTGAGTATTTCCGAGACATACAAACTATGGGAAGGATACAATGATACTAGCAACACCCGCTTTCTAACTTGGGGTAACTCGAAGTTCGACTTTGAGGGAGAGTTCAAGTTGACCTGGGACCTCAGCGTGGATAGATGCTACATGGACAATAAGACACACGAAGTAAATTTCGGAAGATTCGACGAATTCGAATCCCTCTTCTTCACCACTAAGAATGGCACCTCGCCTCCAGATTTTGTCGCTGCAACAGACGACGACACTTGTGACAAAGCGCTGGCGCAAGCTATCAACTATGCGGATCTTTCCAAGGTCCCAGCATCAGAAAGCACTTATGGGCCCTCCTGTCTAGCAGCACCCACCACTCTTCCCAAGACTACGAGTCCTTGCAACGTCAAGATCAACTCATCAGCCGCAGCAAGTATGTCGGCAGCCATGACATCTACTGCTTGTGCTCGAGACCGAGCTGGGGTAACTTGTCCGACTCCAACCTCTAAGAATGCAGCCTCTAAATCAAATTCGAACACGGGTGACGTATGGATTTTGACGACGGTTTCCTTGCTCGCTTACAGTCTCGCATGATTCATGTCGGCTATTCCCACATGGCCCAAAGGGGCTTGACTTGTTTTTATTCTTAACTTCCAGACCTTTACCGCCGAGTGTGTACGCTAATTGCTGTGACCTTCTGCAATTTAAAAATGTGATAACACTCTGTTTCCATCTATTTTTGAAGATACAAATGCGTTATGGTCAGCATGCGACCTGGCAAACAGTACAGATAGATAAAAAAAATTGTCTCGATCTTTGTCTTTATATTTTAATATCTTCCTTCAGTCTTTATTGAACTTTCCGCTCTCAGGTCACACACAAGCCTATATAGCCCTGCTCCTGTAACCTCATCTCGATATTTACTAGTAAATAGTAGTATATAAGTACAAACGAAGTACCCTTCGGCACCCGGGCCAAGAGCCGGGGGCCAACTACAAAATTAAACCGATGTTACTCTGGAAGACCTTTGTATCACATTGTACTACCGGCCGATCCGGAACGGGCCGGATTCGCATATCATAGGTGGATTATTCCCCACTAGTGCCTTGTCGGGGGGGGGGGGGCTCTTAGGACGATGGCTGTAACTTCTCATTGACTCGCTAAAGATTTTCTTGGCTTTCAGGTCCCAGTCAGCCTCGTCCGCCGCCACTATGCCTGTTGCGGTATAATCTGCGAACTGTTGGTATTGCTTCACAGGAAAAAAGGGGGGGACGGGGAGGAGGAGGAGGAGGAAGAAAAGGATAATCCAAGAAAAAACAATCTAACAAGCGGGACTCTATAGCCGGTCTGATAAAAAGGCTACACTTGCAATTAAATCCGCAGCAGGTGGAGGCTAAGGATTGGCATAAAAGCAGGGCCAGGGGCCGCATGTCGAAGAAGCAGAATCAACATCCCAGCCTCTTTTTCTTCTTTCATCTCTTATCTGTCAGACCATGGTTACAAGGCCGCTGTTATTCTGGGATTGATTCCCCAGTTAATATCTGCAGACGTCATCTGCAACTTCTCCACCACCGCTAGCAGTGGGGATACTTGCACATCCTTCGCTACATCCTGGGGGTCAACTCTCGCAGACTTCCAAGCTTTGAACCCTGGTGTCTCGTGCCCGAATCTCACAACCGGTCAAAGTTACTGTGTCATTGGCACTGTCACCAGCGAGTCAGGGATCACCACCAAGGCTACTATCACCACGACTTCTAGTACAACAAAGGCCGCGACAACCACAACCTCTACTCAGTATGAGCCCGCCGTGCCTGGTTTGCCGTCTAACTGTGACGGCTTCCATCTCATCGCGTCCGGCGACCAATGCGATGCAATTGAGGCGAAGTACGGCATCACCGATGCCCAGTTCAAGGAATGGAACCCTAGCATTGATAGCAGTATGTTTATAGCTTCGATATCCCCTCAAGTTCTGGATTGAGACATCCTCTGACACGTTGAAATTAGATTGCTCCAACCTCTGGCTGGGCTACTACGTCTGCGTGCACGTCCCGGGAGCCACCACAACTGCCTCGACCCCCGAGCCGACATCTACAGGACCCGAGCCCTAGATGCCTTGCATTGTGAGCACCTGCCAGACCTACTACAAGGTCAAGTCTGGCGATAGCTGCTACTCGATTGATTTGGCAGCGGGAATCACCCTTGCTCAGTTCCGCTCCTGGAACACCCAGATTGATGCCACTTGCACTAATTTGTGGGTTGACTACTATGTCTGCACAAAGGCCGAGTTCCCTGCTCAATTCTTCTGCTCGGCACAGGTGATGTCCATATTTGAGTCTAGTTCTGGCCTTGTTTTGGGTTGACATCCGTCAATGGAGATCTGGATTCCTATAGATTGCCGCTTTTATAGATGGCACAGCCTCCGGGCGGGTGGCGAGGCCAAGAATATTGCAAGACTCCCCGCCAAAATATCGAGAGGTCTTCTCTACATGATTGGAGCCGAACTTCTGCAAAATTCTAAAAGCAACAGACCTTAGAATTAGAGTCTCGCGCTAAACTTTTTTGGTGTTCTTAGGCGCCCATTCTCCTTGACTTCGCCATAATTGTTTGTCTTGGCGCTTCTTGGGCTTGGCACCAGGGGCGGAATGATGGGAAACTTCCAATACGTCATGCAATTCAATTCAAGTTGATTTAACTCTTGAGAGATTGGTGATATGTAGTATGGAATAAATTATTTCACCTGTGGTGTGGTCGGGGACTATATTGGATAGTAAATCAGTCTAGCCCGAGTCTAGATATTGACAGGAACACCCAGGAAGGTTCAGTTGCACATACCAATAGTCGATCGGGCATTAAAACGTGTGAATAATCATATAATCCTCAAGATAGATCTTTGTAGTTGCGTCGACAGAAACATGATGCCTGAATCGGTATATCAGCCATAGCCAAAGCGAGCCTTAACTGAGGTTTCATAGTCCTCGCTTCCGCTGCTCTACCAAGTTTGACTAGACATTCGTGATAACCATGCAGGGCCCAAACATTATTAGGGTGTCTCAAGGCGCGAGGGAGAGACTCGTCAATTCCGAGATCTGCAGAATAAACCTTGCTGGCCTCCTCTACTTGGTTCTGTTCCAACAACAATGCTCCCAACGCATGTCGAGTAGGTTGCATCCAGCCCCATGGTTCATCGTAAGGCAAGTTATCATCTCGGTCATTTGCGATGCGGAGACTGGCGAATGCAGCGTCGTATTCACCGCAGCGGTAAGCGATTTCTCCGTCGAGCATTGCTTCAGCGACGGAGATGATATCGAGACAAGTATTATTGAAGATGGTTCGAGATGAAGGAACCAGCTTTTTTGTAGAATTGAAAAGATCCCTCTCTTTCTTTGCTTCATCAGTACGGCCCATCACAGCCAAAGCAACGCCCCTGGCGTAGTGCGTCATGGTAGTTGTGCTGCAGTAGAGGACTTGGTTAGTTGGTAGCTCCAGGCTGAGAATTTCCTCCCAGCGACCGAATCGAATTAAAGCATGCACTCGTGTGGAGACAAATCCTTCGAGCCAATCTGCCAAGGGTGGAGATTCAACTCGGAGAAGGTCCTCCGTGAGGGATTCCGCGAGCACAGTGGCCGTTTCGATGGCGATTTTGGACTGGCCGCCTAGCATAGCTGCATACATGCGGAAGTGGTAGTCATGCGCCCGGTAGAGGTTGTAAAAATGGCCTAGTGACTGGTTTGCTAGGAACTTCTCGTCGGCGCGGATCGCGGATGTATTTGATGCCACTGCTCGACGGTAGTCGCCGCATAGTATATCCAAATGAGTTGCCATATGCTCAAGGTGTCCTGCGTCGGGTACCAATCCACGCAAGTTATCTGCGATTGGAAGCGCAGTCTCTGGCGTGGGAGACATCTCCATCAGATGAATGTACAAGTGCAAGAGGCCGGGGTGTCCGAGGGCATCATCACTGGCCAAGGCGCGATCCAGTACCTTCTTCACCTTGAGGGTTGGAGCATCCGGAGTTGGTTTCCCGGTTTTCAAGTCCCACAGGGTCCATGGAGTGAGGTTCATCAAGGCATCGGCGTATAGTGTAATGACATCTAGGTCCTCGGGAAAGGCGTCGTATACAGATTCCATGGCGGTGGCATATTGCTTGTTCCATTCAGTGCAATCCCCCAAGGGCTCCTCTTGGGGATACCGGTGCTTTACGGCATCGATTAGGGCTCTCTCGACGGGCGATGCTGCTCCTGCCTGGTTCCTAGCTTCCCAGGCGGCGGCGTGAGCCCGCGTGGTGGTCGTCAAAAGGTCTTCTCCATCGTATAAAGTCCATGGTTTATTGTAATTCGGACCCAGCGCGAAGGCAATACCCCAATATCCCATAGCACAGGTCGAATCGAAGATCACGCATTGTTCGAAACATCGTGCAGACTCCTGGTGGTTGAAGGCGTATGCCCAGATGAGGCCACGGTCGAACCAGGCCTGGGCATCGGGGTTGGAGGTGCTGACGCGTCGCTTGTAGGGCCCAAGATCATAGTAAGTCTCGGATGAAGAGAGCTTCTTTGGGACTGAGGTCTCATGCCAGACTTTCGCCATTTTACCCACCGTTGTGGTTTTTGGTCAGGTGGGTTGACAAGTCTCGCTCTCCGCGGGCAGGTGGGGCTTGTCCAGCATGTCATGACCCGATCCCGTCGCGCCTAGCCTCGGTCGGCATCACAATGTTCTCCCGTGTCCTTCGGGCCTCTTGTCCTCCACTTTCCCTGTCCACATTCACTCACGCGGATATCCAACTCCATTTTAATTTGTGGAGTTTCGGGTACTGGAGCTACTCGATAAAATATTTCGAATGGCATCTGACTTGAAACAGAGGGTCTGTAGGCCTCAGGCATTCAATCTGCCCCCACAAAATGCGCAGATTTGAGCAGATCGGCAGGACTAGCCTCATTGGGGAGTATATCTGCTCGATCCCGCTCACCTTGGTGGCCGACCTTGCGGGTGTAAGCTGCGCCTATATAGCATGGGTATCATGAGACCCTCTCTTCTTTTCTCTTGAACCTCGACCTGTCCAACCGTTGCACATATTACAACTCATAGATCCATCGCTGCATTCTTGCATTTTCCACCCTTTCAACATCATCAACCTCAACCCTCAAAATGTGTGGTGAAACCAACCGGCCTACCTTTGGAGGCACCATCGCCGTGCTCTTCCCACGCGACAACAATCTTTCTTCAGAGCGATCGCTTTCTTCCTCCCCAGACTCAATCACCTCACAATCTACATCGTCGTCAACATCTTCTCTATCCTCCTATTCACTCTTTTTCCGCGATACGAACGACCAAAAAACCAAGGCTATCTTCCAAATCGACGACCCAGAGACCTACCAAACATTAAAGGGTCTTGGAAATGTAGATATGCGCATAGAGTAAGTGTTCAATCCTTTTATTCGAGTGTCGCTATTAATACCCCTTCGACAGGAAATATGGGGATCTCTCGACTTCATTTCCCCCCACAGCCCCTCTCCACCAGTTCCGATTAGATTTGTCCCAGAACAAATGTCTGAAACCTGGATTTCGCCAGACAGAGATGGAATTTGAGCTACCCGAGCGGCTGGACCTGGGTGTCTCCGAGAATGGTGTCGTGGGTAGACAAGTCACCCTTCGCGAAGCCGAGGGAGCAGTCCTCGGTGTAGGCATCGTGGGGTTCAATTAAAGCAAATGGCTTAAATAGAACTTCCTCTCTACCATATACTCAGCATACGAAATTTGATATCCATTTGATTTGAATTTGGGCGGTTACTTTGTTATCATCAACTGGGTCATGAATCTTGCAACGAACGGCAGCAGGGAAACGTAAGAGATGTCGAGCAGTCCACCTTTACAGCTTGACAGGGTTCTCAACACCGGCCTTGTAGCGCTTCTCCGCCTCAGCCCAGTTGATGATCTTCCAGATTCCCTCAATGTAGCCAGCCTTGTTGTTCAGGTACTAGTAGCCAAGGAGTCAGTATGAAGCTTTGGTCGGCTCCAGTGGTGGGACTTACTTGGAGATAGTACGCATGCTCCCACATGTCAACACCAAAGACAGGCACATCCTCAGCCGAGACAGGATCCTGATCCTTTGTGGTGGTAATGTCGAGACGGCTCTTGGGTCCGCCAGTGCTGACGAGCCAGCCCCAGCCGCTGCCCTGGATACCGAGAAGAGCGGCTCCGAATGCCTTTTTGAAGGCGTCCTCAGACCCCCAACGGGAGACAATTGCTTCCTTGAGAGAAGGAGCAGCACCGGCCAGGTCGTTGCCTGGAGTTCCGGGTGGGGTGAGGTTCTTCCAGAAGAGGGAGTGGTTGATGTGACCGCCGCCGTTGAAGCGAATCTTCTGCTGCAGGGAGATCAGGGTCGGGACATCATTTGCCTGAGTCGCTCCAACCTGGGAAGACAGAGCGGCGTTCAGGTTGTTGACGTAAGTCTGGTGATGCTTCTGGTGGTGCAGCTCCATGATCTGCTTGGAGATCACGGGCTCAAGAGCCTGGTTGAGATGAGAAAATGATCATTCAGACGTATTTTGGGGGCAATTCTTACATCGTAGGCATAGGGGAGAACAGGGAGAGTGTGGGCCATTTTGACGGTGTGGTATGGAAATGTTTGAGGGTTGGAGGGTGAGAAGTGGAAAGTCGAAGTCACTGGGAAATGCGTGGGTATTAGAGCCTCCAAGGTCCTCCCCCATTGGGAACCCCTCTTCAAGTCGAGAGCACCCCGCAGCCCCCAAAGTAGTAGATAAATTCCGATGACGATATTATTTGGGGGATTGTTCTATTGGAAGTTGCATGGGGTACCTAAGGAGTTGGCGCTATGAGGTGCGAAAGATTGAGCACATTTCGGGCCCACCAGCTAGGACGCCTACAGCCACGATTGCTTGTACCCTGTGGATATCTCAGCCTTTCCAAAACTTTCTGTTTCTGCCCCGGGCAGAGCATAAATTATTTCCGAATAGCAGTGATCGTGCGTAGCGTATTGATTTACCAATGCAGTTGATAGTCATGGTACACCGCAGGTAGGCTCTGAGTATAGACCAGGTGCATATTTGAATCGATCTATAAGGGCCCTGCATCTTGGTATTTGAATAAGACTTCTCACTAGAGATCATCAGCGGCCATATCACTTAACGTGCAGTCGTGGATCAAACTGGCCTCGAGTACGGATTATGTTGGTGCCTCAGGTGTCTGGTGATGACTTACAATTCTCCATAACCTGACGGGGCAGACGGCAGAAGTATCCGTGGATAAGACCTGGCTCATCGCAAGGCCCAATAAAGTGGTGTTAAAAGGAGTTCTGCTAATCATCCACTAGAAAATGGGTATTTGGCGGGGCAGCTTGCGTTATTAATTACCCTTTGAAGTAATAAAATCGCGAGTCTTCTTACAACCCAACATAAATTAACCCTTGAAGTCAAAAATACCCGTTCGCGATATGAGGGGTAGCTAGGTGTCACCCTTGCGATTGCCGCGATGCTTAACTAACATGAAATAGGCAGTTGTCCCAACTCGGACCTACCCGCACTTGCAGCCGTAACCTTGTCTGACAGCCCTGGAGGTCCAGTAGTTACTAGTCTAGCTTCAAACCGCGCTAAAAATGGCTCGACCCTGAATCGGGGTTTCTGGGCAAAGGGACCCGCTTTACCCATTCAAATTGTTTCCTATTGCCGGATGTTGATAGGCATCGATTTGGCGGCTGATTCAAGTTACTAGTAGTACGTCCTATAGTATATGGGATGGGTAATTATGAGTTATATATTATGTTCTCCCAAGGTCTCTTTTTCCTAGTTCTTATAAGAAAATAATCTTCCAAGGTTGAATTTGCTAAATAATCTCAAGAATTTCGTTTCATGCTTTTACTACAAAACGTCCTTGGGCCACTATCAGCAAAATGAATTTTATTGCTCCACTACTCTGCGGAAATATTCACGTCGCCCACTGGCAAGGATCTTCACCCAAGCCAAAGAAGAAAAAACTCCTGGCGTCTATCGTGAAAGGATCTTCCTCGCGATATATTCAGGAGAATGAGATATTGTCCCGCAACCAAACAAGGGAAAAATCGTTAATCTTTATGGTGGAACAGGAGGTACCGGTAAGTGATGAAAGTATGGAAGATAGTTGATTTTATAGCCTGAAATTGACATTAGACACAGAATGAGCTCAGGCATCAATTCAAAAAGCGAAAACTGCGAAAGGGAACTTGAAACATTCACCAGGCTCATTGGTTTTGTGGTTCCCTAGTACCTTCAATATTCTAGGAGGCTAGAAATTGCTGGTTAGGACGAGCGGGACCGACTTGTTATTGATGGGCTTGATGATTAGATGATATTCAATCAGGAATTTCAGATTGATCTCTTATTACCGAATATCCAAGTATTACCGAGAAGTAAGATTTAGTTAGTTTTGATAGATCAAATAATTAGCCGACCGGAAACCTGAAAGTAAAGCTGACGCTCAATAGTTATGGGATAGCTTTCCTGAAGCTAACGCGTAATATTTGAACAGTAAAGTCTAAGTGGGGAGATGCCTAGTAACCCGCAGGATAGTTAAGACTCTAGTTTCACCGGATACCTACCCGTGGGCCATGCATCATGCAAATCTATGCCAAGTTGTTGTAAATCAATTGTGACCCCAGCACCGGCAGACCCACCTAGGCCCGTGAGGTATTGGCGGAAAATTCCACAATATTTGACATTTTCATAGTTCATAGTTTACCCGCCCCTTGATCCACTACAGGCCGCAGGTTTTCTTATCACACTTGGGTAGGAACGAAAGCCCGGTGGATAGGGCGGGGAAGCGCTTGGGCTTGGTAGTGTCGATTCGGCCCATTGCTGGGGGACCTTCCCAGATAGGTAATGCCCCCCCCACTCGGTATGATAGCCAACTCTTCTAGATGTGTGTTTGGAGAGCAATTAAAAGGATTATGAAGTCATTAAAGAGCCCCAAAACCTACTTAATTAGCAATTTTTATGCCTTTGTTTCTAAAAGACCTTACCTCTACCATATTTTTCGACTTTTCTGGACACAAAATCAAGATCGCCAAAATGGTTGACTTCTCTGGTGTTTCTCTTGAGGGCAAAACTGCCATTGTCACTGGTTCCTCACGGTACTTACCATTTTGAAGATTCAACTACACTTTTTAACATTGACTAATGGCGGTCTAGTGGTATCGGTGCTGGTATTGCCCTCCAGCTCGCTAAGCGTGGTGCCAACGTTGTTGTCAACTATGTTTCTGAGGGCAGCAAAGAGCGCGCAGATGAAATTGTCAAAAAAAATTCAGAAAATTGGCGCAAAGGCCATTCTATGCCAAGCTAGTGTGATGAATATTCAAGACAGTCCCCGCCTTGTGGAGGCGGCCTTACAGATTAGTAAGGATGGAAAGATTGATATCCTCATTCACAAGTAAATTATTACCCCAAGGCGGAATTTTTGCAAGCAACTAACAAATAATCAGCGCAGCGCTTGGAAATGAAGCTGACTTGAAGGATGTTAATGTGGAAATGTACAACTCACACTTCGACTGCAATGTCCGCGGCCCTATCTTCCTCACCCAGGCCGCTCTTCCATATCTGCCCCGTGGTGGTCGTATTATTTTCATCTCATCTGCTGCTGCCCGTCTTGGAGTTGCTGGTCAGACTGTCTATGCCTCTACCAAGGCCGCCAATGAAGCACTGGCTCGCGTGTGGGCAAAGGAGCTGGGTCACTCACACGGAATCACTGTGAACTGCGTCAACCCTGGCCCTGTTGCTACTGGTAAGATAAAATACCCCAAAATTTCATTTGAATAAAATTCATTTATAGCTAATTGGTTTTATAGATCAATGGTTTCAAAGTGACGAGCAGTTCTTGAAGGATATGCAGCCTATGATCGAGGCTACCCCGGCTGCCCCTCGTGTGGGCGAGGTTGAAGATATCGCCCCCTTGGTTGCTTTTTTGTGCACTGAGGACTCTAAGTGGACCACTGGCTCTGTTTTGTCGGCGAACGGTGGTCTTTACAATTAGGGCAACAATGGTAAATTGTTGAGAAAATTCAAGAAATGTGAATATTCAAATCACATCTTATGTGAAAGGAAAATAGGAAGATAGTGACATCCGTAGAGCTTTCGCGAACTTGAATCTGCGAATTTGTTACAGATAAAAATGTGCCTTCTGACGGGATAGCGTAAAGAATGGTAGCTACAATGAGAGTTGTTTGCAGGTCAAACATTCCTGTCTTTGAACATTCGCAATAGGTCAAAGCTGTTCAACCTGACGCAAGACTTGGAGAGCCAGGTTAAAAAACCATGCAATTGGTCGACTCCTGATGATTGATTATTTACAAAATAGCATTGAATATTTACATACGAGAAATTTTGGAAACTTTGGAGATTGCTTTTGATGTCCACTATAAACACATTATTACCGAATCACCCGCGGCCTGGCTTGAAATGTGAAAAGACCATATGGTATTCAACTCAGTTGGTTTTAAAATCGGGCAACAACATATTGAAGGCTGCTATATACAACTGTGAGGACCACTCAAGCAATACATCACTCACAGACGAGCGTCATGTTCAGGATCATTAGGCGAGTTAGCACCAAGAATCCCAATTTCGTTCATAACAGTGTCAGCAGCCAGTGCACCCTGCTCCATGGCACCCTCGATGAAGGCGCGCCAACCAGAGGCCCAATCGGCGTTAGCCATGAAAACATTTCCGTGACGCTTCTGCAACTCAGCTAGATACTTGGTAAGGTAGCCAGTGCGGTACCACGCGGGGCCAGCCTGAGAGTAAGGGTCGGATATCCAGTCATGGAAAAGCAGCTTCTTGATCTTCATGGGGTGGAAGCGCTGTAGAGCGGCTTCAAGACGCTCGGGCTCCTTGATAGGGTCAAGCTTGCCTCGGTTGTCACCAGCGAAGGAAGTGATACGGGTGGACTGATTACCAGCACAGAAGCCATCACCATATACATAAAGGAGATCACCAGGCCATGTGCAGCCACGGAGGCCGCGTAGGTCTCCCTCTACCTCGGCGTGAACCTTGGTCAAGTAGTTAAGATGGCCAACGCGCATGGCCTCTTGGCGCAGGGGTGAAAGGGGTGGATCGAAGTGGATAGTGTGCAGAACGGTAAGAGGGATAGTGTTCACAACACGACGAGCACGGAACTCCTTCGCAGCAGTGGTACCAACAGAAACAACACCATGGCGGTCAACAATAGATTTGATGGGTGTCTTGAAAGAGTATCGCAGGCCGAGGCGAACAGCATCATCAAATATACGACGAGCAAGGGCGGATTGGCCGTCTCGGATCTTGTAAAGAGTCCAGACTTCCTCGAAGGTCTCAGGACTGAATCCTTGAAGAGCCTGAGCGCGGAGCATCTCAAGATAACCGACATCCTCGACGGAACCGGCGCACATGTGGGGGATCAAAGACTCAAGGAGGGCGAGCTCATCAGCGGATAGCTCGTCCTTTATCTGGTTGATTCGATCACGGCAGGACATCTGGTCTACAGCCTGGACCTGTTCGAAAGAGACACGAGAGTTGCCGAGAGTGGAGTAGGGAAGAGGACATAATTTCCTACCATCGAGACCATCATAGTTCATGAAGAGCTTCCAGGCCCGCTGGGTCATCTCACCAGCGCTTTCAAGGGAGAGCTTTCGTGAACCGGAGCCGGTATCGAGAGTGAAGTATGAACAGCCTCCATCATCGGTGCGGGTCATTTGCACATGGTCCTGCAGACCGTAGCGCTGCATCTCAGCAAAAAGGCGACCGTGGACGTGCGAAACCCAGGTTCCACCCATCTCATATGTTGTCCCATCGACCTCTGCGGACCAGGTACGACCACCGACACGGTCACGAGCTTCCAAAAGAAGAACTTTATTACCTATTTGTGATCACATTAATATCTCTCAGTGTTTCCGGTGAGGCCGTATTCCGAATTAAGTCGCAGACAACTCACCGGCCTTGACAAGGTCACGGGCGGCAATTAAGCCAGTGTACCCAGCGCCAATAACAATTGCGTCCCATACTTTACCGGCTTCAGTATCACCTATTTTGCTCTGCGGCTGTATGAAACCGTAAGTCCGAAGACCCTGGACCAAGCCGTCGTGCTTGGTGTAGGTGTAACCGTCGTGGGAGAGCGCGGCGTGGTAAGACATGGTGGACAGAAAAGCTTAGGCTTGAGGAAAGTAGGGTGCTGATGTACTAGAACCTCGTTAAAATATTATGGAGGTTGAAAGCATGGACTGTTTCCTGGCAACGACGTGGAGTTCCACCATTTAAAAAGGATGAACTTGGCCTGATAGGGGTTGAAAGAGCCAAGGCTGAGACGCTTTCCTCATGGAGTTATTTACTCAGCTTGCCATTCGCTACATGATAATAAACTTCTGGCAAATGAAAGGTGTTATCTTGCTGTCCACTGCATTGTGGCTTACTTCTCCGGCCTTTTAGACGGTCGTTGCGTGGCAGGCTGCATGCCGTGATGTAGATCAATTGCGCGAATATTGATGATATTCGACTATGACCCTTAAGAAAAATGATCATATATCAGCCTGAAGGCCTTCTTCAATGAAATTCTCCAGCAATTTGCCGCAAGATTCTAGATTTTCCTGAACGCAAGCTCCCGGAACGATAGACTCCATCGGTTTCTCCGCTTCTAACTTTTGACTGTGAATGGAAATTTGTGTATAAGACTGTAGCAAAACTGTTATTCAGTGTATGAGTAAATCTAGATTAGTGGGGCTTTAGATTTCATGCTGTCAAGGCTTTCGACGTTCATTGTGGTTGGGAATGTTACCCGATTTGGCAGCGCCACAAGCTCAAGCCATAAATGCCCTGTCATCCACAGTCGGATCCGCCCGATTGAAACAGAAGTATGTATGTACACGATAGTAGTCTCCCCACAATTCAGATCTTCTCACAATTTACTCTTTTTGGATAAATATACGCGAGGCAGTCAAGTGGCGGCTGTTAAACAAAACTTGGATGAGGAGGATGCGGGCATTACTTCCCGATGCAGCATTCTATATGTTGTTAAGTAGCTCAACAGCAATCAAAAATGTTATTTAAGTCTCATGGAAGAGACTCCTGGGTTTGAAGACTCGAAGCAATATCTGCGACTTCAAGCCCTTTTATATCCGCTTCCTACCGAAGCTGCACTCGTGATATTCTAGCTGTTATGTATCTCCCCGCATCCGCCCCCAACCCCCACCCCCTTGACCCATTGCACGTGGGGGAGGTCAAGGTCGCGTCCACGGCAATCTTGCAACACCTAGGTGTTACTACCAAGGACGTTCGCTTCAAGGTCATTGATCTTTACGAGCCCTCCAAGGATGAGACCCTGAAGTACATTCATCACGGTGCCTCGGCCCCCGATCGCCGATGCCGCGCCTACTTTCACCAATTGAAGAGCCCTATCCTCACGATTGCTATTGTCAACATTACCAAGGGAGTCGTCGAGCATAGCTACGATGCACCTGACTCACAAGGTCCCGTCGATTGGGTCGAGTACGATCTGGTCCACAAGGCCTGCTTATCACACCCGAAGGTCCTCGAGGAGGTGGCCAAGTTGAAGCTCCCTGCTGGGCAAGCACTTCTCCCCCCCCCAAACAGCAGCGACCAAGCCCATTGACTAACAATTCTCTTAGTTCCCGCATTGAGAATGACCCGTGGAGCTTCGGCACTGATGACCATAACGAGCGCCGCCGTCTCTTCCAGTGTTACATGTACCTTGCTCTGAGCGATGACCCCCAGGCCAACCACTACTCTATTCCTCTACCTTTCGCTCCCATTTTCGACGGCCACACTCTGGAGCTAATCGACCTGCAACGACTGCCTACCGGCGCCACTGATGAGATTGATGAGGAAACTCAACCCTGGGATCCTACCAGCGCTGTCGAATATAGCGCCGACCTCATGGGCCCTGATTCTTTCCGCAAAGACCTCAAACCTCTACAGGTTCTTCAGCCTCAGGGTCCCTCTTTTACCATGCAAGGACGTCATATTCAGTGGCAGAAGTGGTCTTTTCAGCTTGGATGGAATATGCGTGAAGGTCCTGTCCTTCACGATGTTCGCTATGACGGACGCTCCCTATTCTATCGTGTCTCCATGAGTGAGATGACCGTTCCATATGGCGATCCCCGCTCCCCCTACCATCGCAAACAAGCATTTGACTTGGGTGATTCTGGATTCGGTCTCACTTCCAACTCTCTGAGCTTAGGATGCGATTGCCTTGGCCACATTGCCTACTTTAACGGCATCCGCGTTACAAGTAGCGGCGATCCTGTTATCATGCCCAACGTTGTCTGCATGCACGAGGTTGATGACGGTATTGGCTGGAAGCACACTAACTTCCGTAATGGAAAGTCGTCTGTTGTGCGCGACCGCCAGCTCGTTGTTCAGTGCACTGCCACCGTTGCAAACTACGAGTATATCCTTGCTTTCGTTCTTGACCAGGCCGCCAATCTACACGTCGATGTCCGTGCCACAGGTATAGTTTCTACAATGCCGATCAAAAAGGGAGTTCACGTTCCTTGGGGCACTACTGTGGCCCCGGGCGTGCTTGCAGTGAACCACCAACATCTCTTCTGTCTCCGTGTCAACCCCTCACTCGACGGACGCGACAACACCGTCGTCTATGATGACTGTATTCCTGTGGAAAACGAGCCCCAGCTTGACCCGTTTGGATGTGCGTTCAAGGTCAAGCAAACACAGGTTCAGAAGCCTGGCGGATATGACCTTGACCTGACCCAGAATCGTACATTCAAGATATTGAACGAGTCTAAGATCAACTATATTGCGAACAAGCCTGTCGGTTACAAGTTGCATCCTGTTCCCAGTCAGATGTTAATGATGGGACCTTCTACATTCAACCTCAAGCGTGGTATCTTCACTACGAAACCTATATGGGTCACCAAATACCGGGATCATGAGCTCTGGGCCTCTGGTGAGTTCACTAATCAAAGCAGAGAGGACACTGGGTTGGCCAAGTGGGCTGCTCGTGATGAGAATGTTAAAAACGAAGATGTCGTTCTCTGGCACAGCTTTGGTGTCACCCATGTCACTCGAACTGAAGGTATGCCTCACCAATAAAAAGCGTGTATACCATGACCAACTGTAGCTGACTTGAGTCTTAGATTTTCCAGTCATGCCCACTGAGAAGATGATGGTGTCCCTGAAGCCCGTCAACTTCTTCGATATCAACCCATCCAACGACGTGCCACGATCCAACCAGAACGAGAACAAATCCACACTCCACCAAAATGATTCTTCGTGCTGCTCCACTCGTCCTTCTCGCATATAGCATGTAAGGATCTGGCACTTAAAAAATAAGCTTCCGGAATTCCAGCCTATGAAACCATGACGTTAGTCGCGAGAGTACAGGTATTCGAGTTTTAGTTATGTTATTCTTTTCGTCATCTATGTACTTGTGAAAAGAGCACTACTTTTGTGTGTTTGAGTTGAGTAGGCGATAATTGAGAAATATATGTGTGTAGGAGTATGGAATTTGTTCCCAGGTTGTTTGTAGATGAGAGGTTTAAATAGAGAGGGAGATGTTGGATCCAGAGCGGTTACGTATGGCTAAAAATCCTTGAGCTGGAAAGGAACCCAGCGAGAATAGTTAACCTTTTGGTCATTTGGAGTTTTGAGAGCAGTGATAATTCACTTTTTCCGATTGTTGTTACCCATTTACCCTGACTACGCCCTCGCGTCCAATTTCCTTCCCTGGACCGGCTGATTGATTGAGCTTAAATGAAAACCATCTATCGAACATTCTGGCTCTGATTCAATATGATAAAAGTTTCATGACAGCGAAAAATCCTGCCATGGAGGAGGAGAGAGATGATTATAAAATAGGTGTGTGATGATGATCTAGAATAGAGGAGGAGGCTGAGATAGCCGATCTTGAATGCCCGAGGCACATATCTGAATAGCTTTTCCTGCTATCTTGATAGATAGTGGTCAGGGTAGGCGTGCTTCTTATCCCATTGAAGAGATTTTAAATCATCTTAGCGAAGACAATGGAATCTTATGACAAAAGCAACGGCGACAAGATTGATGGATTATTCGAATTAAGTTCCGCAATGCTCTAAATACGCGGGGTTCTAGAAGTTCTCCCGTTCTATTGGGAGATAACATGGTCTTCTATTATCCTCGAGAATGAAGGAATTTTATTAGCCACTTGGTACGTGTCTCGCATGCCTGGCGACCAAGTTCACTCTTGTAAAATAAATCGAAGCCATGGCACCCGCCACCCCAAATGTGCAAGTGCGCCTGTACACCACATTCCCATAGCTTGGTGGCATACGCAATATCTTCATCACGAAATGGCTCTCCAGATGCGGCATCAATGTATGCAATAGGAAGACTCGATAAATCTGTCGCGCGCGCAGGCGCAACATAGGGGCTGACACCTTCTTGACCAGCCTCGCGTCCAAGGATACACGACCAGGCATAACGATCCCACTCTGTGTAAAATCCACGTCCATTCTCAAATTGCAAGCAAGACAGAGAGTTGCATCGATCGTCGAGCATCGGACACATCAGGAGCTGGGCGCAGACTTGAGGCCCTTTGCGATCCCTCGCGATGAGGATTGTACCCGCAGCAAGACCAGCACCAGCTGATACTCCTGCAATCATGAATTGCCTGGGATTAATCCTGAAAAGGTCGAGGTGCTGAGAAAGCCACACCAGTGAGCCATAGCAGTCTTCCACAACTTCTGTCCCGTGGTAATCTGGCGAGAGGCGGTAATTGACGCTTATGACAACGGCATCGAGTTCCTTAACGGTATCAGTAAGACTGTTGAGACCGGTGAACACATTCCCCATGACTCTACCCCCGCCGTGGAAGAAAAGAATCCCCGGTCGAGGCTTTTTCGCTTTGGAGGGTTGACGACGCGATAGACTTATGGCTGTTAAAAATCTTTCAGAAATAGGAATGGCGTGATCATTAATGGTGAGATCGGGGTCGTCGAAGAATTCTTTGCTGCAATCTTCTTCTCCCTTGCGGATTTCCTTCAGCTCGTCGAAGCTTTTCGGTACTGGACGGTGCTGTGTATCTTCCACCGTCATAATCTCAGGATCGTAGGGGGGGGGTAGAGGCAGGCTCCCAGGCTCGATGGCTATCTCCTTTCTTTGCACCATTGTTATAGTTATGAAGCTTGAGCAGATAATTCGTAACAAAAGTTAGAGGAGAGTCAATATTGGGATAATGCGGCTGATTTATATGTTTTGGCTCCCTCCGAGGTCAGAAGGGTTGAGAAAATTCATATACTAGTACTCAATCATGGGGTCCACATTTGCCAGGAAACTGTTGACAGTAACAAGTTCAGGCCAGATTCTCTGCTGGAAAAACTTCCATTTTTGATTTGAGGCCGATCGAAGACAATGGTCACCCTCCAATTCTAGTCCCGCAGAAGCCATTATTACAAATGATGCCTAGCTATTAGCCTCGTAAAAAGACTTTCATTCTATTTCTTCCAAGTTCCCATGGAGTAGTACTAGTTAGCACTGGCGAATGTCCAAGTCAGGTTTCTGGATATTTGCCTTATGGTAAGAAATATTTCAGTCAAATTTATATTTAATTTACCACCGTTCAAATCCGCCCTCCTAGGCGGGTCTAACTTGAACTATCTATTACTGATCATGGAGCTACGTAGTATATTGCTGATGCATTCATATTCTGCGTAAAGACTAATCGGAATACATGAATCTTCTTAATTCCCCTCAATATGGCCAGGATGACGCATCGCTGGACCCGAAGTGCTAGTGTTTATCTTCTGATCTAGCAGCATATGTTTTCATTTTCTAAGCACTCTTATGACAAGACTAGCCATCTGTAAGAGCCTCGGCGGCAATTTCAACCCTCATATCTGGGATTGCCAACATGGAAACGCCGACAGTGACCCAAGGTACTTTATGGCTGGGCATTCGCGCCCGCCAAACTTTCATGATAGCGGCTTCGTAGCGCATATCGCTAAGAAAGCAAGTGAATCTGTGTGCTTGCGCAAGTCCACCGGCAACTCCGGCAGATTTCAGCGCTGCGTCAACACAGTTGAAACACGCATCAGCTTCGTCCTCTAGTGAGCTGGTCACCAACTCTCCGCGCTCGAGATCGAAACCGGGCTGGCCCCCTGTCACGACAAGACTCCCACGCAAGGGGACCTTGGCAACGTTTGAGGTACCCCCAGCCTCAAATATCTCGCCTAGCCGGCCTGGGGCCTGGAAGTATTCAATTCCCAGCATGTTGTTTTTTTGATGTGGATTAGGATGGAATAGTAACTTGACAGTTAATGATAAAGCTTCGATGAAGAAAAGGAGAGATTTGGGAACTCACAATTTCAAATTTGAATATTGTGGCTTGGGAATGGTTCTTTCATGAGGTTAGCTGTCACAGTCCTTTCGTCAGTTGAGATGAGTCAAGAACGAAATAGAATTGGTCAGGTTCACCTATATTATTCTCAAATGCTATATTGAATAGTCAATTGAACTCAAATTCCAGTGATAATGTATGTTACAGCTGCAGGTGGTTGGGTGATTAACCAAATGAGGCACTGCTGGCCGAGCTTCCTAAATCAGCATCCCCACTGCCGATCGCTCCGAAACAGTGAGAAGTGGGGCCTCTTCTGCCTCTTCTCCATGGAATATTCCTGATCGAATTCTTTGTGGGAAACCGCGAGTACGCCGTGACAATGTTAATTTCCAGAGAGTTCAGGGCGTCAAGACAAATCCGAGGCCTCGGCAGCAACCAAAAGAGAATAGGTCTCCTTCGAGTCCCCACGGAAGAAGCCGAAGTGACTAGGGGCTTTTAACCGATTACTCCTTGTAGGTGCCAGGCGTCACCAATGGATACTACTACAAGTAGTAGGATAAATTTAAAAAATATTATATAAATCCGAGATCATCAATGTAACCCATTAGCCAGATTGTATCATACCTGCTTGTACTTCCAATTTCACGTACTCTTTTTCAGGAAGATACTAACCGGAATCAGTTAACTCTACTTCCCTGAAAGGTCAATTTCCAAGTACTAGCTTTCTGTGAGGTAGCAGTCTTTTAAGACATATAAATTGATGTATTATTTGCTAGTTTGTATCCATTTGTCTCTCAAGGTAAAGAAGTCGGCCAGAAAACCTACACCACCAGCCATTTCCTCCACGAGCGGAATTGTCTGCCCGCAGCTCCAATACAAACATAAAATCCCCCACACCGAGCTCGCCCACAGTCTTTTACTCCAATTTTTATTCTCTCTGTTGACAGGGCTTTCTGCCGAATTTGACTGCCTATATTCTGATCCGACTTTTCCCGGGTAAGGTGGCATCTGACTCTGGGCTCCTTTTCTGCCTTTTCTGACGAGCCAGGCTTCCTTGCTCAGCTTTATCAGCTCAAGCAAAAAATGTAAAAATAATGCCCGTGCTGCTAAGATATAGAGTCTTTTGGTCTTAAATTTGACTCCAATCGCTTCTAACGAAATAATCTTGTTCGACGCGAGATGGCCAATATTTTCGAGAAGCTGATACGACGCCATGGTAAAGACCTGGAAAATGTTGATACCCTCTATGAGGCTGCTCTTTGTTGGACATTGGAAGTCCCTTCGAATTTCTGTCAATATAGAAAAGAGACCAAACAGTCTCAAAGTATGACGCGCACTGCTGAAGAGCGAAGACAGGTTGAGAAGAGCGGGAGATTGTCGCTTAGTAAAGATATCGAGGCGGCGAGGCACTGGTTGTCTGTTGGCACTTTTCGACCAGTATTTTGGGTGTCCTAGAAGTCCATAAATATTTTGCCATTGACAGTTTGCAAGAAGAAAGTGCAGTGCGTGAGCGAGATATTCAATGCTCGCCAGAGCGCAGTCTTGTCCCGCGGATGTGTGCAGTAACCTATGAATTCAAATTTGGAGATTAATAATATGTTACTGTGCTATTTAATCCAGAACTTACGCTTGGAGTCTTTGTGCCCTTATGCTCACAGATTGCCCGATTGTGGAGTATCCAGGAGTAGTAGACTTGATCACGTTGGTTGAATCTCTGGCATTTTCAGGATTTTCCACGATCTCCGAATTGACTGCTGCTTCGAGTGTGTTGATGTTCTCGAGAGGCATAGCAACAACATCCTCCTTGGTGGAGTATTTCTCGAAATTGTGTGTGATTGAAGTCTTCGATTTTTGAGACATAGAAAAAACTTGGAGACCTTAAAGAGTCGCGCCTTAATGAAAACGTGTTGCTTGGAAAGTTTTGTAGAACTTTGTGGGGTTTAACTTTATTAGCTTAGGCATTTTTATAACTTGGAATGGAATATCACCTACCAACAGCATGTAAATACTCTTTGTTCAAATGAAATTCGTTTAGCTGGACTCCTTGCTATAAACGGTATGATGTTGCTTGCTGAAAGATTTACCCCGTTTGGTAAATCGGTCAGTCCTTCTATCGGTCATAAGTCCAAGGGCTTGGAGTGGGCTAAATCCAATTTATTGACTCGGTTGTAGTTGCAAATGACGTTCCAGTGAGCAGCAGAATCAAGAAAATTCAAATTTTGATTCTTGCGGGCTATCTACTGCAAATATCATGCCGTTCTATTCACATTTTGGTAGTATTCTACACGGAGACGTTATGTTCCTACCCTCTCTTTCATCCCAATGGCAAAAGGATACTTTTTGTAAGCTGCTGGTTTTGATTGAATTGGATACTCAAAGAACTCGAATCAGGCGAGTAATTCAATGCTGTACAAAGCGAAACCTGACCGTTCCTGGGAGATATATGCCGATCTGAACAATAACCTTGGAACCCTACTGCAGCAGTGGCTCCATTAATATCTTTCTTTTACTTTCCACCGCGGACGAGACATGGAGCTACTAAATCGTTCACGATGCCCCTATCGCCATGAATCCGGACGCCCGCCCCAAGCCACTATCCATTACACCTTGCTATTCTGTTGAGAAGCCAGCTTCAGCCGACTAGTACCATATGAAGACCTCGGTAGGTTTCATCTCTTCTTCTCTATGCGTTGAAAGAACTTCCCATTATGGCAATTCATCCAACAATTTACATCTGGACACTCAGACTCGAGTGTCTTCGCCAATATAAACTTCAAATAGAGTGTGGCAAGTCAGGGAATATTAACGAAATCTTGAAGTGAATTACTGAGATTTACATACATTTCCAATCCGGGGTTCCAATACGGGTTCATGTCTCAATTGAGTATGGTCAATCTTGGTCCAACACGGCAATGTACTCAGCTGCTCCACCCGTGGAAACCTTTTCTCTATAATCGGTGCCGCTATCGGCTGCGCGTCTGCAATGCGGGGTAAGCTTATCATGCTCTCCCTTGGGGTTATGGTTCAACGACTGGCCCTTGGACATCCCTTGGTGTCCTAGACATAGTGAATCGATAAATACAAGATCCTGCCAAATTATGTATTTGAAAGAAATTCTGCTTCTCTCCTTCAGATATCACAGAACAAGGACTCCGGGTATTCCTTTTTTTTTCGACGAGCCACACCTGTTTATAATGACTCACCCTCCTACTAAATCGACAAAATATGACGGCATCCCACCCGATAATTTCAGCATAGGGCATGGTGTTTTGGAAGATGAACTTGCAACGAAGAAAGATGATGATGACGATGATGCGATTCTTCGGGCAAATGGCCACGAAGCCGCCATGCCTCGTCAATTCGACTGGGTTTCGGCACTTGGCCTTGGGTTTTCAATTACGAATTCTTGGATTGGATATTTGGTGAGTCACGCAGTCTACAATAGTCGAATTAGAGATCAACCCACCCTAACCTCTGTGATAGAGCTGCTTTGGTCAAGGATTGATTTATGGAGGTCCACAGACATGCATTTTCAGCCTACTAGTTGCGTTCTTCGCCCAGTGCGCTGTCGCTATCGGGCTAGGAGAGCTAGCTTCCGCCTATCCGGTAGGGATCCCAACATCGAGAGGAATTTGAAGTTCTAACAAGTAAAAAGTCAAGTGGGGGACAATACCATTTCTGTTATATCCTCAGTCCTGCAAAGACAAGAAATTATGCCGCGTACACTGTTGGTTGGATATCGATGCTTGCCTGGTGGATTGTGTCGTATGATAACATTTACCTCCCTTCTCTCACTACCATATCAACTGACACCTGTCAAGATGCTCGGGTATCTCTCTCGGAGCCGCAGTTCTCAACGGTATCGTGGCTTTTTGCTATCCTAGCTATGCTGGAAACCAATGGCAAACATATTGTATATATGTGGCTGTTTCCACAATGACCAGTAGGTCTTCGAATTCCGAGTCCTCAACACAAACTGCTGTTTTCACAACTAATCCGTCTAGTGATTCCGGTTTTCTTCTCTGCTAAAATGCATGCTATGGCTCAGTTGTCTCTCTATCTTTCATTGGCTGGCTATCTAATATTCTTCATTGTTGCACTCGTGATGCACAAGAGTCGGATGCCGACTTCCTTCTTGGTAGAGTCTGGACTGGGAAACAGTGGTTGGAGTCCGGGCACAGCATGGCTACTCAGTATCAGCAATTCCATGTACGCCTTTGGCGGTATTGATGGAGGTTGGTGCTCTCTGAAAAGTCCTATGGTCGAAGCTAACTCCATCACAAAGTCATCCATATCTCCGAGGAGATGCCTAGGCCAGGAAAACGCATTCCTCAACTCATGATCTTGACTATGCTCATTGGCCTTTTTACTGCATTCTCTCTTTTTGTTGTTCTCATGGTATTTCAAGTTGATATGGATGCCGTACGGACTGCAACACTTCCAAGTCTTGAGTTAATCTATCAAGTGTGAGTTTCCGGCTCGACTACAATCCACAGCTTATTTCTAACTCGCTTTCTCACAGAACCGGAAGTCGAAAAGTCACTCTTGGTCTCTTTATCCTCTTATTCGTGATCTACACTTGTGAGTGATCCTGTTACTTATAAACCCCAAGACTCGTGCGGTTAACAAAAAGCTCAGCATGTCTCCCATCTCAGTGGGTGACCGCCGGACGCATTGCATGGGCATTTGCCCGAGATGTATGTATTATCTTCCCTGGATTTTTTTATGGCAGCTAATTATCACACACAGAATGGGGTGCCTTTCGCGAACTTCTTCTCTCGTGTTCATCCCAAATTGCAGTTTCCACTCAATGCAACAATAGCCGCATACATCTTTACTTGTATTTATGGGCTTCTTTATTTGGCATCAACAACGGCTTTCAATTCAATTATCACATCGGCTGTCCTCTTCTTGAACATCTCATACACGGTACCTCAAAGCATCTTGCTGGTTCGTGGCCGCAATGTTCTGCCTCGTCGGCCCTTCAATCTTGGCCGGTTGGGATTATTTTGCAACATATTTTCGACCCTTTGGATCGTTCTGCTAGGTGTATTGATTTGTATGCCTCCAAACCTTCCTGTCTCGCTCAAATCCATGAACTATACCCCTGTGATTTTGGTGGGAGTTTTTGTTATCATCAACTCAATTTGGCTTTTCTCTGGCAGGGCCTCTTTTGAAGGGCCACGTATCGATTGGGAGGCGATGAAGCAAGCTGAGCAGGATTGAACTGTACCTTTTTCTGGGCTTCTTATAACCCCAATTTTCTATCAGAATTGAGTTACAAGTTTGTTTTGCTCCCACCGGCGTGGTTCCAGGAGAAGGCTATTATACGATAGATTCATCACACGCAGGCGTCTTTTGCTCCGATCGCATTGGCTATTACGAAGGATTGAACCATTAGTGCGAAGAATTATTGAAATATACGTCCCATAACCGATAAATATCTTGCGTATCCGCGATGGTAACTGCCACTTGGATAGCTAATATCAAACCAGTTGGGCTCGTCCTCCCAGGTCAGTATGGGGAAGGGAGGGTTAACTACAATTGGAAAATGCGTACGCTGCTCGAAAGATAACGCGATTACTGGCGGATGATGTTGCTCCACCTATATGATTCCTCTGAATTACAGAATCCACCGTACTATCCCATGAAACAAAACTAGTCATGATATGCGGCCCCTTCAACCTAAATAGGCAGGTGACGCCGCATTCTAGAGCCGATCCGGCCACGATTCCCCACAGTATTTGTTCTCGCCTCCCATACAAAACTCGTATGAAGATATGTACGAGTACCATGGCGTGAAGCTTTCATGACTCCAGAGCTACTATCTTTGCCCCCTCCCACATTTCCCCGCATTCTTCTCAAGTTTGGTGACCAGACCTATATCATATCACGTGGAATGAATGCTATCTCAAACTGAGGGCAAAAATGCCAAATCTTAAAACTTCTGACTTCCACATCCTCACGCCACTATCCATGCAGTTCTACAAGCATAAATGCCGAGAACTTATTTGTGCGCCGAAATCTCCAAGGTACTGTCGACAAAATGAAGAGGACAGATCCGGTGTGCGCAACCTGCCGCGAAAAATGTCGGCGCTGTGACCGTACAAGACCTACATGTAGGCGATGTGCTGCCAAAGGACTGGAATGTAAAGGGTATCCTGAGAAATTTCGGTTCCGCAGCGTGACCTCCACGAGCAAAAAAAGCGGTCAAAGGCGCGAATCAACAATCTTCAATCATGTCATTCAGTTTCAAGAGGAATCTCCCAAGGAGACCAATTCTTTGATGGCAACAAATGAGGGCTCAAGAAACGGGACCAGCCCCGAGGCGAATCTACACGAACCTGTATCTTGGGACCTAGATCCTATGCTTGATTCATTATCTGCGAATAGTAGCCCTGCCTCGCGCCATCTTAGCCAAACCTCGGAACTAAATGACTTGCTCGTCATGACCCGGACGCAGTCACTCCTAACACACTGTATCTTTCGCTGCCTTGAAGTGCCTTGCAGTCAATTTCTATACTGACTGCTTAACTTTGCAGACGATCAAGTGATATGTCCCCATCAAATCATGCTCTCCGGGGCCGACACCAACAATCCGTACCGATCATACGTCCTACCGTTGGCATACGAGCAGCTCGGGGTACTTTACGCGGTGCTCGGTCTTTCCGCTTGTCATAGAGCCCTTACAATCGGAGAGGATGACCTCCGTGAAGTGGCCGATGAATATCGACTCAGGTGCATTAATTGCCTAATACATACAATCCAGAATGGCATATCCCCACAACCACATGAGGATGAGAGAGATGGGCTTTTCGCCACAATCCAACTTCTCCTCCTCCATGATGTTAGTCCTCCAAGTCTTCAATGTTCGCCCTTTGCTTTCATTCGTCAGGGAGCCTCAAAAATGTGTTTTTGACCTTGGATAAAGATCTGCGAATCGGGTATCTCAACGCATGGGGCCCATATTACTGGCGCCATGTCAGTTTGTAACCAACTACGACTGTCAGAGACTTTAACAGCCAAGGACGAACGGGCTGTATTTTTTCTTGGAAATCTAGCATGGTCGGCATTCGGAAATCATTGAGTAAACCAATCCTAACTTCTTATCAGGCTGGACGTGATCCGATCATTTTCAGACCCGAAACGTCTATGCGTCTCATCAGATCTACGCAGGAAAATTGTTGCTCTAAGCACATCAAAATTTGAGCGGGTAAATGGATGTCCGAGGGAGCTATTCCTCGTGATGGGGGACGCTCTAGAATATGCAAAGGCTCATCAGATGAAGAATATGGACCTTTTCGAATATAAAGAGCTCACGATGGGTGTATACCTGAGTATAAATTCATGGCAGCTGCCGGATTCGAACTTACCAGACGATGGGTCCAATTGGGGTGCAGTATACGAAAGCTTTCGACATGCATTTCTACTCTCATACATCCCGGCTTTTGTCGCCCGAGCAGCCCGCTGAGGTATCAATCATCCGAGAATCAGTGGAAGCTGTATTGGATGCGGTATCCGAGATCCCTTCCAGCCTGATCGACTTGGCTATTTTTCCACTCTTCATTGCAGGAACGGATACCCTCTCCTTACATTCACGCCATTACATCTTGTTAAGACTTGATGGCATTAGGTCTGTTGCCGGGTTCAGTAATGATCTCCCAAAAATGTTACTGCACAAAGTCTGGGAAACCCGTGGGAATCAGCCAAAATGGGACTCTCGCAATATCTTATGGACCTCATTTGTAAATCCCCCCTGTCTTGAATTTGGACCATGTCTAATCCTTCGAAGACAGATACGACGGCACGAGAATCTCAGGACGATTATCTCATTATTTAGTTTGAATCTAAGATTTGGAATTCCACGAGCGCTAACATTCACTCGACCAAAAGTAATTGGACCCAACCAAAATCCAGTTGATGTCATGCTACTTGGAAATGATTCAGCATGTCGAATTTTTCTCATAAAGGTCACTATTCAGCTATCAAAGCAGCCCACTCCAGATAGGCCAACGTGTCTGGCTCTCCAGTCATTGGTATAGTGGGTTTACGACTAATATAAAATAGAATCTTGCTTAACTATACATCAACGTGGTTTGATTCCTAAAATGCTCTCCCGCGGGGAGTGATTACTAATCCACACAGTTGCGGGGTTCGGTTCGGCATGTAACCAGACGAGCCTCGGTCAATCGGCGCGGGTGGACTATATACCCTGGCCCGGATGCGAACTTCATCCTAACACCTCCCCTCCTGCATCTATCTTCATATATCAAGAAAATCATGTCGGCCGCAGACCAGGTTCAATTGACCAATTTCTCGAATATCTTCTCCCTCGAGGGGAAGGTAGCTGTCGTGACTGGCGGTTCACGCGGGTTGGGACTTCATGCTGCCTCGGGGTAAGTTCTACCCTGGATTTGGATGTTCAAAGACACAATACCCACGAAGTAAATATTTTGTACCTGAATGAACCTAACTCGAATATTAGTCTCCTACAAGCTGGTTGCTCCAAGGTGTATATCACCTCCCGAAAGAAGGATGCCTGCGACGAAGCTGTCGCGGCGCTTAACGCGTTGCCTTCCAAGCGACCCGGAGCTCAGGCCATCTCTGTTCCAGCCGATAGTTCCCGCATGGAAGATCTCGATAGGCTGGTTGCAGAAATTAGCAAAACAACAGATCATGTCGATATCCTATTCGCCAATGCGGGTGCAACCTGGGGTGAGAAGTTCGATACCCACCCGGAAAAGATGTTCTCCAAGGTGATGGATTTGAATGTCAAGAGCATCTTCTACACAATCCAAAAGTACGTCTCTTCCTTTTCCACGTTATTAGACAGTCCTCTCTAATCTAACACCAACTCATAGACTTGCTCCGCTCCTCGAAGCAAAGGCAACGCTCGAGGATCCCGCTCGCGTGATTGTCACCGCTTCCGTGGCGGGTATTGGCATTGGAACTGTTGGAGAGAACGCCACGCCAAGTTATTCCGCCTCCAAGGCTGCTGCCATTCACCTGGCAAAAAACCTGGCTGTTGAGCTAGGCCCTCGGCATATCCTGACCAACGCCATTGCGCCGGGTTTCTTCCCCTCGAAGATGGCCAGTGGCTTGATCGAGCTCAAGGGTGGGCTAGAGCAGCTGCAAGAGTACTCACCTAACGGCCGTTTAGGTCGTCCCGAGGATATTGCAGGGCTGGTCGTGTTTTTGTCTTCGCGTGCTTCAAGTCATTTGAACGGGGCCGTTATTGCAACCGACGGCGGTGCAGTCCTCAAAGGTAGACTTTAGTTGGTATTCTGATTGATAGTATGTCGATGATCTATAGGCCTCGCATTGAAATCAACCCACTCTTGGCGTAAAATAACAAGCATGGTTTTGATAATCTCATTATAACTGGCATCGATATTGAATCCCTTCACCATAGTGCGGCTCACATGAACTGAACTATTATGGTAGTATTTACAAACATAGATCATAAGTTATCTACAATTTTGCGCTGGGCAAGCCGGTTTTCCCCTGCACCGCCCGGTCGACGATCTCCATTGCTTGGAACAGTTGGTAGTCATGCTGCTTGGGAGTGACAACCTGAACACTAAGCGGTGAATCCAGGTACACGCGGCGATCGACAGTCTTCTCGGTCCCTGCAGTAAATTATTAGCATCTAGATTCCACGAGAGCCCATTAACAATATCAGCACTTACATAGTTGTCGATTCGCCTTATCCCAGCTCCCAAGAACGGGCGCGTCCATCTCCCGTCCAAGTTCCAAATCCGACTCAACGAACGGTCGCACGGGAACGGTACCAGCTGGATAGTCCAGCAGAACAAACGTGGAGGTGTATCCCACAGCATTGTAGCGATCCATTTGTGGAACTGGATGCGGTGCGATCGGACAAATAATAGCATCGATGCGCCGGCCCTTATTGGATGAAGAAAGAGTCCACATCTTCAACATTTCCAACTCAATTTCAGCACGCTGAGCCTGTAACCGAGCTAGCTGATCGATGGTAAGAGCCTTTCCGCGCTTCATGCGACCCTGTAGCCAAGGTATAAGAGACTCGCCCATGCTCTCAATTTTATCTAGCATGCTCGACCCGTCATCAACGCCCATAAGACGGCCGGCCAGGCCCTGGCATTTTGGCAAGGCAGCCGGCAGAGGGACTTCGACAACTTCGACACCCGGCGTCCGGCGCAGCTGACTTGCTACCTCGTCCAGGATACGAGCAATCGGCGGCAGTGGTGTGACAAGGCCATCCGTTTTCAGGATGCCAATGGTGAAGTTGCGTGGGGGAGCCAGGGATTGGGGAACAGAAAAAGGTTGCCAGGAACCGGGGATGCAATCCTCGCCAAATAATTCAGCCCGGGGAACAATCTCCGCCATCACGGCTCCAAGATCCGCGACCGAGCGGGCCAAGGGGCCAGCCACGGGTTGCAGAGCAATCCGGCCTTTGCCCTCTAGTTGGCCGCTCTCCTGGCCACCATATGGAACACGACCGTTACTCGGCTTGAAGCCATAAATGCCTTGGCACATCGCTGGTACACGAATGCTGCCACCAATATCTGTGCCGAAGCCGACCATGGACCCTCGCATCGCAAGTAATGCGCCCTCGCCTCCAGTACTGCCTCCAGCAGTCCACTGCCGATTTATAGGATTGAGCGTTCGTCCAAAAAGATGGTTGCAACTGTCGAGAGTCCCCAGTGTCTGGGGGATGTTCGTCTTGGCGATGACGATGGCACCGAGAGATTGTAGCAGGTCCACAAGCGCTGCATTCCCTGAGGCAGGTTTGAATGCTAAGGCAGATAGCCCAATGCTTGAGTCAACTCCCTTCACGTTGAATGTATCCTTCACGGAAACCGGCAGACCATGCAGGGGTCCGACGGGTTTGCCCGTTTGCCGCAGTGTGTAATCCAGTTCTTGTGCGCGACGTAAGGCCCGATCGAATAGCGGTTCGGTGAGACAGCGTGTAAGTTGATGGGCGATGGCTGCCCTCTGTTTTTGAAATAGGTCAGCCGATTTGTTTTTCAGGATAAGTGCATTTGTCTCGAATTCTCACCTTACAGAATGCCCGGGTAACCTCCTCCGACTTCAATTGACCTTCTGTCATCGCAGAAACCAACCCCCGGACATCGTAGTTCTCTGTAATATCCAGTTCCTTTGGTGTGAGTATACCGCAAGTGCGAGGTATCTTCATCACGTTCACTCGGCCATATCGCTTTGGGCCTTCGGTAATAGAGTCCGCGGGTGAGAGCATGCCCTCAGGGATGAGCTCGGTAGGGAGTTGCCATTCGGAGGGGATGGAGGCAGCCAATTCGTTTTGCTTTCGCTGAGCGATTGCCACGTAAGGGGGCTGCTGGGATGCCATGATGGGTGACGGTGAAAGTGAAAGTTGAAGGTTGCGGAATGCAACATTGAAATAACACTGGCGGATGCGGGGAGTGCGGGGAATACCAGCCTCGGCCCAGGCGGAACTGCCGATTCGACTGAAGACGCCCATATTTGCGGGACTCGGACCCTTTGAACATGCTTATCGGAGTTTCATGATGAATTTGCATATAAAGTGGAGGTTAAAAGAAGTCTCTTGACTTGTATTTAAATTTTTTTTTTTAAAAAGTCGAGGAAGGAAAGCGGATATCATAGGAGAGCTTTTGTCTGTTTCGTCATTTACAATTATTTAAAACCGAGATACATCCCTTCCAAACAATCTGTTCAAAGTCCACCTGAATGCCACTCGGATCTTGTTGCGCCAACTGATGCTCATGGTGATGTACGCAGCGTTCCAAACTAACCGAGCCATCCGCCCGGTGATACCTTCGGGAAGATAACTTTTGCGCTTGTTGACATCGTGCATGTCGTGGGGGATCTGCATCAATGCCTTCTCACTTCCAATGTAGGCTAGTGTTCCCATGTTGCGGAATGAGAAGGGGGACGTGTGAGCCAGGTCATCCTTGTTCAGATGGGACGCGAGCCATTTGGCTTCTTGGAACGTTGCTTGGGCGGTTGCTGGGGGTGCACCAGTCTCGATCATACAATTATCCCCCCAGGGCAAAGACATCATTCAGTACAGCCGTATCTCCGGCATCGTTTTGTAACTGAACCCGCAGATGGCCATCGACGAGCAGCGCCCCCGTCTTTGGGACTTTCTTGAATTCCCAAGATTGCTCTGCAGATGTCGCACCAGAGCTTCGGTCCATTTTGAACACAGAGTCCTCGGGAAAGTCATTGACTTCATTCAGTGACCGGCTTACCAATTTGGTCATGGCATTGCCTGTTGCCCACACGCACATGCCGACGCCGACCTCTCCTTCCTCCTCGGTGGTGAGGGTTAAGCAGTGCTTTGGATCCATGTCATAAGGCGGAGGCGCACCGGGTGGACCCCAGCGTAAGCCCTTCACATGATGAGAGGTCTTTATGTCAATCCCTTCACTTTTCATCGTCTTCATCGCATACCGAGAAAGCGATTCATCGAACGTAGACAGTACCTTCGGCGCGACGTCGTAGAGGCTGAGCTTCGGAAGCCCTTGTAGGCCCGGGTAGAGCGCGATCATATCCTCGTAGATGAAGTCACGTAGCGAAGCTGTGAGCTCAGTGCCAGTTGGACCAGCACCAACAATGGCAAAATGAAGAAGCCACTTCTTCATATCCGTGGTTGTCGTCGGCAAAACGGCTAGCTCGAAACATTCGCGTAGACGGCGCTTCACCCGTTTGGCATCGCCAATATCCTTGAAGAACATTGCATTCTGTCGGACTCCCGGCGTACCAAAAGTGCGACTCACCGCGCCCACGGCGATGACCAGCTTATCATATGGAACTTCAAATGTTTCGCCTTTCTCCCACAGCCGGCGCGGTTGTATCGGCTGCTTGTCGCTAGCCTCCGGGCCCTCTTCGGTTTCTCTTTCATCTTCGTGGGTGCGCGGCGACTCTGTGACACCACTTTTCACCACTGTTGCTTCACATAATATAGTTTTCTTCTTGAGATCGACAGATCGAGCTGCGGCTTGGATGAAATCGACCTTGGCGCCAGGGTCTCGTACCGGTTCGACGATATTAGAGAAATCTAATGATCCGCTGGCCGTGTCTGTAAGGAGGGGAGTAAAAACGAAGTATGAACGAGGTGAGACGATGATTGGTGAGAAGTTTTTGGGTGATAGTCGGCGTGACATGGTATATCCGCCCCATCCGGATCCAAGAATGACAACGCGCTCTTTCTGGTCATCGGATTGATTACCAGCATCGGAGTGTTTAACTTGTGTCGCGAAACATCGTTCGAGGATTTTGCGTTTAGTCGACCCCAACTTATGTGGCTGGTGCGGCCTGCACAGAAGAGTATGCTGGGGAGAGACAACACCAGACCTGCTCATGGCGCGCACGGCGCCCAATCGAAGGGACATGGTTATTTGAGATGTTGGCTGTCAATTGAAATCACAGCTACATGGTGAGTCAAAAATCCAGGGAGTTTCCAGAGTATTAAAGCCCAGGGAACAATGTACTGGTTAAAGACTTCCGCTTACACATGGATGACGACTTCATGAAGGAAGGAGTCGGATCGGGATCGCAAACGAACCCTTCCGTGATGCTCCACCACAACCCAGTCCATCTCGGATTCTCGTGCTTCCGTGGCCATCTTATGGAGGTGTAGTTTTCCTTGATACCTCAAGGGGAATTACGGAACCCTTCGGGGCCATCGGTGAAGTGCGGGCTGCACGTGCCACTAGAGTCGATCGGGAGAATCAGGAGCTCTGAGCAGAGCATTGATTCTTCACATGGCTGGCTGGCATTCTCAGCTGATCAAAAATAAATCTATGGATATTGAAGTAAAGGAAGAATTGGAATGAGGGAGGGGCATTCTTCAAATACCCCATCGCAGGGAGTCATGTGATGCCGGTGCATGCCAGTGTGCAGATTAATTGGCATGCTCCACCATCAGGCCACTCCTCTAAGCCTATCAGGTTGAAGAATGCCAGGTGTGTAGTACTCGTATACTGTAACTGTACGAGTAGCAAATGTATTTGAACATTGTTAGACGTCAGATTTGAATCGAATAGCCTTTGTACCGCTCTTTCATGACAATTTGCCTAAACGTTGATTATGAACCTAATACCTGATGTTTCCGGGGTTGGGGCTTTGCTGACGGCAGTACTCCGTAGTGATTCCAAATCATCCGCTTAGGCGGGGGCTTGGCAGCATCAGCCTCCCATCTCAGCCCCAGGAAACAAAAAGCGGGAACGAGTCCATGGGAACAGTATTTCAAATTAAGTTGAGTTATAAATGTCCGAGTGTCCTTGGGTTAATGAGACCCAAGTTCTTCAAGTCGTCTGCAAACCCTTTGGCAGGACGCTGTTTGTGAATATACGAGATCTACTGTGCGGGTGGCGGCAACATGACAGACTTCAGACTTCGGAGGGCACACGCAAAATCTAGGGGTGGCTGCCTCAGATGCAAGCAGCAAAGAAAAAAGGCAAGCTAAATCTCACAAACAATGTGTTCTTCACAATGTTCTAACCAAGTCCCACAGTGCGACGAGGCGAAACCAAATTGCTCAAGATGCGCCAAAAAGGAATATACTTGCCAATATCAATACCTTAGCAATAGCTCAAGGACATCAGAAGACCATGAGTTAGATCATGTGTCAGCTCCCAAGCTACTATACCCTTACTCTCCGGATCCCTGTATTGCTGGGCCGGAGGGGCCCTTTGCGCTTTCGAGCGATCATCTTTCGGTCCCCGGATCTTCGCCCCGCGGTTCTTCTCCAACCTCCATGTCCTCTTCATCCCCAATTTTTAAAAGAAATGGAAAGATGATTCCAATGGGCTCAGAATCGCCTGGTAGCCTCGATGCGACAGAGCTCAGCCTCCTGGGCCGCTATCTTGCACACACGAGCCGAACTATTCCTTTCGATGATCTCGATCTCTACGCCCTTTCTGTGGGAATACCAAATCTTGCTTTCAATAGCAAGCCTGTAATGTCATCTTTGATAGCTTTGGCAGCAGCTTGCAAATCTCATGACATTGTTAACACAACGCAGACTCCTTTGGCGGACCAGACCGTCATGGAGGTTCAACGACTTCTTGAGCTTGCCGAAAACCATCACATGGCATCACTCCAGTACATACAAGAGGCAGTTACAAGCTCAAGTTGGTATGACAACGTCCTTGCAAACGCGGCATTGATGGTACTATACGCGTCTGCGAGCCACTCTATTCGAGTTCGACTTGCCGCCATTGCAAGACGAAGTGGGAAAGAATTGCCAAGTGATGTGCTTCCGCAACACTCACAGTGGATTACATTTACCCGTGCCGCTCACACAGCTGCTAGCGCAGTTCTCAGCGGGCTTTTGAATGCAGATATGAATCGAAATGTCACCATCAGCCCAACCGTGTTTACATCACCAGATCCGATATCGACTATCTTGACACCGCAGAGTGGTCCTTCCGAAAATACAAAAAGGCTATTCATGCCTTTAGTTACATCTACATACGGTCGAGCTCTTGAATCGCTGCGCAAAAAAGTGGAGTCCGTAGCACATTCTTTTAAAAGTCAAGAAGGTCTCAGACTCCACAATCTAGATCTCGACGCTTGCTTGAATACTCTACCAACACTTGAAAAGTGCGCATTTTCCGCTTTATCTGGAGAATTTACCAACGATAAATTAAATACATCCAATGATACACCCACAATATCTGGTGAATATTCTCGAGTCTCGCCTTGGGTTGCAAATTACATGCTCAGTGTCACCTCAATGACAGCCCCAAAGGCACTTCGGCGAACAATTATGTCCTTCTTGAATGAGGCACCGACCGAGTATCTCAATCTTGTTCAGTCGGTGCTCGATTCATCGTCTGTTGAGGCCTACACTGGGGATTGGGTGGCACGTGGTTCGCCCAAGGGTGAAATGCAGCCTCTCGATACAACACATATCCTAGCCATGGACATATTCGCCCACTGGTTGGTTCTAGTCATGTTATTGGATGGTGTGTGGTGGATTAGCGGTATTGGCCGATGGGAACTTGGCCAGATTGTGTCATTGATGAAAACTCAGGAACTGCTCAATCAACCTCCGGATACGAAGGAAACGTGGTGGCCGGAGAGCATGTACTTGGTCAATATGGAGTTGATGCCGGATACATAGAGCTACAAAATTTTCTTGTTGGTATTCCAATTCATGTGGTATATTTACTAGTATTATACAGAATAATGAACACGAAGTCGCTTAAGAGATCCATGGATACTACTAGTATGTCACGATGCAAACTTCAAGTTGAATGAAGCACGTCCCGAGGTCCTGATTACAACTTACTTGAACCTTGGAACTATTGAATATAATCAAGAATGTGACACATAGATTCATTTTCTGTTTACTACTTCGCTCCAATCTAACTAATTACCCACATAAAGTATCGCATCAAAATTCACTACATCCACTCCTCATCCGCAGTACCCAATTCATGCAGCAGTAGGGACCTCATAGGACCACTGCGGCTTCCCGGCCCATAAGACGAAGGAATTGGCAGTGAGCTGATAATATTCCTGGGGCATCAAACTTTCCAGATTGGACTTGACACAACCAGATCTGGCCAAAGGCTGGCTAGCGAATCGATCCTCGATCCAACGCAACCAGTTTTGTTTGCCGGCATTGATGACACCAAAGTGGTTCGCTTTCGGGATGTTCAGAAACTCCAAGTCATTCGGGTGGTTTTTACAAGTCTTATCCACTGTATTCTTCGTCATGTTGTATGTCACGACGGGATCATCCACTCCTTGTAAAACAAGCATCGGTCCCTTGAAATTCATATTTCCAGGGTTGGCAAGCTTCCCAAAGGCCTGAACAGACCAGGTCTCCTTCCAGTCAGGCTGGACTATCTCTTCTTCTGGACTCAACAAATAACTTGTCACTATCTGCGATCCCTCAACTTGGTTCGAAAGCTTGGTTCTTCTAGTGCCAAGCGGTGTCAGCCAGTCGCTGAGGTTGAAAGTCGGGAAGATCTGGTCGAGGTCTTTGCCAATCCACGCCAAAAAGGGCCCAATTCCAGCACCCAGTGAGAATATATCAGTTGGTGGAGCCATCGCTACAGTACCAAGATGATGTTTTATAACATCGTGGAACTTGTGATTCTTTCTAGCCAGAATTTCTGACAGGGTCCAGGCAACAGCGCCACCTTGACTGTGGCCCAAAACCACATAATCATCTGAAAGCTCTTTAGGAAATGACTCCTGGGCCGCTCTCAAAGCGTTGAGTGCGTCACCAGCACCGGCCTCGGAAGCAAAGTATTGATGTGGAATGAAGGTTCCGTCCCAAGAAGTGCTAACCCCAAGCCCGGCATAATCTGGAGCCACAACAGCGTAGCCAGCTTCAGCCAGAGTAAAAGGTACAAAGTTTTCGTAGAAAAGGCCACGATGCGTCGAGGGAGCTCCATCGGCATAGAAGCCAGAGGTTCCATGGGTCCATAGAACAACTGGTGCAGATGAAGCCGAAGCGTTGCGGCCGCCTCTGAAATTCTTTGGGTGGTGTGGCCAAAGGATGTAGGCCGAAGCAGGGATCAAGGTGCCATTGAGATTGGTGGTACTGTATATGATCCGAGACATAGCAGTCTTTGGAGGTATGGAGAAGGAAGAAGGATCGGTGAACTTTTGGAGCTTGATTGTTCTTCCGGACTCTGTGGGCCATTGATCTTTAGGCAAATTCTGGACATCATAGAATTCATCCTGATGTGCCCCGCCATTGGCAAGCTGGGACCTATCAAAATTGATGATGGTGTTGATTATGGCGCCAAAATCGGTTGTCAGGTTGCCCAATTTGAGCTGCTCAGCGCTAAGCTCGAAGCTGGAATTCCATCCTGTTGAATGTATTGCTGGAAGCGAAGTTGTATCTTGAGCCACGGCTAGCTTCAATGCAAAGGCCGAGATGGCGAGTCTTTGGAGACATATCATCATCGTCAATTTGGCGGTGATTGGCCACTGTCTTGAGGTATAGTGTGGTAGGAATTTTCTGTGTCTCTTAGAACTGCTTCGTCGCGGTACCCATGGATTTATACTCACCCATCTTGTGCCGTGGCTAAAACGAGTACGACAGATGATGCTCTTCCCAGCGGTAGTTACACTTGGTTAAGACATGGAGTGTGGAACCAAGCGTGTCGTGATCGTTGACCCTAAACCCCAACGTATTCGGAAGAATTTGCACACGCTGATGGGAACTGGACATAGATCTGGTGGCTTAGATCCTTTTGGGAATACGCTCATAGTGAGTAGCAGTGGGGACGGGGCGCAGATATGCCGACACGGAATCGCTGATTGTGAGGAGAGCAATAATTTCCACAGAAGTCGTATTATAAATACGCTCGAGCCAAGCCTCCCCCACAATACGACTGTCAATACGACATCCGCTCAGGCATATCGCTGGTACATAGCCCGCCCTAGTACCCACTTCTCGCGCTAGGGAACTAGCTTAACTGTCTGTATGGTTTGAAGCGTTAGTTAAACCTCTGTTCATCATTTATTTGTCATTGAAGTTGCTTCCCATTGAATCTAAACCCTAATCTGATGTTCTTGGCTGCGACATTATGAGCTATGGAGTAACCGCCAACATAGTCTATTAGTAAAAATTACTTTTTCCCACCCTATCATAACGTTTCATCACTTTCAGCCCTACTTAAAAACTACATCTATCGCATGAACCAAGTCTCTTGGCAAAGTTGAAATGATGGCTGAGCTTCGTAAACGCAAAACGACCTTGCCAAGCACTCCGCAAATGAGGCTCAGACTTGTTATCGAGCTGAACGAAATTTGGAATACTACACAACTCTGTTTCATTTTGAAGCATGATCTATGGTCGCTTTAGGTATATAAGAGTCCCGATCACCATCAGTTCATTAATCAACAAAATCGCCAGTCAAGCAAAACAACACCATCCTCATTATCATCATCTCCACCTGATCTTCGCTCCAGGATTTATCTCTAAATCAGCATGATTCTCCCCAACTCTGCTCTTCACTCTGCCCTTGCTGTTGCACTGGTTACTGCACTTCCGGCGAACGCAGCGCCGACACTTATGTCCCAGCGCTCAACGCCCGAACTCAGCTTGGCAGCTCAGCTACAACTTGCAGACACGTAAGTATTTTGAAATTCTGATTCAGTAGAATGAAACTAATTTGCTTAACTAGAACTGTCGAGCGTTATCAACTCCTTCCAAAGGATGAAGACTTTGTCTATGATTTTAGCAAGAGTCCAGATCTTCCTTTCGCCAATCGTAAGACCTTTCCAGCTCTAACCGGTTATGGAACTTCATTTAGTCTCTCTGCTCTTCCAGGTAATTCAGCTATCTTTCAATTAATCAGTATTATTAATACTGATTATTTGATCAGCATGCAGCATGAGCTTCGTTCACCTTCACCCTCGTGCTACCGAGCTTTTTGCTCTTACGTCTGGCCGTGTTCTCACAGAAATGGTGCCCGAGGGAAACATCCTTGATTCTGATAAGAAGCAACGCGTCATCCGCACCGAGCTCCACCCCGGAATGATGACCATCTTCCCGGCTGGTTCGTTCCACACACAGGTGAACCCAGATTGTGAGCCCGCCAACTTCACGGCAGCACTCACAGCTGAGGACTTTGGAATCTCCCTGGTCGCAGATCAAACATTCTCCTTCACTGATGACGTGATTGCCCGTACATTTGGTCAGAGTATTTCTGGCGAGGATATCGATCGTGTGAAGGATGCTATCCCAGGTGCTACTCTTATCAGGGTTGAGGAATGCCTGAGTAAATGTGGTATTCAGAAGCGTCAGGCTTGATCGATATAAAGGTGACCTTACTATCATTACTTAGAGCAAACTGTACTCCTATGCGCGGTTTTTATTTCCACTTTGTCTTGTGATTTTCTCGGGGGCGGGCGGCGGCAGGGGTGCATAGTATTATAATCGAAATGAATAGAGCAGTTTGTCGAAACACCTGGCACCAGACTACCCTATTATCGAAATTCAGAATTACTGTACATTCATGGAATACTTCCCTATAGTCGCCACAGCTGTGGCGTTTCGTGGCGCACGCGTAATCAACGCGGGGGTGAGTCATCCGCTCGGAGTTAAGGTCGACCCGATTCAAGCAGATCGCCCGAGCTCCCGTCGGGCTTTTGCCTCCCCGAGCTGCGTTTGTCGTCTAATCCTGCTAGTAGCTTCGCGAAGCTCACGGTGAATTACTCACATCTCGGACTCAACATCTCCGAGAACGAATCAGATCACTCCTTGGCCAAGGCAGCATGGTTGTACGTAGACCTATACCCGCGGTGGCTGACTGGGGGGGGTGACGAGGACTGCAGCTGCCTGAAGATGGATTAAAGTATATAAAGAACTTGTTTTTCGAACGGATTTTTGAATCATCAGATCATCCTACAATCTACCACAATACCTCTCCTTCATTTCATCTCTCAATACACCACTCCTCTACTAGATAAGAACTTCAAGTTGTCTATACTTAACTGGCATCCAAAATGGCCAATATCTACTATCTGAACAATCCACCCAATCCCCTTTGGGATTTTATGGGCACTTCGCTCGAGGACCATCCCTTCTTTGCTCCTCGCGGTCATCATCCTCACCCTCATCACCACCGTGATCACCACCGCCGCGGTCCATTCTGGGGATGGGGTGCCCAGCCTCAGAACGAACCCACTCGCGAGCCCGAAGCAAACCAGACTTCAGCACAAGAGTCCGATCCAACCCCGGGTCCTTCTACCGAACAAGAGAAGCGCAATACGGAGAAAGAAGCCGCGTCCTCTGGGTCCGACACTGAAACCTTTGGCCACTATGGTCGTTGTGGCGGTAAGAACAAGGGACGCGGTGGAAAAGGAAGACATGGCCATGGCCATCATCATAAAGGCTTCCATGGGCCCCCTCCTCCCGGTCCATATGGGTACCCAGGCCATCCCTTCTGGGCAGCTGGTCGTGGTCGCGGCCCTCGTCCCCACGGATGTCGCGGCGGTCGAGGAAGACACCACGGTGGAAATCCTCGATCCAACGCCGGGCCCCAGGGTCCAGGCTTCGACTTCTTGCGTGGACTCGCAGAACAGTTTGGCTTCCCAATCAACGAGCAAGCCGGCGAAGGTTCCGACTTTACGCCTCCTGTTGATGTATTTGACACTACCGCCAATTACATTGTGCACGTCTCTCTTCCCGGTGCAAAGAAAAATGACTTGAGCATCGACTATGATGCTGATGAGTCTGCTCTCCGCCTTGCAGGAGTTATCTATCGTCCCGGCATGACCGAAGACTTGCACGAGGCTCTTGTTATGGAGGAGCGAGCTCGCGAAGTCGGCGTCTTTGAACGTGAAGTCCGTTTGGGAAGTCGAGAGGCTCCGGCCGATATCTCTGTCGACGAAATTTCGGCAAAGCTCGAGGAGGGTGTCTTGGTAGTTACCTTGCCGAAGATTGTTCGTCAGCCTGAGCCGAAGAAAAAGGTTGTCGTTGAAGATGGCAACTCCTTGAATGAGAAAAGCCCTGCCTACACCTCCGAGCGAGCAAGTGTGACGATGACCCCCACTGAGTCCGAGGACGAAAGCGACGAAGATGAGGGCGAGACGAAGGAGTATGTGAAGATCCCCGTGGAGTAAGCGAGGATGATTTGGTCTGTCAATTTGGAGGATGATAATGGGAATTCCGGCGTTAGGACTCTGAATTTTTGCGGTTGATTTAGTTGCTTGATTTAAACAAGAATGAATCCCCACCCCTGAACAGGGGTGTACACCATAAAAATTTTTCTCTCCCTCATTCGTACTGCAGTAGATAATTGTAAGTAACAGGCATAGTCAACTCGCATAATACCATGTCATTACTTACTTCCATGTGGCCTTGTAGTTCGTGATCATGCCTGCCGTTGTCATTTTCCAAATACCCATCGCCTTGGCCACACCAACCACTCCCGGAATCCCGGGTGCATATTCTTCTCTATGTCCCCCAACAACTGACGACCCATGTCATCGATGTACCAAAATTTGTCGATTAATTTTAGCAGCACACAGTAGTGAGCAAGAAGAACCAGCGCTACGGGTTCGTGTGATTTCAGATCGTCGTGATACCGCTTCGTAAGCGGGTATGCCCACATGTAAACCATACCAGCTTCCAGATGTGGGCCGGCAAGTTCAATTTGACGGGCACATACTTTGAAAAAGTCCAAAGCAGTTTGATAATCTTTTGGTGGTCCGGAGTGATCCTGGGTAGCTGGCGTCGGCGGGTTGGTGGCATGGGTCTCCGAAAATTGATATTCATCGATAAAGTGCTGAAGGCTGGATATCTGGTCCCATATATCCGGGGGAAGTAATGACTGCGAGATAGTAGCAGGGCTGTGTATCAAAGTCAGCTATGCCGGAGCAAAACTCAACAAGATATCGACGTTCGACGTGGTGAATTAAAATCTCACCTCGGAATGAGCATCTCGTCCTCGAGAATTATGGAATTTACAAGAGGCGCAAGCTGTGTCTTCCGCAGAGATCTCAAGAATGACTGCATAATCTCTTGAAATCCTCTGATGCTTGCAAATAGTTCAGCCATATTATAGATTGGATCGGGCCAACGGTCAACACCTAGTCTGATTGGCACGGCTGAGAGGTGCACCGAGATCATGGAGGCGAAACAGAACACCGGTTGCCAGTTTTCCGGGTCAACTGGAGAAGCAACGAGTTCCCGAAATTCTTTCAGCCCTACCGCTAGATGATGGGCGCCTGCTTTGACGTACTTCACCTTCTGTGTAGGGTACAGATAGGCTTTATGCAGGGCTGCAATTGCCAAAATACCGTGCATCACATAACTGTTGGAGTAGCCTTCCATGGGAAAAACTACTCGCCAGACGTGACGAGCATCTTCTCGTCCAGTCATAGTGCTACAGGTCACCGAACAAAAGTGATGCATTAATTCCAGGTCAAGTCCCCAGTCTTCTGCATGTTGCGCGGAAGTTCCGGGTGTACTGGGAAAGACACCTATGATATCCCATCGATCTTCCGAGTCAAGTGCGATATCCGCGGATGTCATTCCCCAGGGAAATTCACCTCTGTCACCTCTATAGCTAGGCGTATTCGTCATTGCCTGCGACTGAGGATAGATATGCGGCTGAAAATGGGGCTGGGATTGAGTTGCAGGGGAGGCACTTGAGGCTGGGGTGTCCTCGTGTCCCTCCATCGGTCCGGCATAGCTACACGGAATGCCATGTTTGGAACAGTTGGTACAAGGATACCGCTCATCGCACTATATAGAAGGTTAACTCGGGGCGCGGGGGCCAAGTAAAATGCAGCGAGAATAAAAACCTTTAATCGCCGCGTCTTGCATTCGGGGCAGCCATTACGGGACTTTCGATGCGACCTACGCGGGCCCATTCTTAAATCTGATTAGTAGCAGAATATCGCTTATAGCAGCCGGACCCGGGCTCGAAGTGAGGGGGAACGAGTGCAAGATAAATGAATTCGAATTCGAATACGGATCCGGATACGGATGCGAACTCGCGGATACGCGGCTCCACTTGGACCGTTAGTTCGATCGCAAGATGCCGATGCCCGCTGTCAACACCATTTAAAGAGTTTTTTGCCTGGAAGAAATGCTATTTTAAGGTCCTTTTATCTGCATAAATGGAATCTCATATTAATTCTAATATCCCCTTATCCAATCTAAGTTAAACGGCCGTGGGATTCGCACAATATTAAAACCGCCGCCTGGTCGTGGTGGATCCGGGTCTTCGATCCCAGCACTTGGCGCGCTTGGAAGACTGGGGCTATGGCTATAGAAATGGGTAATAGGTTGTGAATTGTTTCTGGCGCATAAAACCCCTGGTTTGCCCCTCAGATCTCATCGTTATCATTATCGTCAAAAAAAAACTAAGTGCTCAACCGTGAAAATGTATGCCGGCAATCTTTACGGCTATACACCCACTCTCGCTGGAGGTGTCATCTTCACCCTCCTCTTCCTCGCAACAACTGGCTTTCATATATTCCAGCTTACCAAGGCGAGATGTTGGTACTTCATTCCCTTTGTGATAGGAGGTATCTGTAAGTGATTCCCTTCCAACAATGACTTGGAACTGTTTTCAACTCTTCGGTCTTTTGGCTTTGTCAAAAAGAGGAAACTTAACTACAAACGCCGACGCTGACACAATTCAATAGTCCAAGTGATAGGATACATCTGTCGACTTGCCGCACGCAATAGTCTCGACTCCGTCACCCTCTACGCCCTCCAATCCGTCCTCATCCTCCTCGCACCCCCTCTCTATGCCGCATCAATTTACATGGTCCTCGGCCGAACAGTCACCTACCTCCAGGCCGAGCCTCTCAGCCTCGTCCGAGTAAACTGGATGACCAAGATTTTCGTCGCAGGCGACGTATTCTCATTCTTAATGCAATCAGCCGGTGGAGGTATGATGGCCATCAAGGACACCCACACGCGCGAAACGGGATCCAATATCGTGATTGGTGGCCTGGTCATCCAGCTCTTATTCTTTGGCTTTTTCGTCGTCACTGCGGCGGTCTTCCATATGCGTATCAATCGTCAACCGACATCCAAGTCTCAGTCCGATCGGGATATGACTCGCTCGCAGGGCTGGAGGCAACGGAATTGGGTCACTGTGTTGTTGGCTCTGTACATTGTTAGTATCCTTATTCTCATTCGGTGCATTTTCCGCTTGATTGAATATAAGGGTGGCTTCAATGGGTATCTCATGACTCATGAGGTGTATATGTACATCTTTGATGCGGTTTTGATGTTCATCGCTATGGTTGTGATGAATGTCTACCACCCTGCCGTCATTCTGGGAGATGGTAAGGCTGGGAGACTTCATTCGGCTTATTCGGAGGAAGTCCAGATGTACAGTGGATGATTACTATGTCCGAGTCCGAATCTTGTTTCAATTTCTCACATATTCATGCGGTTTTTCATTATATTACTACTACTAGCATAGACGGGATATCCATCTCCTTTTTCCCCTTCCCTTCCCTTCCAACTATACGGGCGCGGCCCAAACAAATCAAATCAAATCAAGAGAAAAAGTGACAAATTTTGATCGTATCTCATAACATCATGAATAGGGCCTGTAGTCCACGCTCCTCCGTACCTCAAAGCTTTTCCGAATAGTTCCATTCGGCATTCCAGTGTAGATATCAGGTCGTCTGGAGGCACTAGTTCCACGCGTGGATACAGGCAACAAGCTAGGCGCGTAATCAAGTTCTCCACTTCGACAGGTCCGCGCAATACTGAGGATCTTTTCAATTTCCAGCGCCTGCATTTGCCCATCGCCACGGTCAGCCGGTGGTTTCGGCTTCTTTTTTCGAAGAGAGAGCCAATTCCAACCGTGCTTACTTCCCATGCGAAAGAAGTCTCCGATATCATCGACAGTGAGTGCAACCCAGATAAGCGGGATGGAAATCGCGAAGCCAATTCCAAATGTGTATTTCGCGACATAGGTGAGATTCAAATTTTCGAATTGCTTCAAATTGATGGTGAATATGGACGCGATGAACGATAATGGCAAGAAGATAATGGTGACAATTGTAAAAACCATAATTGTCTTGCTCTGGCGGGTGGTACCGGCTGCTTGGTCGCGGGCAAAGCGGGCTTCGAATGCGTTGGCATGTTTCTGCTTCAGGTCTAGCAGGTCTGTGATGGAATGGTAAATGCGCTCGGCTTGCTTGTCCATGCGATCGAGATCTTTCAGATGCATGTCAATCATGCGTTGCTGGTCTTTGAACCGTTTTTTCACATCGTACTGAGAGCGGTGCTGCCCGTGGTATATCTCGCAGATGACTTCCTGGAAGTCTGATAGGACGTGTTTCTGGTGCTCCAGAACAGTGCGAATCATGTTCAGCTCATCACGGATATCTTTGGTCTCTGCTAGAAGGTCAGTCTCTTCGCCGATATCTAACAGCCTGTCAACGAAAAGCGGCTGTCCGTCATCGTAGTAGTCCTGGTCGATACAATCTTCGTCACCTTCTTGAAACCTGTCGGCCGACTTTTCAGTGAAAGGGTTTAGCTTGCGATGGCTCTTCAGCCAGTAGGATGCCTGTGCAGAGGCATGATTGAAGCGGTTGAAGAGAAGAGTCTCTTTGTCTGTGGCTATACCGATGGAAGATTCAAACATGTCCAAGAATTGATACTCGTCGTCTCCTAAACGGTGGCGGTCGAATACTCCGGAGCATCGGTTGGTAATGGTAATGGCAAGGTCGTACACCGATTTAACGGGTTCGCGGGTTTTGGAATTTATGTCTTCAATGATTCCATCCAGAACATTCAACGGGTCATTCTTTGGCTGATCCCATCGCTGGGGGAAGCTGGTAACAATCAAATTTGTTCCCAAGATCCACATCCATAGCTGATCAACCATGAAGATTTTCGGATCCGTCTCTGGGCCTTCTCGACCAGGCCCTTTGGTTTGATATCGATATACCACCTGGTCTTGGTCACGACTCTGAGTATCGATATTTGGATAGAAGAATTGGTCCAGTGTTCGACGAACGTGGAGGGAAGATGCCGATGATGAGAGGTGCGCATCCATCAGCATTTCATCACGGGTCCGAGTCTTTCTCAACGCGCGTGGCTGAAGATTCAGCAGCTGCGCACGCTGAATGGCTTTGAGCATTCTTTCTCGCCGTTCGGCGGTCTCAAAGTGCAGATAAGGCATGAACACGTTAACATTACAGGCAGGGATGGAGCCTTGGTGATCTCTGCATAGTGATGATGCGACGAGAGATGAGCGCGCTTGTTTATCACTCGGCCCCCACGGTGACTTGCTCTTTGATTCGGTCTTGGGAGTACCGGGGTTGCTGTTCGTCTTGCTGCTTTTGTTCTTCTTTGCCTTCTTGCCTGGAGTGGCCTCATCGGGATAAGAATCAGAACGGTCGGATTTGCCATTTGACGCCTTCTGCTTTCGGAGAATAGAGCTGTTATCTGCAATGCTCGATTGTCCGGCATCAGAGTGTTCATCTTGCTTTTCCTCTTCCCTCCGACGGAACACCGTACGGGGTGTATTATGGCACAATGGCCGCATGAAGTGCGAGTGAATCTTCTGGCCTCGATGTTGATAATTAAAAGACTTCTCTAATCCTTTGAAGCCATCCACATCGTGTGCACCCTCCTCGATGAAACTTTTCGTGAGCAAAGCCTCCACCCAAGCCATGTTGTTTGCAGGCAGATGAATCCAACGAAAATCCGTTGCTCGGCTATCAGCGGGTATGGTCGTCACTGCTTGCTTGCGCGGGTTCTCAGAATCTCGTCCGTAGAGCAAATTATACACCGACATGCGCTTTACGCGATTTTCGTTGTGGAAGTTTCCGAAGTCGACAACTGTCGCATCAAACGCGGCGCTCGCATCTCGCACATCCTCCGAGAGGGACTCGACGTTATTAAACGGCGCCAAGAGAAGAACGATATCCCTTCTTTTACACTGCGCTGCACGCAGAAATGGAGTACTGCCAAAGGTATCGCGAACCCGCCTTTTCAAGTCCGGGCGTTCCAGCAGGCATTCTACAACTTCGCGATGGCCACCTTGAGCCGCAAGATGAAGCGGCGTCACTCCATTAAGAAGCTGGCTATTGATGTGTGCCTTCTCACGCAAGAGAATTCGCACAATTTCCACACAACCCTTATCGCAAGCATTATGAAGCGGCGTCCAACCACCATCACTACAGGCGTTGACAGCCGCCTCGTGTTGCAAGAGTAGCTGCACGATATCCACGCGGTCATGCGCAGTCGCAATATGCAGAGCGGTCTTCCCTCGTAGCTCGGTCGCATCAATCTCGGCTTTGGGACCATCTGGTCTTGTCAGGAGTAACTTCGCAAGACCCCAATTGCCCGTCGCGCAAGCCCAATGCAACGGTGTCCGGCCCAGTTCATCTTGGCCGTCCACACCGTCAATCTGACAATCAGTGCGCAATAACAGCGAAATGATCTCGTTGTTCCAGCCCCATTTCTGCTCTTTATCCGCCGCTAGATTGTGCAAGACGTTACGCTTGCGGTGGTCGCGCGCATTCACATTCGCGCCTCGCATAATCAACAGCTGCAACACATCCGCGTGGTTCTTCCAAGCAGCAGTCATCAGCGCCGTACGCCCCTCTTTATCCGTACTATCAGACGAAGCGCCATGGTCGAGAAGGAGTCGCACGATCTGGTAGTGGTCACGCTCAACGGCGCGGAGGAGCGGCGAAAGACGGTTTCCCGCGACATCGGTTTTGGCACCACATTGCAGGAGAAATTCTGTCGCGGTGACGCAGCCCCGTTCGGCGCTGCGCATCACTGCGATCCGCAGGAAGTTCTCATTGAATTGCCCATATTCCTTGGCGAGGCCGATGACCTTTTGTAGCGAGTTGGCGTCGTCGTGCTCCGCGGCCCGTAGCAGACGCGGCTCCAGCCTCTCGTGGCCGTCGCTTGTCATGCTGGATGACCGAGGCATGATAGTGGGGGAGGATCGGGGTGATATTCGGTGGGTTCGAGGGCAGGTTAATCCATGGTTTGATGCTTGTTGCGCAGGAATGCTTGGCCCTTTCTTGAGCAGGACTTCCCCGAATATGCGGAGCGGGAGGTGGGCGGTGCAGCAAAGTTTAGTATTAGCAAGTTTCGATGGCGACAGAGACTCGAGAACTTTGGGGGCGCTGGGGGCGCTGGCATTATTTAGGGGAAAGATCTGCGGCAAGATAATCGACGTCTCTCCCCTGATCCAGGGAGAAGATTGCACATTGGCAGATGGGCGCGGTGGCGGCTCGGCCTCGTATTGCCCTCTGCCCTCTTTTGGATGCACTAAGTGGGACAGGCAAGGCTAGCCGCCGTCTGACGATACCTGCAAGAATGGAATAAATGCAATAGATATAGAAAGCAACATTTGGTTGTTGACAACTCTAAGTTGCCGAGTGTAGATCGAGGTTCCATGGTTCCCATGTGGAAATGGGAACCTTAGGCGTTGGAGTTTAATTTGGGTATACCCCGTGGCAGGACTCAACAGTAGCATAAAGAGCACCTCTTTCGCAGTTCGTTTGTGAATAAGGCGATGTCCTTTAGCATCATTCAAGATTTACAGATTTACGGATTCTAATTGGTACCGATCCGACTACTTAATGTGAGGTGCATGACGTAGGAACACAGAATTATCAAGTCACTGGAGGCACTCAAGATGCAGATATTAAATCTTTATTTTCTATGGGGTCTCCAAGTAAAGGAGTTGAAAAAAAAAATTACGAGAATCAGGGGGGGAATCCAGCAGAGAAACAGGAGAGAGAAAAAAATGAAAAGGAAAAATGACCACATGAAAAGACAAGACAACGCAATTCCTCCATCTCTGGAGATGCTCATGCTTGAGATGCTAATAATTATGATGAACCGGTGCGATATCCTCCATGCTTCCCTCATGTGAATTAGATGGTTGCTTTTTGTTCCCTTGGATTCCCTGTGCAACACGCCGTTCCATCCCAATGCGGTCATCAAAACAAAGATGCGCCTATCAACAAGCCCAAAGAAAATAAAGATAGTGGTATTCTGGAAGGCCGAAAATTTTGAGGTCGGCAATATGTGAAGGTATACAAGCCTCAGAAGGCAAAGTTGATCTAGCGCTTCTTCTTGTTCTTGTCGGGAACTTCACGCAGGATGTCGTCGAAGCTCATGTTGGGGTTGAAGCGACTAATGGGGCGAGCAGGAGGCTCAATGGGAGCGATGCCTGCCGGCAACGGCAGTGCTTCAAGGCCGGGATAGATAGAGTGTCGGTGCTCGGCCCGGTTCGCAGCAGCGGGAGATCGGGTGCGCGGGATTGCTGGGGGTGGCGGGGTGAGACCGCCATGAACGCCCAGCGCGGATCCGGGCTGCGGGTCTGAAGAAGATCCGGCCGAGGACTGCTGGGCCGGGTAGGGCGAGGAGATGGACGATTCGTTTTCTTCGTATGCATCTTCGACATTGGGTGGCGGGAGGAGAGCACCAGCTTCGGCCCATTGCTCGGCAAGTTGCCAGCAGTGGCTACGACGGTAGACGCCTTCCACACCATTAATCACCACGTCGGAGGGGAGACTGACCACACCGGCACCACCGGCAACACCGAACCAGCTGCGAGCAGTCTTGGTGTCGTTTTGGATCCAAGGTGCACCACCACGGGGTGCGATACAGAGGAAGTATTCAACTCCCTGGTTGAACTGGACCTCGGGGACATCCACGGTCAGCATAGGCATAGACTGAATGACGGAGTAGAGGAAGATCCACTGGCCACAACGCATATCGACCAAATCGTCGACAGTCTTGCCGTGGGCGCAGCGTCGCTCGTACTTCATGAACTCTTCGATGAACTGAGTGCTGCGAATGCTCTCTCGTGTATAGGAGCCCATCAGGACGGCGTTGATATCAGAATTCTTCAGCTTCTTCCCGCGTTGCTTGGCCTCTTTCTTGGCGTCGAGGGGCTTTCGGTGCAGAGGCTGCAGATTAGGCATCTGCGGGATATCGAAGGGGATGGGCGGGAGGACGGGTGGAGTACTGCGATCGTATTCACTGAGCACCTGGCGAACAGCGCGGACGGTCACATCCTTGTAGTCAGTGGACTTGGCGTCACCACCCGCACCAGATAAATCGATCGTACGAGTCGTAAGGTCGGTGCGATCGACCAACATGTCGTAGAGATCACAGAAGTCCCGATACAAGTCCAGCAGCAGTTGACGGTTCAGGCCGCTTTCTTCAAACTCATTCTTCTTGGAGCGAGCCTTGGGTGGCCAAGAGCCATACTTGGTGCGGTAGAAGCTCATGGTGAAACGACGGAAGTCAAGGAAGGCGGATTTCCAGATTTTGAAGCGCACGACCTTGCTTTCGACTGAGGTGGTGGAGTTTGCGATACCAGAGAAGACCGAAGGGAAATCAAAGTCTTCCAGCTTTCCGTAGAGGCCGCGTAGACGGGAGTCCAGGTCGATGAAACCACGCTCCAGGCGCTTTTGGGTAATCGGGTGGATAAATGTGAATTTAGGGCTTCGAAGCTGCTTGATCTCATCCAGCTTGCCAACACCGTGTACAAATCCCTCGACATACAGAGGGTAGTAGCGCAGTCTCTCGCCAAGGACGATGGCCTCAATAGTCTTCTCGCGACTCTTACGAACATCGGCCAGGCGCAGTTCATCGCAGTAGTTGCTAAAGCTCGAAGTGGCAGTCTCACCAAAGTTCGATCCGTCCAGGTTGCTGAATTCGAAGCGTGCGAGGAGGACGGCGACGTCCATGAAAATACTGAAAAGGGTGGCTGATTTGGGACTGGCGATGAGGGACTGGCCGAGGAGAAAAGCAAACAAGTTGCGGAAGAGAAGCAAAGTCTCTGTATCCTCCTGGGTGAGGCGGCAACTCAGATTCGAGACATCACTGTTCAGCGGGATCGGCAGATAAAGATGCAGCTCTTGATCTTCATCCGGCACATCATCCATGAATGCCATTCGCTGGCTGCCTGAGCTATCATTATCGTTGTCCGCCAACCGGTCCTGCGGTGTCAAGGGGGGCGATATCGGGTTACCGAGGGATAGCGAACGGGTGGGTTGTTCGAGGCCATTGGATTTCGAGTCGGCTCCGCGGCAGAGATGGTTCAGAGAAGGGGATTCAGCGAAGACTGTGGAATCGACCTTGAATGAGGCCGGGCGGCCCGTGTTCTGAGGGAACAAATAGACGTATGTATCTCCTTGCTCATTCCAGAGTTCCGAGACCTAAGTTGGGCTGTTAGCAATCGATTCGTGGACACCTCCAGTTTGATTCCCCCCTCCCCTGTCTTTCGAGACGTACCTGTTCACCTCTGGACAAGGGACCCATATCATAAACCACCTTCTGATCCAGTCCAGCGATCCACGCTCCTGGGAGCATTGGCGGGGGCACCCGTCTGTCCATTGAACCCGCCCGCGACCGAGCTCCCATTCCCGGCATCCAACTCCGACGTTTTGATGGCGTGCTCGGGCGGGAGTCTGGCGTGGAACCCGGGATGGCCAACCCAGCGGAACTGGAGGGGCGGCTCATGTTCATATCCCGACCCCTGCTGCCGGGACGATCGATGGGCGAACTCGGGGCACTGGCGGCCAAATCATGGTTGACGGCGAGCAAGGATGGTGGTGGTGGGAGGTCGAATGGCTCCGGATGGGGGACTGTCCTCGGTTCCGAAGAATAGAGAGCATTGGGAGTTGAGACATGACGAGTCGGGCGGGAGCTGCTTCGTCGCCGGCGGTCCTGCGAAAAGTCGGATGGAGAGTTTAAACCTGGAGAAGGAGCTGGAGGCCCGTTGGAGTTCTGCTCCTTATGAGAACCCAAGGAGAAGAGAGAAGAGATGCGCTTCGCCGATTTAACGGGAGCCGACAACATCGTTGCAGATGTCGGGAGGGGGGGAGGGGGAGAAGTGATGATTAGGGATAGGGATTGGAGAGGGGAAGAGAGTTTGAGGGAAACTGAGGCCCAGCGGAACAGGGAACGAACAGCGAGGAAGTTAGGCCCTGCGACACATAGGAAGAAGAATGAAGAATGGGGGGGAGAAGTGGCAGGTGGCAGTGGCAGATGATGGGGGGGCAACTGGGTAGAGAGAGGAACACAAGGGGAGGTTGCGGGAATGGATCGGCAGGAGGGATGTGCTAAAAAGAATGGCCGGGAGAAACGGCCGGTGGAATGGAGTGAAGATGAGAGGTGAGAGGTGAGGGGGGAGGTGAAAGAGGAAAGTTGGATCAGGGGAAGTTGTCGTTTCAGGAGAAGAATAAAAAAGAGATATGGGTTTGCCGTTTGATTTTATTGAATTTTTTTTTTCTCTTGAACTGATGAATGGAAAAAAGGCGACCTTTCTGGGGCTAGCGGGGGGGGGCTTTCGATCCGGTTCTCCCATGCCAATTATAGCTCACTTCAGTTCATGCCGGTGGGACCGGTTTAGTTACTGTAGTTACTGTAGTTAACTACTGTACGAGTAGATAGTTAATAGACAGAATACTGTATTTATTATTTAGCCATTCTGTAGACTCTATACTCTGTAGACTATCCCCTATTCCCCCCTATTCCCTCTCTTGCAAAACACTATCTATGCAGACTTGGGCACTGGCATGCAGGGCAGAACAATAATCCAAAATAGATCGGGGTTGACCCGTCTAAAATCTGCCTGCCCGCCAGCCTGCCAGCCGCGCCCGCTGCACAAAAAAGCATAATCCAATGAACAACGGCCCAGATGCCACGCTTTCTATTACTAGCCATCGATGAAGTCTTGGAAGGATAATGAAATAGTTAGCCTTGCAAAGTTTACAAATAAATATATGCCAGTACTGGTATACTATAGTACAGAATATATTCAGGTGCATACCTAATAGACGATATGCTCAAGCATAGCCCCAAGCTGAAATATATGCAAGAAATATATTGTAGGCACACACTCAATTGTAAACTGGGAACATGGTACATCTACTATTAGCAGTAGTTACTGCCTACGCACACTGCTCTAGCAACCTTGGTACTATAACTCCTTGCCTAGACAAAACAACCACGGTTCCAAGCTTCCTCTCAGGAACTTTCCAGGAGATTTCCAATCGTGATTGATCGGACCCTCTCTTGCTTGTTCTCTGGTTCCGCTCTCGCTTCCACCCCTCGCCCAATCTTCGGTTCCGACCTCCGCCTAGTGGGCTTGTTGTCTCTGATTGACGTTATCCATTTCCTCCATCTACTCCATCTGCTCCATTTATTCCATTGCTTTCATTGCTTCCTTCCCCCCCCCCCCAAATCCATCATGGCTGTGCCCACCGAACCCGTCGACCTGTTTACTGGCTGGCCTAACCCCGCGCTCCTTCCCGCCCCCGATCTACTTCGCTCCGCCACTGCTGTCCTGACCGACCCCTCCATCGCCAACCCGGCCCTACTGTATGGTCCTGATGAAGGTTCGGAGTCTCTTCGTGTCCACATTGCGCAGTGGCTGGAGGCCTTTTATCGCCCCCACTCCCCGATTACGCCTCGCCGCATATGCATCACGGGCGGGGCGAGTCAGAGCCTCGCCTGCATCCTCCACGTCTTCACCGATCCATTGTACACACGGAATGCCTTCATGGTCGACCCAACTTACCATCTAGCGGGTCGAATGTTTGATGATGCAGGCTTTGCAGATCGTACGCGCCGAATTCCCGAGGATGATGGAGGCATCGACTTGGATTATCTCGAAAGCGCTTTGCGTACGGCCGAAGCCAAGGCTGAGGCTGAAGGAAACTTGGACCCGGTACTACTTAGCAACATGACAGCTGCAACTTGAACCACTTGCATGCCACCGAACCCCTCGAACTCCGAACTGACTCGTGATGGAAATAGAAAATCAAGCCACCGCGACCCTGGCGAAAGATCTACAAATATGTCATTTATGCCATCCCCACCTTTTCCAACCCCGCCACGAAGATTATGTCTCTGGGCCACCGCGAGCAGCTCGTTCGCCTCGCCCGGAAATATGATGCATTACTGATCACAGATGATGTCTATGATTTCTTACAGTGGTCGGCGACGCCGGACGAGGAATTGTCAATTCCCAATCAGGCATGCGTCCCTCGCTTGGTGGACGTAGAGCGCTACCTCGATGGCGGCCCTATCGATGAATGGGGTCATACCATCAGTAATGGTAGCTTCAGTAAGCTCCTTGGACCAGGGGCCCGCACTGGCTGGGTCGAAGCATCGGAGAAGGTTGCGTATGGAGCATCGCAGGTGTAAGTCCTCACGATTCTTGCGTGGTCCCTTTGGTCTATCACTTTCGAGACCTTGCCGATCCCATGGGCAACGTACATAGGCTGACGTGCGATATCGCTTTTAGAGGCTGCTCTCGCTCCGGTGGTGCCCCCAGCCACCTGTGTTCCACCATTATCGATCAGCTGCTGCCTTCGGGGTTTCTGGAGAAGCATATCCGTGAAGTCTTGCAGCCAGCCTATGCGGAGCGGTACCACTTGTTGCTATCGGCCGTCCAGGAGCACCTGGTACCACTAGGTGTAACAGTGGCCCAGGCTTCAACGAACGTGGCTGGCGGGTATTTCATGTGGATCACCCTACCCTCTCCCCTGCGCGCTGTAGACATTGTGGCGCAGGCGCAGACAGAAGAGAAGCTGCGTTTAGCTCCCGGTACTCTTTTCCAGGTACAGGGTGATCCCAACGGTTCAAGCGACCGATTTGCTAGCCAGATCCGACTCTGTTTTGCATGGGCAGAGCCGCGTCACCTGACTGAGGGAGTGCGTAGGCTTTCACGCGTACTGGAGCGGGCACTCAAATGAGCTTTACTGCTCTGAGACGCCACATTTGCCCGATTCAGTTGTACGGACCGTGCCGGGCTGCCGGGCCACTGGGACGCGCGGCAGTACGCACAACCAAAGGCAACCATAATTTTCATGCATCTCAGTAAATATATAGGACCGGGCTCACCGGAACACGAAGATACAGCATAGAAGTGCAACATATTTTCTTCCGCCACGGTGGCACTGCCGGTCAATTTAGATGACCTAAAGAGAAGCATTCTAGTTATATTCAAACTTACGACTTCCCAGGTACTCTAGTCATTGTTTACACATTCATTTGTGGAACATTGGAAAAACCGCGGTCTTGGATTAGTCACGATTGTGGAGATCCTTGGAAAACAGCAAGCTTCAAGTTTCTACTACATCCAACTCCAGCCAGAGGTGAGATTAAGACTACCCAGGTCCTCACAACTGATAAGCCCTGGCATTACTCTGATCATAGCCCTTTCATTGGCTCGGAATAGCTCGGTAGATCCTCGCATGAAGCCTGCGTGCTAACCGACACCAGCCAGGACTAACCTCCACCAATGCGGGTCACCTCCTTCAGGGGCAAAGCTTGGCCGCGTGTGGCTCTTTAAATCCTCGCCTGTGCTGTCAGGGCGGGATTTTTATCCCGGCAGATTCCAGAAGAATTAGCGCGAACACGGATCTATCGCTGTCGCCATCGTCATTAGGAATGTCTCTCTCAATGGCTTGTCACGCCTGGAATGTGTCTCCATAACAACGACATGCTTGGCTCATGGGGTGGCTCCGCGGGGCTTCAGGACCAACGGCAGCCGGCACGTACCCCTCGTGATAACTAAAGCCTGACCCATCTAAGCGGTATGATTGAACTGCCCGGTTACAGTTGCGCCGGGGAAGAGGGTGTTTCTACTAAGGCCTAGACAGGGCGCACAGGTCAATTCCCTCTCGCGGAACGGTTTAGACCTGTCCATCTGTCCATCACAATAATCAGACAGGACGAAGGGCTCCACCAAGGGCAGCTTTAGAGGAGGACGAGGAGGACGAGGAGGGGGCAACGCGCTCTGCCCATCCCATACCGAAGCATGTCACTCGTCCCACATCCCGTACATAATTCCCCTGGCGACTCGACCTGGAAATGACAACCGGTCATCCCTAGAGGCAGCGGACGCGACACCTTCCTCCCATGCGACGAGAAAAATCCAAGATGAAAGGAATGGACGATCTAGCATACCCTGTTTATTATTTCTTGGGAGGGCGAGTAAAACGGTATATAGCATGTAGAACCCCGATCCACGCCCGTGTGAGGACCCTTTTTGCACCTTTGCTTTGACTTAGACCCTACAATTGGGTATTTTTGTCATTTTGAGCATCCTTGCAACCTTTGAATATACCGCTTCTCATTCTTGAAGAAAGGATCAAAAGCCGTGTCTAGTGCCGCCCGTGGCCACTCCTGCTCATTTACTAGAGGTCGACAGCGTCCCGCAAGTGTTTCCACCAGTGAATCTGCAACACTAGGGTCAGCGATCGACTCCCTCAGCGTTTCACCTCTCGACCATTCCGTTTCAAGCGGCGCAGGCGATACGCCCAGCGGGGTTTGCGATTGGCGGGTGCTGGTGGGTTGTCCGAGACTGTGGTGTGTGATAGGCGCGGTACTTGACGATTTAGGGAGATTCGTCGTGGTTTACAGTGTGATTACCCGTCGGTAATATTCAGTACAACTATTGAGGGTGAGTCCACTCTTATTTATCCCCCGACAGTAGACCTCCTGCTTTGTTTCTTCCCTGTGTCTTTCTTCATCATTTCACCTCTTTTCTTTTGTCCTTTCTCTCTTGTTTGAATTCGTCTGGAATTCGTCACTCTCTTGTCGTTCCTGCCCATCATTCATTTTCATTCCTTCAACTTGAAGTTGTTGCGACCGTCTGGGGAAGTATAGATCCACTCGGTTTGCATCCACGACCAGGCCGGAGCTGCCTTCTTCACATTCACTGATTCAAGTTCGGGGAACACCCTCAACTGCATTCGAATTCGCGTCTTTCTATCTTTTTTTCTCTTCTCAAATCTTTGCTCGCGATCGCTTCTGGTTTAAGCGTCGCCACAAAAGCTCGACTTTGA